GAAGCATACTGGTTGTGTGCATAGACGCACGAATTCGCAATCTGCTGCGCCTCGTACGCCAAGTCCCAATCCCATTCCACAAAGTCGCAGCCGTGATTACTGCGGTGGTAATCGTGGTGTTTCTTGGAGAGGACGACGTAGTCGTTCTCCTCGCCGCCGTCGGGGCCCCAGTTGGTGGACTGCTCGCCGGACTGCTGGTCGCGCGGCTCCTTGCCGACGTAGGCCTCGGCGACGCGGACGGACTGGTGCTGTTGCTTGGAGTGCTTGTGGAGGTGTTTGTGGGCGGCGTGTTTGGCGGCGCCGTTGGGGATGGCGGTGATGAGGGTGGGCAGCAGGAGGGAGAGCAATGGGAAGGTGGTATGCATTTTGGAGAGCGGGTTGTCAGATGTGCGGTACGATTGAAAGGTAGGTAGGTAGGGACAGGAAGAGGCAGTGATGAGCGGCTGAGGATAAGGGAGGTAGGTAGGGAGGTAGGTAGGTAGGGAGGTAGGTAGGTAGGTAGGTAGGCAAGCAGGTTGGGGCCTACAAGATAAGTAACGACAGACAAGAGGTAAGGAACGACTTTTAATGGATGATGGGATGATGGGGTGCAACGGTAGCGAGGAAGGAAGGAAGGGAAGGGAAGCGAAGCGGGCAGGCACCTAATAAGAACGAGGGCGCTGGCAACGGTTGAAAAGAAGGGCAGAAGGGAAGAAGGGAAAGAAACGGGCGACGACGGGGGCGACGGCAATACCCACCATCATCAGGAAATGAAAGCGACATCGAAACACACCCATCGCCAGGCCGCGAAGAATCGAAAATGTGACGAGCCCGTGATTCCCCCTTCCCGTGGTCGAGGATGCCCCCGCGCTGGCGGTGATTAGTGGCAGGCATGTGAACAACCCTCTTTTCCCCATTTTCGCGGAACCTAGCTCGAGGAAACCCCCTTCGAGCCTCTCACCTCTCACCTCTCACCTCTCACGCCCTCCAAGCAGCTAGAGGCCTTGGCCGTGGAGAACTGCTGGATTCTGGATCCGTATTACCGACTCAGCAGTTTCATGCTGCTGGAGTGGCAACATTATTCAATCTGCCCGGTTGGGTCCTACGGAGTGTGAGGTGGCTATGGGGAACTGCAGGACGGTGGGTGCTAGGCCGAATGAGGAAGAATCTAAGCATTCTGTGCCGCTGCTACTACTACTACTACTACTACTACTACTACTACTACTACTACATTCTTTCCGGATACCTCCAAGGCAGTAGTTCGTATTCGGCTGACAGTTTGCTCGGGTTTCAGCAAAGCCAGGCATCCTGCTACGCCAGCAGTTTGAAACTGCTTCAGACCATCACCTCTCTTTCCTACGCTGGCCTTTCACACCCACGACTCATCTTCTGTACGTCTTCCCAGGCTTTCTTCTCTTAACACTTAACACCGAGTGATCGAGACCTCACTCCAAGACCACAGCGATCAAGACGTGAAATGAAAAGGCACAGGAGGGCTGGATTGGTGCAAGTCCTTTGCATGTATCCATTTGCTAGCCTCTGCCATTTCCTTTGGCGCATCCCATTCCAATCCAAAACAAACCCGTTCCATAGCAAACCCTTTCCAAGCAGTGGTATCTCTCGCTTTTCCTGGCGCCCATTTCCAATACTTGTACAATGCAGTGTACACGCTCCTCAGCCCTGGAGTCCTCCTCCATGATACAGCCCGCACCACACATGGTGCATAATAAAACAATGCCAAACCCAAACTCAAACCCAAAACAATACAGTGCCCATGTGATGATCAATGCAATCCTCCACTCATCGTGTTTATCCCTGCCTCTCGCCGGAGGCTTCTCCCACGCATCAATGTGGCCAATTCAAACAATGCCTTCCATGGTCCTCATGACATCCTCCGGATCCTCGATGATAGTGCCGAGTTTAGGATTGCGGCGGTAGTGCCGGTCGACGCGGCGCTGGTGCGCGACTGCAGTGCGAAATACTCTCCGCTAGTTAATACTTTCATCTGCGGTCTCGTGCGCCCGCTCCAATGCTTTTCTGAGTTCTTCATTCTCGGCGTCGGCCTCCTCAAGTCTCTGTCGAGCGCCACGGCGATCCAGGAGACGAGCCTCTCGTTCAGCCTTGAGTCTGCGCTCGAGCTCCTTAAGGCGGTGCACCCAACGCTGTTCGGTAGGCTGCGCTGGTGGCGAAGGAATGGTAATAGCCTGAGGCCTTGGTGCTTGCGCTTCCTCTGCAGCGTTCGCAAGCTGCTCCACGGCCGATGTGGAATGGTGGCGTAACAATGAAGACATGATATGCCGGGCCGGGCTGGAGCTCACGGACTGGCGACGAGCGTGGTCCGGGTTGAGTTGTGCTTGCTGATTGATCATCTGCTGAGCCATGGCGCTCGGGTGCTGGCGATGGAACTTCAGCTCCCCCTTAAGGAGCTTGAGTTCCGATTTGAGCTTGGCAACTTCCTCGCTGCTCTTGACGCTTCGGCTGCTGGCAGAGCGGTTGGCTTGCGGGCGTTGGGCCACGTCTTCGGCTTCGGCAATGGCCCTCTGGGCCTCCTGGACAGCATTCTCGAGCTGATCCATGCGGCGCATGCGCATGTCCAAGTTGTGTTCGAGAGTCTGATAATCTCTCCACAGGTCCTTCTCGATGCTTCGGATCCTACCCTTGAAGCTTCCGATCAGCGCCTCCACGGTCTTGACGGCCGAGATGATGTTCTTGTTGAAGCCGTTGAGGTTCTTGCTGATGACCTCCACACTTGGCGTCTCGCCATTAACGAGGGCGTGGTGCTGGGCCCAGTCTGAGCCACAGAGAGTCGAGAGTCTGTTCCATAGCGCCAAGAGGAGGTTATTACGCTCGTGAAGTTGTTCGCGATATTGCTGATCAAGCGCGGCCATCTTGCGCTTGTCTTGAGTGTATGCGGTCTCAAGCTCCAGCATGCGTGACTCTTGCTGCGCGATGGTGCGCATGTGAGTCGCTTGACCACGAGAGGCCTTCTCGAATTGCTCGAGATCGTGCTTGCGAGAGGTACGTTCTTTGTCGAGGAGGTCCGACAGTCTGCGCGATTCCAAGCTGGTGCTTTCAAGCAGACCATCACGATGGCGGAGTAGTCGGTCTTTGTCAGACAGGTCCATCTTGGCTCTGTCGAGGTCGTTTGCGGTGGTCTCCAATTCTCGTTGGAGCTTCTCGATGTCGGCGAGCAGGCTTTGCTTGCCACCGTCTTCGTTGCCGAGGATCTGGCGGAGTGCTTGCTCCAATTCCTCGAGTCGCTGCTTCGCGCTGCCAGCTTCGACCTCCTTGGCGGAGAGAGCGCGTCGCAGCTTTCGGACTTCGTCCTTCGTCTTGGCGTTCTCTGCGTTGAGGTCATCGAGGACCTTCTGCACTTCCTCCTTCGATTTGTTCTCCAACACGTCGCGCTGTTGACGCTCTTCGATGATGGAGGCTTCCAACTCGCGCAGCTTCTCCTGCTCGTCTTGAATGGTCTGCTGAGCCGCATTGAGCGCGTCCTCGAGCTCGCCAATCTTGATCTTGTCCCCTTCCTGCTCCTCGCGCAGGAACGTGATCTCGTTGTGGAGGCTTTCCTCCGTAATCTCGAGCTTGCGATTCTTCTGATCCAGCTCGTTGCACTTCTGTTCCCACTTCTGGATTTCCTCCTCGGCCTCGGCAATCTGCTGCTCGAGTGTCTGGATGCTGCGCATGTTGTGCTGCTTCTCGTCTTCGAGGTTGAGCACGCTCTGCGTAATCTCGCGGAGCTCGCCCTGGAGGCCTTTGTAGTCGTCTGCAGTCTGGTGCAGCTTCTGTGCCGTCTTCTCATGCTTTGCATGAGCCTCGTCCAGGTCGGCTTCGAGCACCTTCTTCTCTTCGTCGAGATTGTGTATCTCGGAGAGAGCTTCTTGTTTCAGGGCGGCATAATCCGCCTCGATCTCATCGTACGCTTTCAACGTCTCGTCGCGCTCATTCTGCAAGCTGACAAGGTCGTCGCGGACTTGGGCGATCTCAGTCTCCATGTCGCGGTAGTCGCCTTCGATGGTCTCGACGTAATGGAGATAGGTCTTGTGTTTGCGATCAAGCTCTTGATACTTGATGCGGAGTTCGGCGTTGGCATCGCGCAGCTGGCCTTCCTTCTTGTCCCATTCGTCGCGCTCAGCCTCAGTGATCGCAGTGTGGTCGCTGGTTCTGGATTGGCTTCGCTGGTGCGCCCGTGAGACAGATCGGTCGAAGATGCTCTCGCCGGCGACGGATCTGCCGTCGCCCTTGCGGTGGAGGAGCTTCAGGTCTTCAATCTCTTGCTGCAGACGCTCGCGCTCACGATTTCTAGACGTGAGCATGCTGGTTTGAGCACCGAGGTCGCGTCGCAGCTCTGCGTTCTCGTGCTTGAGTTGGTCGATGGTGGTCTTGGCTTCGTCATCGTTCGCGACGTTGATGAATTCGTCGTCGATGTCGTCGTTGGGACTCTGAGTGGAGCCCATTCGGCTTCTTCGTGTGCCGAATTTGGTGGACCTGTTGACGGCCGGGGAGGCGCGTTCCAGGCGGAGGGTGTTGAGTTCGTCGCGGAGCTTGCTGACATCTTCTTCTGCCTGCTCGCGGCGGCCAGTCTCGGCATTGAGGAGGTCTTGCCACATGTCCATGGTCTCCTTCATGCCAGCGGTATCTTCGCCGCGTTTGCCGGCCATGCTGCGCATGTGGTCGGCCATCTTGCGTTTCTCGAACTCTTTGGTCATGACTTCGTCACGGAGGGTGGTGACTTGGTTTTCAGAGTGATCAAGCTGCTGACGGAGGTAGAGGATCTCCTCATGCATCTCTGCTTGCAAGGTCGGATCGTCGTCGTCGTCCGCCTTGGTATTCTTCTGTTGTTGAGCTTCGGCAAGGGCTTCTTGCTGATCGATGATCTTCTGCTCCATCTCGCGCATCTTGCGGCGCATGGTGTTTGATTCCTTGCGCTCATTGGCAAGGTCAGTCTGTAGCTGAACATTCTTCTCAATGAGGTCCTTGACGCCATTCTCGGAGCGGGTCTGCAAGGCCTGGTCGAGGAAGTGGATCTTGAGCTTGAGGTCGAAGTTCTCCTTGGCGAGGGTGTCGATCTTGGCATTTTGCTCTTTGAGCGTCAGCGTTCTACGCGGACGATCGAAGACGCTGTCGCCCATCTTGACCGTGGATGCAGTCGGGCCCGAGGATGCTGGGCGCGCGGCGGGTGATGAAGGGCGGTGATTCTCGTTCTGGGCAAAGAAGTCACGTGCCACGGTCTGAGGCACGTGGATGCTCTCGACATGTTGGGCGATGGCGGTGTCTGTGGGCGCATCGAAGGTCTTCTCTGCTGCTCGTGGCGTTTGCGGTGCCTCCGAGGGCTCGCTGTCGCTGCCGTCGAACTGGCTGGGCCCGGGAAGAGTTGGGTCGAGCTTCGAGGTCGCGGCCATTGAGGTGAGTCTTCCACGCGACGGCTTGTGCGCGACGGTGGGTGAGGGAGGGGTCTCGGGGACGAAGTAAGACTCCATCTCAGCCAGGACGCCGTTCATGGAGAGGACGGAGCTGCCGTCAGCGGCAGATGGTTCTGCCATATTTGCGAGAGGATGATCGCCTCTCAAGAACCAAGGGGTGAAGAAGGGAGGGGCCAGAGCGGACTAGGCTCGGGCCGTGGCCTTCTGCTGCGGTTGTTCTTGCATCTTGTGTTGCTTGTCTTGGAATTGGGTTTTTGATGGACAGGGGTTGCTCTTTCCGTCAAAATGTGGTGGTTGCAGTGTGGTTGATGAGGAGGAAGATGGGCGAAGCTGGAACGCGACTTCTCTACGCGACGCGGTCCCGTGACACACTGTGACGTGATGATTCGGGTGCAGCCGTCGGGATTCGTGCCTCAGGCACCAACTTGAGAACCACAACCTACCACTTTCTTACCAGCCATAGCCGATTCCCTACTTAAAGTATTCCTACTCAAACTGCCAATATGTATCTCATCTCATCGATTCCATTGAAATCCACCAACGCCTCAGGCACCCACCGCTCGAAGCGCACCTCCTCTCTCGATTCTGTGTGCACTCTATCCTGCTTGCGCAATCCGGGAAAGCGTCGATCCAACAGTGGAACCGCTTCCAAGGTGAAGAAGCGCACCGACAGACCGCCTGTGCAGAAGCCATCTGCAACGCCAAATCAGCTGCCTGGTGTAAAGCCATCCGCGCCCAGCAAGCAGCCACAGTTCTCGACGTTTCTCACTCGCGTCAACGGCCGCTCCCTGCTCGACGACCCCTAATCGCAGACGTTGTTCGGATGCGAACATCGCCAAGAGGCAAGAGTTGAGCATTTCGGGTGCGGACGGGGAGCTTGCAGAGCAGGACGGTCCGACACCACCTCTCATACGTCGGCAATGCTTTGTTTGGCGTGACGCGTGGAGCGTTGCTCTTGGACGTCGAAGAACTTCTTTAAGAGCAACGATCAGACTGGTCTGTTCACAATCTGAGATGTCTCGTGATGGCTTCTTGGAGCACAGACCGTTTCTCCGGTACTCTGATTCTGCAGCTCACATCTGTTCGTGCCGTTCAATCACGTCAGCGATCGTTGAACGTCGGATCAACACGTCGTCCGTGGGGAAGAGATGACTAGAGGTTGATACAGCGGAGTGAGGATCGAAGGTTGCTCTGCAGCTTCGAATGGGCACTAGCCAACCATCTCTCCAGAGTTATCTCCGAGCTCCAAGAATCAATATGCAAATAAACAAAGATCTAGCATTCATGCAATTTAGCCCATGGGCAAACAGCATGCACACGTCACCGTGCATCGACCATACCACGTCACATCACTTACAGCCTTCGCGTAGCCAGTCTCCTCACCCGATCCAATCTCAACATGCACCCTCACAGTTCATCATGCTTCTTGTCCTTCGTCGCGGCTTTTCCAAATTCATCCGCACACTCGTACGACGACAAAAGCCTTTCATCTCCCCCCTTATACTTACCGACCTTCGGCCAAGGACAGATGTTCCGTTTGATCTGAGGCCCCGGAGCCCCAGCCATACCAGGCGTACGGATACCTTCAAGCATATCAGGTTTCTGGCCCGTCTCCACCCAAGCCATCAGTTCTGTGATGGCAAAGACTGGGATTGCCCCGACACCGCCGGCACAGTGCGCGACGCCGGGGACTTCGTAGTAGCGGTAGAAGTCGTCAACGTCTGCAACTGTGGCTTTGACGCGCTGGTAGTAGTTCAGACTTCCGTTGGAGGGAATCAATTGGTCGGCAAGACTGTTTGAGATCGCAATTAGCTTGAAGTCTCCCATTTGGAGAGGTGCCGTCGTCATACCCGTGCCAGTGAATAATCTTCCCACCTGCAGCCTTGAAATAATGCAGATCCGCATCGGCATTGTCTATGAAGGAGTGGTATTGTTGACGGGAATCCCGTAGAATCTCATAGAACATGACCTCGTCAATGGTACTCAGATCGTATGAGGGATCTTTCAAGACCCAGTGTTTGATCCAATCCGCGCTAATGGCAAAGGGGGCTCCTTTGCAATTCTGATTCTTCTCGTCACAGTCGGTGGAAGCCAACCCGCGGAGCATCGGTTCGACTCCATGGAGGGAAGCTTCGTGAGCGAGACCTGAAGAACCCCTTATTAGCATCGAGCCTGAAAGTGCTGGACTGTGATTATCACACACCGAACCACACCGGATAATCGCCCAAGCGCGGTCCCTGCCATGTAGCCTTGGCGACTTCCACAGCCTCTTTGGAGATCTTCCTCTTCTCCTTGCCACACTCGAATTCCTTCCCCAAAACCGAATCGGCATTGAAGCGGCACTGGCCGTGTGCAGCAATGATGCCATCAATAACGCCATCAAGCCCGTCACACTCTTCAATCGCAGCCTGTGTGATGGCATCCAGTTCGCAAGTAGGTGGATAGTAGTTCTGCTGCTTCATTACAATCTGGGGCCAGAATTCCGTAACCAGAAACGTAACCCAATTAATAGCCGGAGCAGCTGAGATGATGCCTTGATAGTGTTTTGGGTATCTTTGTGCCTGCCTCAGAAGATCAGTCTTGGGGAATTGGCCAGACAGTCGATTGGTTGACTTACCAAGACAAGACCCTGTCGGCCACCAGTACTACACCCATTCCAATAAGAGTACGTGACCGGTTCGCCATAGAAAGCTTCCGTTGCTCTCTTTCCAATAACGGTCATCTCGTCAAGCGAACGGTAACCGAAGTTACACAGTGAATTCAAATTGGTGTTGCCTGGGCTTGTGAGTCCCCAGGTACTGGAATCGAGAGCGGCCTGAGGAAGATCGCCGAAGTAGGAATGTCCCGAATCGGTGTTCACTGACGCGAAGCCGAGCGCTACGCCATATGCCAGTGCTCCTTCGTGACCAGCACACTGAGATTGTCAGCAGACCTGAACATTAGTATGTTTTGACTCCAGATACATGCCCAACCACCACCACCTTGGCCCAGGAAACGGTGATTCCAATCTTTCAAAGGAAGCCAGGTTGTGGCCCGAATGGTATCGTTCAGGCCTAGACAGCCATTTGAGCCAAGAAGAGTCTATTCTCAGCTGCTACCGGTACGTACCTGGATGGGTGTAGAGTACTGTGACATTGCAGAAGCTAACCGGCGGTGGAGGGTGAATAGGGAGGGGAGGAAGAGCGGGAAACGACGTCTCGTATTCATTCCACTTCGTCACCTCCTTAGCCAGAATCTCGACCGCTTGCACGCCAAAGACATCAGAAGCAACGTCCTTGAAAGTTTCCGGATCGCAAGAAGCGGCAAGGCTGCTCCGAGCACATGCTAGGAGACCGAGTAAAGATAGACGAGCTGCCATGATGGACCAGACGGCTGCGAGCGAAGTTCGCAAGACTGCCGATCCTTCTCTTCTCTCGAGATCAGAAGGAAGATGATAAGGAGAGAGGAGCAACGTGAATATTTAAGAAGTCTCCTGTGAGGAGCTGTCGTGTCCGCCAAACCTTAAACCCTGTCTGGTCAGGAAGTCCCGGCTCGCTGTCATTGCAGCCATTTGCGGATCCGGCCAAGGCCAATGCCGCATAGGACATGGTACGAGACGTAGTACACCAAGGCCTATTCCTCTCGCGGCTCTCCTCTACCACTTCCGGTAAACAACCCATCGTGGTGGTGACTTTCGAGAGCGATAAATGGGTACAGGCGGTGGATGAGGTGGGGTCGAGATGAGATCCGTTGCTTCCGTATTCCGGCATTGCTGTAGAATCCCTTTGTCCGAGGTAAAAGCATGGGGCTCGACATGTAGCTAGAAGCCAACGATGGCAGCCTGGAAAGAAACGGCGACGCAGAAGAGAAGACGAAAGAGGACAAGCTGGAGAAGAAGTGAGGAGGTCGTCGGCTGCTGGGGCAAAAAGTTCTTCCGACCCGATTTTCTTCCCGATCATCCCGACAAGCCGATACCAAGTTTTTTGACTCATGACAGGAGCAGAATAGTAACCGATACATCGACGGGAGCAGCATCGGGGCATTTCCCGTTTGCGTGTTCCTCCAGCAATACCGCCTATCGTCTTGCTAAAAGGCAAAAAGATGACAATGTCATCGTATGAGTGGACTGGTTTGAGGTTAGTGCATGACATGTGAATCTGGAACTTCACGACGTACTCTGTAGGTGATCGAAACCTAGACCTCCCGCAATCTAGCAGGTGAGAACATGCAAAGCGGGCGCTCTACCACTGAGCTACAAACCCTTCTCTGATTGGTCAGTTTTAGTGGTCTGGGGATTATATAGCTCAAAACATTTCCACGTGCTGGATGGTGAGTGAATGGCGGGTCGCAAGCGATCCAGACGCAATCTCTGGCTAAAGCTGATTTCCAAGCGTTGTGGGCAGGCTCGATTCGCAGAGATAGTTCGCTAGCGATGAGGTCGATCAACATAGTACAAGGGTTCGCTTTCGGTTTCGTACGTAAGTGAGACTACCTACCTTACTTCACGGCAAACCCGCCCACTTGACACTTCTTTCCATCCACCTCCATAGCGATGCATCACGCTCTATGTTCCTCCAGTCATTGACGTTGAGACCAGGACGATGCCACGATCCAGTCTTCATACGGCCAAGCTTGCGCAGTCAGATCCCAGCTCATCATCGCCCTAGAGCGCGAGAGTCACGAGCTGACATCCTCGCTACGGCAAGCGGTAGGGCTGAAGGAATGGAGTCGACACGAGTCTACACGAGTTTCGTACAAGGCTAGGGCCAGATCTCCGGGTGCCCCCCATTGCTCGCCTTGAAGACTGGATTCTTGCGGCGTCAAAGAGATCCTCAACCACGAGACTATGTATCGACGGAGGAGGTCAATGTAGGTATGGATCTGGCTTTCGTCACAGTCCTTACGAAAAACGCTTTCAAATTCATGTTCTCTACCAGCCAAAACCTCATTTTCTCATTGCCGAGGACTGGCTGCCATTTGCGGGAGCGAATGGTCTTCTCCAAGCAACCCAACTCGAAACAGTGCTGACACCCAGCTTCCGCCATTGGAGCTGCGCCTTTTGATTTCTTCGAATGGCTGCAAAAGGATGACTTTGATACCGCCAACTATGTAACCAGCTCGAAACTCAGCTCGGAGTCCAAGCATGGAAAGAACATAGCCGGGACTCAAAAGCAGGATGGCTTCGTTGACACCTGACCCCTCCAAGTACAACACTCCAACAGCTGCGGACTACTATTGCTTGCGGGACCTGTACGACTTCTACAAGGCTAATGGCATCAGGCCTATCGTCGTAGACGCCGACGACTACATGACTGGTGGAGCCTTTGTACGACATCTGTGCAGCAAGAGACCTGGACTGCATCCTGAGCTCGCTGTAATCTCCTGGCCCAAGACCACTGAGAAAGAGCAACGAGAGACGAACCCACATCTTGTGGTGATCCACAACATTCTCAACTCGAAAAGTCTGGTCCCTGAGCGTGCTTCGAAGGACATCAATCTACCAGCAGAGTTCGGCGAGAAGGGAGCTGATTTCTTCGATAAAGTATCTTCGCGAGCGGCGACTGCAGAAGTAAGTAGCCCATGCAAAACAGCTAAGCTCACAACACAACTTCAGAAGCGCGGGTTTTGAATCGTGAAGGAGGTCTTGATACCAAACTCCGACTCTAGGCCTGAGACTAGAAAGCATTCGAGCTAGACAGTAGTGTCGCTCAGGTACTTTGGGTGTGACCGGCAGAAGACATGGTCTGAAATCAAAGCACCATCTTATCCCGCAGCTTTGACAGAGCTCTTTCCAAAGGCGAATCATAAGTATACAGTCGAAAGCCCACAACCATTCAGAATCAACCATACGAGACAAGGAGAAGTCTTCCATCTCATGCCAACATTCGTTTCTCGTACCATCGACGCTTGCCTCTTCAGACAGCTTGCCCATTCTGTACACGCGGGACAATGTAGTCCCTATTCTCCACCGTCACACTCTTTGTCTGTAACACAAAGTCAGTCGAAAGCTACCCAAACACCTTACACAAAAAGTGATCGACTTACCATGTGATTAACCTTGTATACACCGACCAATCTCGCCGCCAGCTCAAACATATTATTTCTCAACGAAATGACGATAAACTGCGCATTCTTCGTCCGCTCCTTGATATAAGCAGCCACAATGCTCACATTCCGGAAATCCAACGCGGCGTCGATCTCGTCCATCACGTAAAGCGGTGTCGGCTTATAATGATGCAAAGCAAACACCAGAGCCAAGGAAGACAAAGTCTTTTCTCCTCCGGAAAGGTTACCAATGTTTTTCCAAGATTTCTTGGGTGGCATGACAGAGAAGAGGATTCCTTCGGAAAATGGGTCGAGCGAGTCGACCAGTTCAAGTTCCGCGTTGCCTCCCATGGTGATCATCTGGTACATCTCCTTGAGGCGGAGAGAGATGGCGGAGAAACCCTCCATGAAGCCTTCAAGCCGCATGCGTCGTAGGTCGTCGGTGCGTTTCTTGGCAGAGTCGCGGGCTGCGAGGGCGGTGTTGAGGTCTTCGAGGCGGGAGCTGTATTCGTTAACCCGGCGACGGTATTCAGCCAGAACTGACAGTTCGACGTGTTGAGATGTGCGCTCCTCGAGAGATGCAATCTGAGCCTTGAGCTCGTCCTTGTCCAGATCTTCAAGTTCATCACGAGACAGCTCAGGCACGGGCTCCGGCTCTTTCTCTTCGCCCTCCTCACTTACATTCTGAAGAGTAAGCTTGCCCAGCTTCTCTTGCCAATATCGGAGGCGCTTCTCGTTTTCGGCAAGGTGCTTCTGGTTGTCCTCCAACTTCTGGCGCATGTCCACCTCAGCACCACGAGAGTTGTTGAGCTCTGCGACCTGATCGTCGAGTTGCTTCTTCAGCTCAGCCAACTTTTCCGCCTTCTCTTCGAGAGCAATTTTCGCTTCATCAGCTTGTCTTCTGAGGTCCGACGTGCCGGAACTTTGCGAATGGGCATCCTCCTCAACCTTCTCAAGGTCCTTCGCGATCTTGACAAGTTCCACCTCAGCGTCACTGAGGGCTTTTTCATGCTTCACTCGCTGCTTTTCTGCCTTCGTCTGGTTGACCTCGGCTGAGTAAAGCTGCTCCGTTAGCAGATCAATTTGCTCTTTAAGGCCATCGACCTTCGCCTTCTGGCTGCGCAGCTTCACACCACCAATCTCCATGATCTTGTCTTGGAGCTCTTTGATATCCGCCTCAATGCCTTCAGTCTCTGACTGCAGCTTTTCGACTTCCTTGTGCATTGAAGCGATGCTCTTTTCCAGGCTTGATGTCTTGCTCTTATCGGACTTGGAGTTCTGCTGTTCAGCCGACAGCTCTTCAATGCGCTTGTGCGAGTCCTCGATGTTGCGATCGATGCTACCAAGCTCCAATCCAAGTTTTTGTGCCTGCGTTTCAAGCTTTGGTACCTGGCTCTGGAGTTCTCTGACTTGTGCTTCAAGATCTCGCTGCTCTTGTTGAAGCCTCGAGTACTCTTGCTCCAAGCCATCGCGATCAACTTCAAGTTTTGTGACCTGCTCCTTGGTGGTGTCGGCCGCGACTTTGGATGACATAGCGCCCTTGGCTACTCGGTTACCACCACCGCTCATAACACCAGACTTGTCGATGAGTTTGCCCTCAATACTCACAACACGCCATCGCTTGGCGCCGTAGGCGACCCGGTCAGCTTGTTGGGAGTCCTTGGCAACGAGCGTGTTCTGTAACACACTGTAGAAGGCCGGTCGGAAGCGCTCATGCTTGCTCTTGACGAGGTCGAAAAGCCGCGGGCAGTTTTCTGGCGTCTGGATCGGCGAAAGATCACGCAGTGGCAGTTTGTCCAGACAGATGAAGTTGGCGCGGCCGAGATTGTTCTTGCGGAGGTAGTCGATGCATTTCTGAGCAGCCTCGACCGTGTCTACCACCATGTTATCCAGCGATGGGCATGCTGTTGATATCGCAGTGTCGTATTTGGTGTCGATAGCACCAAGGTTACCCAGACGTCCATGAAAGCCATCAACACGGCCAGACTCCTTCAAACGCGTTAGACCTGCGAGAACATTGCCCTGGCTCTGTGTCGCAGACAGACTCGCGCGCGCTTCATCTGCCTTCTGTCTCGCATTTGAAAGCTTAGACTTAAGCGCAGGCTCTCTCTTCGAGACTTCGTCAAGCTCCTTCTGCGCCGAGAAAGATTCATTTTCAGCCACCTTACGCTGCTTCTTACACTCCTCAATCTCGCATGCTTTTGCTTCTCTTTGCTCTTGCAAATTAGCGATCTTCGCCTCGACGTCTGCGACGGCATTCGCCCCAGCGTTTTCGCGCTCTCGCAGCATGTCAAGCTCACTCTGCGCCACAGCGATGGAAGATTGCTTCTCGTTGATCTTGGCATTCCAAGGCTCAAGCTGCTTCTGTCTCGCCGCGATCTCGTCGCTAATGCCCTGCGTTTTGCCTTTCAGAGAATCGCGAATCTTGGCCAGCTCCTTGTCCTCGGCGGATCGCTGTGCTTCCAGATCCTCGATCTGGCCGGAGAGACGCTCGATGTCGTCTGCAGCTTGCTTAGCAGCAGTCTCTGATTGCGAAATCTCAAACTTGGAAGAATCTCGAGTCTTCTCGAGCTTCTTCTCCTTGTTCTTGAGGTGTTTCTTCTTTTCTTCGACCTTGACTGCCGCTTTGTCAAGATCATCGGCCTTCTTTCCAAGAGCCTTGGTGTCTACGTCCATTTTCTGATATCCCTTCGACTCGGATTTGTACTGCTTCTCCAATGCCTTGATCTCGTCCTCCTTCCCTTTGTGTATGCTAAGCTCCTCGTCTAGCTGCCCTTTGATCTGGTTGATAGCCTCTTCAGAGACCTGAATGTTGTCACCACACTCTGCAACGTAGATTTGATACAACGCGGACTGCTTCGAGACTAAATCATTTTCATCGCGAAGGAATGCCAGCGCCTTGTCTTTTTTGTCTTCCAGGCCGTTCTTCTCCTTCTCGACGTGCTGCACACGATTGCTCTTCTCCGCACAGACTTCATTGAGAGCCTCGGTCTCTGTTGCCGCCTCATCAATGGGCGTCTTGTACTTCGATGTGCCAATGATGTCTTCGAGATACTCCAACAAGCCGTCGTCGTGCTCGTTCGCGGCCTTTGGCTTCATCTGTGCGATTGACTCGACCTCACCTTGAAGGATGAGGAATCGCTTGTGGTCCAAATCGACACCGCGATCTTTCAGAAGAGTCGTGACTGTGGTGAAGTCAGAGGTCTTTCCATCAATGTAGTATTTGCTGCTGTTGTTTTTGAAAGCTCGTCGTGAAATCACCAGCTGAGAATCAGGCACCGGTGTCGAACCTCCACCGGACTCGTCCATAACCATCTGAAAATGCACTTCCACCTCACAGTAGTCCAAATCAGGATACTGGGCGCTGTTGTGAATCAAAGCTGAGATCTTGCCCTGGCGCATCTTGCTCGCTCTGAATCCGAACACGAAGAGCAGCGAATCGATAACATTGCTCTTTCCGGATCCGTTGGGTCCTACAACTGATGAGAAGGATGCGTGGAATGGACCCACTTGCTGTCTTCCAGCGTATGACTTGAAGTTGGTCATGATCAAATATGTTATGGTCATCCGCGCTTTGGGCTCGACAGGCTCTTGTGATTGTGGAACTCCAATGGCTCTCTTGCGGACAACAATGTCCATCGGTCTCTCCAGCTTCGTCACGTTTGGATCCACCTTCTTGATCTCCATTCTGGTCGCAGAAGGCGTCTGCTCCACCTCCGTCATCTCGAGAGCTGTGTCGTCTTCCGCAGGTGGTGTAGTACTGCGTTGTACAATCTTCGGTGTTGTTTCTGCATCCTCGGAAACGTCTGGCAGGGCATCCGCGGGGGTCGGGGTTCGAGCGTTTGATCTGGGCGTTTGCTCGTTGATCGCTGATTCGGTAATATCCGTGAGGGGTGTGCCTTGCCTGGATGATCTCAGCTCGGGCGTAGCGGTTGCTTGCGGTGTTGGTAAGGGTGGCTGCATCTCCGCATCTGGAGCCACAGAGAGGCGCGACGCCCGACTCAAACGCGCCGCCCGCGCATCCTTCACACTGCGTCGCTTTGGAGGCTCTTTCTTCGTCGGGGAGGACGACTCCGTCTCGTCTTCAGGAGGTGGGCTGAATACTTGGGATGGCTCGATGGAGGCTTCTGTGGCATCGCCTCCTTTTGTCGCGCGGCGGCTGGCTACTGTTCTGCGTCGCGGCGCAGCATCTCCAGCCGTCTTGCGTCGGGGCGATCGCGTGCTCTTGGGTGCAGGTGTGAATTCTTCCTCTTCATCCTCCTCCTCCTGTTTGACAACAGTGTTCTCGATGTCTGACCCATCATCCTCGTCGACGACAACCTTCTTCCGTGCTGCGGCGCGTCGCGATTGTCGAACAGGCGATTCGGGAGCCATGGCGACTCACAATACTGCTGCTGGAGTTAATGAGAGGTTTGGGTGATGTGGTTGCGGTGTTTGCAATCTTTGTTTACAAACGGATAAACACAGCTTAGCGCGACTTCCACAAGTCTCTTGGCGCGCTCAGCCCCGCGGCAGCATGTGACTTTGAGATTGGAAATGACGACGGCGGAACATGGGAAGACCTTGTGCCGGGCAAGCCGCAAGGAACTCTCACATCATCACTTCTTAGTCTCTTAGCTGTCGCTCCGTCGTATTCCTCGTTTCTCTCCTTCAAAACACACATGTCCTCTGCCGCCTCTCGTACACTCCTTCGCACACGCATCGCTACGGAGCCCACCACTCGCACATTTACAGCGTTCAAGTCGTATTCGCATTGGCAATCAATTGTCCAACCGTCGCGGCTCTCACGAGCCCCAAAACCCCGCCAGGCGGCACTCGACCCGAGGACATTACTGCTAGCAGCTGCTATTTCTCTTGGGATCGCATATGGTGGTTTCATTTTCTCCAGTACAAACAAATCGCCAAAGCAGCAATCAACAGAGGAACCGTCTCCCATCGCGCTGAGAGCGCTGGAGGAGGGCTTCACAGAGATGGCCTCCGCCCATCTACCTCCCGGAAGACCGGGAAACTTGACTGCAGATCAAGAAGTCAAGCTCAAGGAGATGTGGTCGCGAACACTGGAGTTCTTTGGCATGTCGCATGACGAAGTGCATAAAGCGCAAGCCAATGGTACACTACATTCGCCTACCTCAGCATCGGAAACCACACCCGAAAAGAAAAAGAGAGGCTTAATGTCGAGGTTTAGCAAGAAGGATAAGTCAGAATCAGAAGGTGAAGGCAGTGCAATTACGAATGACAAGCACGGTCAAGTCAAAGAATATGAGGAGGCCTTGAAGTCAATGAGTCCGGAGCAAATACGAGAAGCTTTCTGGAACATGAGCAAGCACGATCATCCGGATGCGATCTTGTTGAGATTCCTGCGCGCAAGGAAATGGGACGTCCAGGCAGCGCAGATCATGTCCCTCTCGACACTGCACTGGCGGCTGAAAGACATGCACGTAGATGACGAGATTATGTTCAATGGAGAGGGACACGCATTGAAAGAATCGCAGTCGTCCAATGCTGCCGAAAAAAAGGAAGGACAAGATTTCGTGGCACAACTCCGCATGGGAAAGTCGTTCTTACATGGCGTTGACAAGGATGGTAGACCTTGTTGTTACGTAAGAGTGAGGCTACACCACGGAGGGGAGCAGAGCGAGAAGAGTCTGGAACACTTCACGGTATACACGATAGAGACCGCGCGCATGCTTTTACGACCACCCGTGGACACCGCAGTAAGTGGACTTCAATTGCTCTATCGGATTTGACTCACACTGAATTGCAGACCATCGTCTTTGACATGACCGACTTTAGCATGGCCAACATGGACTACACTCCCGTCAAGTTCATGATTAAATGCTTCGAGGCAAACTACCCGGAATCTCTCGGCTCTGTCATCGTATACAAAGCGCCCTGGATCTTCCAAGGTATATGGAAAATAATCAAAGGCTGGCTCGATCCTGTCGTTGCATCAAAGGTGCATTTCTCGAGCAATGTCTCAGAGCTCGCGGAATGGATTCCCAAATCTCAGATCATGAAGGAGCTGGGCGGTGATGAGGACTGGACATATAAATACGTCGAACCCGAGGAAGGCGAGGACGCCCAGATGAGCAACACCACGGAGAAGGAGAAGTTGTTGGCTGAGCGCAGAGAACTGTGCAAGTCATTCGAGAGCGAAACAGTCGCATGGATCAACGGAGAGGACAAGGGCGAGGGCAGAGGGAGGCTTGCACAGCGGCTGTCCGAGAACTACTGGAAGCTCGACCCCTTTATTCGCGCGAGAAGCTTGTACGATCGGACGGGAATCATCGGACCTATGGGCAAGGTGGACTTCTACCCTAAGAAAGACGCTCCGACGAAAAAGGGCGCGGATGATGATTTGGATTAGTTATTGGGGCTAGATGATAATGGGCTATGATAATTTAGTACATCACATGCTAGATGAGCTAACAGAACGCTCACATTGTACAGCCGATACCCAGCTCTGCGCATTAGAATGGCAGTGAAAGGATGATCGTTCGAGGCTGCGGGGCCATCCCAAGCTCTCTTTGACCTTGAAGCATCGCCTGAATCGAAAGGAAAGAGACGCCCATGGCTCTTGCCGAGCATGCGCGCAAGCTCATGCACGTCCCCCCGAGGTCTTTATATCGACCTCACCTCGCTTCACGCTGTCATTTCTTGAATTCTCGACTTCTTTCAATTTCGAGGTGTAATTCATTTTCATTATGGTTAGGACGCATTGGTGCTCTGTACAAATTCGTACAAGCACGAGCGGCCGACCTCCAGGCCCTTCCCGCTCCCGATGCCGGTGCTTGACGCCGGCGCGGAAGATCGAAGATCATGCAGAATAGCAACTGCATCTTGGTCATCTGATCCCATATGAGTGCATCTCCACAGCGAATGATGGAGGGGCTCACGAGACACGACAGTACCCGCTCGGAATCCAGATGCCGACGGGAATCTTGGCCAGGCTCAGCTACAATACCGGTTGAGGTGCAGCTTGCAGCTTGGATGCTTCGCTCTCTGGCAGGAATGATTAGACGACGATCATGTCAGCAAGCGTCAGCCGCCAGCTGTGGTGGAATACTCCGCGCATCATTGTTATCAGGGCTCTGAGTGTTCAGGAATTCGGCGGACTCCTTTGAGGCTAGCCATATCGGATGCCAATTGACAGGACATGAATCGCGTGCAGGGACAGATCTCGGCATCGATTAAGATCATTCTCTTCTCAAGGAAGAAGAGAAGAGAAAATTTTGGGAAAGTCGTCATGATATTCCGGCAACGCCCGGAAGATGAAGGTCGCGGGCTTCCCGGTTCCCAATGAGGGAACCGCAATCTTTACAGCCCTAAGAGTGAACAGTTCGCATAAATATCGAAAGAACGTGAACAAAGATGGCTTTGCCGTGTCGCGAAGCCGAGTTGTTGCGCCTGTCATCACGATGTTTGTGGCGCGATGCGGATGGCCCGCGGGATGGTATCAAAATCCGGATGCCATCGCTTTCATCGTGAGTGATTAGTCCCAAGCAAACATGTGCTAGAAACATTCCTCCGCATTCCACAACGTTCTGAGGCTGGATCCCGAGGCTTCCAGTGGCCAAGAATCGTTACAGGACGCTCGAAAACTGCTCTGAATGGAATTGTGTGAGAGTCTATTAGTCCAACTCGCGCGGATGAAACAGCTCCGAAACCCCGTCGCAATGCTACACCGCCCATTTCGTTCGTTAAGCATCACATGATTGTACAATGTTCGCAAGCGCATCGCATCAGACTCACATGAGATGGAAGCTCCTGTGCTCCTCTTGACAGTCGGCACGCCTTTTGACGATTCGTCAACGGAAGTCGTCGGCTGCACGCTTCTAGGATTCTCACGCAAAGGACGTCTTGGCATGCAGCCTCCGCGGGCGCCGTCAGATCAGCAGCTGGCTCTAGCGTACAGCTTTCTTCGAAGCTGCATGTGCTCACTGCTGGAAGCTCTTTGTGGAGATGCGTCACACGTCACTCATCAGAGTCCGCCTCGCGACAGCGGTGGTCTCGCTGCAGGAATCGGAGTTAGTATGGCTCCATCACGCTGACATATTCGGTCACATTCTGCAAAAGCTCAGCACCGGCGGAAGCGAATGCGCCAACTAGAGCTGAAGCGCTGCCGGCAACGATTTCATCATGGAGCCGATTCTGTCCTGGCATGCGCGCCTTGCTCTTGTCTCTTATCTCCAAAGCGCGCCCGTTCGCAGAGCCCGACCCTTTTCGCACCTTCTCCAGCCTGGCACTCTTCCATCCTTGACCCCAGGTGTCGTGCTTGTTCCGCGAAGCTCGTTGTTGGATGTTGTGTTGTAGGAGCCTAACAACATTTTTGCGATCCGACTTGCGACCCGATCGAGTCCTACTCACCATCCACTATCCCAACTACGCACCACCTCTTGAATCTGCAGTACTTAGACGGCAGCGTTACCCATGCGCACACCAACTCTGGTCAAAGCAGCTTCAGCGGCGCTCCTTCTGGGAGTCCTGCCTTTCGTAGCCGGCCATGGCGACGGTGGGATGGACATGGACGCCGAGGAACCAAAGGTCACCTCAATAGATCCAGATTCGCCCACAGGGATTGCGCACAGATTGCCAAGTTACTTCAGGCATCCTCACTACGCTGGATGGAATCTGGCACATCTTGTGCTGATGGTCCTGGCTTGGTTTGTCATGATGCCTCTCGCTATCATGCTGAGCGGAGCGAGATCAAGATGGCATCTTCCAGCCCAGGTTGTATTCCACATCTTCAACGGCCTCGGACTGTTCGCTGGATTTGTGTACAACCACTCGACTCCCGATCTGTACGAGAACAACGCACACCATCCCCTAGGATGGGTCATCACGGCTTTCACGATCGCCTGGACCATCATGTCTGCCTACACTGCATATGGCGAATACAGGAGCAGAAGAAGGGCATCATTGGAGCATGGCCAGGAGATCACGGCTCAAAACATGGCACAGTACCACTGGGTCAGCCAGTACAACGATAATGTCTCGCCAAGGGATTCTAGGGACTCCGGTCAAGGCACCGAGCGAAACTCTGCATCCTTGTTCGGTTCTCGGCAGAACTCGTCAGAATCCATCCTGCGCAAGCCAGTGGAGTTGGAGGATGATTTCGAAGACGAGGAGGAGAAGAACACGAACGCTGAAAGACGAGGGTTTCTAGGCAACAACAGAATCGATCGTTTCATCTCGCGCGGCGTCAAGCGCTTCTCGACGCAGCGCGCCTCGACGGTGGTGCGATTCCTCCAGATTTTCCTTGAGAAGGTGCTGCTTCTGCTGGGCTTCGCTGCTCTAACCACGGGCTTCGTCGTCTCGGGTGGTATCTTCCGTGACAGACAGATCTTTTCTGGTCTGGCGCATTACATCAAAGGCGGCATCTTTGTCTGGTACGGCTTACTGACCCTCGGCCGCTGGATGGGAGCTTTCACCGAGTTCGGTTGGGCCTGGAATGTTCGGCCGAACTATCCGCTCGTCGCGAAGTGGAAGAGCAAGATCCCATCTGCCGAATACACGGAGTCTTTCGTCATCTGGCTGTACGGCGCGAGCAATGTCTTCCTCGAGCACCTCAACAATTGGGGCGATCAGTGGACGGCGTCCGACCTCGAGCACTTGAGCATCACGCTGCTGTTCTTCGGCGGCGGCCTCCTTGGGATGTTGATCGAATCCAGCTGGGCGCGCAATTTGATGGACACGACTGTCGTTCTACAGAACAGCAAGGAAGAGGAACACAATACGGGTGCAGGTGCGGGTGCGGGCACCTCCCGCTTTGCCGCTGGCCCGGCCGTAGAAGAGCCGGCTGAGGTACGCTGGGAGCAGCCAAAGACGTACCGAATCCCTCTCAATCCTATGCCAGCGCTGACGATAATGCTTCTGGGCATGATGATGGGCTCGCACCAGCAGAAGAGCATGGTCAGTACAATGATGCACGCGCAGTGGGGAGGACTCTTTACAGCCTTTGCCTTGGCGCGAGGCGTTACGTACATCAGCCTGTACCTGAAGCCACCGACCTCCCATTTCCCATCACGGCCTCCGAGCGAGATCGTAGCGGCTTTCTGTCTGACCAGTGGAGGCTTTTTGTTCATGAACAGCGCTGCGGATGTCGTGTGGGCGATTGAATCGAATGGCCTGGATGCTATGACGATTTTCACCGTCACGATGGGCTTGACGGGTGTGATAATGACTTGGGAGATTGTCACGTTCGCCATCAAGGGATGGGCCGTGAGGAAAGAGAGAGTGGCTGCTGGCAAGCCTTTGCCATGAATTCGACAGGAATTGTGAAGCGCCGCGGCCGCTTGATGAATGATCTGACCTGATGCTAGAGACACGCCTCTTTGAATTCTTGCATAGCGATGCGACGGATCCCGAGCCTATACTTGGATAGGCTTGGTGAATCTGCTTTGATACCCAATTTCTATGACGCACTGTTTTGGAGTGGCGGGTCCTTGAGATGGTAATAGAATGAGTTGGTTGGAACCTCGAAGTTAATGTCTGAATGAAAGGAATATCTCCTCTCGGACCAGGTCACTCTGAACTTCCCATTTTCTTCGTTGAATTGTTGTCCGAATACATTCGTTGCGAGTGCCGCGAGAAGAAGAAGAGAGGCGCATGAAGGATTGTTATGTAGTAAGGTAGTCTATCGCAATCTGGGCAAAAGTTGGCAGAACTGGGGTAGGGGGTGGTTTGCCACCAGTACCAAAGCCCAAAGCTTAAGGGTCTTGAGGTTAGATAGTATGCCTTGAAATGCCTGCAAGGTGACGAGATTGATGATCTGGAAGTGGCGGGCTTGGCTTGCGACTTGGTATATTTCTCGAACTGGCCTTGTTGAAGCGAAACTGACTTCTCGATCTAATATACATGTGCTTTTGAAGCGCAGTGTCTATACGGGTTTTCGCAGACTGACGCCGCACCATAGTACGGGAGCGAGGTTCGTTGCGCAGTCGAAGGTGAAGAGGCTGATGAACCAGATGATCACGAGAACCGGTATAGGTGCGAGCAGTATTTCGGTCCGGCTGAGGAAGGGGAGAGCTGGGAGGATTGTCAGCATGGGATACTCCGTAGGTGTGTTGATGAGCACGCGTACCGTTGTAGCCTAGGAATGTGATGACAAAGTAGTAACTCAGCGCCATGAGGTACATTGTATTGCCGAAAAGATTGGAGACCCAGTAATCTTGCGCGATGAGCGGCATGAGCAGAAATTGCAGGACGTATAGAAAGGCCCAAACGGGTAGGAACGCTCGTATTGAAACCTGCAAGACATGTCAGAATGAATGCAGGTCCAGCGATGTCTTCAGCGGGAGAGGACTCACATCAAAGCAGTACCCAAATTCGAGCCCTTCTTCGCCGCCAACTGGAGGACCAAATAACCCCTGCCGTCGTTTCCCCAGCACACGACCAACGAGGAAGAACATCGCAGTTGAGACCAGTAGTGATGTGCCAAGGAAGTGGCCCAGCACGAAGACAAGAGCAACACGTAGCGTTCTGCCAAAACCGTCGGCGTAAGCCAGGCCCCATGCCAACCCGGTGAGCGCCAGGAACAGAGACAGGAGGTATGAAAAAGCCGGGTCTGCTCGATGATAGGTGTTCTTCGTTTCTGAACATTGTTTAGTAGAGCCTAAAGGGAAATGTTTTCTAGGACAGCTTACGTTTCTGCGTAAAGTGTCAGCAAAGCCCGGCAAGAAACAACATGCCTAACTCACATGGTAATATATGTTTCTGAACACTTTCTTAGGTGCGATGATAAGATGTGTCATTTCCCATACCGCCTCAAAAGCAGTGAGCATACAATTCCGGGTCAAGTGAGGTGGAGGCGTACTGTTTCGAAGTCCATAGATGTGAACTTGAAGAGTCTTCTGAAGAACGGCGGTATACGCATGCTGCCGCCTCTTCTCTGTATGGATGCCATTGCGGCGGGCGTCAAGATGAGAAATGATCAACGCCTCGTCTGCCCTACTGGATGGTCCTTGCCGGCTCTGTCACGCGAGCATTTCCTGGGTAGAAGTCTGGCTGCCTGGGGTGGGAACAGAGGATTGAACGAGGACAAAGGGCTCGGAACGGTGCTTGCGAAACCAAGTCGAGTATCTGTGCGGCGCTAACAGGTTCAAGCATGTGACAGCGCGTGGATATGTGAATGGTGTCGTTTCCAGGTTCTCTTCGAGGCTCCTGAAGAGCTGGCGGCGTTGGCGATCCGATCCGGGACCGAGATGGCCCGTGCACGCCAAAGCTTACTTTCCTCGCAGCTTTGTCTTCGATGCGACCAGCGACAACACCTTCACCTCTACAATCAACCCTCTCTCCGTCACTTGTCTCACGTACTTCCACACCAGTTCCAAATGTACTCGCGTCCGTCGCGCGATGAAGAACAACTGACCGATTGAATTCCAATCCAACATAGTCCACGCTCGTGACGCGCGGAGTCGCGGATATGGCAGACGATTACGACCCCATGGACCCGCCCACCTTCAATGCCGAGGACGATGACAACGAGAACGAAGCCTGCGATCCCGCCGAGTATGGTAACTACGCTCAAGAGGACGGCGCCGACGACGAGGATGACGACTACGACCCGACGAACCTCAACTTCGGCGAAAATGCACAAGCAGATGCAGCGCCGACCGAACAACCGTCTGCGCAGACAGCGCAAGCACCCAAGCAGCAGACAGTTGCCGGCTTCATAGTAGAAGACAGTGATGATGAGCAAGATGGGGATGCGCCGTCGCCGTCGCAGCTGAATGGCTCGGCCGGAGCACAGTCTGGCCTGGGTGCGGAGGCCGTCTCGGCAGCAAAGGATGTATCCTTAAGTAGTGCACCACAAGACACCGCTGCTTCAAGCACCAGTCTCAATGGGTCCACCACTGTTGTTCATGTCCCTACATCAACTTCGTCCTCCGTCGTTCCAGATTCCTCACTGCAACCATCTGCTCCTGATCAGGGTAAGGCGGCCACACCGACAGTGTCGGCCACGGCTTCGTTCGCTTCAACACCACAACCAGCAGCAGCGGCAGCAGCAGCAGCAGCAGGCAGTGCAGCAGGCAGCGCAGCACCAACTCCAGCTCCAGCACAGCGAGCGGCCCGGACGAATGGTCCCGCAGCGCCATTACCCACACGGCTTCCTCATGACAAGGTCGGTCAGCTCGAGGATCGCATCAGAGACGACCCGAAGGGCGACACGGCTGCATGGTTATCATTGATTGATCATTACTACGCCAAAGGCCAGTATGAGTACGCAAGAGACGTCTACAGACGCTGTCTCGCAGTCTTTCCCACAGCGGTAAGTTCGTTCTCTTCCCGCGATAGCATGCAGAACACGCTTCGACATGCAGGGCATTTCAAATCGGATCGCTCACGCGATCTTGAAAGCCTCAAAAGCTAATATTTTATCAGGTGACGCTGTGGGTGAAGTTTCTTCACATGGAGAACGAGCTGGACGAGCGCGACAGCATAAGCCGCATACTCAACGAAGTTCTGATGCAAGTTCCCAACGTGGATCTCTGGAGATTCTATCTTGATCATGTTCGCCGCGCGCTACCACTCATCAACGACACGGATGGTCGTAACCGTATGGAGATCAACAAAGCCTTCGAGACGACCCTGGATCATGTCGGTATTGACCCAGACTCTGGTTCGCTGTGGCAGGAGTACATCGACTTCATAAAGGAGTACCCAGGCACTGCTGGCGGATCATCGTGGCAAGACTTGCAGAAGGCCGACCTCCTTCGCAAGGCATACCAGCAAGCGATCAAGCTTCCGCACTCCAACACAATAAAGCTGTGGAAGGAATACGAGGCTTTTGAGATGGGCTTGCACAAGGCTACCGGCCGAAAGCACATCCAAGAGCAGAGCCCGCACTACGTTGAAGCGAGGAAGGCCAAGACTCAGCTAGATCAGAAGCTGCAAGGTCTTGACCGAACATCAATGCCGCGTTTACCACCAATATACGGCTGCGCTGGCGAGGATGAGTTCGGCTTGCAGGTCGAGAAGTTTAGAGCATGGATTGAATGGGAGCGAGATGAGGACCCGCTGGTGTACAAAGGAGTGGAAGATGACGCATGGCGAAAGCGAGTGCTCTATGCCTACCGACAAGCGACCATGTTTCTCTGCTTCTACCCACGAATCTGGTTCGATGCCGCCACCTGGTGCTTTGCGCAAGGCCTACCGAATCTCACAGAGGAGGGCGAAAAGTTCCTCGAGAAAGGCATCGAGCGGAATCCGGAATCTGTGTTGCTAGCGATGATGAAGGCCGAGCGCGTGGAGAGCAGTCTGGAGTCCGGAAATACCGAGGAAGTGCTCATTCGCAAGGGAAAGAAGCTCGACGTACCCTACGAAGACGTACACACAGCCCTGTACCAATTACGTACCAAGCTGCAGGAGAAAGACAAGAGAGCGCTTCAGCAAATCCAAGACCACTATGCGTCTTTACCACCGGAGGAGGAGCCCTTGCAGAACCAAGAGGACGCCTCTGATGATGCGTCGGAGAAGCCCAAGACTCGTGACGAGCAAATGAAAGCCGCAATTGAGGCCGTCAAGGCTGCCTCGCATGCACAGCTAGAAGTGCTGAAGCGCACAATTTCCTACATCTGGGTTGCCAAGATGCGCGCATTCCGCCGAGTCCAAGGTCAAGGCAAGCCCCAGAAGAAGGGCGATGACAGCAAAGAGTTCGTGAAAGGCTTCAGAGGCATCTTTGCGGACGCCAGACCACGCGGACCACTCTCCGGCGATGTCTACGTCGCCTCTGCTCTCATGGAGTGGCACTGCTACAAGGATCCCGCAGCCAACAGAATCTTCGACCGCGGCCTCAAGCTGTTTCCGACAGACGAGAATTTCATCCTCGAGTACATCAAGCACTTGATCACGACTGGCGATGCTACTAATGCACGCGTCGTCTTCGAGTCCACCATTCCCAAGATCATCAACAATGCCCAGCTTTCCCAGGAGGAGAAGCAGAACAAGTGCCGGCCACTATTTGCCTATATGCATGATTACGAGAGCAAGTACGGTGATCTGGCCCAAATGCTCAAGATAGAGAAGCGCATGGCTGAGCTCTACCCCGAAGAGCCGGATATCAGTCGCTTCTGCTACCGCTTCTCCCTCCCTACCTTCGACGCAATGGATGTTCAGCTACTGCTGAGCCCAACACAAGCGCAGCCTAGATCTGAAGTGCCGCAAATTGCGGCGCCTGCACAACAGGCTGTCCCCAGCGTGGAGCAGGCCATGAGCCCCAAGGTCCCCGAGATCCTCCTCGGACCAAACGGACCATATGTCGCCAGCCCGAAGCGTCCTCTCGACGACTCGGACGCAGAAGCACCTCAGCGCAAGTTTCAGCGCGGTGAATCACCTCTCAAGGGCGCTGCCGGGCAGCGTATGCAGAACAACAAGCCGAATGCTGCTGCAGGCGTCGGCGGCGGTGGCTTTGCCACCAAGACCTTCGTGCCCAACAACGTCGCCGCGCCACCACCTTTCGCTCCCATCCCTCTGCCACCGGCCATCGACAGGATCTTGCGCGACTTGCCCAATGCTGCAGCTTACGGAGGCCAAGCACGATTCGATCCGCCGAAACTAATGGCATTCCTTCCCACCGTCAACGTGGAGCATGCGCGCGCCCGGTTCAATGCAGGGGAGCCCATCCGTCGCTAGAAGTCCGGTCCCAGGAGCAAAGTCGTCGATGGCGCCGGGGTTTCGCAAGGACTCAAAGTCCCCTCAGTCGAGATAAAAAAACGCCAGTTGCACGAACCCTGCCGACTGAAGAGCTGCCACCTAGGATGCCGGTTTGGTCGCATGAGAGGAAGGCATAGTCTTTTCTTGAGGTCATGCGCTGGAATCCTCAATGCTGCGTTAAATTCACGAACAGCTCCCACAAACGGAAAAGCTTTTACAAATACCCCAAAAGACTCCCCCCTTTGCCCGTTGTATGTTGTTGCAGAATGCGTCGAGGCCTACTCTCGGGGGATAGTTCTTGGAGCGATTAGCGTGCATTGATGGGAGAGGAAGGAGTGCTATTGTAATGGATCGGAGCATAGCAAGTGTAACATAGCGTGATGAAAGCATTAGACTCCTCGTCATTCTCTTGTCTCATTCTTCGTTCTCGTAAGGTAGATTCATCATATTCGTGCGATGCGCGATAGCGTCTTTGCTACTACTCAACGCCAAGACGCCCACGCTCATTCAGTGCACCCCATCAAAATCACGCTGCTTGTCATCCCTTTTTTTGGCAATGCGAGTTCATATTCTCCATGCGCTGAGAACAAGTACAGTTCTTTCTGACTAGCAAGAATCGTGCACCGCCAGAGCCCAGCCCTCGTCCGTGTAAAACCCCCTCCCCAGCTCATCGACCCCATCAGCCTCGGGTAGCCATTCCGCGGCCAGCAAGGATTTCCAGCAGTCGATGAGGTGACCTTTGGCTTCGGTCAACCTCACCGCGCGAGCTTCCCTGGTGGCGTCTGGAATGGAATGGTTGAGGGAGGGAAGGAAACGCCTCCATTGCTGCTGGCCTAGAGAGAGGAGAAAAAGGGGGGTTAGATAAAGGGTCGGGTACGAAAGGTGAGGGAGATGTGTGCCATGGCTGCTTACCGAAGATGCGCTCACCGAGGGCAGAGACTTCGTCGGCGAGATCTTCTCGATCTGCTTCGAGAAAGGCGGTGTAGGTGGAGTAGAGGCAGTGTTTTGCGGAGACTTCGGAGGGGGACTGGAGGAGGGTTTGCAAGTTAGTTTTGTTGGCGTCTTTCAGAGAGAGTGGAATCACATACCATTCTGCGCCGTCTTCTTGTGCACGTTGCCTCCTCTGGAAAGCTTGGTTCTGTGCTATTGCGGAGAGTTGTGTGGTGATGAAAGCGATGCGAGTGTTGGAGATGTGAGATTGGAGAAAGGTTGGAATTGGTTTCCTCGTGAGGAGAGGAGAGGCGGCTTTATACGGGCCTCGAGGGCGGCGCGAGAGGACCCATCGTCGCGGTATACTTATTCACCTGCAACAAGTCTGCAGACTGTTCATCGCGTGGCTGATGCCTAGTGGTGTAGAGAAGAAGGTGAACGATATAGGGGGTCCATAGATGCTTTCACAGAGTTGATATAGAGGACAAAGGAGAAGAGGTGTAGGAGGCCTGAACGGGGTTCGGGTGGTCCAACGCTAGACTTGGGCTGATGAAGCTTGGTCGTAGAGTCAATAATTTCGACGTGGCAGCTTCGTGCCTGCATCGTTCGTAGGAATCGTCGTGGCCATGAGGGAAGTCGGAAGGCTAAGGTATTCTGCAAAGGCCATCGATCCTGCTGAGGTTGAGATTGACAGGTTGGCAGGTTAGGCGGTACGTAGTACCTGCGCAAGCTCGACGGCTGCCAAGCTTCCAGTTCCTTCATCAGGGAGCACGAATCGTTCCTCCGACCCACTTGCTACCATCATCCATCGTCAACCTGCGTCTGCGCTTCGAAACGAACACAACTGACTTCGCAACGATGGACGAGAAGCTGGTCATACAGCGAACGTGGTCAAGCTGGCTACACCCAGATAGTAGGGCACTGCAGCTTTACGGACCGAAGATATGGGCAGGGCGGCAACGCCGCACAACCCATCACCGTCGCGATGTGATCATTCGACCATGAGGCTCGCCCGCATACTAGACCCCGAGCGCACGCCCCTCGCTCATCGGACACAGATCACGAGCCAAACGAAGCTGTCTCTCGCCAATCCGAAGCTTACGATCGCTGTGGAATAACAGTCCAAGCGGCAAAGCGCCATCGCGACCCATTCGACCATCCATCGATCTGCGCAAGCAACGTAGGCTTGCGAGCAGTGATGAAGAGCATATGGGGAGATGGAGACATGCAGGAGAAGACGTAGGATATGGATCGCAGCGTCTCGGGGATGCGTGGCCCGCATGTCACAGAGACCGCAGGCCTTCGATAGACTTTCTCGAGCACCAGCGACATGAAGTCTGTCGGGCACCGAGATTGAGAGCATCGAAGAGCACCTGCTTTCAGCGCCAAAGCGGTCCTGTGCGTAGAGCGACAGCATGGACTTCTGCCAGGACACGTTCGCAGCGCCTGACTTCCGACCACGTGCGCAAGCAGAGATGGCCAAGGGCTCCCTAGCACAGTGAGAAGAGGAACGACCGGAACACCAGACCTCTGGCAAATCAAAGATGCCTCGCCACTGCGGCCTCTGTCCGAGACGGTGTCGCAGCGAAGATTGGCCCGCCGCAGAGTGTCCTGAAGCTTTTGCTGGAACAACAAACGGCTGGGCGGCTGCACAGATATGGACCTCCGAGCGATTCCCTCAACTGGATGATCTGTTGGAAATTGCTGGCAGTCTTGGCTGAAATGAGACGTCTGCGGAGGCAAGCGACGCTGGTGGATGGTGTCTGACCGATCCGATGGATTCTCAGCTGTTCGATGGGCTCCGAGGAGAATGATCAAACCGGTGCTAGATCCTTGGAACTGATGCTCTGAGGATCCCACACCATGGATATCTACTCGGCTGCAGCAACTCCGCCATGCAATGCATCTGCATTGAAAGCTGGTGCTCGCAGGCGTCGACTTGTTGGGCCTCCGAAACGATCGGGATGAATGCGAGACCTTCTGAATTCACACTGGACTTTCTCTTGGCTTTGCTCGATGCTTTTGGCTCAGCCTCTTGACCCTACGCCTCTGATGAAAAGAAGTGACGGCTACGCCATGCGGTAACCTCTCACTTTATCTTCGGCGGTGTCGGTGGCCTCTTTGTGAGAGGAGAACAACGCCAGCGGGATTGTGTGTCTCTCTTGCTATTGCTTGGGACAGATGCCATCCATGCCCGTCATGCGTGGATTTCACTCGCCGCTCTTTGTCTCCTGGCTACCGCAGAGAAGACCAAGCTTCGTCGGATGGCCAGGCGTAGCATGCCCGTTGTTTGCTCTTTGGCCTGCGACTGATACGGCGCCACAAGCTCGCTCACCTTGCCTCTTTTCCGCTTTTGGTCTCCATCCGACTTGGATATGCTGGCTGAAAGCAGATGCCTAAGAGAAACATGCACGTGGAAGTCGAGTTGTGTTGGCGCGAGAGAAGGGCCGCATCGCTGTCATGCTCACGTTCGTGCCAGCACCCGCATGCTTGCTAGGTTGCCGATTGCCTGGAGGGCCGGCAGAAGACACGACTGAAGACGTATGTCTTGTGTCTCTGCTTGTGCTTCCGCCACACGGCAAGTGCCTCGCGCAGATGGGCCGGCGAAGGCAACAGACGTGAGCTCGTAGTCCCACACGGGCAGACTGGTCTGCCGCCATGGAGATGGGAGGTGTCGTGTCCAACGCTTGCAATACCACCGTCCACCGTCCATCGGCCTGGCACTGGGCTACGGTATCCTGCGCTCCTGCCCAAATCCCGTCAAAGTATCCTAGCTGCTTGTCCCGTGTCCATACACGCCATTGTTGTTCTCCTTCAGCGCAAGCTGGTAGTGCTTCATATCGCGGACACGAGGCACGGGATTGGGAATCGCTGTAGTCTGTCCTCCTCCTCATGGTCTCCTGATCCCTTGCCTTGGATTTGAAGACAGTCGGCCCCATATCCGGTCTCTCCGCCTGCTCGAGGCCTCTTCGCTGGACGATGGGAGACTCGTGGCGGTGGCTTGTCTGACGCTCGTTGTCGAATGGAGCTGCTGGGGCACAGGACATGCCTACGGTGCCGTCGAGCTGGATATGTCGGAGCAATGGAGGCTCGAAGGGATCGAGGTCTCGTTGACCGTGCCCTAGAAGATCATAGCCGTCTGAGAGGCCTCAGAGGGTCACTGTCACCGTGGTTCGAACGAGGGGGACTACCTTGCCGCTCTAGCACAGTAGCGGTCATTTCGGAGTGGGAGTGCACTGAGGCCAGGAGATTGATGAAAGCGTGAAGAAGGGCTGGACAACGCATCCCGTCGCTTTCAGGTCTATCTGTCTACGTGTGCCCAGCGTACCTTCCCGACACTCCTCCACAGGACCATAGCATCCATTATCCTGCAAGGAGCCAGCAATGTCTGAGTCCCTCCCGTCTGAGTCAACCACGCAACACCCGTCTCACACTGCAGTGCGGTGTCAAGCGGGGACCTCGTCGTCGTCACCACCGTGGAACGCTCCTTCCTCGTCGGCGCTCGGTTGCGAGCTTGGGCCTGGCACGCACACGCACTTTCCATCAGCAGATGCAGTGGCTTCTGATTCTCGACTCTCTTCTCTTTGCTGCTCGACACACACCGCAACCTCAACAAACATCAAACACAACTTGAAGCTCCTCCTTCTCCTTCTCCTTCACCACTCGGCGCCTCAGGTGAGTCCTTTGACACAGCTCCAACTCCAGCTCCTTTCACAAGCCAGTTTGCTCCACTCGCCTGCGGAGAGCTCCGCCAGGCGGTCCTTCTTAAGGGCTTCCACCTTCCTCTCCAACTTGAACTTCTCCATCCACACCACCACCACCACCTGCACTCTTCCCCCTTCGCCACCCATCAGCATCACCAATCTCTGACAACCGCCACCAGACAACAAGCACACACCCACCACCACCATCAACAACAGCCGCCGGCTGACAACAAGGTACGTGCAAAACGCGCCATCTACCTCCTCAATCCGCCCTCCTCTGCCTTTGCCTTTGCTTCCTCCACCACCTTCATCATCTGAGAGCGCGCGCTCTCTCCTCACATCCATCCTCATCATCACATTCACCGCGACCGTCGCCCTTGTTTGCACAGGCGAGCTCCCTGTCACAAGCAACACCCGTTGCTGCGCGTGCACGAGCCAGCTCTCTGCCTACTTAGGCCTCGCTCTTCCTCTCAATCCTTCTCTCAAACACTCCACTTCCTTCCATCCACCAACCTCCATCATCAACACACCTTCACGATACCTCCCTCCATCATCAACACCACTGACTACCACCGAGCTTGCTCATCGGCACCGTCTCTCCTCACATCTCCGTACGAATCTGTCACCGCTTGAGTTCTTGCTGGACTGAACTGACTTCTCCCCCCTCAGACACCCACCACGAGCAACACCGTCACCATGGGCGGTATCGCTAAGGACCGCGTCGAGCAGCAGCGCTCCGCCGCGTCTTCTCGTCCATCCACCAACATGACTCCCAGCAAGGCCAGCAGCTCCGAGGCCTCTACCGGCGGCGGTCCATCCCACTCGCCGCAGTCGTCTCGCGGCGGCGCCCGTGCACATGGCTATGGCATGGGCGGCTTCGACGGTAACGCCGATCCCGGTGACCAATCTCTCGCTCGCGACCCAGGTCGTTCCCGGCCCTTCGTCCAGAACAAGAATCTTGACCTCGGTGTTGTCGGCTGGAATACTGTGCGAGGCCAGGATGCTCTCTCTGTCCTCCCTTCACGTCCTCCACCATCCAAGCTCGGCCAAGCCACCAAGATTGGCTTGAACACCTTCCACGTCACCGCCTTCCCCGACGTCCCAATCTACCAGTTCGACGTCCTTATCGGCAGCGGCTCCGAGAAGCGTGGTGTCATTAAGAAGGTCTGGGAGTCAAAGGCAGTTCAAGATGCTGTCGGTGACTTCACCATCTTTGACGGCAACAAGCTTGCATGGTCGGGCAAGAAGATCGATCGCGAGGTTCGGCTCGTAGTCGACCTCGATGTCGAGCAGGGCAGGACGCCTAAGGAGGGCAAGCCTGCTGACCAGCACCGGGTCGTTATTCGTCAGACCAACAAGGTCGCCTTCCAGTCTTTGCGAGCTTATCTTGAGGGCAAGAAGTCATTCGACAACGCCTGTCTTGAGACCATCAACTTCGCTGATCACCTTCTACGTCACACTCCGTCTCAGCGCTACTCATCCATCAAGCGCGCTTTCTTCAAGCACGGCGAGGACCGCTTTCACCTCACTGGTGGTATCGAGGCCTTTAAGGGTGTCTACCAGTCCCTCCGCGTTGCCCACCCTGGCCATCTCTCTGTCAACCTTGATGTTGCAAACGGCACTTTCTGGGTCAAGCAACCCTTCCACCTCGCTGCTGCCCAGGTCTGCGGAGCGCGCGACCCATCTGACTTGGTCGGCTTGCTTTCCAAGGGCGAGAACGGCCGCGCCGGCAAAGAACTGAAGAAGATGCGTAAGATGCGTGTACTCGCCTACCATCGTGACCAGAACAACCCAGACGAATACGTCATTGATCGCTTCCTTTACAAGTCTGCTAAGGAGCACAAAGTCCAGATCCATGACCCACAGGGCAAGGAGGTTGAGACCACTCTCTACGACTACTTCGCTAGGAAGTATAAGCGTCTCCTCCAGTACGCCGGCCTCCCTCTCTGCAAGATGACCAAGGGCAAGAATACTGTCCTTCCTATGGAGTGCCTTATGGTCAAGGGGAATCAGCGTTACGCCTACAAGATGGATGAGCGTCAGACTTCAAATATGATCAAGTTCGCAGTCACGCCGCCAGCCGAGCGCTACCAAGCAATCCAGCATGGCCTTAATATGCTGTCCTGGGACTCGGATCCAATGCTTAAAAAGTATGGCCTCAAGATCAACCCCACCAAGAGTGTTGCAGATGCTCGTCTTCTTCTAGCACCCACTGTCAAGTTCGGAATGGGTGACGCGAAGCCAGGCACTAGTGGCAGGTGGGATTTGAAGGGCAAGAAGTTCCTACAGACTAATACTAGCCCGCTCAAGAGCTGGGCGGTCTGCGTCGTGTCCGGCCGTCGTGGTGGCAAGCCTGAGAAGGCCGTCGTCGAGGAGTTCATCAAAGCCTTTGTCACCGGCTACACTAACCACGGTGGCAAGATCGAGAACAAGCAGCCAGCCATGAGCTTGGCCCAATCTGACGATGTGGGCGCCTGGGTCACCGCCGCTTGGAACGCAGCTGGCAACCAGTCTTCGTCGCGCCCGCAGATCCTCTTCTTCATCCTCCCAGACAAGGACTCGACAGTCTACGGTCGCATCAAGCGTTCTTGCGAGTGCCGCTACGGTGTGGTCTCGCAGTGCGTGCAGTACTCTCAAGCGCAGAAGAAGGCTCCGCAGTACATCTCGAACGTTTGCATGAAGTTCAACGCGAAGCTTGGTGGCATCACATGCCGTGCTATCGGCGCGAAGACTGGTGGTTCCGCGGGCATCTTCCAGAACCCTACCATGATCATCGGCGCTGATGTGTCGCACGCCGCTCCAGGTCAGCAGACTCCCTCCATGGCTGCTATCACCATGTCCATGGACAAGCTCGCCACTCGCTACGCCGCTCACTGCCAGACGAATGGCTTCCGCATTGAGATGATCAACACGGACGTCATCAACGAGCTGAAGTCGAACATTTCACTTTGGATGCAGACTGTCGGTGGTGGCAAGGTCCCGCAGACCATCATCTACATGCGTGACGGCGTTTCTGAGGTCCAGTACCAGCACGTCCTCCAGCAAGAAGTCAATGACATGAAGAACCTCCTCAAGGGCGCCGACCCATCCGGCAGCACCAAGTTTGTGGTCGTGATCGGTTCGAAGCGCCACCACATCCGCTTCTTCCCCGAGCAGGGCAAGGGTGATCGCAACGGCAACGCTCATCCCGGCACCCTTGTCGAGACGCACGTCACCAATCCGTATGAGAACGACTTCTACCTGCAGTCCCATGCCGCGATCAAGGGCACTGCTCGTCCTTGCCATTACTACGTGCTCATGAACGAGACCAGCATGTCCAACGAGATGCTACAGACGCTGATCTACGAGCACTCCTACCAGTACGCTCGCGCGTCCACCCCCATCTCGCAGCATCCCGCAATCTACTACGCCCATCTTGCTTCCAACCGTGCGATCCCGCACGATCCGAAGTGGGCTGGCAGCACTGCTGACGCTCCTCACTCACTCAAGAAGGGCATGCCACCACCAGGCAGTGGCTCTCAGGGTGGATCCAAGGGTCCTGGTGGATCGCAAGGTCAGAAGGATCGCACTGGCTCTTCTTCCGGCATCCCGACCGACTTTGAGAAGCTGATGCCAATGCCCAACCAGGGCGGCATCAACGCCTCGATGTGGTACATCTAAAGGGGCCACATCACACCATCTCGGTCTTCACATTGGAGACCATCACCACGGGTGCCAACTCAGCACCATGACACACGAGAGCGGAAGGGAGTAGGGGCGGATGAGTATGACGAACAGGCGATGGCGAGAGAGAGAGAATAAAGTTTTCTTTGCAGACAGAAAAAAATTGTAAAGGTGCCCAGTGTGGCCCACCAAAACTTCACTGCTCTCTGTTCTCTTTGTTTTGATGACTTGCCGTTTGCTAGAAACTGACAGAAGCAGTAAACGCTCCGCACGCGAGCTTGGTTTCGCTCACGTCTGTACGCTGCGGAAAGATCTATTCGAGACCCTACGAATTCGCAGACCGGCGAGCTACTGGTATACGACGAGGTGAAGAGCAAGGCAAGCAATGAAGAAGTGGAGGTCGGGGGACGTCAGCGGGGCTTACGATTTCCTCGCCGGCGATTCGTTCGGGTTGAAGAGCCAGGAAGACGCAAGGCGGTGTTGAGAAGAAGAAGAAGAAGGAGTGGCACCGATGGACTTTATCGCCAGCACAGCACAATACAATGAACACGTGGTGGATGAACGGACGGGCGCGCGCCGCCCACATGACGGCGGCAGAGGCAGGAAGTTCAAGAGCTAGGAACAAGATGGGCGAATGGATATGAGCAGAAGGGGGCTCCACTGGAGCCTTGACGGTCAGGTTAGGTCAGGTCAGGTCACGCCCTGCGGTGTTTGGCGAACGGGGACGAGGAGGAGGACGAGGAGGAGGAGAAGGGTGAGCGGCGCTGAGGAGTACCTTGTCAAGGATGGATAAGGTAGCTGCGGTGGAGATCTCTGGCCCCGAAGGCGGAAGAGCTGTTGGTTGGCGGTGGAGGAGGAGGAGATTTTGAGGGAAGAAGGAGAGAGAAAGGAGAAGGAGAGGACAAGAAAGAGGTTCACCGACGTTTGGGTCGGTCGATAGCTATCATCCATCCGTTGAGAAGGGCGCGAAGCAGTAGTGGATGAGTCTTCCGCGAGGGCGTGGAGAGCGAATGGAAATCATCATGTGGTAGGAGCTCGAGCAGATTTGGCTGATGGAGAACTTCCATTTGCAAGACGTGTGTGTGTAGAGGGATACGCCACTGAGAAGCAAGAGATGTCAAAAAACGGTTGACATGGCAACTCGAATGGTGGGAGGTGGGTCAGGAGATTGGATGTTTCCGCTGACGACGATGGGTAGGTGGTATACGAGCTTGCTGCGATTGTGTACTTCTCGGTGTGACACTGCGACGAGCACACGTTGGAGAGTCTGGGTAAGGTAGCTGAGGGGAAGATACTGTATTGAAAAATGTATCGGGTTTCAGTGAAAGGAGGAAGCAGTGGGTAAAAGAAAAGACTCCAAGAAGCCTAGACACCCACAGCAGCTCCGCCATTTCATTCGCAGTCGGTCTGGTTACATACACGTTTCTGTTGGCATCTCGGCCTTCCTCCATATGCAAGATCTGTTTGTACCTGGGTGGGGTTATTGCACAGCCCTTCCCAACCCGCCAGTACGAAGAGAAAGAGATAAGATGCCGTAAACGCCAGAACGTCCACCATGATGCCGCTGCAAAGGGAAAGTCCATCCATGCAAGATTCGCTGGAGCTGCCACTGCTGATTGGGGCTGAGCTCTGGTATTCTTTCCTTTCTCCTTCTTCGACAAGAGCAGTGTATCCTCGACTACGTCTCTCTGGCGATTCTTCGCTTGCGAGAGTCGCCTTGTCTCTCCTCATCTTCGTCGTCCATATCCCATCGCTCATTGTCCAGTTTTGTCGTTTCGTGTTCCTCGTCATCATTAATCGCTCATCACTCATCCGTCAACCTATCCAACAGGTGGATACTCAGAATCATTACCAGCAGTCCCACCGTAACGATGATGAGCAAGGCAAATCCAAACCAACCCAGTACCATCGCGCTGGTACCAACGCCGCTCTTGACGCTTCCGTTTCCGAAGTCTTGCGCGATCTGTGCTGCGGCCACGGAGGCAGTATGCTGCCAGAGAACGCTGACAAGGACAAAGATGGAGGCGATGAAAATGAGGGCGAGGGCGACTTGGGAAACCGGTCTCGAAGGGAAGGGTTTGATGTCGATGTCGGAACCGGTTCGGGCGTCGTGTTCTTCGTGCCAGCCGGGGAATGTTGCGAGGAGGAGGAAGGTGACGAAGGCGAGGACGATGGCGACGATGCTGAAGGACACGTCAGTGTGGATTGGGACATTTCGTGACGTGTTCAGGACTTACAGCAAGTATGGGAATACCACACTGTTCTTGAACGTCGTTGCGACCCAGATCAAGTTCAGAGGATCTTGGTCAATGCTGATCTGCTCTGCTAACAGAGTCGCATTGTTGGAGCACAGGAAACTCCCTCCATCGGGGTTGATGCAGAGACCAAAGTATCCCACTCGTACTTCCAGATGAGCGTCACCGACGATGTTGGCTATTGCGGCTGTGACGCCTGGGTTGACTTGTGTTGGATCGTAGACGGGCGTGTACGATTTGTAGTAGAAGGATATGAGGAAGATGCCCGGTATTAGCGGCGAAGAGGAAGAACATCCTGCCAGTAATAGTGCTATGCATCACTCAAGTCAGTGTCCCATCTCATGTCCAGGTAGTGGGAAGTTGGTATCTTACAGAGCAATATGATTGCAATCGCAATCAGTATCATCAAGACATGATGGTATCCCAGAAACGGTATCAGCCGCTGGATGCCGACTGCGAAGGGTACATTCGGCATGGTAGAGACGGTCTACCGGCTGTCTGGTATGTTTTTGGGGTCTGGTAAGCCCCAGCGGCCCGGTGGCCGTGGAGTCGGGAGGGTCGTGGAATGCAGCGAAGGGCGTGAACAATGCTCGTCTTCCTGCTGTTCCGAGGTATTGAACTAATGTCTCTTCTTGATATTCGGGAGAATATTCGGACCTTGTAAAGATTGTCGGGAGTTGGAAGGCTCGGCGAGAGATGGATCGTTCGTTGGAGGCTCTGCGACGCTCTTGCTTGTCAGGGAGTGTACTGCCTGGGGAGATGATTGTTGGTGTTGTTGAGAGAGAGAGGGAAGAGTAGCTTAGCTCTGTGAGAATTGAAGATGGCCAACCCCTTCTCTGTGCTTCGTGACCGGCGAACAATGGCGCTGTCTTCGAAAGAGGGAGGTTAGAGGTGGCTGTCGGAGGAGGCTGGGCGCGTGTTGACGCCTGCAAATAGCGTTGCTGAGCAACCGGGCCCACCCGCCATGACGTCGCGCGCTAGCTTGCCCTGCCCTGCCAAGACTTTCACGTTCGCTCAGACCGCGCTAACACACTAGGGAACAAGAACGTGCCATTTGTTGTAATGCGCAGGTATTCACATGAGAATCGATGATCCATTCAATGGCTATGCTAGGAATGTCAGAGCTATATAGTGTGTGGGAGTGCCGAGGTACTAAGCCCGATTTGGCCACCCAGCACCATCCAGCACCATCCAGCACTATCCAGCACCTGCATTGGGTGACCCAGTATGCTTACGACACCATTTCATGATTTGCCGCTATTCGGGCTCTCACTCTATCCCGACTCTACATCTCTTGATATCTCGCGGTCCATATCCGCCGGACACAGCTCGTTGCAATTGAGCGCCCGTCGCGACCCCAGGACCCCTTTCATGGCCGCGTTGAAAGTGGCCGGAGCAGCCAACATCTTCCGTGCATGTGATTGCATCCACAACTCTGGCCATGATCGCTCACGAGCATTCTTGTCACCATTTGGTGCACCATGACGGGAATCGTGTTCAGACAGATATTGCTGTAAAGCGGGATCTCTCGCCAGCTGGACGGCTTCACGCCCTCGAAATCTTCCGCTGGGACGCTATCGAATGGTCCTTTTAGTCTCGACATGTCCGCCGGCAGGCTCTGCGTGTAAGCTTACACGAGTACTCGAAACGTGTCTGATCTCCAACTTGCTCGGCCAGATCTCCGTCGTACCAGATCCACCGCGCATCTTCCTCTGCATTTACGGCTTGCTGGCCCAGATCGGAGAAGTAGTCCAGTATCGTCGTATGAGTCGAACGCACCATAGGCGTCCATCATGAGGACTAAATCGTCGTTCATCGAAGCATCCATGGAGTTCAAGTGCTCGAGCATCTTCGAGATCTTCGCGACACAGCTGCCACTGCCAAGAAGTTTCGCCGTCGACTGTCAGCAAAATCGCAATTCGAAAGACAAAGGCTTGCGTGTGACTGTGTGTCGAATGTCTCACTCTACGCGATCAATTTTGGTGTCTCATATGCGAGGACCCACGCGGTCAAGATGGTCTTGCAAAGATTTAACTCTGGACTTGATGCTGGAAGCAGCACATGAAGCTTGGTCGACTTCTTCTGCGCTACGAATGCATCGTGTTGATCGGCGACCTGCACCTTTTCCTCGTTCCGTTGATGCTGACTCGAGGATGAGCACGAATGACATGCTTTGGCCTGGGGCAATAGTCAGGTTTGAAAAAAGAGATCAATAACAATCGATGATGACGCAGCAATGCTCAATACGATTTCCTCTGCTGTAGCCAAGAACGAGAGGATTGGGAGTAATCAGAAGCAACCATGACAGTGCTGACGACTACGACAGTGCTGTTGTTCCTGAGCAAATTCAACTTTGACAATGCGAAAAGAGGGAAAGGACAAGATACTACTCCAAGCAGAGTACATCCACCGGTCAATCAGATTTACTTTCGCACGAGCACCGCCTCAGCAAGCATTCGACGGTGCACCCCAGTGGCCAAATCCGGACATTGTCGGATGCCCATGTCAAGCGGTATTGCTGCCGCTGCAGCTGTCCGGACGACAAGTGCTATTGGGTCGCCACTGTCAGAATTCCTGGAATAACATTCAGATGCCAAGAAGTGTAATAAGGGATGATGCAGGAACTTGTCGTGGCGGAGGCGTCACGCAAGAGATTTTGACTTTTGGTGATAAGCCACTGGACGCCACATGCCTCTACGAAAGTTGGGCGAATGCAATTCTGCTAGACAGATGCGACACACGACATGCGAGATTATTCAGGAACGACGCACGGCAGATGTTCTGAGCGCGCTCGATACCATTGGGTTTGTCAAGCAGCGCACAGCGAGTTGAGGGGAGGAAGGAGAAGAAGACATCTGCTTGCAACTGATGCAACTACACCAAAACGAACATTGGCGCATGCTTCCATCCAAAGCCTTTCGTACGGCGGTTACTGCGCTGGTCGCATGCAGCGTTTTCCTCATTCTCCTCTGGGGAACAGGCGCCGTTCCGAATCTCAGACCAAGCCTCAAAGATACTGTCGAGAAACCTATTGGGGATCGCTTGACCGAGTTTGTGCCCCCTGAACCCGGGAAAGGACGACTACATCTCCTGGTGCCGGCGACCAGCAGTAACGATGATCTATGCAAGTTGATGGTGTCGGCGCAGATCTTGGGATTCCCTAGCCCTGTGCTTATCAATTATGGAGACGATGAAGCAGAAGATCCTTATGTGCAGCATCTGGCCAAAGTAGAGGGGTTGTTGGAGTATCTGGACAAGATCGAAGACTCAAGCGAATACGATTCGGATCTGGTGCTAGTGGTTGATGGATATGATGTGTGGTTCCAATTACGACCGGATGTTCTCATCAAGAGATACTACGAGGCAATCAAGGAAGCCGATGCTCGCGCGGTCCAGGTGTATGGGAAGGAAACTGTTGAGAACAATTCCATTACCCATACTGTTCTTCTGGGCCCGGACAAGGTCTGCTGGCCTGTTGATTTCAGTCGACCTGCTTGCTGGGCTGCACCTGCGACAACATTGGGACAATATGGGTTTGGTCCGCAAACGAGTGATGGACGGGACGATAACAATGATCCAAAGTGGCTCAACTCGGGCACAATCATGGGCCCAGCACAAGACCTGCGAGATTTCTTTCGCGGGACTCTGGAACTCATTCATGAAAACCATACTACCGACTCTGACCAGTACTATATGGCGCAGCTATTTGGTCTGCAGGAATACAAGCGCCTGTCACATAATGAAACACGATTGCAAGAGTTCCGCGACACAAGGTATGCGGACGAATTGAGCGACAAGGAGAAAGCAATCATGCGTTTCGAACCTTCTCTGGAGAGCGATAAGAAGACCGAGTATCACATCCTCATCGATGGGAGCTTCTCCCTCTTCCAGACTCTCGCATTTATGAAGCAGTATATCACTTTCACCACGCCTTCAGACTCTTGGAGCCCGCAAGTAGAAGGACAAGAACCTTTCTGGACTCCTTACCAAGTCGAACCCCCTCAGGATCTCCTCCGCTCCACTCCCCCTTTCGACCTTTCCTCCGATGCTGGCACCAGATCTACCACCTGGGACCAGGTGACTCTCCTCTACAATACCATCTCCAAGACCTTCCCGGTCCTCATTCACTTCACAGGCGAGAAGCAATACCGCGATATCTGGTGGCAGAGGATGTGGTTCCAATCTAATGCCTCTGAACTGCGAAAGTCATCTGCGAAGCTACTGGATGAAGCTATCTCAGACGATATCATTGACGGCAAGAAGTGGGTCAAGGCTATGTCTGAGCATGCGAAGGAGTACAAGGAAGCTGGAATCAGCGGGTTCGAGTCCGATCGCAGAGGATGGTTGAGCTGGAGGGCTGTTTGTGGACCCATGGAGGGAGCTTTATTCGTAACGAGAGGGCAGGAGAAGTTCCATCCTAGGGAACCTCCTGAGCCTCCTGCTCTTGCTTGGCAACACATTCCTGTTGCTGACGGGGAGGCGGCCGGTGGTGTGGGATAGCATTTTGGGGAATGACATTTCCATGCTGTATGTTACGAGAGCATCTTCTATTGTACTACTAACCCGGCGATGTTTTCTGCCCGGCAGCACCCATCGACAACATCATCGTGGCTTCCGACCCGAATCTCATCAGAATCTCCCTTCTATCAGATTTCCGGTCCCATGACTTTGACGCGTTTCATCAAGATCTTTCCGCGCAGATCCGAGCCGAAGCGGACACCCCAGTGGCAACAGGTCCTAATAATCTTCCAGAGCTTGCGGAGTACGCACGCGATCTCTTCCCTGCTCCGGCTTGACTCGCATGGTGGATCTTAGAATTGCACGCCGTGTGCGGGGCCGCCCAGTGTGCACGTTGGTTGTGGCTGAAGGAGACCTCCTCATCTTGATTTATTATTTGCTCAACTTAAAGCAAGAAACTTGTTTGCGGTGCCGTGTGTTGGCAACTGGACAGACGTGAGATGACGACTCCTCTGCTCGTTTCTAGATGTTCGTTCCTAGATGTTGCTTCGTGGGTTGGATGGATGTCTGGGGGCATCTTTCGGTGAGGCAAGAGAGCCGTTGTGATGGGCATACGATGGCTCTCGACGCCGCAGAGAATTCTCCCCGTGCTACTGATTTTGATTCTTGTCCTGGTATTTCACCTTCTAGATCAAGTGAGTGAGTGGATCCAAGATTGGGAGGAAGAGACATGGCTTACTGATTGTTCGTCCTGGAGTATAGTCGCCGGCGATATTCATTCGAGGAGACGGCACCGACAACGACAACGATGACCATGCACAACGGCCGCCGAAAAATCTACATTTCCTGGTACCGGCCTCCAGTTCCAATGCCAATCTTTGCAAACTCATGGTCAGCGCCGCGATTCTTGCATACCCCAGTCCAGCGATCTTGAATTGGGATGCGCCTTTCGATGACCCGAATCTGGTCGAAGCAGGATCGCACGTGGCCAAAATCACAGGCGCTCACGAGTATCTTCAGAACTTGGATGCCAGTCATGACGAAGATATCGTCTTGATGGTGGATGGCCATGATGTGTGGATGCAACTCCGACCCCAGGTATTGATCGATCGCTTCCATGAGATCAATCGGCAAGCGGATGCGAGGACACGCAAAGAGTTGGGCAAGCGAGTGGTACAGAGACATGGGTTGAAGCAGAAGATTGTGATGGGATCTCAAAAGGGATGTTGGCCCTGGACTTTCAACGATCCACCCTGCTATGCGGTTCCAACATCGCCCCTGCCGGAGGATGTATATGGACCGGAAACGGATACGGAGATTAAAGATGGCTTGAGCCCCTACCAGAAGTATAGCCAGCGATTCCTCAACTCCGGAGTAATGGTGGGCGAACTAGGTGCCATGCGCAAGCTGTTTGCCCAAGCGATGGAACAGTTGAAAGCAGAACCGAACATCGGGAGTGATCAGTACATCTTCTCCCATATCCTAGGCGATCAACAAATCTATCGCGAAACTCTACTCAACAATATTCCGCAAACAATCAGGAAGTACAAACAATGGAACAAAGAACTCTCCCCGTCCGACGAAAGAATCCGCACCCATCTCCACGAAGTCCGCGAAAAGGCAGCAGCAAGAGGGGACAAATCCTTCGAATTCGGAATCGGAGTAGACCATACTTCCCTCCTAGGCCTCGACACCGTCTTCGCGGAAGACGACACAGAATGGCTCCATTTCAACGACAGCTATCAGCTCTCCCTCGCCCAGCAAGAGAAACAACTCCCCTCGACTTCAAACCCTCTCTCCCTCAACAAGGACATCCAACATTCCCTCCCACCCTTCTGGACCTTCACCACGGAACCTTTCCTCCCCTCCCGCAAGCACCCCTGGTCCCAAACCCCTCTCTTCACAAACATCTACACAGGCATCACACCCGCCGCTATCCACCACAACGCTCACCGTGGCGATCGCGAGACTCTACGGGAAACATGGTGGGACAAGACGTGGTATTTCCCCCATCTGAGGACCCTCTACGACGTGGCCATGTATACTCCCACATTACCCGTCGCTTTCAGCAACGGGAGAGAATGGTGGCCCTACGAGACCTGGAAAGGCGGAGGCCGGAATGGGATTTCGGGGCCGGGGAATTCCAGTCCCGGGGCTTGGATTCCTTTCGAAGATCTGTGTGTGGAGCATCATGAGGAGGTGTTCCGGGATGGGATGGGGCGGTGGAGGAGACCTCAGGGGTAGGTACCACCACACCCTTTCCTCGTGGTTGTATGTACGATATTTTGCGTGTATGCGGCGGATTGGGTTCCTTGGATAGGAGGATGCCAAAACTCCTTGGAAGCTGGCTAGGCGTCTAGAATGGCGATTCGGCAATGTAGACCAAACTGAGGACATCCTTCTTGAAACAACTTCCACCCAATCCAGCAGATGCCTTCAGCATGCGGCTGCCGATGCGATTGTCCTGACCAACGACGCGTGAGATCCCATCGATGTCTGCCCCTAAGCCGACTGTCTTGGTGGGAGTGTTCACGGCAACAAAGATTAATTGTGCCTCGTCGATAGCTTTGGAGATGTTGGTAGAGAAGTGAAGATTGGGCACGCGGCCATCGGTTCCATCTCGAGCAACCTTGATCACATGGTCGAGAGCGGGTTCGTAGTCTGGCGCCGATACCTTGCAAGTGTCACGTCGTCAGTGTCCCCGGACGGCGGTGTCTTATGGAGCAAAGCTAGGACAAGGCTAATTAGGCAGATATGAGCGAAGGCGAGGAGCGCAGGAGGCTCTGTCGCCGCGCCATGTGGCCATCCACGTGCGGACAACCCCAAGACACCGCATACCAATGCCTTCCGGCGCTCCAAGGCGAGTCTTGTCGGCACCAGTGTGAGTCTTGGTAGAGGTTGCCCTCCGCGGTCTGGACATGTGGAGCGATCTCCGCGGGGCGTCTGTTCTATCGGGGATATTGGATGGGTAGGTCGTCGATTACCAAGCCAAGGCAATCCCAGCACCGTGAAGTCCCGGGAGCAGCCTGATCATTTTTGTGCCAATGACATGTCGATGGTGGTGAAGTTATGCTGCCGCTCGCTTGGCGGCAAGTGGAGATAGGGTTGTGGCTATGTGGCTGTGTGGCTGTGTGGCTGTGTGGCTGTGTGGCTGTAGCACTGTGCTAGCGCTGAGCATGGAACCCTGTGGATCAGGCTGATATGCCCGGGCTTTCGGTTGTAAACCACAACACCGCTTTCTCTTCTCCGCACCTGGTCGACCAGCATGAATAATGAGCCTTGAGAGGAGAGAGGAAAAGAGTTTTCGCCTCTCCGCGGGCTGCACAATGATGGCCCGACACCTGCAGCCTGTAGTGCACGACGACGCGGACTGCACCAATCTCCGCCAAGATCCGTACATGACACGTCCCCGACGTAGCCAAGGGCCAGTCTACCGCCGGTCTACCGTTTGCTCGCCCTCTCCGCTCTCTTCCGGGAACAGAATACAGCAAAATTGACTTGTCTAAGATCGCTGTAGCTACACAAGTCCTCTTCCTTTCGCCAGGGCTTTCTTCCGGTCCACCCAAGCGACGGGAACGGGAAGATGGCTCATAACTATGAGAACGAAAAGCTAGAATGGGATCAGCATCGCGCCTCCTTGACAGACCAATTCTTGCAGGACGAACATGTTGACGAGAAGCACGAGCCGGAACTGGCCGAGACGCCCGCTCCTGTCGAGTACACAGTCCCGGTTGCCAGGAAACTGCTGTATCTGGGACTGTACTTCATCCTTAACCTGGGTCTAACGTTGTCCAACAAGGCCGTGATGCAAAAGGCCAGATTTCCATGGATGCTCACTGTCCTACATACGACCTCGACATCGATTGGTTGTCTGGCCCTGCTAGCGACTGGTCATCTCAGATTGACGAAGCTGGGCAGCAAGGAGAATCTGATCCTGGTAGCATTCTCTGTGCTCTTCACCATGAACATCGCCATCAGTAACGCCTCCTTGTAAGTACTTTTGAAGGCTCCATTCAAGCGGCGAGTCAATTACTGACACATCCTCGTAGAGCATTGGTATCAGTGCCATTCCATCAGGTCCTACGATCTACATGCCCGATTGCCACCATCTTGATATACCGCGTCCTCTACGCACGAACATACTCTCAACAAACGTACCTGTCAATGATTCCATTGGTTCTTGGAGTCGGACTCGCGACCTACGGTGACTACCAGACCAGCCTCATCGGCTTCCTCCTCACCCTCCTCGGCGTCTTCCTTGCTGCTGTCAAGACCGTTGCAAGCAATCGACTCATGACCGGATCCCTCCAACTATCAGGAATGGAAATTCTCCTCCGCATGTCGCCACTCGCAGTAATGCACTGCCTTCTCATTGCTGCCTTCAACGGAGAGCTCGCAGAGATCCGAGGCCTGGCAAGCCGCGGCTTCTTCGAGCCCAGACTCCTTGTAGCCATTGTTGGAAACGGCCTCATGGCCTTCCTACTCAACATCGTGTCCTTCCAAACGAACAAGGTCGCCGGAGCTCTCACGGTCACAATATGTGGAAACGTGAAGCAATGCTTGACGATCCTACTGGGCATTGTCCTGTTCAACGTAGAAGTCACACCATTAAACGGCGTCGGCATGGCGATTGCCGTCTGCGGAGCAGCTTGGTACAGCAAAGTAGAGCTGGCGCGGAAAACCCAACAGCAGAAACCTCTCCCGACGGGATCGGAACGAGTCTGAACGAGTCACATGCATGCATGAGCGGGTTCTACGAATGTCGGAGGAATGAAATTTTGTTGCTTTAGTAGACCACGCATGAGATACCCCATGACCGAGCGTTCGATAGAATAATGCTAAACGAGAAAAGTCCTAGAGATGCTACAACTTCCCACGCCGTGAATGCCCAACCTGTGTGTACAGCAGACGATAGAGTCGCCGCCACGTATCTGTGCTGCTCCCAATTGGTTACATGAGGTGAGGTGGGTGCCGATCAACATTGATCTGTCCATTCTTCGCAGTCTTCCGGGATGTTGCCAACCCAGCACTGCCAATCGCTTGCAATGTCTGAGGCAAAGCAAAGCAAAGCAAACAGAACGCTCGATGTACCTACAACCCTAACCAACGACACCGCACTCCCTCTAATTCTCCCTCCCCTTCATCAAGTTCCTATACCACGTGCTCGTCTAAAAGTGTGCAAAGCCCTCATCAAGAAACACAACAACTTGAAGAGAAACTCCACACCATTCCCATTCCCATTCGCATGCCCACTTTTTGTTTCAGGACAAGCATTCCCTGCCCATTTGCTCCAAGCGAGCGGTGAAACGCTGCCACCTCACCCCGTCCAACCCGTCGAGCTCCCAATGGTTCCAACACACACCCACCAGCAGACGACACCGCATCTGCATCTGCATCTTGATCATGATCATGACATGACGCAAAAGCACATCCCAAAAGCCAACAACGAGACGCGCAAAAAAGTGCTAACGAAAACAACTGTCGCGGTCCTTGTCTATTAACACCTCTCCCATCCCATCCCATCCCATTATTATTCCGGTGCAACTCTTCCCACACCCATCCATCACGATTCCCCATCCTCTTGCCGTCCAGTATTCACCGCCCCAAATTACCTACCTACAATCACCCTTGCCTGTCCAAGTCACAATGCCCTACTACACCAAAACCAAGACCAAAACCACCCTCAAACCCGTCTCCGTCCACACTACAATCCGGGAATCCACCTCCCCTCGCTCTCCCCACAAACCCTCCTCCCCATCCTCCTTCGAATCCTACTCCAGATCCACATCCGGACCCTCCAACAGACGTCCCTTCTTCTCCCTCGGCAGGCAACTCTTCTCCATCCCCCTAGGAGATAACAAACGCGCCTCCATCCGTCCCATCAGACCTCTCGGCCTCAAGAGCCCCACCCGTGAGATTTACGTTCGGAGTCGGAGATACTAGAGAAGGCTCTTCCGCCAATCGCCATGGGTCTGGAAGACTTTGCGAGATTCCTGATGCAATCCTACGATCACGGATCCCGCAGCGGCAGTAGTAACGGGGGTGCCATGGCGAAGATTCCTCCTTCGATTTTGGTCATGGCGTTGGTGTACGGCGTTACCTGGCTCATGACGAATCAACAACCGAGCAAGCATCGACGGCGACGCAGGAGGCAGAGGGGTGATTGTAGTCAGTGCGGAGAAGGATGGTGGTGACTTTTGAACGAGGGCAAGTCTGCAACGTGTGCCGCGAGGGAGGGAGAGGCTGATCGTAAGAAGCAACGACTTTTCTTTTGGTGCAATGATGTCCATTGTAGCGCAGCGAGAGAGGCAACAGTGTCTGGTTCAGTTGAAAGATTCTTGGTGTTAGGTCAGGAAGTTGAATGAAGTTGTTTTCATCCCGTGATTGCCGTCACGATATTGTCTTTTGATCGAAGTCTCCAGAGTATTCTTGAAGAGCGATTATCGATAGCGAACAGCGCGTCTACCGCTAGTCATATGGTACAAATCTGTCTTCTTCTTTTCGTAATTTTCATCTCGTATCTACTCCTATGCAACACCAAATGATGTCCGACAGTAAGTAGCATTGCGCTAAAGCTCCAGTCGCATCACGGAACTGCCGGCGATCGACCGAGGTCAAACATGCCAAAGAGTACTTGGGTCTCGATGATTCGGAAATGGTCGTCCTCGAAACAGGGATTGAAAGATGTCGCACCGTCATCGAGATACCAAGAGCTTTGGCCATGCGCAAGTCTCCTTTCTTCCAGAAGTGCCTCTCCGATGCCAAAATGAAAGAGAGCGAAACCGGAGCCGTCGCTTTCCACCGTATGTCACGCGCTTGTCAAGTTCCCGCGTATTGAATGTACAACGACAAGCTGCCGCTTTGCGCCGCATATACGGAAGACACAAACTAAACGTCGGCGTCCGTTTCCGAAAATCTTGAAGCTTGGATCCTCTTCGATCAATGTCTCATGCTTGAGGCGCAGAACGCACTCATAGTTTGCATGTTGCCCTGATCGTAGATTTGGCCAGACTCTCGGGTCATCTTTAAGCGCGACATCGACTTGGTACGGAAGCACGAAAATCGTAATCACGACATCATCGACCCTTTCGTCGTTGGTAGACTCGTACTGAGTCTCCGAGAAATAGATCTGAAGGTTCAAGAGGGTTTCCCCAAATATGCAACAGATAACGATTTCCAGCTCTTGTACCTGAACCATCGAACGCATCTCGGCAGATTCGTCCAAAAGCAAACCACCTTCAATCGAGGACCTGGCAGTGGGAAGACAGGGTCACCACTCGAACCATCCGTTCTTCATCCAGATTGAGCGCGAACACCGAGCATTCGTGGTTTGTGGAATTATGTAGGTGGCTGGGCGGATAATCGCCGCGGAGCATCAGGGCCAGATAAGGTGCGTAGCTATTTGAGCGTCGGTAGACTTCTCGGACGATAGCTGGTCGAAATCTCCAGATAAGGTAGTACACGACCGGCAAATTCAAGGTCCAAGTCTTTGCGTGCTGCCAATAGGTCCAACCGCAACTCCGTTCGCCGCACCTAACGTCCCTATTCCCGGTCCAACGCCCCCATTCCTCGTACTTGGAAGCACTCCATACCTGCCATATGTCTTCTGATCCACACTTACGTAGTGCGGCAACCTCCCCAACAGATTCAGCTTGCCCTCGATCCACCTCAGTATCTTATCATGCGGTGCCAAAAACTTGATATACCCCAATCCCCAAAGATATCCCACAGCAGCACCACAGAGGTGTCCCAGCAAGCTCGTATGCGGTACCAAGAAGTTAATGACAAGAATGAGGAAGAGAGGTGTTGTCCAGGTCGGGATCTTGTAGTCGCCGAGCTGAAAGTATGGGTTCTGTCTGTATGTCTTCATGGCTTCGTTGCAGAGGAGTAGGAAGACCCATACGCTGGAGCCTACTGCTGCTCCGTTCAAGCGGAAGATGAAACGTTCGAGGATGGTATACATTCCGCCTGGGAGAAGTCCAAAGGGTCCAGTGAAGAGGATGAATGTCACGACGGTGCCATGTTCGGACTCGAAGCGTTCCAGAAGCGGCAGGAGGGCAACGGAACTGAGGAGATAGTGGAAGATGTCTCGATGGAGGAGAGGGTAGGTGTTTAGGCGGTACACTGCGGAAACATCAGCTATTCATATTCCTTCCCTCCATTTTGCTTGGTCCCCCTCATACATGTTCTAAAGTTGATCTCTGCGGGTGTTAAGGCTCCCCATTGGATAATACCCGGGAAAAACCAATGTGTAATGTACAGCGCGGTGATGATGGCTAGCAATCCGCGAGTCGCAAGCGGTAGGCGGGAGAAGAAGCTTCGTATGCGACGCGCATCGGGCAGATACTGAGAGAAGCTGTTGGCCATGTAATCGAGGAACACGTTGTGCGGTGAGGTGTGGTGTCGGTTGGTGGGAAGATGTTTCGCAGAACAAAAGTGCCCAAGGCGCTCGGCGTACCAAGGCTTGGCATACTCTGAAGCGGCGCGTTGAAGAGAGTCTCCTCTGTATGAGCGGTATTCACCTGGCGCGTATCGACGGCAATCGCATCAAGACCAGACCTGAAGATTCGCCGTGGCAAGCGCTACCGTTTGCACCCAATGCGGGTATTCAAGATTGCTTGTGCAATGCGCAGTCTCGTTCGGAAGACAGTCGCTCCAGCCGATGTGCGCCGCGCTAGAGTATACCGAGCCTCCCGTCGTACCTCCATACATCGGATCCCTGCTAACTCCGCTAACTGAACTTTGATGGAGTTCGCCATCAATATAAACAACACGTCTCCAATGGATCTCCATTGTGTGCATCGGATGTAGACAACCATGGCGCTCTGTATGTATGATGATACTGGCTTTCGAAGGAGATGCCTGTGCTGACTGATCTCTTTACTGTGTAGCCGCGCGCCTTTTGACCCTCCGACGGTCTCCCATTCTCCTCAAACTCCCACCATACCTCTCCGGCCTCTGTATCCTCATAGGAATCGCATGGCTCCTCATACTGCCTCTGAACGAGTACTCCCGACAGACATACATCTCCGAAAATGCCATCCTCCCCGGCCAGGTCCACACCTACTTTGGCGGAAGCGAACATAACATCTTTCGGGCATATCGTCAGGAGGTCTGGTCTTTGGGCCAAAGGCAGAGCGATGATGAAAGAACAGCCGGCCTGTATGACATGATGAGGGATATGGGGTTGAAGACTGCGTATCAGTCGTACAGCTATCATATCGCCGGACAGACAATCGCTGGAAAGAATGTCTACGGACTTCTTCAAGGACCACGAGCCGATGCGACTGAGGCTATGGTCCTTATTGCAGCTTGGAGGAACTTTGATGATGAGGTCAACTACTCCGGCGTAGCGCTGGCGTTGACTCTGGCAAGATATTTCAAACGATGGAGCGTCTGGAGCAAGGATATAATTCTGCTCGTACCGGATGACAGCACGTATGGACCTGAAGCCTGGGTGTCGGCTTACCACAGCACCTCGACAACTCCAACAACATTACGGAATGTCTCGGCTTTGCCCATCAAAGCCGGAGCTCTTCAAGGAGCCGTAGCTCTCGATTACCCAGTCGGGCCTTGGGGAAAGCGTTTCAACAAGTTGGACATACTCTATGACGGCGTCAATGGGGCCTTGCCCAATCTGGACCTGCTGAACACAGCTGTATCCATCGCAAGCGGCCAGATGGGCATTGGATGCAGTCTCCATGGGATCGAGGAGCACAGCGACAACTATCAAGACCGTCTCAAATGCCTGGCTCATGGCATCATGACGCAAGCTGCTGGGCATGCTACTGGCCCTCATTCCGCATTCATGCCCTATCACGTTGACGCAATCACCCTCAAGACGATTGGCGACGGCTGGCACGACGAGATGAGCCTAGGACGTGTCACAGAGAGTGTGTTTCGATCCATCAACAACTTGCTGGAACACCTGCATCAGAGCTTCTTCTTTTACATCCTGTTGAACACCAACAGATTCGTCAGCATCGGAAGCTATCTCCCGGCGGCCATGCTAGTAGCGGGGAGCTTCACGATCAATGCACTGGCTTTGTGGGTGCTGAGCGGCAAAGGGCCACTTGAGACGCCCGCTGGGTCCAAGGTCAAGCAAGGCACGAGCGAGAAGCTCAAAGAAAAGGCCGTTGTGACCATCCAGAAAGGCGAGGACGTTACAACAATACCAAGGGCAGAATTGGAGAAAGTGGAGCGAAAGATGTTTCTGCCGGCAGTTGTGGTGCTTGCTGTGCATCTAATCAGCTCCGTGCCACTATATACGCTCACTCACATGAGCCAAAATGTGCGTATTATGGTCAAGGTCGGATATGGAAACCAATGCTGACAGCTTGCAGAGCCTCACTTTCGCTTTCATGGCGATCACAGCCGCAAGCTATCTGCTGCCCGTCTACATCGGCGTACTGTGCGTCAGATTCTTCGGCGCCAGCTCGCAACAAATTCAAGTCATGCAGTCTTTCTCGCTTCTGTTTGTGGGCGCCACGCTAGCGACATGGGCCACCATCAACTTCTCACTCGCCCTCGTAGTTGGCCTTCTTGCGTCCCCGCTCAGCTTCCTCCGTCCCATCAACTTGACTTCTTCGGAGCAGTCCGAGAAAGAAGACAAGCGCAATGCGGTCCTGAGTCTGGTACTGGGAGGATTCGCTCTGCTCGCGTGGCTTGCCCTGTCACCTCCGATGGTGCTGTACGCGCTTGGCCGGTACCTGCAGAAGGACTTCAGCTGGCTTTTATTAGAGATCGCGAAAGGATGGTCAGCCCAGGGTGTATGGAGCAATCTCGTAATATGGAGTGTGTGGTGGCCGGCGTGGGTACTAGGCGGCGTTGTGCTGTGCAGCGGCGTGGTGAAGAGTTCCCGCTGAGTGGGTAGCCAACAATATTATCCCCAAGATCCTTCGCGAACAAGAGACTACGGGCGCTTGCGAGGCTGCACAGTACTCTGCAACCTCCAGGAGTTATCCCATGAGTAACGTGATGTTCGCGCTAGCTTCGCGACTTCCATCCCTCAGGCGTTCGTGCTTCAGGAGGAAGGCGCGACTGCTTGAGTGGACCTCACCTCGACTCCTCAGTCCCGACTTCACATGTCACATGTCACATTCGACCTTTCGCCTTCACCTCACCTATCCAACGACCTCATCAAACACGGCCCACCTCGGTTTTTGAAGACATACACGTTGCCACTTCGTCAACTGCACCAACAACATCCCTCGCAGAACTTCGAGTAAGATGGCGCCAACCAAGAAGGATGCCACCAAGGCGAAAGAGGCCAAGCTCAGTCCGCAAGAGCAGGCTACGACCATTCTGAACTACTTGCGTAAGACCAACCGGCCATACAGCGCTACCGACATCAGCGCCAACCTCAAGAACCGGGTCACGAAAACTGCCGCCCAGAAGCTTCTCAAGGATATGGAAGAGCGCAAGGATATTGCCGGAGCTGCTAGTGGGAAGCAGCAGGTATACCACGCCTTGCAGGTGAGTTTCCGCCACCTCTCCAGCCGTTAGTGTTGCTAAGAGTGGGTGCAGCCCGAACTCGAAGAAGACCAAGTCGAGCAGCTTAGGGAAATCGACACCGGCATCGCTCGCCTCCGCGAAGAAACCAACGCATTGAAATCCGAGGAGAAAGAACTCCGCGAGACTCTTCGCAAGAGCACCACGCAAATTCCACTCCCGCAGCTCAAGTCCGAAGTTGCTGGACTAGAGAGCCAGAAGCACGACATCGAGACTCGGCTCACCAAGCTCAAGGGTGGAAACCTGAAACCCATCAGCGCCGAGGAAAAGGCAAAAGTGAACGACTTCTACCGCCGAGCTCAGAAGTCTCTGGATGCACGCAAGAAGATTCGCTTGGAGTTGTTCAAGACCGTCGAAGAGAGTGTGGGCAAGGAGAAGGGTGTTGAGGTGAAAGATGAGCTTGGCCTGGAGTTCTGAGGATCTCCCTTGCTCCGGATACCTCGATGAAGAGGTCGTTCACAGCCTGAGTATAGGTGGAGGTGCGGCGCCATCACATGAGGCAGTCGTCGTCATGTGGCTTGACATGTCCCCCCTACTCACAGAGGTGCAGGAGACGGATGACATTTTGGAATTTTCTTAAGCTGTCATCTGGACATCTTGGACGGGATTTACGGGGATCAACAACTGCAGATTGCGCGAAGAAGAATCAGAAATACCTCTATACTACGGTTACCTCTTTCAACCCAATCTAGTCTCTTCCTCAATCTCCGCCCTCTCAGTGCGCACAACACGGCCCACCACCGCTCCTACAACTCAAACTCATAACCCCAACACCCACACAAAGCACTAGAAAGAAACCTCAGCATCAGCAAAACACTCCCTGCGCACCCGAATAGACAACAGCTTTACGCACGCTTCACCAAATCCGCCTTCCTCAACCCAACCCCCAACACAATCGCCAACCTCGTAAGCACAAAAGGCCAAGTCGTCACTCCCACCAACCAATCCTCGACACTCCAATTCCCAACCTTGAACCACTCCGTCCAACCACCCGCCGCCTGCGCAATGGAGTGCGTATAGAGCGCATCAGAAAACAGAATCCCCGCACAGAGCAATTTCCACACTCGGAGGTCGTCCACGAGACGCAAGACGACTGCTTCCGTGAAAGCGATGAACGCCCAGCCCCCCGCGAGTTGCGTGTAGATGAACTGCGTGTCCGGCTGGATGGTGGAGAGGCGGGCCTGGGTGAGCGAGGCATTATATTTCCCTGGGTCCATGAGGACTAGGGCGACTCCGCCGAGGGCGAGGAGGGATTCCACATTGGTCAGGAGGAAGCGGTAGAGGTAGGGAATCGTGGTGGAGGCTTTGACGGTGGCCATGGCTTCCGATGAATGTGAAAGATACGTATGTTGCTGTTTTCTGATTTTATTTTCCGGGTTCCGGAAGCTGGCGGATTCGTGTTTCAGATGTGTGCCCTTTCTGCTTGACCGGATTGCTGGTTACAATAGTCCGTAGTGTCAGAAGGTGAGTTCTTAGCTGTCTCGAGTGCAGAGACTCGGACCTGGGCTCGTTCTGCGAATGCGGTTGAATTGCTCCTTAGTAAGATTGAGCTCAAGATGAAGCTCCCAAATCAGCCGTCAGCTCAAGCCCTATTATAGGCATGCTGGATCGCCTGATACGGGCGCTGGATACCGCTGGGTGGCCCAATCCGGTTAGCGGTTCGGGCACTTTCACAGCAGGTAGGAAATGTATCATCTCATACATGAAAAGCCTGCGCATCTAGAAGACACCAAAAGACTCAAAGCTCCAACATCCTGGTCAAAGAAGGCTTTAGAAGTGGTGTAACGCTCACAATGCAAAGACTTCAGTTCCTATTCCATCATCAAAACCCTCACACCGAATTGTCAGCACAACTCCAACTAGCCCCTTGTCCAGCATCATCATGAATCGCCTTCCCACTCGCATACAATCCAATCCCACAGATCGCCGCTCCCAACGCAAACAATGCCAAATTGATGCCCGTCAGGCAACATTTCCGCCAGCCCTTGAACCACTGTCCATAATTGATGAATAGCCAGAAAGCACCTGGCATACCGTAAGTCGTCCACGACGCGAAAAGAGCTGCGATCAGAGAATTCAGATCGTTGAAGACCGGGATCGATTCGGCAATGATCCAGGCAATGAGCCAGAGAGATGCGATAATAGCGACCCAAGTACCGACGGATTTGAAAGACTTCTTGCCCATTTGGCTGGGGTCTTTTTCGAAGATGCGCAGGTAGATTTGTTTGGCGATGACGTTGGCGTAGATGACGCCGGCAATGACAATCTGACGGTGGTTAGCCGAGGGATTGTTACGGACGTCGGAGGAGACTTACCGTTGGCAATGCGATACCATATGCGACCTTTCGTACAACAGGTGCTGTAGATCCTAAAGCAGGTGATGCAACATCTTGGCCGATATAGACATAGATCACGATGGCCGCGATCAAGTAAAGAGTAATCTCCACGCTCTGCAGACCGATCAAAGCTTTGGGAAAGTCTCTCGGCTCCCTCATCTCGCTGATGAAGGTCAAAAAGGCCATATGGCCAGCAAAGGCGAAGCAGATGTTCAGTGTGGCCGTAAAGGCTGGCTGGAAGCTAGTCTGAACGGTTGCTTCCACATCGGCTCCGGGGTTCTCGATACCAGCGGCAATAACTGTGACGAAGACCGCGCCGACGATGGAGATGAATGCTGGAGGCTGTCAGCGATCGGACGTGTAACGGCGCGAATCTGCATCGCCTACCAGCTATCGAAAAGTACGATACGGCCTTTAGTGTTCTCGGCAATGACAGTAGGAACATCACTACCAGCCCAACAACACTCCAGACAATGGTGCACGTGGCATGGCCTGTAATAGTGTTCATCGCAATGGTGAAGGTGAGCAAGTGACTGCCCAGAATGAAAATCTAACCGGATGTCAGTCTCATTGTCCTTCGGCTTGCCCAAAGCTCGCACTCACCAAGAAGACAGTCTGAAGAGAGATGTCTTTGTTAGCCATCAATACCCATCGTTCACTGCGCGGAACTCGATACCTGCAAAAAGCCGAATACCTCCCTACCAGCCCGCCCGAATCCAATAGGAGCAAAGAATACCTCCCCAACATCGGCCAGGTTTGCGACATGAGGATAGGCCAGCTTGAACTGTCCATACACAAAGCCACTGTAGGTCGCGCATATTCCCAGTCCAGTAATCAGAATAATTCCAGCGACAAGTCCGACGCTCGCAAGCACAGACGGCAAGGACAAAATGCCCAGCGAAATGGTCTCCGCAATCATCAACAACGAGCATTGCCACCACGAAAGCGTCCTGTATTTCACCTCCGCATGAGTTTCATCGCCAAAGGGTTCGATTCGCCCAGTAGCACTGCTTCTTCGCTTTGCATCTTCGTCACTGTTATTCCTCTTTTCCGAATCATCGGAAGCTCCGGCATTCTCCCATGAAGTCGCAGGATGGTTTTCATCGGCCATATTTTCGACGGTGTTGTTGCTTCTTTGTCGCAGTTTGGCTTCAGACCACGATACATTTATTCCTCTACCGCAGATACAAGTACTGCCGATCTCGCAGCTATTGCTAGTAAGCGATTTCGATTGTTACGTCACGTATTGGTCGAATTTTTCGTTCGTTTGAAGGCCCCACATCGGGTCGAACTCTGAGCAGGTGGCGGACATCATTCTCTGGCAGACGCAGGAAAATCATACTCTTGACCAGAGTATGGCGCTTTGTCATTTAGAAGCTGAATATGTCCCACCGGTGGTAAGCTGCACCACAGCTATGGGTTGTAATGCTGATTTCCAAGCTAAGTGGTCGGACCCACTGGCAAGAGACCCACATTGGAATCCTCCAGAGAAGAGTTTGTGGGATGTTAGGGTGCGGAGTGTGGTGATGCGATCCATAGCGCAACCGAGACGGCGTGATTGGCATGGACGGGTTTCCGAGGACAACAACAATAAGCTGCTGAACCTCTTCGTGTGCAAGCTGGTGATCATGAAGTCAGCAATCGCTTGGCTCTTGGCTCATCTGCTTCAACTGACTTGAAAGCTACGAGAGAGCCAATGAATCGAACAGCTTTCAGCAAACAGCCAAAATTTGTAGCTTGTAGCCTAGCAAAAGCGTGAGCCGATTATTCAACATCCTCCCATACGCTCTGCCCTGCAATACTCCTTGAAATCGAACGTGCCTACCAAGAAACTTTCGGAAAGTCCAACGCAATGTCAAGGGCCACAAGCGCTCGGGGTCGCCGAGATCCACCATCGCCTGCCAAAGAGCAATAGGAATGCTGATAGCTGCATGTGTTAAAGAAGTCGAAGCTGATACCACTGTCAGTAGGACATTAGCGCTTGTGCCAGCAAACTGTGGTTTCGAATCGTAGCTTGTGTGATAAAATGCTAATTCGGCATAATACTGTTCTCTTCTTCTTTCATGTCCGCCGGGATATCTCATTAGCTACTCAAATCGAGTCGTCAATCCGTCCACCAATGCATCACTGCCTAGAAATGCGTGCCCGAACATACGCCTTACCCAATGCAACGTCTCAAGTCGCTCAAGCGAAAAGTGTCTTGACCGTCTGCTGAGCTTCAGGCGAGAGGCTGGCCAGAAGCTGGTCGGTGGGTAGACCTGCGGTGGCGACGAGTTTCTTGCCAGCGCCAACTATACGTTGTGCCATTTGTCCTTGAAGGGTTTCGGCCTCTAGTGCTAGTGCGATGAAAGTAAAGCATTGTGCAGCCTTGTTCATGACGGCTGGATTTTGGCTGGAAAGATTGTCAGTACAATAAATGCAGATAAGGGCGTGCACCACTTACTCGTCAATAAGCTGAGCAAGGAAGGAATAGGCATAAGGTGCAGCCTCTTCGTCGTTTACGACAGGTAAAGTGTCGACCCAAGCAGCAACAACGTCCGGGATATTCTGCACCTTGCTGTGATTGAAGTGCAGCACCTTTGCGATACTAGCGCAAGCGTTCTCGGTAGCGAAAGCGTCATCGTCGCTTCTAGCATTGGGTCTTCTGGTAACGTCAAAGAGTATAGGTAGGCTGGCAGCGGCGAAGTCGGACCAGTTGCTCTCTCCCTTGTGGGCTGCAACGCCAACGCCGTAACACGCAGCCTGTCGGTTTGCAGCCTGGTCGTCACGCATGCCGTCGACGAGAGGCTGAGCAATATGTGAGTAGTAGTTGTATGATGCCGGTCCGCAGAACTCCAGAACGTCGTCTAATATGCAGAGAGCCCATTGCCGCTGAGTTGGATCCTGGCTCGTGACGAAAAGATCGTAGTAATTGAGCAGACGCTCCCAGTGGGGCAAGAAACTCTGTCCCTGATTCTTGAAAATCGTGTGGAAAGCCTTATTCATGTCCGAGAGGAGCGTCTGGTCGTCCTCAACTGCAAACTCGTAATCCTCGCTTGGCTCTTCGCCATCTTCGCGCTCGTTGGCCTCTTCTGCCCGCTCTTTGACCCGCTGCTGATAGTCCTTTAGAACGCTCTCGGCAGAAGTGATGAATGTGCCCATATGGTCGTTTGAAAGACAGTCCTTACCAGAAACCTCCACAGACTCGTAGAAGCACTGGTACATCTCGGCAAGTGTTTCGATTGCTGGCTCAGTCTCCAGCACCTCAAGAACCTTTTCAATAGTGCCTTTCCACAATTTGAGATACTGCTCCGAATTGACACCATAGGCCACCTTGAAAGAGTTGAGAAGTTGTGGCACAGCCTTGGCAGAAGCAACTCGCACTGGGTCGTGGAAGAAGAACGCCAGTCCAGGAATGGCCACCTTCTCCATGATTTCCATCACGTATGGAGCGAATCCAGCCTCGAGGTTCTGGGCGTAGACGGTGATAAGCTCGATGGCCATGAATTTGTCATCAAGCGTACTGGTCTTGATGCCAATGTATTTGCCCTTGAGCGGCACAAGCTCCCAGCCCTCCTCTTGCTCGATCTGTGCGACGTTTTCCTCATCATCCAAAAGCTGAATGTCCGCCTTGGCTTGCGCAAGTTTCATGAGTGGTGGCATGACGCTCTGCAAGTATGGCACGAAATCTTGGCCAAGCACACGGCACATTCGGCCCCAGCAGTGCAGTAGGTAGCTTTCTTGCGGATCGTCATCGTCAACGATGTTGGCCTGCACGTTGCCGAGGATCTGAACGAGGTTGAGCGCATCCTGACCCATGCGCTCTTTGCCAACCGCCAATGCAATGAGGGTTGCGCACTCCATGGCCTTGGCTCGTAACAGACGCTTGTCGCGGTCGTTTGGCTCCTGCAGCACGCTGAACAAAGCTGGCATAAGCTCTGGATACCACTTGCCAAACGTGCTTTCTGCTGAGTCTGCGACGGTCGCAATGGTGCTGAGAGCTTGCTCTTGAACGAATCGCTTCGGACTACGCAGGAGTTGCATGAGGTTGGTAAGGAGGCCGTCCAAGTACGGCTCCAAGATCTCCTTTTCAGCTTCTTCGCAGAAATTGACGAGGGCAGCAGCCGCGTGTGACTGTACCCGTGGTTCTGGAGCAGTCAAGGTCTCGATGAGGGCGGGTAGCACGATGGCATGGTACTTGGTTTGCATAGTCCCCTTGAAGTCTGTGCTCATCTGGCCGAGCGCATTGCAAGCTGCCCATCGCACTCGTGGATGTGCATCGCGAAGAGTAGGCATCAGAAGCTCAAGGACCTGGTTCAGCTCGCCTTCCATGATCTCGGCGCATCCCTCTGAAATGGCGGATATACACATCAGAGCAGCATGCTTGTCTCTCCACGAATTGGACTGCAGCATTCGCGGTAGCCAGGTGAATGTTGGCGGAAGAAGGTCCTTGCCGCCAATCTTGTTGGCTAGACGATCCATGGTCTGTTCACCCGCAACATGATTTGAGTCGCTCTCCGCGAAGTCTACATCCTCGGAGCCTTGCCAGTCCTCGGCGTCGTCATCATCGAGGCCCACGTCCGTCATCAGTGATAAGCACTGCGTGACCATGTCGGAGATGTAGTTTTTGTCGCTTTTGCAGAGCTTTGGGTTGTAGTCCGCGAAGGTAGCCATAAGTTCAAGAGCATTCTGCCGTGCCGTATCATCCAGATCTTTGTCTCCAATCATTTCAATACAAATGTGTACGAGCGGACCGAAAACTGGCTTGAACATCTTTGAGGCAATCTCAGCCAGATCAATGACAGCCATCAGTGCCCTGGTGAGCAGCTCCGATTCATGCGCTTCCTTGAGCGGGACGAGCGTGCCAAGAACGTCAGGAATGAGGCTGTAGTACTTTGGCTGAGCCTTCTTGTTGAGCGATTGGAAGAAGGATGAAAAAGCTGTCATCGTCGCAATCCTCACGTTCATGTCCTCGTCTTTTATGCCCTTTTGGAACACCGCCGAGATGATATTCTCATGCTGCTTCTCGATAATACCGGGCGTTGTCTCAAAGATACGAAATGCAGACTCCCGTAGCGAGGGATCGGGCGACTGGCTCGCCTGATAGAGCGTGTTGAGGAGGTCTGGCCAAGTGTCTCTCGAGCCATCTAGAGACAGTATTTCCTCGTCTGTATATTGGCGTGCGACCTCGGCCACGGCGTCTGCAATCTTGTGTCTCACAGGCTTCGACTGCTCGCGAGCGTAGGCTTCGAGGAGCTTTGATCTAACTTGCTCTTTCGTGGCGTGGTTCAGTTGTAGGAACACCTCCTTGTTCTCGCCCGATGCTTGGTCTTTGGTCGTTCGCGTCGCTATTCGTCTGAAAATGACGGCAGCAAATGATCGAGTCTGAATAAAAGTCAATGTTTCATTCTACATGGGGAGCGTTTACCGCGCACATACTCCGTCATTGTCAGAGCCGGCCATCTGCTCCGCCAGGCCCATGAGCAGGAGATCTGGTCGCTGGCTGACCCATTCTGCATTAAGCTGCTCTTCGGCCGCAGATCTGGCGGTGTTGTCGGTGGATTGCAGGCCTTGGAGCAACTGGGCGAGGGCGGAGTGCACCTCTTGCGGAAGAACAGACATGTTTCGAAGCCTTTCACCTGCGAGTGTGGGGAAGGCCGAAGTCTCGATTAATTCGCAGTCGCGTGTCCATCCACTTTCTTTTTCTTTGTATCGCTTCTATTCGAGCTCTGGACGTATGTAATGTGGCTTTGGTACTCAGGACGCGTCTGAGAGCGGTAGGGAGAGGATTGCGCGCGGTGGGAGTGTTTGGCGCGGATGATGAGGGACAGGATGATATTTTTTGGCCCGGAGAACAACAAGGGTCGTCGAGGGTTGCGGTTCGAGCCGAGGGTGGGTCCGAGCTCGAGGAGATCCTGGCCAATCGACTCACTACAGCTTCTTGCCCTCTTCTCTTCCTATTCACTTGCAATCCTGAGGTATTTGCGTTTGATCATTCCAAAATGTAGTATTTTCATACAACACCAGCTGTCCAGATGTAGCTTCTATGGTGCATGCCGCACGACGGGGTCCCTTGCTTGAAGTTGTCCGGTTGGACAAACCGTGAGCCACATCAAAATTTCATCAGAATCGACGACTCACTTCAACGACAGAACTATTGCTTTAGTACTTGCTGAGAATGGCTGATCATCACGATATACAGACCGATCGAAACAATTCTTATTAAGCTAAATGTAATCGATACAATGGTCTTTTGCTGTAAGTTTACTGCTGAATAGGCAAACACCGCAACGTTACAGGAAAGAGGCAGACGGGACTGACATGTGAAGCCTTCCCGGGACGCTAAAAGTGCACGGACCAGCCCGCGCCAGATTTCACATCACCCACTTCGCAAGCTCGAAGCCGAAGTTACAACGTGAACGTACAAACAACGGCGCGCGCCGATAAAACATGGCGACGACCTGCGACCTCGCACTCGGCATCCCCATGCAGGCATTGAATATCAACCAGACGCCGGCCGAAGCGGCTCAAGTCGACTTCTTCGAGCGCTTCCCGCCGGTGTTGCTGAACAAGATCTACGAGCAATGCTTCAAGTCCGAATTGCCGATCCGCCTTGCGCTGGTGGAGGATGAGTACGGCAAGCGAGTCGCCATCCACAACACCTGGGAGGTCTCGCCGCCGATGGTCGTGCTTCTCGCCACCTGCCAGCGCATCCACAGTAAGTCCAAACATCACCATTGACTACAAGATCTCGCTAATAACTCCGACGTTCGACTCCAGGCCAAGCTGTCGCACACCTCTACAGCGATAACACGTTCACCATCTTCAACGACACCCGCGCTCTCACTTTATTCGTGACTAAGATCAAGCGCAACAATAAGTACCTGCGCAAGATCAACCTTGAGGTAAGTCGGAGAAGTACAGCAGTAGTAGTAGGAGCAGCAGCAGCAGCAGCAGCAGCACCGCCGGCGGCGGCGGTAAGGTAGGAGAGCAGAGCAGATCAACACATCAAAAGGACGCGTGCGCATTGTCTGCACTCGTCTTCGCGTGGCGCGTGACCGACGCGACAACAGCAGAGAGCATGCGCGCCGTAACAGAGCAGAGCAACAGCACCGACCGCTCCGGCGCCACCGACCAGACTCATACTGACCGCACACCTCCAGACCTTTTCGCCAGTCAACTTCACCCTGCAGACCGCCCTCCCCTCTCTCCGACACCGTACCCACGCCCTCACCTCCCTCACCCTCACGATCCCAGACCCCTACCCAGGCCACCTCAAGCTCCCATCACCAAGCTGGTTCGCCCTCGCCCTCGAACCCTGGATGAAGGAATGCGTAATCGTCCGCCAAGACGCGGGCCAATCGGTAAGCTGGCAAATTCTCAACATCATCCATTTCGTACCTGTCAAGACCATCAGCGAGGACATGGACCAGCAGCGCATCGCTTGGAGCACCTTCAACTTCGACACGGCGGTGAAGATGGAGATGCAGAGGTTGTTGGAGGTTCAGCAGGAGGGTTGGAAGTTTTCTTGAGCGTCGGCGGAGATTGTGGTCTTCTCAGGTATGTAGGCGGAACCACCTTGGCTGGAGGGTTGATCGACGTGGTAAAGTTGGTTTCCAGCGCACGTCTTTTGGAGGAATAAGGACAACAGACTCAGACAGTATTGGGACAGCGATGGTGAACTTCGCGATTTTCCCAATGCGAAAGGAAGAATAACATACACATGACGAGACTAAAAGGCTCTTTCTCATCTCATCATACTCATCTAGCATCAATCGTGAACATACCTCCATACAGCTGTTACGCACAGCGCGAGCCAGGTCTATCTGCCATATTGGCGACCTCGGTAGCTAACGCTATACAGCAACAATGCAGCGCACCCAAGAGCCCTTCACAAGCCAAAGTCCGCCAAATCGAGGGCTTGCTGGGGCGCAGCAGCAATGTCGAATGCTGTACTGGCAATCTGCAGGGTATCTCCTTCTAGGTCGTGGCAGTCAGTGCTTTCAGAGGGCGCCACCTAGGCACGACGCTGACGCTTCCCAGGAACGTAGCCAAATGGCCGAATCGAAGCCTGTAGTTGATCTACTAGTCTCGTGGACACCTCGTCCTGCGTCGACTCTTCTCCATTGTGTTGGGAGTCTTCTTCGCCATTGTCGAGCTGCATGTGCTCTTGCTGCGGAGCATCCCACTGTGAGATGCCGTTCATGATCTGCGGATCCACAGGTAAATCGCCGAATTCAGGGCTGGTGTATTGCACACCTGCCATCGCAGCAGTCGGTGCTGGCTGCTGTTGAGATTGCTGTGGCGGGTGCTCTTCTTGCTCGATTTGACCCTCGAGAGTTGGAGATGCCCCTCCAAGCGTGTCCTGGGTGGGATCGGCGGCCGCCGTGACGGTGTTACGACTTGTCCGAGACGGAGCGGTCGAGTTTGCGGCGGGACCTCGCCGATTGCTGGAATACGACGGCGCGGACTTCAAGGTGCTGACCGTCGTATCTTTGCAATCTACGCAGTTTCTTATGACGGCGCTGACAGTCTCTTTGATGCGAACCCAGTGATATTTCTCGGCGATGGCAGCTGTCGTCTTGTTGATACCGCCGTGGCTCAGAGCGTGTATGTCGTGTGCGATCTCGTATTGCTTGTGGGGGTCGGAGATAACTTCCTTGCCCTTTAGCATGAGCTTCTCCCACTCACCGCTGCCGTCGGTATTCTCCACTAGCTTGTAATGAGTAGCCGCAGAGCGGAGGCGGGATTTCTCTGCGCGGTCGGAGCCGGGTGGATAAGTACCAGTCTTAAGGTAGAATCGAATCTTCTCAAAGCGCTCCTCGGTCACGTATTCATCGCCATCGCCGCCCAACTCGCGTCCGAAGATAATCGCATCAATCAATGTCTCGGGGTAGCTCTTGAGATCTCCGCATCCCTTGACTCTGCCCACGCGCTTGAAACCCAGAGCGTCCCAGATACGCAATGATGCCACATTGGTCTCGTAGACCAAGTTGAATATGGAGTAGGTGTACCCTAGCTTGGGCGCCCATCGGAGGTATCCTTCGCCCATGAGCCTGCCCACTCCCCGGTTTCGAGCGGCATCCGTGACCAAAAAGCTGCCGTTGCAGACGTGACTACTTCTACCTGGGTAGTTTGGCTTGATGAAGAAGCTGCCTAGACATTCTTTTGACCACTCCACACTTCTTGCCTCCATCTGCGCCACCTCTTCGGTCGACTGAATGTCTCCCATGATCATGATAGCTCCGAAGTTCGAGAACCAGTAGTTGCCGAAGTGGGACAACCCCATGGTTTCCGTCATGGGGAGTGTATCGCCCTTTTCGATCTCGCGATTCAGCATCTCGCAAAGGTACGCCATGAGGCGTGCTGGAACTTGCAGCGGCGAAGAGAAGGGAACAAGTGTAGCGATAGTGACTCGATCGCGTAGAGTGACTTGCTTGGGCGCGACTTCGGGAGGGAGGTCTCCATACTGCTCGGGATAGGGCGTTTGACCTGAGGTACGGTACATTGGCGGCGCATTTGGGTCGTCCAACATCGCCGACATGTTGACCGGCGGAAGGGCGCCTTCACCTCGAGAGGATTGCTGTCGCTGCCTGTTGGTATCGTCGGTCAGCCAATCTCAAGAAAAGTACATGCAGTCGCATGACGAGCAATGTGTGCAGCCCAGGTTTGTCGAGTCGTGGTCGGTGGTGCCATGTCCACAATCATCGTTGAGCCTTCCAAGCGCTCGAGAGATGTAGACAGAAGGTCTGTAAGGCAGGTCGAGGAAGAGACGTACCTTTTAAAGCAGCGCTTCTAAGTCGTGAACGATTTGTGCACCCGCAGTCATGCCCTCCGCGCAAGTCTAGTCACGGCCCGGGGATTTTGATTGGAGCGCAGAGCGGCTCCAACCGTTCAACCCACATTGCCTTTCACATGCATTCTCGCTACTCCTTGCTTGGCAACGTGCCTGGGAACATGCTGAGAAGAAGCTCAAGACATCACAGTGACATCTTGACGATCTGAAGTAGGTATCATGGGTGCAAGTTCGTCTCGTTCTACCGGGTATCTTCTATCACAAAACGCCAGCTCCCAGTGCTATTCCCAGGGAATCGAGACCACTCTATGCCATGGTCATGATATGTTTCGCCTTTGATGCCTGCCTATCATCGCCAGCCTAAAACCCGTGACTAGCCTGTCGACATGCAGATTTATGATCCCACGTACCAAATCTCCACTCCCATCACTTCAAACTTCGATCCCTCATCGCTCAAGGCCTCGTTTCCGAAGGTAGGACAAGTGTCGCTGACGCCGTTACTTAGGCTCTGGTCCAGCCACAACCCATAGTGTCCATCGCCCCCACCGACGCTGAGATAGTCTTGCTGGCAGAAGACTTGGTAATCGTTCTCGCCAGTGTAAGGGAAGGCCTTGAATCGAATTCTGTCAGGCGTTGACGCTCCGGGCTTGTGGCCATTCGTTGCAGAGCCGTTGGGCACATTGAGCGAAGCAAGGGATGCCGACGAGCCGTTGTTCGATCGATTCATGCCTATAGTTGTCATTCGCTGGGCATGAGTTGTGTCTGCGCTGGGAGGAGGCGGGAGGTCAAGGAGATCTGGAATTGCCGGCAGCACCATTGCTCGCCAGAGGAAGCATTCGCCATTGCCGAAGTAGTGAGGTTGCGGCTTGGGCGGTTCAGAAAGATAGGCTCCAAACGTGCCGCCTGTTGAGTCCCGTACCACCACCACAAAACCACCTCGTTTGCCTCTAAATTGATCACACAGGCTGTAGAGCGTTGAGAGCGCGCTGCCGTTCTGCTCGAGAGAGTAGATCAACTTCCAAGTCTCCATGAGCTGGAGCCGAGCAGGCACTAAAAGCCTGATCTCCTCAGCTATCGCTTTCCGCAGTAGCCTCGCCTTGCTCGCTGTACTGCTCTTGTACCCATGTAGTGTGAGAGGCGTCAGAGGGGGCGGCTGGAAAGGCGATTTCCTCCGTTGGGGGGCAGACGGCGGGTGGAAGACACCCATGGTGGGGTCCGTCATTGAGCCGTTGAAGTTGGCGCTCAGTGCTCGTGCCAGAGGAGTGGGAGCTTCGTCCTCTGACAGCCTTCTCGCAAGGCCTCTTAAGGTATATGACACGGGCTCGGTGAAGTAGGAGAGGGTGGATATGAACGGGTTCGAGTGTTGAGGAGGTTGGAGGGGAGGTCTAGGGGCATCGGACTCTCGGCGATCTTCCGTAGCGGTCGACATGTCTCCTCTGTGGAGAATGAGTCAGTAGAATACTATGGGTTTTGCATGGTTCTCTCATTGTAATTCAACTGCTTGTCGAAGCTTCACGAAGCAAACCACTACGTCACGTGCGAAGCCCTTGCATCTTGATCGGCACGCTTGCCGAGACGAGCAAGACATTGCATTCATTTGCCGAAGATTCATTCGCTGCTGGTGAGCCGACACGTGCAAGAGTTGCCTGAGCGCCGATACCTGGGATACCACAGATGTCCATGAAGTCCATGAAGTCCAAGAGAGAAATCTGCCAAGCTGAGGGAATATCAAGATCCATCATGTGCATCGATCTTCCTCGCGGAGTAAATAGAGCTTAAATCCGGCACTGCGTAAATCCTCCCATAGCCTCAAACCCAGCGCCACTTCATTTTGGGGATACTTCTCTCAATTCACGCCCAGTGGGTGGCCTCACTATTATTATGAACACAGAGACTGTCGCTCACCAATGCTCTCGTTGAAGCAGATGCAACGGCAATACACACTCTCGCCTGCGGGCGCCATACCGGGAACTCAGAATGCACACCCACCCGAAGCTAGCCCGGCAACCTCACGGCCGACTGGCGCTCGGGACGAAGCCTTCACTGTAATCGAACCAGGGAAGATCACGAAGAAGGCTGTAATGATAGACGAATATGAGACTCTCATCGACACTACGGAAGCTCTACCGTTGAAGTCCAAGAAGACCGAGCGTATGCAAAAGAAACTCCAGAAGAAATTGAAGAGAACGACAGTACGATCCGATACGAAGTCTTTCCTAGATCTGCCTCCGGAGCTGCTTCAAGGCGTTCTGAGCCACTTACAGCCACGAGACATTTTCCCGCTGTTACGCTTGAACAAGGCGACTAGAGAATACATTCTTGATAACGAGAGCGCGATCGCAAGGGACATCATCAGGCAGCGGTACTGGGTTCTGTCGCGCTGCTTTTTCCTGCCGGTCCCTCTGACCGAAGTCGAACCTTCTGCACATGCGGCGTTGAAGAACCCGGAATGGCAAAAACGAATGCAGGTACACAAACGCTATCAACACGTCAAGCCTCACGATGAAAGCAACGTCTGCAGTTGCTCGAACTGTGTCTGCGCGTGGAACGACCTGTGCTTGGTCCTGGACCTGGCTCACTTTCAAGACCACTTGAGCAACAGACAACCTATACCGATCATACCCCGTGGTACATACCCGCAGTGGCATACTCAACTGATAGAACGTAATGCTCAAACTGTCTTGGAGGCCAACAGAAGCCCGTTGGTCTATGCCATGATCTTGCAAATACACCTCGATACCATCTTCAGCACTCTGACTCGGCAAGTCAGGGTTGGCAAAAAGACGTATCATCCGAAACAGCTCTATCATCTCTCACGGCAGGACGTGGAGTCACAGACAGATGCATTCCTCGAACGGAGCGGGCCACCGTCGTACGAATTCCCCTTCCACAGGGACAAGTACCATTATCTGGAAGCCTATGTGCCTAATCGGAAATGGTCAAAGGAAGACCAGATGTGGAAATACGCAACTCCTGCTTCGCCGCATCAGAACAATCTGGCATGGGTCGTGGAGCGTTTTACTCCAGAGAAAAATGGTCTGGACAAGTTTGTATCGTCTTCTATCCAACAGCTACAAGTTTGATGCTACTCAATTCGAATTTTGTCTTCCAAGAGGTCGCTGAAGGGCATTTCTGTGGAGACCATGCCATCTTGGCTAACTTGTATGTCACGTCCTTCCCATACGGCCGACAGTCAAACTCCACCAAATCGCCCACCTGCTGAAAGCCTGCTTCTTGTAAATGGTTTGCCCGCGACCGGCGCTTCGAGATAGGTCGGTACGCCATCCTTCCTGGCTTTCTTGACTCCCCACCGGATCAGCTGTGACGCCGCGCCGTGTCTGCGATAGCGTTGCCGTGTGACCATGGCCACGAGAACCAGTAACATCTGCATCAGACATGCCAATCACGAAAAAAAAAAAGAATTGTAAAACTCATCCCAAAACCCCTTGTCCCTTCAATATCCACTTCCCCTACTCTCTCATCACCCTTGTATTCATATTACGATACAATTCCAAACAATTTCCTCTCTACCTCTCCAACAACGCCTTCGGTACAAACTCCCCAGCACCAACCACTTCACATTCTTCAAGGCTGTATCCACGCTTTAAAAGAATTCCAGCGCGCGATACTTCCACTCTCGCCATGATCTGAGTGTACGGCTTGCTTCTATGCAACGGGCCGCGGTGAAATCCCCCTCGTACCATGCGCGTTGTTGGAGAGTGATTCATTCTATATCTCACCCGCTGCAGAGCTGCTCCATCGTGCGAAGCAAGAACGGGCCAGCAGAGAGGTAAGATAGGCGGTGTTGTCAAAATCTCCTCCACGTCGATGAGAAGGCGTGAGTAGGGTGGAGGAATCAGAAGGGTGTGTGCATGTACGAGATTTGGAAACGATGAGTAGTGAGTGGACTTTGCCGCCACGGCACGTATTGTACAAAAGCCGTTGCGTAGTCGACGAGATGTCGGCGAGAAATGGACACTTGGGCGGTATTTATCTCCATTCTCAAAGTGCAGTGAACATTTGCCGCCGCTGCTGTGAAAGGGCGTATCGCGTTGTTATTTGAAATTTCGACGTGCAGCTGATAGTGACCGGCCCTGTAAAAGAGCGTACCGCGGACATGCCCCATTACCGGTCAAGTCATCCAGCTGAGACGCTATCGTCCCCCAAAGGACAATGTATGACTGTAAACGTTTGAGAACAAATGGAAGCTCGGGAAAAGCGCAAACTGTACAATAGCATTATTCATCTCCTTCCAGAGAGCTAGTCATTATCTGGTACATCTTCAACCTCCACTGCCTTGCCTTTGCCCTTGCCGGTATACGCCTGCTCCTGTTCTCCTTGCGGCGGGTGAGACGTCTCTTCTGTGTGCGAAGAATCCTGGGCTGGCTGTTCGTTCGTTTTACCGTCAAAGCTCCAACCATCTGGACGCCAGGGCGGCGAAGCCTGCTCTCCTACATTCTGAGTAGCCGGCACAAACAAAGGAGAGCCTCTGCCATCCGTAGGCCCAACATCTCGAGCCGTTCCAGACTGATCTGCGACGTTCGTAGGCGGCTGAGTGGGTGAGGCTTCCGTCCCAGGCTGCGATGGATTTGGAGGAGGGACTGGTGAAAGCGATGCATCTACTGAAGATGGCTGCGGTCTCGCAGGCTCAGTAGTAGGTTGCTGAACCGCTGCAATGCTTGCTCCTGCTGATGACGGATTGGATCCTCCGACGGGCCGCAAGGGCGTCACTGTCCACCCTTCGGGCAGTACAAGTCCAGCAGGTAGCTCCTGATGCCCATTTCCGAACTGCTCAGTAGTGTTGCCATGCAGCTGCTGAGGGAGAGCCGGCGCCAGCAGTGGCAGAGAAAATGGTGTTGGCCGTGGAGCACCATTAGTGCCCACAGGTTGGTGTGCCGAAATATGCTGCGCTCGCAATCGCGCCAACTCTGCTTCCATTGTTCTCAAATATGCCAACTGCTGCTGCTCGATCTGAAGATTGTGAGCTTCCTGCATCAGACGTTGCTCAATTTGCATCAGATGAACGTGGGTTGGTACTGGTACTCTTGCGGATCGCGAACCAAGTTGGGGTGCGAAATTTTGTGTAGGAGGATATGGAACTTGAAGACCAAGATGATTGGGGCCTTGTTGGTTTGCGCCGTTCTGGTTCTGATTGTGGTGCTGCTGTTGCTGTTGATTTTGGTTTTGGTTTTGGTTTTGGTTTTGATTGTTTCCGTCCGGGTTCTGGATCTGGTTCAGGATGTTCTGCATCTGACCATTGGGAGCATTCAAGAGACCGACGCGCAGTGGACCAAAATTGAACATCCGTGCTCTGGGGCGTGGTGGCTGTTGTTGGCCTGGCGGTGCCGCATTTCCGCCTGCGCCGCCTGTTGTCCCATTATGCGCATCTGGTGAAATGACGGGCCTCCGACACGTAGGGCAAACCTGCTGTCTCTCGAGCCAAGCCTTGAGGCAGCGGAGATGAAGAATATGTCCGCATGGCAGCTTCTTCGCCCGGAGACCTTCGTCCCTCCTTCTTGTGGCACCGACAGCTGCTGCGCCCGGTTGTTCGCCAGCTGGCTGAGCCTCGCCCTGAGCATTCGGCTGTGCCCACGCGACCATGCTCTCGCGGCATACAATACATGCATCGTCTCTGATCTCCTCTGTTGTCGCATCTGGATATCTCGCGTTCATGTCGCTCGTCGCTTTTCGGTATGCCACGTAGTCGCTCACTCGCTTTGTAAACGACGCAAATGTCATGTATACGTCGCGCATGATATGCATCGGCAGTCCGTTGAAGGTGATGCTGACGGTGAAGAAGACAATGTAGATCATCAACTTGATGAAGTCCGTGAACACCTCCAGAGCGAAAAGGTATCGCCGCTTTTCCTCCCAACCCGGCACATCCACTTCGTTTTCGTCCACCTCGATCGGATCATCCACGGACGGTGGGTCTGGTCTGGCTTCCTGGCCTTCTTCCGCGGGCTCGTTCGCCCTTCGCTCAATCTCTGCTCTTCTTTCTTCCTTGATCTCGCTCTTCCGCAATTCGATAGCTTGCTGTGTCTGCTTCTTCACCACGCCAGCGTCCGCCAAGCTCAATGCATACCTCGTCAGCGTAAACACGGAGAAAATGCATAATATGGCGAATTCAAACGTGAATATCACCATCATGCCCGGCCTTGGATCCGCAATCACGCTTTCCACGCAGTAGTTTAGCATCCAAATATCAAACACCACGCTGACAATCAAACTTGTCGCGAGCCTCGTATGGAATAAGCGTGGGTTTGCCGGCGGTTGTTGTTCCAACACATCCACTCTTCCCTCGCCAATCCAGCCCCAGACCTTGCCAGCTAGCAACAAGACGAACATCGTCAATAGCCAGCCTCCCACATCTTCTCTGAAACTGGGCATCGCGAGTAGTGTGTCCAGAACCGCATACCAGGCTTTCTCCGACAGCTGTTCGATCTCGATCGGTCGAAGTGGGCCGTAGAGGAGTCGCTGTAGTCCATACATAAATCCGCAAGCCATGACCAAGAGTAGATTCGTCAAGATGAGTAGGCAGGCGTTCGACTGGGAGAGGTAGACGGTCGCGCTGTAGAAATTGGGCCGCTGATGGAAGGCCTTCAGCAGACACGCCGCTGCGGCCGCCGTGGAGGCACCGGCGTAGTATGCCAGGCGCATTTTGTCGTTATTCCAGATCACGGAAAGTCTGTATGTGGGTCATCCATGACCATCAGCGAAGAGGTCAGGGTGTTGTCTGAATGGGTCACCGTTGGTCAATCAGTCAAAGGACAGCTGTTTGCCAGAGACGCAAGCTGAGCCGAGAGCTGCGTCGGGGCGTCATTGGACAAAGCGCCGACTTCACCTCATCACAAGGAAAGAACATCCCGACCGAAACGAAAAAGATATCGCTAGTGAAGGGAACGGCAATCAGTCAGAACTCATGAAATCAGTGGCGGATAGATCAAGGTACTTACGAAGAGAAAAGGGTGCAGGAGAAGGATGCGAACCACAGAAGGGCTTGATTCACTTCACCTCATCACAAGGAAATGACGTCCCGACGAAGACAAGGGTTGCCGTGCAATCGAGGTGGATGGTGGTTAATCAGAAGGCATGAAGTTTGAGGGCATGAATCCTAACATCGGTATCAATAGACGTAGGAGAAGGAAGTGAAGCAGAGGAGGGCTTCCCGATGAAAACAACAGTGAGTATGCCAGTGAATGGGAGAGCAGTCAATCATACTGCATGAGAACAGTCGGGTCATGGCATTTCCCACGAAGAAAAGTAGACCTAAGAGAAGAATTCGAAGCAACTTGAAGAAGGGCTGGGTTCCGTCCTGACTTCCTCTCGGCACACAGGTGGAGCATCTCGAGGAAAACGACACAGACGATGCCACTGCCGAAATGGAACAAAGCAGTGAAAATGGATCAATGAGGCTACGAAGACAAGTAGCAGGTGGAGAAAGACGTGAAGCAAAGGCGGGCTTCTTTGCGACTGGACTTCACCTCAACACACGAGACGACCATCGCCAAGAAAATCACAGAACCCATGCCATTACAGGTGATGGTCGTCAGCTGAGACGAAGCAAAACAATGCGGATGAATCAATGGAAGGGATCAATGTAGAGACGGGAGAGGAAGTGGACCAAAGAAAGGCTCCATTGTATCACTATCTACTCTCAAAACTGTCTATCAAAACACCTCGAGAAAGAACGCCCTGGGAAATACAACGAAAGTCCTCTCGACGGCGCACTCTCGGATGCTCACATGAAGAGCATCACCGCAGCGGTCAAGCCAAGGAGAGCGCCAATACCAGCCTTGGCACCAGAACTGACCGGCATTGACTCCGTTGGGATTGGCGGCGAGGGGTATTTCAAAGCGGAAGTGGAGTGAAAATATGACTGGGAGGCTGTCGACATGCTTGGAATGCCTGAAGTGCTGTTGAAGTGCATGAAGGTCGACATGGTCTCGTGGGCATAGCTGTGAGGGTAGATCGCCATGGTCGAGACCGGGTACGTCTTGTGCTCAGTGGTTGGCATGGGGTAGGTCTTGGACTCGGGAGTCGACACTGGGTACGTCTTGTGCTCGGTAGTCGGCGTTGGGTACATCTTGGACTCGGGAGTTGAGACTGGATATGTCTTGTGGTCGGTGGTTGGCATTGGGTACGTCTTGGACTCGGGAGTTGAGACTGGATACGTCTTCTGCTCGGTAGTGGACATTGCGTACGTCTTGGACTCGGAAGTTGAGACTGGATACGTCTTCTGCTCGGTCGTCGGCATTGGGTAGGTCTTGGACTCTGGAGCCGACAACGGGTACGTCTTCTGCTCTGTGGTTGGCATTGGGTAGGTCTTGGACTCGGATGAGGAGACCGGATAAGTTGGAGTGACTGGGTAGGTCTTGGACTCCGGCGTGGAGACTGGATACGTCTTGGGTGGTGGTGGAATGCAGTACTCCGGTGTGGTGGTGACAGTCACGGTGACCGGCTCAAAGTGTGGGTATGAGTACGTGGGCGTCGACACTGGGTAGGTGACCTGACGCTCTGTATGATCTGTCAGCAACACAGAAAACGTTGAAGGGCCGGGAGTGTTCTGACTGATCAAGCTGCGGTCACACTGAGTCTGACAGAACTCGAGCTCCTTGGCGCCAAGCTTTGCTTCGTGTGCGCAGACTCTGCAGTCGTAGCTCTGTGCCAGAGCGGAGCCTGTGTCTGAAATTAGCGAAGGGCTCAAACGCAAGTGCAAAGGCAACAAACCGAGCAGGACAGCCGCGATGGCGGCGATGCACTTGGGATGCATTGTTGCGATGGGTCTTTGGTTGGTTGTGATACCGCTGTGTTGTATGGATGCGTGCTGGAGCAATGTTATGCGGTGCTGCGGTGAATGGGGAATGCTGGCAGTGTGCAATATGTGTGACAGATGAAGAAGAGGAGGAGGAAGAGGAAGAGGAGGACAGGCAAAGTAGAGAGGTAGAAGACAAACAAGCGCTTTGGCCATCTGGGCTGTGCTTGTTGACGGGGAAAGAGAAGCGCCAGACGAGAAGGAAGCGGCCACCGAAAGCGTATGGCCGCGGCATGTATCGATCCCACGGATGTCCACATTCTCTGCTCATCCCCGCGATATCCCTTGGAGATACTATGACGGACGTCTAAAAGTCGAAACTCGGCCTCGATAAATCGTAATGCATCCCAAGGGGCTTGGTGCACGAAGATTTGTAGGAGAAGCCAATTGGAAGGCGTAATTTGCTTGGTGGGAAACCGCCGAGCCTTTTGGGACCTCCAGGAGAAGGCGAACCTCGCAGGCGAAATCAATCTCGAATGAGACTGTCGGTCCAATGTGGTGAAAGTCGCTCCTTCCTCATCACATGCAAGCGCGGAACCTTCCGAGATGGCGCCGGGCCAGTCCGCCGTGACTGCTTTAAAAGCCGACCGACCGCGCAAGCTCTTTCTCGAAAACAAACAAACCACAAACACCACACTCGTTTTGCATCCATCTTCTCTCCCTCACACACCTCTGCCCCGACAGCAGCACAACAGCAGCACACTCATTCCACCGCATCGAAATACATCCGCCAACTCGCACCATGCACGTCATGCGCTCGAGTGTCGCCGCCGCCGTCATGGCTGGCTCCGTCAACGCTGCCGCCATCCAGGACGCTGCGGCCGCAGTCGGTAAGTCGAGTACAGCCTCTATCATACCTTGCACAGCGACTGATCCTCTTCTGACATTGCAGACGCCACCAATGCCGTCGTGTACGAGCACTACATCCCCGCCAAGTACATCTCCACCGTCTTCGAGACGAGTCTGGTGTCGGTGATGAGCTGCCCACCAAACGAGACCGCCTGCCCTCTGACCACCGGCGTCCTCACCTCCATCATCCCCGTCTCCACCACTGTCTGCCCTGCTACTATCACCTCAGTGGTCACCAGCGGCAACCCGACCGGCTCTGCTCCTCTCCAGACCGTTACCGTCACGGGCACCGAGACTATCACCGTCAACCCAAGCACGGCCGTCCCGACCACTGCTCCTGGTCTACCTACTACCGCAGTTCCAGCTAGCATGGCCGGCCCATCGTCCATCGTCTCCGCTCCAAGCTCGGCGATCACCAGCTTTCCCGTCCCACCAGCGGGTCCTGCTCCAAGCGCCCCATCTGCTCCAGCGTCTCCGGACAGCGCCTCCACTCCAACTGGAGTGACTGCTGGTGGTGTCACTGGCTCTGAGGGCGCCGCTACTTCGACTGTCCAGACCACGAGCACTAAGCGCGTCACGAGCACCGAGTTCGTCACCGTTCCCGCTCCCACCACAGCCGCGATCTCGAGCGTTCTCAGCTTCGTCCCCACTACCCTCACCACTCCAACGACCTCTTCATCCACCAACGTCGTTGGTCCAATGAGTACTGGCACCGGTGCAATTGGTGGCATGACGCCAAGCAGCAACGGCACCTTCTCGACGGCGGCCCCATCTCCATCGGCCGAGCCGTTCTTGGGTATCGCATCTCAACAGGTGACTTACTCTCTAAACCAATGGGTAGCCTCCCGTACTAACTTTTCTGCAGGTTCCTGCTGGGATCGCTGCCGCCCTCGTCTTCGGCGCCGCCCTCTTCTTCGTCTAACGTCACGACCTGCAGTGCGAGTCCGAGCTGGTGTGGAGGCTTTGTGCATGGATATTGAAAGGCATGGACCAACACGCATCTCAGCAGTTTGGCTCCGGAATGTAGCATTGACAGGAACCCCAATGGCAGGTTACTTGCATAGGGAATGCGAGAGAATACGTGATGACAAGCGTATATCTCAGAACTATAGTCCGGTACACTCAGCGTACATGTCAGAACGTTTCCGAGTCATCGACATCACCATGTGTGTGTTCCCCACAAACATAGCTCATAAGATGCTACTGTTCTCCTCCCCGTTGCCTCCGTTGACTCTCGAGATCCTCGGGAAGGTTACTCTCTCCGCAACAAGAACATGGCGACACCGCCTTTCCACCGCCTACTGGCATTCTACTCGAACCGCAATACTAACGATACGCAAACGATACGCCTTCAAGACTCGATACGCGGCAACCTCGCATTAGGCCTCGACTTTCCAGTAGCACTCGGAGTAGCCATCGGACGACACGTCTGGCTTAAAAACACCGGTTTCTTCTCCCTGAACATCCACGTACCCTCCGTCACATGGCGCGAAACACCACTGCACGACGTAAAAGTTGACGAAAAGCGAGAATACACCTGTTCTGAAATCATGAGTCTCGCTCGGGAGAAGAAAGGGATGTTCGGAGCCGTGGATGCCATGGGACTATGGGCGTTGGCGGCGGATGTGAAGAGTGGGAAGTTGAGGGGCGAGGATGTGGTCGGATTCCAGGAGGGAAGAGTGTTTGAGAAGATTGAGAAGCGGAGGAAGTTTCGAGGGCCTGGGGAGCAGGTATTGCCGCTCTGGAGGGGAGGGCCGATCTGGGTGGGTGGACATTCTTGGGTTGTGGGGAGGATGTTTGGGGTGAGGGTGTATTTGGACGGAGAGGGGGACCGAGGGGCGGAGTGAAGAAGGCATTGGGGAGACCTTTCGAATACATATTTGATGCTGGATGGTGTTCATATGGCTATGGATTTCGTCCTCCCTCCTCATGGCTGAGATCCTTCTTCGAGGGCTGGGGAGAGTTGAGGTTGAATGTCAAGTCGATGCTCTGACCTCCTTCTGGGCGAATCCTGATATTGCTGGCCTTGGAATGGAGTGTGATGGTGGAACCTTCTGGACGAGTTGACCATGGACGAGTTGACCATGGACGAGTTGACCATGGACGAGTTGACCCATCACTTTCCGGTCCTCCTTCGGCTTTGCGATCGGCTACTTCTGGAGTACTGTTGTCGGATCCTTCATGCCTCCCAGCCTGGCGTCGATCGACCAAAACTGCCCGGTTTTACTACGTACGCAAAGATTACCCCCAATCTCGCCGGCCACATAAGGCTTTGCGTGTCCATCTGTCCATCTGTCCAGACGACGAGCTCTCTGTTGGTGGAAGTACCAACTTCGAGTCCGGAAATGTTGTGTTGCACATCTGCAAGAAGTCGCTCCCGATACCTGGTTCTTTCAGCTGCTGGCAGAAAGCGGCATAGGCCCTCACGGAAGAAGCGATGGAGTTCAAGCCCAGGCCGGTGACCGTCGGCGCGAGTTTCTGGGCAGAGAAAGCGATCGAGGCAATAGCGAAGACGACCGCTGCTGTACGAGCGCCAATCCAGCGCGAAGTGATCCGTCATACTGATATGGTGGACCAAGGCAAAAATATGATGTTGTGGGAATGGTGTCCCATCAATTCGTGGAAAGACGACCAAAGCTTCATCAAACGATTCAATGCACCACGAAGGAAATCCCCTTAACGAACTCACCGCTGGGGCCTTTGCAGCGGCAAAGGACTTGCTCAGATACTTGCTGGTACGCCGGAAATTATGCATACACGTACTAGATCATACTGGCTTCACAATACCTCTCGGGCCTCCCAGAAAAATTCATTCCTATACGCGATCGTTCCTAATACCACGACAATGCATTCGCTCTCGTATCAGCCTTCGAGGCTGTCCCCGTCTTGCTCTTCCTCCAGTCCGGACGACCTCTCTGAAGTGCTCCCTCTCCGATCCGTTGCCGAAGAAGAACTACTGCCATCCACCACCTCCGAGCTCTTCCTCGCATCACCACTCTGCTGGCTCACAGCAGTCTCTTCTGAGCTCTGTCTCCCCGAAGCGTTGCTTCCAGATGGCAGCTCCGAACTCTTCCTCGCATCACCACTCTGCTGGCTCACAGCAGTCCCTTCCGAGCTCTGTCGCTCCGAAGCGCTGCTTGCAGATAGCTCGGCCAACGGAATGGCTTCCTCGTTCACTTTCCCGTCGATGCGAGGGAGGTGGTCATAGTAGCCCCTGCGCACGCCAGTCTCAGCACTTCTCTCTCCGTCTGTGATATCAGATAACGACGGAACGTACGATTGCAGTCTGCGTTTGTATTGGCGCCAATACCATGCTGAACAAGAAATGAAGATGAAAAGGATCGGGAATAGGCTGCCTAGAGCACCGAAGTTGCCGTGGAGTATCGGATGGCGCAGGTTGGGATCCGACGTCGCTGTCGCTGTCGACGAGGCAGGAATGTCCATCGTGGTTCACGAGGGGGGACCAGATCTGTTGCTGGTCTTTCCGAAGGGAAATTTGGGGATGAGAAAACGAGACGCCTTGGCTGATGGTCGTTGTTGAAAGCGAACATGAAAGGAAGATGTACGAGATGTCAGATGCCCGGCACGGCATTTCCATATTGTCGGGTGAGCATACAAGGCAGTCACCTCTAATAGGGAAATCGCGATTGGACGAGAGCGAGATTATTCATCTCCATCTTCACTCGTACAAATTTCACATCACACAACTCACCTCGCAAGAGCACTTGGGGGCGTACGCAAGAACTACCTAGTACCATCATGCCTTTTGTCTTTTTTTTTTGTTGTCCAATTGACGCCTGAACTGCCATCACGAAAACGTCGCCGTATATGTAGTTCTCACTCATCGACGTCAATGCAGCAAAAGGCAATCAATACCCAGCAAAAAGCAGAACCCATCACACACACACACACACACTCTCTCTCTCTCTCTCCCCCCCCAAATCTGCCGCCTTCCTTCCCTCCAGGAGCATCCTCCTTATCCTCCTCACAACACCCAAACCCATCCAGCCCACCTTCCTTCTTCTTCTCATTCTTGGAAGCGGATATCGCGGCCCTCGGCCAACACACCACACCACGCCACGGTACGCCACAGTACGGTACGATACGATACGGTACGGTACGGTACGGTACGGTAACCCTTCCAACAGAACCAGAACTCCTCAGACATGCTCTTCTACAGTGCAGAGAGCCCATGACTTTTTGGTGCCCCCAGCTCGCTCGGCGTGCCGAAACGGGTGAGCAAAAAGAAACTACCCCCCACGGTACGCTTGCGCGGCCTTTTTGGAAAGTAGAAAGCTTAAAGTTGTCCACTATTGTGATGAAGGAATCTGTCATGCCAAATCATCAATTCTCCGATTCATGCGCAGAGTACTAAAGCAAGCGAGGGTTTGTCTTCAATTTGTTGTTGCTAGTAGTCCCGTCTACCATAGTAGTCTCCCCTTGGTGCATCCATGGCGCATGCTATTTGTCTACCTACTGGTCAGCTTTCTCCCTCGGCATGAAGAGACGTTCTTGCGTCGGTAGGAGAGAAGGGATAGACAGGTGGTAGTTAAAACGTTTCTGTCATGGGAGACTACCAATGCGTGTCATGAGCAAGATTTGGTATTGGTATTATGAGCAACATAATTTTCTTTTAGTCACTCAGTAAATTCAGCAGATTCTTGCGTGACTATAGATTTCGTATATTGCCTCGTTCAAATAGCTCAGTGCCGTCGGAATTTGAAGCCTCCCAAGATGTTGTGGAATCAAGCTGGGGATTCCAGCGATTCGATGCATGTTCCCATGCACACCTCCGGTGCTCACCATATCCAAAAAGCTCTCTGACTTCGTATATCCAGTACGTGCTACCAACAGCACGCTGCAATGTCGTGATATCAAGGAGAATCGCTGTTCATTCGTTACCGCGAATCAATTCGACTTGTTTTCATGCCGTCTCGAGGCGCCAATGACCTCAAGTAATACAAGAGTGGAATGGTATAAAGGCGTATAGTACGGTCGTCTCGGGCGATTTCCAGTCATCTGGGGCACGGTGCTCGAGCTGGGTTACTCCAGCCCGTCCGAACTCCGGTGAGGCGGATGCCGGGACGTTATTGCCAGGCATTGTTTCATGCAATGGCTAGATCTCGTTTCATGTGGATGACAGCGAGGCCGGTTGCTGGTTTTTGCAACAAGAAGCGGTCTGCCGGTTTCGATCAGGTGCGCTGCTCCAGTATGCCACTTCAGTGATTGTGCAATCCGCGAGTACTTTTATATAGGGAACCCCTTCCCCGACGGACTTCAATCAGAAGCAGCCGCATAGTTGAAGAAGTCCGTGTCATTCCAGTTCACTTCTTCTGGGGTGACCTGACCGCTGTTTCCGGCAGTACTGGCACCAAAATTCATGTCCCAGCCTCCGTAACTCGAGTCGTCGAAGTTACCGAAGTCCTTGTACATGTTGTCGAAACCGAACTCTAGGTTGGACGATGCGCTTGCCGCAGATTGCGGTTCTGAAACAGGCGGTGTGGGTTGGCTGTGTGCAATGGGGAAGGATGTGAGCGTCTGATCCAGACCTTGAAGGGTAGATGGACTGCCATTCGGCGAACTTTTCTTCGGTTTTCCATTGGGATTGTATGAATAGGTACCCATCGATGGCATTGGTACACCTGGGGTCAATTGCGACGGAGAGACAGCGTTTGCGAAGGCTGGCTGCCCATCGATGAGCTGCTGCGTCTCGATTGGCAGCTTCGTGGTGAGGGGGTACATCTGCTGCTGCTCGTAACCGGGTGTGGGCGGTGTCGCAGCAGGAACACGAGCATGCTGCTGGGATGGCGGTGTCGGAACTTGCTGTGGTGACTGACCAGACTTCTGATTCGACATTGGATGTGGACTAGGTGGAAGACTCGAGGCGCTGTGCGAAGGAGATGTGCCCTGTTGAACGGGGAGAGACGGCCGCCGGGAGTCCTGAGGCATTGGCGTAGCCGCATTCGAGTACGGCTGTTGCTGTTGTATCGATGCAGCGTGACCATGAGAGCTGGGCCGGACATTTTGCATGCTCGGCCAAGGGGACTGGGGTTGTCCATTGTTGAAGGCACCATTCATTGCCTGCGGTGACATTGTACCGGCCTGGAAATTGTTTTGCATCATGGGGTTGAGGAATTGGTTGGCGTACTGGCTCTGGTTGGCCTGGAATATGGCCTGGTGCAGGTAGTTCCTGACGCCGATCTGGCCGGCCAGGTAATTGTTGACGCGATCAGTAAACGCGGGATTGTTGTAGGCGAGGCCAGGGTGGAGGGCGTTGATGCGTCGGAACTGCATGGGGAGATCATCGTCCTCTTCTTCGTACATCTCCTCGTTCATCACGTCTTCCTCACGGACGCGAAGCGAACGACCAGTGCGTTTCTTGTGAATCTCGGAGGCACGGCGCGCCGACTCCACCCGGGCTTCGAGACTGCGGTCACTTCGGCGAGAGGCAGCGATGTACGCTCTTTGACAATCGTCAGCGGATGCTAGCGGACGCGACAGAAACAAAGCATGTTACCTTTCCTGATTCTCCTCGTGGGTCCTCTCGGTGCGGACGGGCTTGACGGTCGGCATGGTGCGGATGGGCGGCATGATGGCGATGGGCGCTCGATTGGAATCGTCTGCTGGGTAGAGGGGCTGTGCTGGAACGTCTGGTCAGCGGCTGATGACGCTGTTGATGTCGGATCGACTGCGGCAGCTGCAGATTGATGGAGGAAACATGGAGGTGGATGGAGAGGACGGGAGTGGGAGAAGACGAACCTTGGGTGGTGAGAAAGCCGAGTGTTTGAGTGGCCGCAAAGAAGGCGCAAGCCGGGAACCGCTGGTGGTGGTGCGGGGAGAGGTGTCGAACGCTGGGGTGGCGAAACGTCGGGATGTCGGGTTCGTCCTCGGGTTTGTCTAATAACAAACGATACAGAGGTATCAATGTGCCTGCAGTGAGAGGGTTGACGACAGAAGAGGGGATGGAGATGGGAGAGGTGCAGGAGGCGTGGGAGGAGATAAAGCAGCGCAGCGCAGGGCCACCCGTCTCCCGGCGTCGCTGCGCTGCGTGGTGAGCTGGGGCGCAGGCGAGCGACAAGTGCTGGCAGATCCTCAGATCCTCAGATCCCAGATCCCAGCCGGCATGGCTAGCGGCGAGACTAATCGTGCCCGCGCCCTGTGCCCGTGCCCGCTCGCAGTGTGCAGCTCGCAGCTCGCATCGCCCTCGTGGAGAGGTGTGTGGTGTCGAGAAGCGGGGCGGCGATTGAGTTAGAGTCGCCCTCCGAGGGGCGCTATCGCGGCCGCTGATTCGTTCGCTGATGACTTCGATGCACCCATTCCCTTCTGGGAAGGACCGAGCAACGCTCAAACCGTCGCACAGTGGTCGGGTCACTTTGCTTGGCCCATGTGTGATGCCATGCGGCGCGATACCAGACACCCGTCTTCCATCCTGCGACATGCTTCCATCCGCCGTACACTACTTGACTACCTCACACTACGCCCTCAGACGCAAGTGCCGGCTCTGAACCTCTGTTTGTGAAGAGATTCCGACATCACGTCTAGCACATTCTCCGCAGAACCCCTCATGGCTGTGCCCACGGAGTCCCCTCCGACCGGCCTTAGCTCCGTGGGGTGGAAACACGACAACGTCTCCAGCCAGAGACGCTTCATCAGATCTGTGTGAGCGTTGTCGTTATGCGTGTCAAATTCCCTCCCAACGGTCCCGCAATCTGCGTGGCTCTGTATAGAATCCCTGTCAGTAGAGTTTCTGCCACCGCTCTCGTTTGATGAAGTGATTTGTTGCTCGCTCTCCCTGGTCGCTCTGACATTTCTATGCGTCCACAATGATTACATGTGCGTCGCGTCTAAGTCAAGTGAAAGACTACTTCCATCTTCCCTGCCGTCGCTTTGTGATATTCTCCTTTCAGACACGCTTGCACGCGGAGCTGAGATGAGCGAGCAGATCTTCGATCTGGGACAAAGTGGTTGCTTTCCCGCACGGCCCAGGAGATTAAGTTCAGCGGAGCGCGGAGTCTAGCGAAGCAAATCTATGGACCATGCTGTTCTCGTGCAAGCGCGATCTCACTGATGGAGAGTTTCTTTCCTGGTGAAACGAGACACCGTCTCCTGCAGGATATGATGTATGCGCAAAGGGTGTCATTGCCAGAGCGAGGGGACAGACCTGTGCGTATTCCCGTGAACCCTTCCTTTTGTGCCACGACACGCCACACACCTACAGCACATCAGGACCCGCGAGAGCCGTGCCACTCATGCTCGCCCGCATCCTGGCTCTCTGAGAGATGGGTGACTGGGACTGGAAGGAGAATGGCGCACTGGATCTGCAGCTGGGAGACGACGTAGCACCTCACGAATATTCCCGAAGCGCGCGTCGGACCCTCGATATCGTGCGAGATGCGAAGCTAGCATCGCAGGACCTGGCCGATCCCTTTTGCCACCTAATTATTTGCACGCGAGTCAATCAACTAGTAGGACACTGACACGTCTGCAGGCCTCGTTCTTACTCTCTCATCACAACACTGGGTGACTGGATGGAGTCTCGCAGGGAGCACCACTCTGTCGAAACAGGCGTCAACCGCGATCATTAGGGCCATATATTCAGGGACGAGTTGTCTGATCGACCGGCGCTGAATGCTTTCTCCAATGCGATGGGATATTCTTCCAATTGCTGCTGTCGAGAAGTTGGGATCCTGAGATACCACGATACATGCACCTTCGGACTTCTCTGCTATGTAGGTCGGGAGGGTTCGAGGCGGACAAACCAATCGCTTCCATTCCTGTGCGATTCACTTCCGTCGGCCGCATTTCTATAGATGCCGCTTGGCCGCACGATGCATTGCGAATAGGAGCTGCGTCCCAATTGAGACGTCCTTCGAAGGGCATTGCAGGATGCATTCGCCTGTTGTCGCGGCTCGCTTGTGGTCGTGCATGCATACTCATCCAATTCCTGGGTCTTCAAAACCAGCTGCCTGGAGGAGCTCCTACGGGCGCAAAGAATGGTTGAGATGCGGGTCGCACTCTTTCGAGAAGTCGGACACTCACGACCCTGCACAAACGGATTTAGAGTCGAAGCGTACAGTGAGGTGTCCCGCGGAAGGCAATAAAAATAGTGGTCCACCCCTGGATCGTTCCCGCAGCCAAAGAGCGGGACAAATCTGTCGCTCGCATGCTGCCGTCCTCTTCCGGGGTTGGAGCTGGAAGAACGTTTCTGTTATCTAGATGAAGCTCGGCACTGAGGCATTGGATCATCCTACAGTTTCTAAACCCATCTCTCTCCATGCTTCTAGGAGTGTAAGCGTTGGAGGGGACGGTATCATCCCTGCAAGCCATTGCGAAATACTTGGTCCCAACAGCACATCGACTACTCTTTCAGTGTGTATACCACTTCTCGTGCATCGCATCGCCTTCGGAATTAACACCGCCCAACATCACACCTCGCGATAGCCATCTGGTTCAAGACGTTCATGTTCCAGCGCCTGTGAATTTCGGCCGAACTCCCATCCTTCCGTCCCATGCGCCTGGCCATCCCAGCATCGCGGCGTTATCGCTCCACCACCGAGGCTCCGAACAGCTCATGATCTTGGCCCCGGACAGCTCCCGTTCCGGAGCATTTTCCTCGAAATAATACAAATCATTCTGAGGACATCCACCACCATCACATCACAACTCTGAATCGCGGCGACCTGTCCGGCGGAGGGTTGACGCCTACTACGTAGAACGAACTAATTCCGTACCAAGAAGAAGGGGTACCCCTACCTTATAAGACGAGCAGGATCGGCGCGGGTAATAAGTAGCGCAGTAGCGTGGAATCTCTTACCCCAGCAAGGATTAATAAGGGCCAACACCTCGGTGCTCGGAGGCCCTTCTGCACCGCATGCCCTCCCCGTCTGATATTGTACAAGGATGGAATACCTCGCACCCGTCCATCCATTGATGCTGAAGGAAGTCACACCAGGCGCCGCTTTCTCAGATTTCGGTAATAACGAGATTCCTCCACGAGCAATCGGATTGCAAGCAAGCAAGCGAGGAGAGAAGAACGATGGGGTCCGGCCGAGATGCGAACCGCGTGTCATATCGCGGGACAGGCTTTGCGTCAATCGGGATTCCAATGCCATGGCTGAGGTGCTGCAACACGATCTGAAACAACTCGATCTCTCTCTCTCTCTTGCTCTGCCGTCCTGCCGGCTGGTGAAGCAAGCACGTCAACGGGCGGCATTGCAGGAGAGATGTCGATGCGATGACATGGGCATTTATGCATCGTACGGACGATGCGCCGACCGGCATCGCACACGTGGCGAACCATCCGTCCTCCAATCCGCGATCTGAACATTATTGCTTAGTTTGGCTCGCTACTTCTCTCCAGCTTGCGAGCAATTCGTGCGCTTTCTGGAATATCAGCCAAGGAAAAGGAGACGCGTCACAGTCTTGACCTCCACGTTGCTGAGCCCGACGCCGTCGCTAGGAGGCCTCCATACAACAACGCAAGACATGCACCCTCGTCAAGCAGAAGCAAGACTGCTATGTCCTCCGACAAGGTAGCTTGATGGCTGGTCTGTGGTCTTCTGCCGCCCAGAGATTCTCCCTACGTACGCAGACCACTGCACGGTGGAACGGCAAGTTGAAATTATTTTGCATCACATCTCATCGTCACGAGCGCAAGATCACGTAATCTTCTTGCTCCCACTTAGCTTAAGACTGCCGACCAAGATCTGCCACAGAACAGCTGAGCAATCGATCCGCCGACCTGTCCAATGGCACTGAAAAGACCACACCAATTCCTTTCATCGTGTCTGGCTCGTATCTCATCACAGTGTCTCAATCAACTTCCGCAAAAGCAAAAAAGCCCGCAGCATCTCGTGGATTCCAGCTTAGCTCTCTCACTCAAAGAAACTCTTCCTCACCCCCCTCACCCTCCTCGTCCTTGATGACCTCCTCCATCTCGCCCTCAGCCTCACCCTCCTCGGTAGCAGCGACCTCCACCCTCGCCTTCTTAGCACGTGGCTTCTTCTTGTTCTTCTCAGCAGCAGTGGAAGCAGCGCGCTTCTTCGTCTTCGAACCTCCAGCCGCCTTGCCCTCATCAGAATCACCACCACCACCACCACCACCACCACCACCAGTAGTAGCAGCAGCAGCAGCAATGCCAGCGCCGGAAGTCAATTTCTTCAGCGCATTCTGATACGTCTTGGCGGCCGACGCGACGGATTTCGAGCCCAGGAGCGTCGCGAGTTTGTCGTAGTCGACCTGTGTGGAGTAGGACCGTGGTTAGTTTTAAGTGACGAAAACTATATCCAAAAAAGGTAGTGTGTGAGTGAGTGAGTGGATGTACTTTTGGTTTCTCCTCGAGACAGTGGCCCCAGGCGAGCAGGAGGATTTCCTGCTCACGCTGGGAGAGGGGAGGTCGGGTGGTGTCGGACATCTTCTGATGGGTTTGGGATGGTCTTGGGTTCTTGGACTGTTGTGGGTGGTGGAAGTGTTATAGGTGGGAGGAAAGTGTGGGAGACTGTAAGAAGAGGGAGAGACAAGACTGGGTTGAGTTGCGAAGAGAAAATGAGGAAAAGGATGTGTGGCCGTCTAAAGTGAAGTGAGGTGAGGTGAGGTGGAGTTTGAGGGTTTGTGTGGTTCTTATCACATGCAAAAACCTTCCTTCTCGCGTGTGAGGTCCAATTCGCAGTCTGAGGATGGAAACAGTGTAGTTTTGATCGTGGATTTTTCTTTCGTTTGGCTTTTGCCTTTGGCACAATGTTATGTCTACGCATTGCGCTCTGTGGGTGAGAGTCGCCTGGCGCTGGCTGACACTCGCAGAATTCCCGTGTTCGTACTCCAAACGCCAGACCGGACGCTTCGCACCCGGCGTTTCGCATTTGAAGCCTCCTTGCCTCTGCAGCTCGTAACAAACTGCCCTCTTTCTCGTACAATTTCGTCCACGCTCGCTTCCTGCCTTGGCTCTCGACTGCTTGATATGAGCTTGTTTCTCCGACACATGCGCGGTCTCGCAGCGCTTAGAACCCGCGTCCACCTCCACGGCCTCTGCCCCTGCCACGCCCTCTGCCGACACCGCGGCCACCTCTGCCACCGCGCATGCCGCCGGCGCCGGCGCCGCCGCTCTTGTCCTGCTCTTTCCGCGCCTTGTTCTTCGGCTTTGGCGCATCATCCACCAGAAGCGTATCAAGCGGTAGCGAATCCGGCAGAATATAGTATCGAATCTCGCTACCACGGATGCTGATCTGGTCGAGGGCAATCTGAGTGCCGTTCTTGGGCGTCATCTTCGCGTTTTTGAGGTTCGTGTTCATTTGCGGCGAGACGGAGGTGATGGTGCCTTGCACGATCGTGCCTGCGAAAGGGTACTGTCAGTACAGGAGGTTGGGGAAACTCGGATTGGTGCTTACCGGTCTTGAGCTCAATCGTCACCGTCTCGTTCGTGCATTTCATCAAGAACCTACCACACGCGCCTGTCAGCCAGGCTCCTTGGATCGCAGCCTTCGAATTGTCGTTCAGCATGCGCCGAGCTTCTGCGCGATGGAGGTGTAGCTTACCTGACGAGCTTCATCTTGACGCTCGCGCAAAGAAGCGCGTTCTCTAGTCGATTTGTTAGAAGTGAGGTCTCCGAAAAGTGTCTTGCAGTATTGTGTTGGCGCGTTTTGCAGAAGTGAGGCTCGTGGTGTTGCTTAGCTTGGTGATGTGCGACTGATGAGGTTCAGATCTCGAACTTTTGGCGCACGCTAGCATCGCACGGATCAGCATCACGTGACCAATTCCAAAACAGTCACAGGTAGATGAAGGCAAAGACGAAGGGATTGAAATGAGAAAACCGTGTCAAGAGGTCCAAGACGCGGTGGGATGTCCTTTAGATCTTGCACAACATTGGTATCCAGCAGTCGTGTGACTCCCTAAATTCCGAATCCAAAGGCGAACATCATCGACCATCTTCCACCTTCTCCCACTCACTATCCGTACTGATCTCACTCGCGCTCTTGTCCCCGTCACCCTGTCGCCGATGCCTCGAATCGATAGCTCCTGCCTTGGCCTGCGACCCTGTTGCTGCAGCGTAAGTCTTCCCGGTAGCCGCAACATTAGGCGGAGGCATCTTCATGGCATCTTGTATCTCCTTCTTTACCCTCTCATCCTCACTCGCACCTCCAAGCTCCAGACTCGCCGTACTGTCTCTCATACCGCCCTCCACTTCGGTATCCTCTCCTTCATCGTCGGCATCAACCCCTCCATCCCCGCCCTTGCCCGGCGACCTGTCGCTCTTCCTGCGTCTCAAGCGTTCTGCTTCCGCTTCCTTTGCCTGGGCGGCTTGGATTTCCGCTGCAAACCAGTTGATGGAATACCAAAGTCCTCCGCATAGAAGCGACAAGATGGCGAAGTGGATGCTGTAGGTTGCGATGAGAAGACCTGCTAGAAGGAACTGAAGAGCTCCGAACGTCACATTTGTTGCTACGAGGAGCGTCGGCGTGGGACCGGCTTCAAAGACTGATTCCCAGAGATTGGAGAGGAAGTCTCCCATGTTTGTGGTACGCTTGTGCTGTGGCTCGTGGTGCTACCTCTCCCAAGCCTTTCTAATCGTTCTGTACCAACTCTTTCTTCCCTTTCGTTCTCCAAGGACGCGCGGATGAAGAAGACTGCTGTGATATACACGCGCTGGGTCCCGTCTCGTGTAGCTAGTCTCGAGCGCGGCGTAGCGTATCCGGCGAGGCCGTGATGGTCAAGTGTTGGTTGTCAGAGGGACGATCTTTTGATATTTGGCGCAAATGGCCCCGCATCTACCTGAGCAGCCGTGCAGACGCCCGACGCTAACACACCGCCGTGCGATGAATTAGCAAGCAAGACTGGTCGCTTGGAAGATAAGGCATCGCGAGCAACGTACGCTGGCATGGAGAGAGCTTGGACGCATCGTCATCCTGCAGGCGCGTGCCGACTTCATGCCGTCTCTGTTGTTCACGTGCCCTTCCAGTCTGCGCACGCTAAAGGGGAAAAGCAAACGCCCATTGGTAGTAGTGAGTGAGGGAACTTGAATTGCTCGTCATCTGCTTCTACTGTATCGTGTGCATCCCATCATCAACATCCAACTGCCGCCTTGCCCCTGTTCTGGCTGTCGACCCTGGCTTTGGCCTTGAACGTCTACAGTATCACACTTGACCCACACCTGATACCAACGCCTCGTGGAACGGCCATCACATCATAACCAAGTCCATGCCCAAACGCACCACAATCTATCACTTCCTGAGAATATTCCAGCCCGATGACCCGGTGAGAGGCCTCTGGTATCCCTAATACAAATACCGAAACCCCTTCCTCTCATCATCATCAACATCATCACACTCCTTCCCTGCCCCTTCCATCGCAATACCAGCCCCCTCAACCCTCTCCAGCTCTTTATTCAACCTAATCAAATACCACCTCAACCCCGCAGCAACCACAACCCCAGCCCCCAAAATCGCAAAACAAGCCCCAAAAGGTATCCGATACCAAGGCCCATACATACTCCTCCAGATATAACTGCCCGGAATACTCCCCACGTTTCCGCACGCATTGATAAAGGCAATCGCCACGGCCCTCTTCTCGGGCGGCTCTACAATCGTATTTGAAATCCACGCCAGGACCAAGAAGCCCGATGCGTAGCCCGTCGTCATGAGGAAGGTGCTGAAATAGCGCGCTCCGGTGTTGTGGGTGGCCATGCTGATGAGGTAGCCTACCATGCACGCGATAGCTGGCCAGGTGTAGTGGAAGAATCTTTCCCCGGTGCGATCTGCGTGCCAGGCGTTGGGGATGGACGTGAAGATTGCGAAGATCCATGGTGGCGCCGTTAGGAGGAGGGTTTCCGTGGTGTTGTAGCCGAGGGCGGACGTTATGGTTGGGAAGAAGTAGCTAAAGGAGAGGCCCATGATTGTGAGAAAGTAGAGAAGCGCGAGGAGGTAGACTTTGGGGTCTGTGAAAGCGAGTTTGAAGCCTTCGAGAGCAGAAATCGGGTTGGAGGCGTTGATGCCGGTTTCCTTGACGAGACGGGCCTCTGCGATTTGCTTTTCCTTGGAAGAGAGCCAGGAGGTTGTGGAGGGCCAGTCTGGGAGGATGGGATAGGCGATCAGAGCAATAGTGATGGTGACAGCACCCTCAATCTATTCAATGGTCAGCTTCATAACCATGCCTCGATGTCATTAGTGACTTACGATGAACAACCATCTCCAGGCCCTCAATCCTCCATCGCCCTCCATCCCTCCAAGAATCCCGGCCGCAATCAAACCTCCAAAGCCCTGCGCGGCAATATTTCCAGCATTCATCCACGTAACCCTCAACTGCATTTCCCGTCTCGTATACCACTTGCTCAGGAACAACAGGCAGCCTGGGAAGAAAACGCTCTCGCAGCATCCAAGGAAGAACCTCGCCATGATAGCCCCGACGCTATTCTGGGCGGCAGCCAGGCATGCCGATACAAGACCCCAGAGCGCAACGGCGGCACAGAGGTAGAGAGATGGCGAGGAGACTTTGTTGAGCAGCATGTTCGAGGGGATCTCCATGGAGACGTAGCCGACCAAGAGGATCGATAGGCAAGTTTGGTAATCCACATCGGAGAGGTGGAGGTCTGCTTCTAGGCCCTGTTGAGAAGACATAGGTTAGAACTGCTCTTCCGGAATAGTTTTCTAATCGGGCTTACCTTGAGCCTGGCATTAGCAAAATTATTGCGGTCGATGAAGTTCAAGATGAAGAGAACGATGATGATGGGAAAGATCCGGAAATCCAGTTTGCGGACGAGCTGTCGTTCTTCTTCCCGAGTCCAGGCGACAACCTCGCCTTCGTCGACATCTTCTGCCACTTCTGTGCGTTTAGCGGGCTGTTTTTGGAGCTCGTCCGACATGATGTTAGAGATTGTTTGACTAGATGCCCCAAGTCCTTCACTTCGGATGGGGACGAGCTGTATTTCAATGAGTGGACCGCGCGGCTCTTCAGATAGGTAAGTCGGATAGATACTGATACATCCAGGTTCATAGCCGCCCTGCAGATAGATAGAAGTGAGCTGAATCTGGACTGCCCGCGGGCAAGCTCTATCATAGGCGAGGTGCTCGGCCGTGCAGGTCGCAGACCCGGCAAGTCGTACAATAGAGCAGAACTTTTCGAGTGCAAGAGCCGCACAAAGGAAAAGAAGCACCAGAGCAACCCTGGCTCTCATTGCGTATCATTAGGCTCCTGAATAAATATACATACCCTCTCCAGCCGCTTTTGCCCTCGACGATGCATGTTACATCACATAACCATGCAATTCTTTCCCTGATCAAGGTATTGTTGCAGGTAGCTGTCTTCCCTGCCTTCATCATTCTCAGAACCGACCTGCCCTCTCTTCCTCTTGACGCCAGTGACTTTGAGTTTCTGCTCTCCCTCACCGTGCCACCACCTGAGTACCTGTTGCGTCGCGCCTTCGACTTCCTCGACGACGCGAATTTCCCACTTCCCGCCGCTTACTTCCACATGCGTCGCATTGTTGATCTGAGGGAAATGGTAATCTGGGAGGAAGACCTCGGTTGGATAATCCGGTGGCGTTGATGACGATGCAGTGAGGGAAAGAGTGAAGATGCAGTTCTTCAGATCAAAGCCGTAAGTCTCTATCGTGCCGTGGACAAGGACTGGGTTGGGACGCACGTAGGCCTCTGCCGCCCGATACCCGAGCTTACCGTCTTGTGATAACCCAGGAACGGACCGAGACATGCCATCTACGCTCATCGTCTTCTTGATACTGCCAGGAGTGATGGGAGCGTTGCTTTCGCTTTGGCTCTCAGAGTAGCTGGGACTCGACGGATCGAGAGACAGCCTGCTGTTATTGTCCATGGCGTACGAAGGCGGTGGGAGTGGCTTATCCTCGGAGCTGTAAAGCGACAGATCTTCACCATTCCAGTTGTCGCCCCAGAAATGGCTATTGGATGCCGTGTAGACCCACCAGGTCATACCTTGAGCGCCGGAGCCCTCTACAGCATAGAAATTTGCATCGATCGCCGCAGACTGAGAGCTGTAATCGCCAGTCTTGTAGGCGTATTTGTCGTCCATGTCGTACGGGATCCCAATCTCAGTGTAGAGACACGGATGCACACCCATATTGTCGATACCTTCCTGTCGCACAGTATCAAGCTGATCTTTGAAGCAGTTTCTTATCGCTGTCTCGCCAATTCTGATTGCAAAAGCGGGCGAGCTATACTTGCCCCTCAACACGCCGAGCACATCGATGTTCCACACTTTGTTCCACTTCTTCGTAATGAGTGTAATACCATCGTAGAAGTGCGATGCAAATATCATGTTCTTGTCATCGCCTTCTTCTGTACCTTTGATCATGGGCGGAATCTCGAATGGCGCCGGTTGCATGAGCATGAATGCTTCTGGCCAGACACTACGGATCGCGCCTTTATATCGCCTATAGAATTCCATATAGTTGTCGTTCGTCCAGGTCTCTTGGTCAATCCGTTCGCCGGTCCTTGGGTCTTTCGCAAAGTATTTCGGCAATAGTAGCTCGTCGTTGGAGGGGTCCCAAAGACCGTGCTGGGCCCATATGCATTTTCCCAGTTTCCATTCTGGATCTCGTTTCCATCCATATTTCGAGTCGTCCCATGCTGATGGGTCTACCCAGACTGAGGTGCCCTTTGGATCAACTAGTTGTGTCGACGCCTTGTAGGGGCCAAAACTCCCGAAGTCCCACACCTCGATTTCCACCGCTCGGCCAGACCCAGTAAGCATTGCTTGGAACCCAGTTGGACAGGTCCCTTTTCTCAGATTCTGTTCCTTCGGAATGGCTGCTAGATCCGGGTGACCGTAATACCCTTTGTTCGGCTCGTTCATCGTCTCATACCCAATGACTATCTCTCCCTCGAGGTCGCCAGCATCATGGATCTTTTGCGCCAAGTACTTGCATGCGTTTGTAAAGTGCTCTTGCAGATAGTCTTGAATATTCATGCCATCAATTATGCATTTAGGTGCAAACTCTCGTCCAGCGAAGAAGAATGTGAAGATCGTTTGCACAGCCAATCTCTGGTAGTTCGTCGCCCAGACCATCTTGGGATACTCTGCTGGCTTGGGCCAAGTATTCTGCACCAGACTGGCCTGTGTCGGTAAGAGCTTCGTCGGATCGATCCCACAGGCGTATATCGTCCACATCGGTGCTCCGCTACCTCCCGTGAATCTGCTCCACACGTCCTGATGCGGGTCCATGAAAACATAAAAGCCATATCTTTTCGCTACCCGTAGCATTTTGATTGTAAAGTCCACAAACTCATCATCGTATTTCCCGGGACCGGCATGTTCCAACGCCTCCCATGTGAAGACATATCTGATTGTATTGTAGCCCCATCTTCGAAGCCGCGAGAAGTGGACATGGGCGTCCTCCAGGGGAAACGGTCGGTCGACGAAGGAAACATTGTCGCCGTCGAAGAAGTGCTCGCGGACGTGAGAAGGTACGTCTGGCTTCGCCGGGAATTTACCGTCGCCTGCGACGTTGATGCCGTGTAAGGTCACTTGGCGGTTGTTGACGTCTCGGAAGGCGGAACCATCTATTCGCAGGCGATGCGAAGGCATTCTTGACCAGAGGTATAGATCCTGGGGTGTGGAAGAGGAAGCCTCTCGAGAGATGAAACTGTCACGCGGTCGTTCGTCGTGCCACTGCCCCCGGAAGGCGGCCCGAATCTCCTCGTGGTCAGCGTGGCCCGTGGACACGAGCTGGAGGAGTGATGAGGACGTAGCTGTGGTAGGAGGTAGGGGATCTTCTGCGTGCTCAGGTGCAACTCGGAGCGATCAGGTGTATGCAGCACAGTCCACCCAATGAGGCACGTCATGGGCACGGCCGTTTGGCGGACGTTAGCGCGGCAGCTGGAGTTCTTCGGCTCGGTTCGCGGCCAAGCGGTGCTGGACTCTGGATTCTGGATTCTGGGGGTCTGAAGCAGGACAATGCAAGTTGGCCTTTCGCAATCCAACACCTTTTATTCTTTGATCCACAACCACTCTTCCACCTCTGGACCGCTGACTCCAGCACAGCGACCATGAGGCTTCCCGTATCCTCACTGGCTCTCGGGGCCTTGTGCCTCTCATCAGTCCCATTCGCCTCAGCCCTTGCGCCGTCGGATATACCCTCGGACCTCCCCGTCTCGAAGTTAATCGAGAGCGCGAATGCCAACTTGGCCCAGGGCAAGGCGCAAGATGCCCTGGTCTACTTCGACGTTGCCATACAGAAGGATCCGAGCAATTACTTGACCATCTTCAAGCGCGGCGCGACATATCTCTCCCTCGGCAAGAATCAACAAGCGGGTCGGGACTTTGATCAAGTGTTGGTGTTGAAACCCGGTTTCGAGGGCGCGTTGACCCAGCGAGCAAAGATCAAGAGCAGGAATGCGGACTGGAAGGGTGCTAAGGAAGACTATTCTGCCGCTGGTAAGAGGGGGACGTCGGAATGGCTTGACTTGCAGGAGGCAGAGAGCGCCGAGAAGTTGAGCGCCGATGCGGAGAAGAAAGGCGACTGGGAGGCTTGTGTCAATCACGCTGACCTTGCAATTCCCGTCGCGAGCACAGCGTTGGAGTTGAGGCACCGGAGGGCGAAGTGTAGACTCGAAAAGGGCGAGATTGTGTGGGGACTTGCGGACCTGAACCACGTCCTGCAGATCAACTCCGCCTTGACCGAGCCATACCTTCAAGTTGCGGCCACGACTTTCTACTCTTTGGGAGACACCGATAAGGCTATCACTGCTATCTCGAGATGTCTTCACAACGACCCGGACAACAAGCAATGCTCCAAGTTACGCAAGGCGGAGAAGGCAATCGATCGTACCTACAAGAAGGTCTGCGGCTTAATGGAGAAGCGACAATACAATAGTGCCGTCAAGCTTCTTGTACCCCAGGGCGAAGATCCAGGTCTGCTTCAAGAGGTCAAAGACGACATCAAGGCGTACCGGAAAGCGGGCTACATTCATCCCAAGGCCACCGACGGGTTATACGGCCGCCTCGTCGAGCGAACATGTGAGGCATATACAGAGATGAATAACCTGAAGAAGGCGGCACCATACTGTGAGGAGGCGCTCACCTACAATCCTTCTTGCCTCCCCGCTCTACTCTCCAAGGCTCAGCGACAGATCGACGCAGATGAGTTTGAGCCTGCGATTGGAACGCTAAATAACGCGAAGGAAGAACATGGCAACAGTCAGAAGATCCAGGAACTTCTGCAGAAGGCCCACACACTTCTCAAGCGAAGCAAGATCAAGGACTACTACAAGGTGCTCGGCGTCGACAGGGATGCCGATGAGAGACAGATCAAGCGCGCTTTCAGGAAGCTGACGATCCAGCATCACCCTGACAAGGCGGCAAAGAATGGCGTGACCCAAGAAGAGGCGCAGAAGAAGATGTCCGCTATCAACGAGGCCTACGAAGTTCTGTCCGATCCCGAGTTAAGGGCACGCTTCGACAGAGGCGACGATCCAAACGACCCACAATCAGGACAACAGCCATTCCATGGCAGTCCATTTGGTCCCGGGGGCGGTCAACAACAGTTTGTCTATCAGCAGGGAGGCGGAGCTTTCAAATTTCCGGGTGGTCAATTCGGCGGGTTTCCTAACGGGTTTCCTTTCGGTTGATAGGTCTGAATATTTTGGCTGCTTTGCATGTATTGCGGGTGTTTGGAGCGTGTTTTCGGAAGAGGAGAAGGGAGGGATACTAGGACCTGTCTACTGCACTGCCCGAGGAAGGGTTTAGACGATACCATAGACAAGGGCGTTTTGATGTCTCGATAACGAATGATAATACTATCTGTGGTGAATTATGTTCCTCGGCCAATGTCAATCGCACCAGCATGGCAAAGCGGACGTGAGTGATAAGTGCTGATTATCAGCCTTAGATCTGCGGGTAAAGCCGCGCCAATGCCGCTAAGATTTCGAGACTCGCAGCTCCCTGACAGCAGCATGTGAAGTGAGTCAAGAAGGAAACAACGACATTTGACTGTATATGCTGCGTCGAGTCACATTCTTCACGCGAGTGGCTCGGTCGCACATAACGCTCGTCAATCCATCAATTCGCCCTACTTGCATACCAGTATCGAGATTTACCACAACCATGGCTCCCAAAGAGAAAGTGGGCAAGGACAAAGACGCCGGCGATCAACGCCCACTGGAGATTGCACCGCCGCCGGACTTCTTCGCGACACGAAACGCATTATTCGACAAGAGAAAAGCAGAGGAAGAGGCATGGAGAGCACAGCAGCCACGTGAGAAGATTGAGATCACACTAGACAATGGCAAGACGTTGGAGGGCACCAGCTGGGAGACATCACCCTCGCAGATTGCCAGGGACATCTCCAAGAGCCTTTTTGAACGCACAGTAATCGCTAAGGTCGATGGCGAGCTTTGGGATTTGGATCGACCGCTGGAGAAGAGCTGTAAACTTGCACTGCTGGACTTCGAGCATCCCGACGGCAAGTTTGTCTTCTGGCACAGCAGTGCTCACATTCTCGGAGAGGCTGCGGAGCGAAGATTCGGCTGCTCTCTGTGTATAGGACCACCTGTCGACGATGGCTTTTACTATGAAATGGCGCTGCCCGACGGTGCAGCTGTCACCTCAGCCGACCATAAGCCTCTCAAGCAACTTGCTGAGAAGGTCATCAAGGAGAAGCAGCCCTTTGAGCGACTCACATTGAGTAAGGAGGATCTGCTTGAGATGTTCTCGTACAACAAGTACAAGCAACACATCATTCAAGACAAAATACCAGATGGCACATCTACCACTGTCTACCGATGCGGACCTCTCATTGACCTTTGCAGAGGACCGCATGTTCCTCACACCGGGCGCATAAAGGCCTTCGAGATCATGAAGAACTCATCTAGCTACTTTCTTGGTGATGCGAAGAACGACAGTCTGCAGCGCATATACGGTGTTTCATTCCCTGACAAGAAGCAAATGGACGAGCACAAGCATATGCTCGAGGAGGCCGCAAAGCGCGATCATCGCAAGATCGGCCAGGAGCAAGAACTATTCTTCTTCCATCAGCTGTCCCCAGGTACCGCTTTCTGGATGCCACACGGTCAGATCATCAAGAACGCACTCATGTCATACATTCGCGAGGAGTACTGGAAGCGCGGCTACCAGGAGGTTGAATCGCCGAACATGTACCACTCGAATTTGTGGAAGCAATCCGGACACTGGGCGCACTACAAGGACGATGTTTTCGCATTCGAAGTCGACAAGGAGCAGTGGGCGCTCAAGCCCATGAACTGCCCGGGACACTGCTTGATGTTTGGCCACCGAGAGCGGAGTTACAAGGAGCTGCCAATCCGCATGGCTGACTTTGGTATTCTTCACCGCAATGAGGCCTCTGGCGCTCTGAGTGGTTTGACCAGAGTGCGTCGTTTCCAGCAAGATGATACTCATATCTTCTGCCGAGAAGATCAAGTGGAGGAAGAGATCAAGCAGCTGTTTGACTTCATGACTGCTGTGTACGGTCTCTTCGGCTTCAAGTTCCGCATGAAGCTTTCCACCATGCCTGAAGGCCATCTTGGTGATGTTGCTACCTGGGAGCGGGCTGAAGAGCAACTCACAAAGGCCCTCGATGACTTCAAGGCCAAGACTGGCACACCTTGGGAGCTGAACCCAGGAGATGGTGCTTTCTACGGACCTAAGATTGATATCACTATTTCGGACGCGCTGAAGAGAGAATTTCAATGCGCAACAATCCAATTGGACTTCCAGCTTCCGCAACAATTCAATCTCGAGTACCGGACCGAAGGGCAGGCTGTCGCTCGGGGGCCGCAGGTCAACGGCGACAAGCCAGCAGACGTGCCACAGGCTGCCGATGGTGACGACAAGCCCGACGAGAAACTCGTCATCCGCAGCGCTCCTCCCGCCGAGCCAGACTCGCAGGCCGCGCCAAAGGGCGAAGCTTCATTCCGCCGCGAACTCACACCTGGTTGCGCCCGGCCTGTCATGGTCCACCGCGCCATCTACGGTTCTTTCGAACGCTTCATCGGCATCCTGACTGAGCACTTTGCCGGCAAGTGGCCCTTTTGGCTTTCTCCCCGGCAGATCCTTATTGTTCCCGTCATGTCCGCCGTCAACGACTACGTTCTCGAACTTCAAGAACTCTTCCGCTCCAAGCGCATGCACGTCGATGTCGACCTGAGCGGCAACACCATGCAAAAGAAGATCCGCACGGGTCAACTGGCTCAATACAACTTCATCTTCGTCGTCGGTGCACAGGAAAAGGAGAGCAGGAGTGTCAATATTCGGAACCGGGACGATCCCAACACTCAAAAGATGGGTGAGCTCATTCCGGTCGATAGGGCGCTTGTGTTGTTGCAGGAGTTGAGGGATGAGAGGAAGTTGGACAGTCGGTTGAATGCGAATGCGGATGTGGGTGACAAGGCGCCAGCCCCGGCGGAGACTTCTTCTTAGAAGGAGAATGAAGCGAGGAGGAAGATACGGAAGCAGTTCGCTGAGCACTTCATGCCGCCAAAACCGAGGTCGTGGTTAACCGAAATCATGGAGCAGACTGAAGAATTGGCGCAGAGGATGCAATGGGTGAATTCCGATGTCCCGGCGAGAGCTGCGGGCGATGCTGCGGGCGAGTGAGCGAGAGGTGGTTGGTGGCGCGTGTTAGTTGCTCTGAGAAGTAGGGATGGGGGTTGGCATTGATGATAGACACTGTAAAGGTGCATGTTCAAAAAGTTTCTCTTATTCCCTTTTGAAGCTATCTCACTTCGTTTGATCCACGAAGAGGGAGCAGAGAGCGCACTCCTCTAGTTTTCCAGTGGACAAAACGCCGAACTCTCAAACTCTCCATTCGTAGTGTTACCCCGGGTATCTCCGCCAAGTGAACTCCAAGTTTTTGCTCTCACCTCCGACTCGTTTATTGCTCGCTGTTGAACGACCCGGAAGAATGCTTCCCAAATAGAAATGTCAAATAGCATCGGCATCGGCATCAATCCTGTGCCAGATATGGTTCCTCTGCCACTCCTCTCTCCTGCACTTTCGCCTTGACGGCCATACGCTTGCCAATCTCATAACTAGAAATCATAATCGCACAAGCTGGAGCGACTTTCAAACATCTCGCTGCCCAGCCCTTGAATAAGCCCGAAGCTCCCTCGTGTCGATAGATGTGCCACAGGAACCTCGGCATGGTACGTCCTTCTGGGAGAGCCCGGCGACGTTCCGCGGACATGTTGGACTGCATTACAGTTTGCTGACGTGTTTTGCCAACGTCGAAGGGTGTAGTGACGTAAGCTGCAATGGCGCCGGAGCTGGCGCCCGCAATGAAAGAATCGGCCAAGAGAGTCGAAGTTGACATCTCGAGTGGTTGTTGATTGAAGGGAGAGTTGTGAGCTCGTAGTTCTTCAAGTCGTCGGCGGCCGAATTCGTAGCCCCACCAGTACATCGCGGAAAAGGGCACGTCGCGCCAGAGGGTCAGGGAAAGACCGCGCCAGAGGGAGTGGTAGCCTTGAGAGGAGACCATTTCTTGCATTCCAGAGATTGTGGCTCGTAGGACGCCTTTCTCTTTCGAACTGGCGGCTTGCATCCGTGTGCGGAGCATTTCGATGGGGCTGACTGCCAGTGCTGCGAGTATTCTTGCAGCGCTCCCTGCTACCAATGGCGCATACACATCTCCAATATTAATTACCGGACTCCTTGGACTCGTTCTCAACCAGTCGTATCCAGCAAAGTAGATGACATTCGCCGGAATCGCCATCAGTAGCGTCGGGCTTAGCCCGCGCCATAGTGTCCATATGCCTTCATTACGGGAGATCTTGCGGAATCCGTCGAGTGTGGAATTGAAAGTCCGGCGCTGTGTTTCTTCTGCCGCACAGTCAGAGATGATGGCCTCATCAATGACAGCCGCCTGGGAAGGTGCAGCAACGCAGAATTGGGATTGATTTTGAACCCAGAAGACTTCGCGACAGCAGGCTGTCACGCCGAGATTGGGAGGCAATTGGACGAAGGAAGGCAAGCGGGCAGGAGGGGACGGACTTGGTTGTTGGGATTGTAGGCGTACGCGGACCACGTCGAGGGGTGTTACTGTAGTACGCTGTCAGTACTCTTCACCATCAATAAGCGGAGAGCGATGTTCTTACTGAGTAGAGAGGTCAATATACTGCCGCTGACGGCGGACAGCATCTTTTGACCAACGGAGGTGTCGCCATCAGATGGTGTGGACTTGGCGGCCGGCGGTGTAGTGAGGTGCAAACTGCTTCCCTCCGACTCGCCCGGTACGCTGTCGCCAGCGGAATTGAGTATTCTGTCGTGGCGCTGTCCTTGTGTGTCTACTCCCGCCATCTTGTCTGTCCTCGCGCCGTGTTTCCTGCTGCAGCTCTGTCACGCCCAAAGGCGCCGACAGCTTGCTTGTTCCTTGTCGCAACTTCCAGATCGGTCTCGTCGCTGTTTGGGTCACGGTGATGTTCTCGAGGATGTGGTTGTGCAAGCGATTGTTTGCCAGGCAAAGGGGTGGTTTGATAGATGGAAGATGATGATTCGATTATGATTAAACTTTATGGATCGATCGGCGAGATCGGGACAGAGGTTCGTGGAATGCCGATGGAAGCCGTTGACGTAGCCGGGGTCCAGTCGGGGCCACCGCCGGCTGCCTCGAGCATATCGATTGTGTGATAGCCATCCCCGAGGTCCTTTGTTTCCATCCCAACACCTTCTCCCACCTAGTGAGCATATCACACATCCTCAACATGAGTTCTGAAGATGACCAGCCTAAGACGCTGGCGGCCGCGTCGGACGCCGAAGCAGAACTGGAAGCCTTTCGCCAGCGATGGCGAGAAGAAGTGTCAGCTAGGAGTAAGAAGCCGCTTTCGACCAGAATACAGGAGAAGAGATTGGAGAGAGCAAGAGGTGCACCACCACCGGCACATGCGACGGCTGGTCCATCTACGCACCGGCACAAGGATCACTACAATGAAGAGATCGAACCCAAGGCGTACCATGACCTGCCAGATAAAGAAGACCAGTTGAAGCTGGGAACAGAAGGACAAAATCACGACAGAGATGCGGTTTTCCGAGAGCCAAATTCAGCGCTGGAGCATTATGAGCGAGCAGTAGAGAAGGAGACCCAGGGCAACTTGGGCGAGAGTATCAGACATTACCGGAAAGCCTTCAAAGTACCATCTCCCATCTCTCTGCCCTTGTTCGTGAATCCATGCTGAAGGTAAGTCACAGCTCGACGATGGCGTCCATGAAGCCTACAAACGCAAGCACTTCCCACCGTCAGCCTTCGTCAAACCCAAGCCTACCAATGTGAATCCGTCAAATGCTCCATCTACAGTGCCCAGAACAGACCATCACTCCCTCCGCTCGGGGGATGCCTTTGGATCAACCCTCAGACAACTCGTAGACGAATTCTCAACTCTGCGCATCGAAGCAGCAGAGCCCGAGACAAGCCTCTCGTCCCAGCAGCCATGTCCTATCGCCAAGCTGCCAGAAGAGATCCTCACCCAAATCCTCACCGAGCTAGCAATAATGGACGTCGCCTCCTTCACACGCACATCCCAGGTCTGCAAACGAATGGCCTATCTCGTCCTCGCCGAAGAATCAATCTGGAAACACGTTTCCCTGGGGAGCGAATTCGGCTTCACAGCAATGCACTACGACTTCGCCGTCGAAATCGAAGGAGACCCCATCAACGCCAACGACGAAATCGCCCGCTACCTCGACCTTCACCCAACATCCCAACAGAAATCCTCCTCAGAAGAAGACCCAGAATCCGAATTGTTCATCCCTCCCCCTCCAACCCCAGAGGAACGGCACCTAGCCTTCATCGCCCTCTCCGAAACCCTCCTCCAAACCACCTACACCTCCTCCTGGCGTCAAATGTTCCGCTCCCGCCCGCGAATCCGCTTCAACGGCTGCTACATCTCCACGGTAAACTACACCCGCGCCGGCGCCACATCCACCAACACCCTCACGTGGGGCGTCCCCGTCCACGTCGTCACCTACTTCCGCTACCTCCGCTTCTTCCGCGACGGAACCGCAATCTCCCTCCTCACGACCGCCGAACCCCAAGACGTCGTCCACCACCTCTCCAAACCCAACCTCCACGCCCACCGCCACGCCTCCTCCTCCTCCCTCCTCCCCAGCAGCGTCATGAAAGACGCCCTCCGCGGCCGCTGGCGCCTCTCCGGCCCCACCCCCGCCCACCCGCACGAAGTCGAAGGCGACATCCACATCGAAACCGAAGGCGCCGTCGCGCGCTATACCTACAAAATGCTCCTCGCCGTCGCCAACGCCGGCAAGGGGACGCGGAACAACAAATTGGCGTGGAAGGGCTTCTGGAGCCGGAATCGATTGACGGATGATTGGGGGGAATTCGGCTTAAGGAATGATCGCGCTTTCTATTGGAGTCGTGTGAGGAGTTATGGGGTGCAGTGAAGGAGGGTGGAGGGGATGTGTTGCGGTGGTTAGTACGTTGGTATATATGTATATGCATATGCATATATCTACGAGAACAGACCTACTAGAGCACATCAATGTATCGCGGCGAAGCGAAGCGAAAGTTGCGGAGATGAATATCCTCCAATTCAAGTCAGATGGGAACGAAATGCCCCCCGCCCCCCCCCTCTGTCTTTTGCTTCAAACTCTTCCTCCTCCAGACAGGCCTCTCCTTGCGCCTGTGCAACAACGAAAGCTGTGAGGACGCTTTGGCACCTTTTTCGTTTCCGTTTTGCCGCCAGAAACGGATGGCTGTGCGTCGGCGGAGTAAGGGCGTAACTTCTTGTGTTGCTCTCTTCTCCCAGGCGCTCGGCATCTCTGCTCTCTGACTGGCATTTCAGACGTATGACAAGCATGTCTCCGCTGCAGAGGACGTTGTTTGACACCTGCCGCAGCCAGCGAAGGGCGGAAAGGCTGATGACTCGATGAAGGTGAACGTAAGGGGAATTCGGTGTCGCACCTACCTACGGCGAATCTGTACGCCCTCGGATCACACCGCTATGCGTTGAGAGCTTTCCTCGTACGGTGTTTCGCGCGTCGGAGCGCTATCTCGAGGAGTGCTATTGCTAGTCGTGCGCTATTCGACTCGTTGGCACCTTGATCTTTGCCGGAACTCTTGGGCAGAAAGAAGTGTTTCTTTCGCTGTGGAGAGACGCCGCACGCACGATGATCATCTGCGTGTGTATTGGACACTCTTACACCCGAGAGAGCGCAGTCACCGCTCCTTCTGTGGTCGAGTACGATGAGAAAGCTCGAGTGTCGAAAAAGAAGGCCCAGAAGTTTCCTCCAAGCCGACACTGGCGGAGGGGGCTCAGGATCAGGAGCAATCTGCGTTGTAAACCTCGTGGATGACGAAGGTCGTGACGCAGTCAGCAGTCGCAAGTTGAGATGTGATGTTGAAGAAAGGACCTCGGTGCATTGCCCCCTCGGTCGGGGGAGCGCCGCGAATGCTTGCGATCAACTTCTCAGAGAGCCTCGTATGCCTTTACCTCTTGGTGTGTTCTTCGCAGGACGACGTAGGCATGGTCTCGTCACTTTCGTCTTCGCAAGACTGCCGCGACGCTCACAGGAACGTAGAGCCCGTGTTGCCGATGACATGGTCGCTTTCTCCATCTTCCTACCATCTAAGAATCATGACGAAGCATGAGACCAAAGCCAAGCCAGCGAGCTCCAACGGCCCGTAGACGCCGAAGTAGAGCACATGAGGGCTGATGATGCTGCAATCGATGATCCAGCCGCTTGTATTGTACAGTCGGTGTGCGAGCGCGAAGCTCCAAGTCAAAGTGTGGTTGGAGGATGCATGTACTTCATCGGGGCAGTCCTGGTCCGGCGAGGACGAATCGTTGAGCACGTGGGCATGTGCAGTTGGATGGATAACCTCGATACCCAGTCCTGCAACGGTGGTGGCGCCTTGATCAAATTCCGTGCGACCAGGCTGGATGGATCGATTTGGGTGTTTAGGAATCTTCATTCTGTCGCATTTGAACATCACGCACTTTGCTTCCAGGGCATATGGTTGTAAAAGTAATCTAGCGAGTCTGACTGAGAGCATAGCTATGTTGTTGATGCGCAACCAATCGGCAGTTTTGACCCATATCTCTGGCTGATGGACCCAGGTTGTGGCTCTCATGCAGAATCGGCAGACCGACACAGCCAATGATGGTATGATTGTACATTCGTGGGAAGTTATAGTCCCGAATAGGACGAGAGCGAAGAATTTCCATATCCGTCATAGCCGGACAGTGGATCTGGGCGTACATCAATGTACTTTTGGGCGGATTCGATGGCGATAGTGAAGAAGGCAGTGGGTACCAGGTCAAAGTAGGCAAAGGTCATGAGCGAAGCTTGAAGATCGCCCATCAAAGTAGAATGAGTCCTGGGAGCACGTGCCCTGATTCTCGCGAAGTCTTGGCGAGCAGAGACAGTGAAGACGGCAACGTGCTTCGAAAGCATATCCGCTTAGGACGTGACCTCGAGCATCTCCAGAGAAGTCGCCCGCCGTTATAGTACGTCGTGGCACGCGATCCGAGAAGTCTTCGTATTGCCTCGAGGCACGGGCAGATCAGGATAAGATGTCCGACTAAATGCGCTGGAGAGCGCATCGACAGACACTGTAGTGAAGCATGGTCAGGTCATTTTGACTTCTGAGGTCATGAGAGGATCCCGAGAAGGCGGAAGCTCGGGGTGGAGAACAGCGAGTAGATGCACAGATGTGTGGGTCGCAGTTGCAGATGCAGATTTCCGTCAACCGGGCCAACGCCTGTCGCAGGCGGGAGGGCGTCCGCGATTGGCGCTGAGTGGAGTTCTGTGTGCAGGATGGTGCGTTACGGTGCAGGTCATGCCATTTCCCAGCCCGTATGCCCGGAAGGTTGGGGCTCCACTGTTCTGTGCTGCACAGTGCTGGGACTGGAGACCTCACCTCCTCACAGGGCGTCGATCTTTGATGATTCAAGCGCAGAATTGTCTCTGCGAATGCCGTATGAGAGGAGAGGTTCTCTTTTCGCGCTCTTCCTGTCCCCGGTCGTGCACAGATGGCGTTGGTGTGGGCTGCGTTGTGGGTCGTCCCCGTCCCCGTCCCCACGGGCCCGGCGCGGGCACGCTTGTCAGGATCGGAGTCATCAGTCTTGACTTTTGAGGTCCGAACTGTGGGAAGACGGTCGTGTGCCTGACAGGACGAAAACTTCCGTGGCGTGTCACGGTGATGCCTCTATCGGTCGTCATTCGGCATGGGCAAGCGTGGCTTCAAGCTCGGACAAGACGCGTTGTCCGCTGGGCTGGTGGCGGTTGAGGCGTCTGGGAGGTGTTCTGCGTTCGCCTTCTCGAACAAGCCGTGATGAAGTGGGATCTGGATAGTGTAGCATCTGCCGTAGTGCCTCGCGTATGTACGACGGGCCGCTCCTGCATCGATCCTTCGCTTCCACTCAACAGTCTATTCCAACCACGTTTGTGTTTGAAAGATTCTGATTGGCTGCGCTGGACTTCATCTCGTCTGCAGAGGAGAGTATCTGCACGCTCTTGCGAATGCTCCCGTCGAGCGCGGGGGGAACGGTTTGGGCTTGGGCTTGTGAGGCGAGAGCAAGGCCCCACTTCCTGAAAGAGGACGTCGCGTGGCGGCATGCGTCGGACTGGTGCACGAAAGTTCGCGGTGGGGTGGGAAGAAAGAAGCTGTGGAAGGGTCTTGGGAAAAGCAGTAGGGAACCGTTCAGTTCAGAGCCGCGCCTATGGGACACGCGCGCACAGGGATCGCAAGGTTGCGCGTGGGTGGGAATACAGGCACAGGCACAGGCACAGGCACAGGGAGGAGAAGCAGCGACGTGGATCACGCGAGATATTCTCGAATCACGGCCCATCTCAAGATGGATAGAAAGGCCTCGCAGGCGATGGATCTGATACAGCGAGGTGTATGCGATGCGATGCGGACGTGGTGAGATAGGGCGGCACGCCTTGGCTTGGCATCGCGGCAGCTCCCGTGCTACCGGGCTGCGACCATCATCACACATCACAACGAGCATCGGAGCAAACGACGATGCATCAAAGGAGAAGGCGATGCTCACAGACGGCACAGAGGCGTCGGGTGTAGAATCGACGCGGCTGTAGGGACGTCTTGCGTGGGGCGGATCGGATCGGCTGGGTGAGTCGTCGCAACGAGGATAGATTGGCGGCTCTGAGTGGGCATGGTAGAGGGAGGAAATGTCATTCATTGCGGCTCATGCAAAGAGACAGCACAGCGTAGGGCGGCCTCGGCTGAGCTCATGTCGTCGATGGATCGGGTGTCGCTGTGCGAGGTGGTGATGGATGTGGTATGAAAAGCGAGGCGTTGCGTCGCGACCCTTGCACGTTCTGCGCATCGGGCGCTGCGATTGGAGGTGTGGTGCAGGCGCGAAAGTCGTGGGATGCGAGCTAGCACGGAGTAGTTTTGGTTCTGGGCCGTGCGAATCATCCATCCATTATGTATTATTGGCAGTGGTGCAGTGGTGCAGTGGTGCTCCAGGCAGGGCAAACGTGTGAGAGCACTTGGTACATTTTCCTTGGCTACTCACCACCTTCATAAGATAAGACGAAGCCCAGCCCCATCCATGCACGCTGCTGCCTTCTTGACCTTCTTGATTCCATCCCCCAAGTCACCCGCGCCTTGGCCCCCAAGAACAACTCGAGTCCCCTCTTATCAGGTAGCGCCAACGCCCCCACGAGATAGCGAGAGAGGCTCCGACAACATGGCCACCAGAACCGCTGGAGGCAACTCTGCCTTCCACAACTTCCACAATGACTACGCTCATATCGCCGACCCCAACGAGCGCCGACGACTCGCGCTCGCCGAGATCGACAAGGCGCCCTTTGGCTGGTACCATGTGCGCGCCATCGCCGTCGCCGGTATTGGCTTCTTCACCGACGCCTACGATATCTTCGCCATCGGTATCGTCACCACCGTCCTGGGTGTCGTCTACTGGCACCAGAAGAAGGGTGTCATTCCAACCTCCGCCGATACCGCCATCAAGGTCGCCACGTCCGGTGGTACCGTCATTGGACAGCTCGGCTTCGGTTTCCTCGCAGATGTCGTCGGTCGTAAGAGGATGTACGGCCTGGAATTGATCGTCATCATCTTCGCAACCCTCGCCCAGTCCCTCACCTCCAACTCCCAGGCCATCTCGCTCGTCGGTGTCATCATCTTCTGGCGTGTGCTCATGGGTATCGGTATCGGTGGTGACTACCCGCTCTCTTCCATCATCACCTCCGAGTTCGCGACCACCAAGTGGAGAGGAGCCATGATGGGATCCGTCTTCGCCATGCAGGGTCTCGGCCAGTTCGCTGCGGGCATCATTGCTCTCATTGCCGTTGCTGGCTTCAAGGAGTCCCTCCTCTCCGCCTCCAGCCAGGCCACCTGCACCGGTGTCTGCTCGCTCGCCGCCGACAAGATCTGGCGTATCATCATCGGAATGGGTGCCGTTCCCGGATGCATCGCCCTCTACTTCCGTCTCACCATCCCCGAGACCCCCCGATACACCTTTGATGTCTCTCGCGATGTCGTCAAGGGAGGCTCCGACGTCAAGGCCTACCTGAGCGGCACTGCCGAGGGTGTGCCAGACGAGATCACCCGTGTTACCAACATGCGCGACGCGGCTCCTCAGATGGACATTCCCAAGGCTTCCTTCAAGGACTTTGGCAGGCATCTCGGCAAGTGGAAGTATGGAAAGGTCCTCCTCGGAACGGCCTTCTCCTGGTTCACTCTCGATGTTGCCTTCTACGGTCTCGGCCTGAACAACTCCACCATCCTCCAGGCCATCGGTTACGGCAAGGGACACAACATGTACGAATTCCTCTACAACATCGCCGTCGGCAACATCATCTTGGTCTGCGCCGGTGCCATTCCCGGTTACTGGGTTACCGTCGCCCTCGTCGACACTGTTGGCCGTAAGCCAATCCAGCTCATGGGCTTCGTCATCCTCACCATCCTCTTCTGCATCATGGGTTTCGCCTACCACAAAATCGGCACGAGCGGCCTCCTCGCCTGCTACGTCTTGGCCCAGTTCTTCTTCAACTTTGGACCAAACTCGACGACCTTCATCGTTCCAGGAGAGTGCTTCCCGACTCGCTACCGGTCTACCTGCCACGGCATCTCCGCCGCATCCGGAAAGGTGGGCTCCATCATCGCGCAGGCCGCCATTGCCCCTCTCCGTACCCGCGGTGCCACCTCTGCCAACGCTTCCCCATGGCTCAACCACGTCTTGGAGATCTTCGCCCTCTTCATGTTGCTCGGCTGCTTCTCCACCCTCCTCATCCCCGAGACCAAGCGCAAGGTAAGCACATCATCATTCCCACACATTTCAATGACCGAATCACTAACAACGACATCGTATAGACTCTCGAACAGCTCGCCGGTGAAGTCCCCGGCACGCCAGAGTACGACCCCGAGCTCGCTGGGATCCACCACTACGACCGCTCCGGCTCCGACCCCTCGGGCGAGCACATCTCGCACGAAAAGGGTGACAACTCTGTATAGAATAACCCGTTCTGCTTCCCACTATCTATCATGAGACGATTTAGTGGGGACGCGCGGCTAGTAGAATGCGAAAAATGCGTACATGCACGGAATGAAGGCATGCAGTTTCCTTTTTTTAGTAATTGAAGATATCCCCAACCCCCCCATTTTACATATCCCGCAACCTCTGCGTTGTACAGTGTAAATAATAGAACTTCCCGTCGTTTTTTGGAAGAAGAAGAAGAAGAAGAAGAAGAAGAAGAAGAAGAAGAAGAAGAAAGATGAAAAGACGAAAGTTCATTCAAGATTTTCCTCTTCTCTCGTAATACCTAACGTCCTTTCACCACACACACCTTTCACAACTCTAAATTTTGTCAGGTTGCTTGTGCGTCGTCCTCCTCTCTCCTCATCACTACTTACCTTACAGCAAATCGTTCAATTTTTTTTAGTTCCTCTGCTCGTATGTATGTATGTATGTATGTATGTATGTATGTATGTATGTATGTATGTATGTATGTATGTATGTATGTATGTATGTATGTATGTATGTATGTATGTATGTATGTATGTATGTATGTATGTATGTATGTATGTACGTACGGCGATGGGCAGCCATCCTCACCTTCACACAACTTCCAAATCTCATCACCAATGGTTAATCATCATCATCACCTTCCAAATCTCCATCACCATTGCTCATTATCATCATCATCATCATCATCATCACAACCCCCTAAACCCTAACCCTAACCCTAAAACTAAAGCCTAAAATATACTAAAACTTCTACTCTCTAGTCTTCCTACCTACCTTACCTTACCTTAGCCTTACTATCTATCTAAGCAAAGCACTGTAAGCATAATAAGAAAGGGACATGGCATGCATGACATGGTTTCATAAAACAACACACCCGCGACGTGTGGTCAGACAATTTTTTTCTTTTTTTTTTCTGATTCTACCTTACTTACCCCAAAAGCTCTCTAAACCAAACCAAACCCCCGGACAAAGCACGTGCGCCAGCAAGGTAAGGTAAGGCAAGGACCCCCTTTTTAAATCACTGAGCATGTGAGATGTGTGAGATGTGTGAGTCGAGATGTTTTGTTTCTATCTTTAGATATATCCCTCTCTCCCTGGCACGCGCGCGACCCGGTGAGATTCGTACAATCCCCTGAGGCTGGCACGCGCGCACCAGGTCGACCGGTGAGATTTTTTCATCAAAACAAACCACCAAACGATAAGGGCCAGAGGGAGAGAGAGAGAACGATAAGGGCCAGAGGGAGAGAGAGCGAGAGAGAGCTTCGATCTCCGGAATTCAGACGAGACCCGAGGTCATGTCTCAGTTCCAAGTGTGAAGTCTCAGGTCTTGCTGACGATACAAGATGAGATCCAATCATTCGCGTGGAGGAGAACGGAGAGATGTGTCCGTAGACGGGGATCTCTCTCTCTCTTTCTTTTCCTCTCTCGCGCGCTTTGTCTCTCACGAGATCGAGGGAGACATATCTGAGAGATCGTGAGAAATTCCCCATACGCATGTATACATTTCTTTCCATCTTGGAGATTTTGAATCGAAGCTGATCTGTGCCCAACGCGCCTCCAGCGCCTACGCTGTCCTTCCGTCCAAATGCTTGGAAAACGCCGAATATGCTAGCAGCTTCAAATGCGCTGCAGGACTTCCAGTATGATGCCCCGATGCTCGTCGCCATTATGCACGCCTGTCACAATGTCTCGCCAGATAGCAGGATGCTGTCGTCTCGTGTCCACTTCACCTCCTCGACCTCTCCGATGACTTGCTAGAGCTACGGGCGAGCTGCTCTACGCTCTTCGAAAGATCTTGGCTCGCCCTCAGACTGTCCATACTAGGCCTTACACTATCCATGCTCGGCCGCACACTCGAGCTGCTGCTCTGCCTCCGCCGCCGGCGCGTCTCCTCTGGGTCACCCGGATGAAGGCCGCTTGCACGAGCGAAGAGATTCAGAATGTCCGTCAGCGACACTACACCAGATAACCGACCAGACATGTTGGCACCAGGCAGAGATGCAGCGGAGACGGATACTCCTGGATTGACTGACGTGAAAGGCGGTCCCGGTGTCATCTGCTCGCTCATTGAGCCTTGTCGCGCCGGTGTGGTGATTGGAGTGTTGTGTTGAATGTTGATGCTGCCATGTTGTAGGCCCATGGGCGGCATGACCTGATGTGGTCCAGGTGAGGGTGGGACGCTGGGGCTGGGCGATGGCGCGTCGACGACCCACATCCTGTGAGAACGCGTTGCGCACAGCTTCGCGACCGTGTGCGCAAGCGTCGAATATGGATTGATGTAGAATACGGGGTAGGAGTCCTTGCCGTTGTCGACACCTCGTTCGGACAGGATGACGGAGATGAAGTGGATGCAGGTAGCAGAGAGGAGAGGGATGGCGGATGTGTCAGTCAGAAGCTATTGCGTGTTAGCATTGCTTCACGTCCCACAGAACGCGTCCGCCCTCACCTTGACATCGACGTGGCTGATGTTGCCAACGACATTGCGATTCTGATCGAGCACAGGTAGCGATGTGATGCCCTCGTTGTGCATCAATCTCAGCGCGTCGGCCAGAGGTTTATCGCCATTAATGGCCAGCACGTCTTTCGCTCCAATGTCCAGCTCTTTGAGAGTCAATTGGTATAGCTTCTCTGTGGCATGGAAGCTCTGATGGTTCTCCCAGAAGAAGCGCACCAGCCTCAGTTGACTCAGAACACCCAGCGCCTCCCCTGTGCCCTCTTTTGTGATGATGACCCGATGATGCCCACTGCCCAGCGACTCTACTGCTTGCGTGAGATTTGCTGTATGGGGTAGGAATACCGGCTCTTCCCTCGCTCCCAGGTGGTGCTGAATGTCTTGGAGAGGAATGGCATCTCCGGTGCGCGCCCTCTCGGCTACTTGACCAGCTTCCTCGTCTGCCTGTGAAAGGCCAAGTACGAGCAGGAGGTAGGCATTGAGGTCGGAGTAGTCAAAGGTGCCAATCGCAGTCTTGGTCTTGGTCGACTCCCTGATGAGTACAACGTTGGGTGCGCCAGACCTGACGAGCAGCTTTGTGGTGTCCTCAATGCTAGTTTCCAACTCGACGAAACGCGTCTCGGTGGGATCTATAATCTCTTGCACTTGTACAGTGCTCCAGTCTCTCCCCTTGAATCTTTCGTCGGGGCCATTGGCCTTGGTAGAGGGATTCATGAGCAATTCGGTCCACGCTGAGCCGGAGAAGGAATGGGTTCGCTGTGCGCGGGGCGAGGAGGGATATTGCCTGAGGTTCAGGCTCTCTGCAAAGCTGGAACGTTTCGAGACGGAGGGGGAGGGAGCAAGCGAGGAGGGGTCCTTCCGCGGGGTCTGCAAGGGCGTTGTGGAGGTGGAGGAGACGGCGGTGGTGGTGATGGGGTGCGGTCTGCTGGTGGTGCCTTCCTGGCGCGAGGAGGGCGGGCGCGAAGGGGAAGGGGCGGATAAGGTCATGGTAGCGGAAGGGGCGGGTCTCTGTTTGGACGGATCCGTTCTTGTTGGCGCGCTTCAGGCAGCAGGAACGACGGAGGGGTCGTCGTCGTCGTCGTCACACGTCCTGGTCGTAACTTGAACTCTGTTGTCGTGTTGTGGGCGTGAACATGCAGTCAATTCTTCCACCCGTCCTCGTGGACTACATGTACCTTAGGTTGGCTCTTGGAGTAAACAGCAAGCGCCACGCTCCAAGATGCAAGATGCAGGCGCGGTGGTTCTGGATCGATTACATGTACTGGGTAAGGTACATGTATCGATCGATCGATTATCCGTTATCGTCATGCAGACATCGAGATCACCTCGTCACTCGCTCTCTCACGCGACTCTCCTCTTGGCGGTCGTTGCTGCCCTGCCCTCACCTCACAGTGCTTGAGTGCGAGTGCCTGCCCCGCCCCACGTCGGCCGGGCATCGCATCTCCCCGTCCCCGTCCCCGTCCCCGTCCCGTCTGCAGGGGTGTGGAAACGAACGTCGACCTCGAGCCTCGTCAAGCATCGCAATCTTCACCTCTCGCTGCCATGATCATCCCGCTCATTCGGGGGCGAACATGTGTGCCTGCTCGTGCATCCATCCGGCCACCGCAGCACACAGCGATCCGAGAGTGACACCTCAGGCTACATGTAAGGTATACTTGCACTGCAGATTGTACCTGATGGAGGAGTGCAGATGAACTCGGAAGGGCGCGTGCGGGTGAGTCAATCGCACGATTACAAACCATCCACCGGTCAAGCTTTCCCAAGCCTCATCAGCACGCGATGGAATGCAATGTCTTATTCGGCCATTCCGTCAGGACAGAAAAATGCTTGCCAACAGACTAAAGTCTTCTTCCTCCTCCTCCTCCATCTCTAAACGCATCTCCTCGGCTGAACTTCGCCCGAGCAGAAAGCGACCTCAACGCAGGAGTCATCGGCGGTGTAAAGTGGCACCGCTGAAACACCGCGCATTCTGCACCGTCGACATTCCACGGTGACGCTTCCGTCTGTCTGCTCCTTCTCGCCTTTTTCTTCACAGAGAAAAATTCCACTTTGATCTCTACAAAAGAAACCCAACCAAGAATCAAAACGTGCATCCACGACAAGACCATCGCCACCAAACCCTGTCTGGACACAAACTCTCAACCGGCCATGTCGCTGCACGAAGCGTATACCCTGGCGCACACCGCACAGTGTAGGCTCCAGATGGAAGCGAGCAGACCAGACAGAAAACTACGCTTTGTCGTCGGTCACCTTCTGCACTATGAGTCCATGCGATTGCGAATCGTCGAGATCGAACACGACATCTCCAAGCGTCAACGAGCAAGGTCCGTAACATTCCAAGGAGCCGGCCACATCGACAACCGGTTACAACACAAGCCATCTACTGCCCAACTCGGTCGAAAGTCACCGCCTCCTACTGCATCCACATATGACGATGACGAAGACGACGACTTGGACGACATGCGAGACGACGAGGAAGATGCCGGCCTCTCATTACAGCGCTTCCCATCGCGCTCTTCTCGCCCGCCGGATATGGTCCCGGACGAAGAAGACGATGACGATGAAGACGAAGACGACGAGGAGCCAATCTCTCCCCACGAGCCTGACGCCGAGACGCTGGAGAAGTGTGTCAAGGGTGAAGGGAACGAAGTGTATGCCAGCATGTACGAAGGAGTGAGGAAGTGCAGGTGTCACGGCAAGACAGATGCGCCGAGTTTTGACCGCATGTGGGAGCTGCCGCCAGATCAGCAGGGAGAGAAGGAAGGAGTCACGAGAGCGGTCGCACACGTTCGTGATGTCGATGCGGCTCCGAAGGAGAGCTGCACGGTCACTGTACCGAATGTGCAGGTCGAGGAAGTGGCGGCGTGAGGGGCGAGTTTGCTCTGCATCATCTCTTGGCGTGAATCACCTCTTGGCGTGAATCACCTCTTGGCGAGCGCGCATCAGACTGCACCCGGAGCAAGAACCTCTAGGGAGATTTGACTTGCGACTTGCATCTCTAACGGCCGCGAACAAAATGATACCAACGACCAGCGCAGCGAACGGACGGACAGCTCCTTGATGATACCAGGCCACGGAAAGGGAACGACTTGTTCCGGGCCACATACTAATGAAATGGAATTCTCCTGCGATGTATGCTTTCAAACTGCTTCGAATAGACTTTATACGTACTTTTTTTCTGACCTCAATGGGTACAAACTTCACTCAACCGATGATTCCACCACCTACCTTCTTTTACTCCTTCTCACTCATCCCCTCCGCATACCCCTCGGGCAAAACCCTCACATCCAACACCACACACTTGCCCCTCCGGACCTGCTCCACCGCATCCCGCATCGCCCCCTCCAACTCCCCCAACCTCGTCACCTGCTCCTTCCTCACCACCGCACACCCATGCCCCTCTGCAATCCGCTGCAAATCCGGCGGGGGGGAATCCAGCCTCATCCCGATATAGCGATTCTCCACGGGCCGCTGCCTCCTCTTGGCAACGCGTTCCTGGTGCACTTCATCATTATAATAACTGCCGTTATTCGCCACAATCACCAAGCAGGGCAGGTTGTAGCGCGCGGCGGTCCACAAGGCGGAAGAGGCCATGAGGTAATCCCCGTCGCCGAGGATGCCTACCGTAGTGAGGTTTTGGGGGTTTCCCGCTTCGTGGAGGGCGAGGGCTGTGCCTATGATTTGGCCCGGGCCGCTGCCGAGGCCGGCGCCGCCGTCGAGGCCCAGGAAGGCGAGGGGGTGGGTTATTTGTAGGAGGGAGCCGGGGAAGGCGAGGGGGATGCGTACGAGGCTGGTTGATGACGGGGGGAGGGTGGTGTAGAGGGCGCGGGCGAGGTCGGGGAGGGTGATGTTTGCTTCTGGGTCGGGATTGGGGTGGGGATGGGATGGTGGTGGTGGTGGTGACGGCGGGGGCTGCGTTTCCCAGGCGGAAGTTTTCGCCGGGATGGATTCCGAAGCAGTGAGGATGGAGGCGAGGGTCTTATCCACGTCTGCGAGAACGCGCATGTCCGCGGGCGGCAGGGCGAAATGGTCTTTCGACCAGCCATTCTGGAGGATGGAATCCAGACTGATGTGGATGATGGTCGTCTGCTCCGCGGCGGGGGCTGCCATGCCGGCGGCGTGCAGATCGCCTGCGAGATCCACCCAGTCGAAGGAGAGGATCACGTCGGCCTGGCGCAGCAGGGCCTGGGAGGCAGGGGACAGGAAGATGGAACTCGCCGTCGGCTGCAGGGCGTGCGGATAGGGAAAGGGCGCGGGCTGTTTGATGTCCGTCAGCACCCGGCCGTCGAACTTCTCCACGAGCGCGATGCGTTCGTCCCATTCCCGTTGGGACCCCGTGCCCATTCTGCCCAGCAGGAAGAGGGGGTTCTTCGCCTCGCTGAGGGCTGCCACGATGCGCAGGACGTCTTCGATCGACGGGCCGGGGCGTTCGATCGCGGCCGCGACGAGGCGCGAGGTCTCTGGGTATTGCAATCGTTCCGGCTCGAGGATGGGGTCTTCTTGCAGCGCGAGGTCGAAACAGACATAGGACGGCGCGCAGGGTTTCGACGTACTCGCGACGTAGGCGTGGATGAGGGATTTCATGCCCGCTTCGACGCCGTGCGGTTGGTCGTCGAACTTGACGTGGTTGCGGATGAGGGCGGCCTGGTCCTGGGCGGTGTGGATCCAATCGATCCAGGGCCGTCTGCGTTCGGCATCCAAGGGGCCCGTGGCGCCGAGGATCAGGATGGGGACGCGGTCACACCAGGCGTTGTAGATGGCCATGGAGGCGTGCATGAGGCCGACGTTGGCGTGGAGCGCGGCCGCCATGGGTCTGCGGGCGACTTTGGCGTAGCCGTGGGCGATGGAGATGCAGTGTTCCTCGTGCAGGGTGATGAGCATTTCCGGGGCGGTGTTGCCGTTGTGGTTGACGAGGGAGTCGTGGAGGCCGCGGTAGGACGAGCCGGGCACCAGGGCTATGTAGGAGAGGTTGAGACGGGAGAGTTGGGTTGCGAAGGCGTCGCTGCCGAACAGAGGTTTGGAGTCTTGTCCTGATGGGCCGGGTTTGGGTCGATCGGAGAGGAGGGGTCCATGGTGGGAGGGATCGTTGGAGGCCATTCTCCTTGATTATGAAGTCGTATCAATGAGTGATGATGAAGTCGTATCAACACCAATTCTTCGATATAATATTGAATTAAGACTCGGAAGGTGGAGGGCGGAGGTGAGGTGAGGTGAGGTGAGGTGCAAGAGGCTCTCTCTCCACTTCCGGCCAATGCAGCTGACGGGAGCCATCGCATTCACATCGACACGGTGCATCGCATTCACATCGACACACTGCATTGCATTCACATCGACACACTGCATTGTGCATTGTCTCAGTGGTCCGTTGGGATGCACAACATCTACATACTACAACTTCTCCAATCTATCTCCTGGCAAAACTTCGGAAGATTGCTTCTCTTCCACTTCACTTGGTCCTTCTTCTTCTTCTTCTTCCTTCCCGTCAACATCAACACTGCAGCGTCCAGACACGGAACAGAACTGGAAACTCTCCCATGTGTCTGCAGCTCAACAATATAAATGCGGCATTCTAGCAGCGCTTCACACCATGCAGTGTGCTCTCCGGCACATGCAAATCACCCCGCCTCTGACGGCCCCACTACCCATCACCGCTGCCCTCCAGTCTTCCTCCGACACTTCCAATAGTCGGAAAGGTATCACGCAAGTCTGCTTTCACACTTCACCTCCGCTTCGTCATCTCAGGCTCTCTACCTACCTCACGTCGAATTCCCCCTCTCTCTCTCTCATTACATTACATAACACTCCAAAATGCCACCCACCCTCCCCACCGTAGAAGAAGCCCTCCCCAAACACCTCGACCTCTTCTACAATTCCGCCTGGCATGCCCCCCGATCCGCCCACTACCAAGAGACCTACAGCCCGGGGACGGGCAAAGTCATCACCGAAGTTGCTCAGGCGGGAGCGGAAGATGTCAACGCAGCCGTCGAAGCAGCCGACCACGCTTTCCACACCTTCAAGCTCACCCCTCCACCGCAACGCGCCGCTATGCTGAGGAGAGCGGCACAGATCTGCCGAGAACACGCTACAGAACTTGCCTTCCTCGACGCACTCGATACTGGCAACCCCATTGCCGAGATGCTGAGCGATGCGAACGTAGCCGCTGCCTCCATGGACTTCTTCGCTGGCCTGATTCCCATGCTGAAAGGCGAGACTATCCCTCAGAGCGATGACACATTTCACTACACCATCCGCGAACCCCTCGGCGTGGTTGCACGAATCGTGGCTTTCAATCATCCCGTCATGTTCGCCGGAGCAAAACTGGCAGCTCCAATTGCAGCAGGGAACTGCGTCGTCATCAAACCCCCCGACCAAGCACCCCTATCCTGCCTCCGACTAGCAGAACTCCTCTCCGACGTCTTCCCTCCCGGCGTCCTCAACATCCTCCCCGGCGGCGTGGAATGCGGGACAGCGCTCAGCTCCCACCGTCTCGTCCGAAAGATCACACTGATAGGCAGCGTCCCCACCGGAAAGGCAATCGCCCGCACAGCCGCAGATACCCTCAAAAGCACCCTCTTCGAACTGGGAGGCAAAAACGCCCTCATCGCCTATCCCGATGCAGACATCCCCAAACTCATCCAAGGCATCGGCCGCGGAATGAATTTCACCTGGGCAGGGCAGAGCTGTGGTAGCACTTCGAGAGTTTTCCTCCATGCTTCCATCCACGATGCCCTCCTTCCACAGGTCGTCGATTTCGTCAAGAATAACTTCAAACCCGGTCCTCCGACGGATATGGGCACGACCATGGGCCCGGTGATATCCGAGACGGCACGAGATCGGATTTTGGATTACATTCAATCGGGAATCGATGAGGGCGCGACCCTTCTGCACGGCTCCCCGAACCCACCCTCCGAGTCAGAATTCCCCGGCATAGAAGAGGGCTACTTCCTCCACCCCACCATCTTCACCGACGTCTCGCCCGCCATGCGGATCGCGTCGGAGGAGATCTTCGGCCCCGTCATGTCGGTGTTCAAATGGGAAGATGAAGAAGATCTCTACCGCATCGTCAATGCCACCGAATACGGACTCACGGCTTCCATCTACACCCGGGATATCGCGACGGCGCAGCGGGCCGTGAAGCGGGTCGAAGTGGGGTATGTATGGGTGAACCAGGTGGGGCGGCATTTTCTGGGCGTGCCGTTTGGGGGGTACAAGGAATCCGGGGGTGGGAGGGAGGAGTGTCTCGAGGAATTGATGGCGTTTACGCAGAGTAAGAGTGCGAATTTTGGTCTGGCGCCGTGACCGAAATCTCGGGGGTGGAGAGTTGCTGGAGATGAAGATGATTGGGGTCGATGTGCTGGGAGAAAGGAGGCTTTCATTGAGAATTTTTCCATGGGGATTAGGGTGGAAGAAGAGAAGAGGACATGATGCTGCCCTAATTAGAGGCAAATGAGCGAAGTCTCCCCTGGAGAAGCTCCTATTGAATGCTCCAGATCGGGGACTGTGTTAGAATACGAAAATGGTATCCCACTGGGACCGAACGAAAAAAATGAATTGTCCACAGAAGACGTATCTCCTTTCCTTTCCATGTCTTTGTCGCAGGCACGCACGCACGCACGCACGCATGCACACTTATCAGGCGGAAGGGATCAATCATCATTATGATCATAATAATCATCAATAATCATCGAGCCTCAAAAACCGCCACCCACCCTACCTTCTCAATCGATCAATGCGCATTTTATGGGCGCAAGTCTCTCCACCTCCTCCTTCCTCCTCCTTCCTCCTCCTCCTCTTCCTCCTCTTCCTCCTCGAGACCTATCCCTTACAGTAGTAGCATGTTCACTAGAAGGGGGCCGCCACCGATGATGATGATGATGATGATGATGATGATGATGATGATGATGATGATGATGATGATGATGATGATGATGATGATGATGATGATGATGATGATGATGATGATGATGATGATGATGATGATGATGATGATGATGATGATGATGATGATGATGATGATGATGATGATGATGATGATGATGATGATGATGATGATGATGATGATGATGATAATGAATTGATGATAGCAAATCTCCACACACGCGGGATTTTGTGATTTGCTGGGATGGATGGATGGATGAAGAGGATGGAAATCGGAGTCATGACCTCTTTCTTTCTTTTGAGCTAGCTCGCTAGCTCGCTCACTTCAAAGTTCGATTGCATGTCATGTCATGTCATGTCATGTCACGAGGGATCGGAGGGATTTTTTTTTTTAGCAAGACTCAACTGTTGTTCATAGGGCTGGGGATTCGATAGCAAGATAGCAGGACGGTCTGTCTGTCTGTCTGTCTGTCTGTCTGTCTGTCTGTCTAGATAAGAAGGAAATTTCTCCCTACTATCTTACTATCCTATTATTCTACTATAAAATGTCTCTCTCGATTATACCTTATACTATCTATCTATTAGAAGAGGATGGTAGGAATATAGCATGGCAAAATATAGAGATATAGAGTATAGAGATGAGATGAGATAAGATATAGAACTTAATGTTAGATCAGTTCGACTAAAGGGAGGAAGGGGAGGGAGAGGGGCAAAGAAGTTATCTATCTCTACGGGATTTATCTATCTCGAATGTATTCATTTATACAACCTGGAGGGGAGGGGAGGGAGGGAGGGGGGGATTCTCGAAGAGGACATACGGATAGGTGTAATATCCGGAATGAAAAAGCATCTATCCATCTCCTCCATGCAATTGAATCGAATCAGATATAAGCCACAGGGAAAGACTGAGAGGGGAGATGTGAGATGTGAAATGTGAGATAGGGATATAGACTCATAACTTTTCCAAAAAAAAAAAAAAAAAAAAAAAGTGCCATCTCTCTCGCTCTTTCCTTGTGAGTGATACCCGGTCCCTTCGTGGCGAAGGCGTAAGCGTCGCCGTCGTCTTCCAAGGGGGCTCTGTACCAAAGCCGACGTCCTCTTGGAGAATCGAGCAACTGAGGGTGCTGTTGCAAGATTTTTCCCAGGCGATGAGCGTGGTCAAGATAGCGTGGAGCAAAGCCTCGCTTGTCGTGTTGGAGTTTGGAGGGGGGACACCAGTCTCAAACCCCCCTCTTTTGAAAAGAAAGAAGGAGAAAAAAAAGAAAGAAGTTTACCGCTCGTACTGTCGTCCCCGTCGGGTATCATATCATGTGGATATATCTATCTGAACCGTGAACGCCTTGCTTGCTTGCTTGCTTGCTTGCTTGCTTGCTAAAAAGATCAGAGAAAAAGAAAAAGTCATATCCCGAAGCCATCGCTCAAGAATATGGATGCCATTGCAATTGTAAGCGTCCCGCGTAGCATAGTCGTCTCTTGTCTCGTGGATATGAAACACCAAAAAAAAAAAAAAAAAAAAAAGGCAAAAATCAAGCAGCAAAAAAAAAAAAAAAAAAAAAAAAAAAAAAAAAAAAAAAAAAAAAAAGGACCCTCACTCTCTCCCCCTCCTCACCCTCCTCCCCCTTCCCCTTCTTCCCCCTTCTTCCCCTTCCCAGCACCAGCAACCCCCTTCCCACCCCTCTTCCCCACAGCCCCCTCTCCCTCGCCTTGGCAGCCTTAACATCATAAACCAAAAAACACCGCTCCAACGCCCTCCGAAACTTCGTCGCCTGCTCGCGACAATAAGCCTTCCTCAAAACATCATACAACTCCCAAAGCGGCTTCTTGACCGCCTCGGAAACCTCAAAAATCCCACCTCCTTCCCCCTCTTCATCGTCCTCGTCGGTGTCAGTGCCGAGGTAGAATTCGAGGGAAGTGAAGAGATTCTCGCGCCCCAAGAAATCGACGCCGAATTGGCCCAGGACCAGCGCGTCGCCTGTGCGTGTGACGCGGTGGAGGGCGACCATGGCGCTGGCGAGGCGCGTGGAGAGGAAGCGGAAGGTTTCCGACTCGTCGCGCTGGAAGGTGGTGTATTTGGGGTTGGGGACGCGGGAGACGGATTTTGGGGCGGCGGTGAGGCGGGCGAGGGGGCTGGCTTCCACGAGGGGGAAGGCAGAGGAGGAGGAGGGGGGTGCTTGCGGCGAGGCGGAGCGGGAGGCACGCTCGCTGTCGGAGTCGTCGGAGGCTGCGGCCTCGGGCGATTGGGAGCGCGAGGGAGCAGGAGAGAGCTGCTCTCCCAGCTGCTGCTGCCCGTCCATCTCCATCGTCGAAACCGGAGAGGAGCTACGGGAAACCTGGCGGACGGCCTGATCGACGACGGTGGCATCCGGCGGGAGAAGAGCAGCCGCCAGGCCCCTGCTTTCCATCTCCTCGACGGCGTTGGCGAGGATCACCTCGGCGGTGAAGAGGGCCAGCACCTCTTCGGCGACGCCCTGCTGGCGCAGGAACGCCTGCATGCTGGCGGTGACGTGGGCCATCTTGTATTTCCTATATCTCGAGAATGTCAGTCTTGGTTTGTGCCAACGGGGAGGATATCGGTGCGTAGATTGGTGGAATTGCCTGTCGGGGATGGGATGGATTTCGAACTGACCGGTTTTGCTTGTGAGAGGGAGATAGAAGTGAGTATAAGAGGGTGAGGGAGATTTCCACGTGCGTCCGGCGCTCGTGAAGTGATGGTGTGTCGGTGTCGGTGGAAGTGAGGAGAAGTGACGGCTGCTGGCGCGTGAAAGGCTTTGTGTCGTCGAAGAATCGAAGAGAGAGAGAGAGAGAGAGAACCGCCGAACGGGTAAAGCCTTGTGATGGTCGGAAGAGTGAAGAGAGAGAGAACCGCCGTATACGGACAAAGCCTTGTGAAGTGTGTATGTCTCGAAGAAGAAAAAGAGTAAGAAGAAGAGCGTCGAAAACTTGTACTGAGACAGACCAGAAAAGATTGCCAGAAAAGAACCTGAAGATGAAAAGGAAGAAGAAGAAGAGAGGAATTGAAAGCCAAGGGAAGAAATCCTTATACCTTTCCACCGTCTATTGACCACCACTGCGGTCTGTTGTCCGTCTGCTGTGCCATTGACCGAGCTGGGAGTCCTATTGTGTGAAGTTGACGCTAGGCCCGATTGGGAAAGTCGGCCAATGGAGAGGGAGTTTGACGCTATTGTTCGGCCCTTCGACAATGCGCCAATGCATGATAACTGCTTCGAGGTGGATCGGTGCCTATTGTGAGTTCTTACGCTAAGCAAGGCTTATTGTCTTGACTTGTCAATGTTGAGGAGCTCCGACAATGCCTTTGGGATGGAAGCTTCTTGGGTTGGTGGGTCCAGTGGTGACCAGGCGATTCCATGCTATTGTGTGAGCGCGCGCGCTAATCAATAGCAAAAGCAGCCCATTGTAGATTGTAAGATGTCCGACAATGGCTTCTGAATAGAAGCTTTGTGGGTGCCTAGGTCCTGCCGTGACCACACGATCCTATACTATACTATTATGTGAGCGCCCGAGTGACGATTAGACAGAAAGACTGTTGGCTTACGATTGTCCAGAGCTTGCAATAGGGACCTCTAGAGAGAGCTTCGCAGGTGGGTAACCCTATTGTGAGCAGACAATTCGGTGCTATTGTGTGGGAGAGCGCGCACAAACCAACAAGATGAGGAGATCGAGTCTACGAGAGAGAGCAGACGAGCGGACGGAGAACGGAAGTCGTGGAGATTGGCCAGTCTGAGGCCCGTGATACGAAAGCACGCCGAGGATTACCTTGAAAACGCCATCGCTCATCACGAAATGCCCAAGGTCCCCGAATTCCGCAATGCCCCAAGAAGCCCCATGTACCCGACCTAGCGCTGTATTAAGCATCTGAAACGTATTGTCCTCCCATCGGCGCGCATGCCTGTTTCCATGCGGCCTGCCATGGCCTGGCTCCGTGTAAGAAGTGGAATGGGCAGTGGGATGCTCTAGATGCCTTTGATGGCCACGGTGCGCTCGCTCTCGAGCTTCTCGCGGTTGCGGTCCTGGTGGCCCGTCAGTACCCCATCTTCCTTCCAAATGAAGACGTCTGAGACTGTTGCGCGGAGGTGCATGCTGTGCTTTGGCGCATCGGCAGCCATCCGCGACAGTCTCGGAGGTGTTCCACATACCTTCTCCTCCTTCTTGCAGTCTTCCAACCCACTACAATTGTGAGACTCCAGCATACGGTGTTTCCCGCAGAAGTGGCCCTGGCAGAAGCCGCAGTCGCCCACGATACGCTGGGCTGCGTCCCTGCAGTCCTTGAAGTTGCAGCGGATCTTCTTTGGCGCGCCACCGAGGATGGGAAGGGCCATGTGCAGGGTGGACTCTCGCGTGATGTTGTAGGTCGTGAGGGGTTCTGAAAGAGCGGACATGTGCTTGCCGGCGTGGACGAGGCGGAGATGGGATTCGGGTGCGTTGGTTCGGAGAGCGAGGACGGAGCGCAGAGTGCCTACGGTGGTAGACTCTGGGATGGTGATGGGAAAGGCTGCCGAGGTGTCAGCTGGGGAGACCAGTGCTTCCGGGCTCTGTGTACGCACTGTCGCCGGAGACGCTCTTGACGAAGATGTGCATGGTTGCCTCGGGCTCAGCGGACGAAGCGCGGGAGGAGATGGAGGGGGTGGTGTCGGACGGCATGTTGAAGGCGGAGCTCTCGGTTGTGAGGTAAGTGGTCGTGTGCTCACTCGAGAGGTGAGCTTGCCAGCTGATCGTGGTACTTTGACGGGAGAGCAGAGGGGATGATGGTAGTGATAGCTCTCAATGAGTGATAAGCCGTGGATTATGCCGCGAATGTGACGATGGTGGTAGATGTGGTGGTGTTGGTGTGCAGTCTGGAGGCGGGAAGCGGTGGGAGTGGAGGTGGATGTGAAAGGTGTTGGTGATGGAAGAGGACGGAAGGAGAGAGAGCAGGAGCAGGAGCAGGAGCAGGAGCAGGAGCAGGAGGGCGGTCACGGAGGCTTTGAAGAGATGGAAGGGTTGACGGAGGGTTAACGCCTCAGGGACAAGTCCAGGTTAAGGTAGGCGCGTGAGTAAGAACACAGAAGGTAATGACGAACGGTGACTAGGAAGGAAGCACAGAAGGGAAGGGAAGGGAAGGGAAGGGAGGGAGGAAGCCAAGAAGAGAAGCCATGTTGCCGCCCTTGACGCAGCGGTACTAAGTAAGTAAGGTAGTCAGTAGCACAGCGCACAGCACCAGCACCAGCACCAGCACCAGCAGCACCAACACAGCATCAGCACAATAATCAGTCACGAGCCCATGTGCCACGTCCCCATCCGTATGTGGTATCCGTCTCCCGGTGGCGCCCGGCTAAATCGAGGGTCTGTGGTCCACCGTCCGGCTCTGGCCCGTCTGCCGGATCTAGGTGTGCCATCACACCATCACCTCCGAGGCCGACTCACCACTTCACCTCTCCCTCCACCTCCCCCTCCCCCTCACCACTCCCTCACCACTCCCTCACCTCTACCTCCCTCACCAACATATCTCGCACTTCTTTCTACCCTCCTCAAATCCACTCTCACCAACGAGTTCTTCACACGCCACACGCACCCATCCGATCCATTATCCAAGGTTCTGATTCACACTCCATGCATCTACCCTCGCCATACGCCGTCTGCTGGGATAGGCATGCCTTGCCCTATCGAGTAAGCCACCATCCAACACCGCCTCCAAAGCATGACATCTCGCGCAATATTAGTTCGCAGAGCTTCCGTTGGTGCAATCCGCCGCCATGTCTCACCTTTTGGAATGCGTGCCCGCTGATGAGAGATGCACGCCATCTGCATACTCTCCACTCCTCTCCTACCACTCCTCTTCTCCATCTCGATGCTCAGATGAAGCATCGCAGCACTTCCACCAGCAGCATCATGGCCATCGATTGCCCGTATGGCATCGACGTCAGCGCTATGTCCTTGTAATGCTGCAAATCGCTGCCCATCCCCGTGCCAAAACTGACGTCTCTCAGCTCACCGTCTGCACTGATGCGCTCGAGAACCGCGTGAACCGCTTGGATTCCCATCTCTTCAAAGTCCTTGCTCAGATATCGCTTCCGCACGCCCTTCAGGATACCGTACGCAAACCCAGCAGTAGCGGAAGCTTCCACATAACTGCCATCACTCTCTGCCACGTCGAGCAGCGTCCGCCACGCTCCCTCACTGTCTTGCAACGCCTTCAGAGCCAGGCATTGACCTTCGAGCGTGTCAATCAGATGTCTTCGCAGCCCATCACCCGGAGGTAGATCGAGCAGCTCGATGAAGTCCGGAATGAAGATCGTAAGCCATGAGTTGCCGCGCGCCCATCTTGCCTGCGCGAAGTTGTGTCCAAATCCACCCGGCGCCGAAGCATCAAACTTCCATCCGTGGAAGAACAGTCCAGTCGTCGGATCGAAAAGATACTTGATATGCAGCAGGACTTGCCGCTTCGCTTCTTCAACGTACTGCGGTCGATTGAGCAGCCTTCCGATCTTCGCCAACGGGAGCACCGTCATCATGAGCGTATCGTCCCAGAGCTCATTGTAGTTGTCGCCAAGGTAAGTCATGTGCTGCATTCCACCGAACCTCGTCCTCGGCAACTCGTACATCGCCCATTCAGCCCAGGACTCCAGCCATGGAAGGTATGTCTGCTCGCCCTTCTTTTCGTAGAGATATGCTAACGTGGTGAACACCGCCATAGTGTTGATGTTCTTGCTTGTTCCCCTTGCGAGCTGGCCGTGGAACCAATCTTCTATCACTTGCAGTGCTTTGGATGATCCATCCAGCACGTGGAATTGCCAGAGGCCATACAAGCCAATTCCGTGCGTCCATTCCCAGTCATTCCAGCCCTTCGTATCGATCACTCTGCCATCCGGTAGCCGCAGCAGAAATTCTCCCGTGGTGTCTTGAATGGATACCAAGTTATCAATTAACAGCTCAATCTTCGCTCGTATATCAGCTGCTTGCAAGCCATGGACGGTAATCGCTTGCTGGGGCATCTTATTGGTATCCTCCAATGTTGTGTGTCGCCGCTTCGCGATAGACGGCCACGTTCTTAATCTGCCTGTACGTGGCTCCACCAAGGGCGGGCGCCCTCGCTCGCTCTCGCTGCATCTTTCAACCGAACGGCCAACCTCCTCAGTTCCGCCCATTACCCCAGATTTTCCGCTTTCTCCGCAACTGACCATCACGCCAACCCGGGCTTCGGTGCGAGCTTGACTGCGAAAGGATTGGGAGGCTGTGATGGCAAGCGCCATGCTGTTGACATCCTGCAGACCTCGTAGTATTCCGCCAATAGCTCTTCTCGTGGGAGCATGCGGGCGTCGTGTGCTGTTGACAATGATGGCCCGAGGGTTAACCTAATATCTCTGCCATTTCCTTGAGGCTCGGAGCTTTAAAAGACATTCTGTTATCAAGGGATAACGTTGAACATGGCGGGCACTAGAGACAGCCCCGAGCGAGTCAACGTCGCCATGGATGACTTCGGCACGAGTCGACACGACGAGAAGAAGGATTTTGATGCGGCGGAGATCGAAAGGGTGATGACCCCAGATGACTTGCGAAAGGGTAAGCAGGACTACAGCCGTATCGATGTGAGTATACCACAACACCACCTGGGTCAAATGCTAACTTCTACCTCCAGGCCGAAGTCGCCAAATACACCGAAGGCGAACGCATCGGAATCACCGACTCTGAAAACCGCAGGTTGAAGAAGATGATCGATAAACGAGTTCTCACCGTTATGGTCTTCACCTATTTCCTACAAGCCATCGACAAGGGCACGCTTTCTTTCACTTCGATCATGAATCTCCCGGCAGATCTGCATCTCAAGGGGCAGCAGTATTCTTGGCTTACGACGTGCATCTACATTGCCATCCTCGTGGTGGAATACCCTCTCAACTGGCTGGTGCAACGACTCCCCGTGGCGAAGTTCTTGGGCACTTGTATCATCCTCTGGGGCTCTATACTGGCGCTACATGCTGCCTCGCGGAATTTCGCAGAGATTGCAAGTCTGAGAACTCTGTTGGGCATTTTTGAGGCCGGGTGTCAGCCTACGTTCCTCATTATGAGTTCGATGTGGTATAAACGGGAAGAACAAGTTCTGATCGTGTCGTTCTGGTATTGCATGGTGAGGAGCACTCATCCCCTCCACGACTCAAGCCAATCTGACAAGTCGGGTCTCTAGAACGGCGCCCAACAGATCGTCGGCGGTCTCCTCGCCTACTGCTTCTCCCTCATCCCCCGCGGCAGCGCCCTCGAATCCTGGCAAGCCATCTTCATCGCCTACGGCACCTTTTCCGTCCTCTGGGGCGTCTTCGTCATCGCCTACCTCCCGGACTCCCCCATGCGCGCAAAGTGTTTCTCCGAACCCGACAAACGCCTCATGGTCGAACGCGTCCGATCCAACCAGACCGGTCTCCAGAATAAACGTTTCCGGATCGAACAGGTGAAAGAGGCCTTCACAGACGTGCAATGTTGGTGTTACTGGCTGATCCAGATCTGCACCACGCTCCCGACGGGCGGCCTGGGAGCGTTTGCGAATATCGTCATCAAGGGGTTTGGCTTCACGACGTTGCAAGTGCAGCTCTTGGCGATGGTGCTTGGGGCGTATATCATCCTCGTGCTGTTCAGTTCGGCTTGGTTGGTGCGGAAGACGAGGCAGAATGTGTTGGTCATGATGGTCTACACCATACCGTGAGTTTTTGTCCCACACAAGCCCTCTCTGTGAGTGAGATTCGCAGCTGACATTTGTCCTTTGGGGTCTTAGATCTTTCGCTGGGACTATCGTCCTCATGACGGTCAGGAACACCAACACCGCGACGGAAGCCGGCCTGCTGCTGTCCTACTACCTCTGCCTCTCCTTCTGGGCCGCGCAGAATCTCGCCATGAGCCTGCTCACCCGCAACGTAGCCGGGCAGACCAAGAAATCCGCCGCCGTGGCGATGAATTTCGTCGCCTGGGCGGCGGGGAATGCCGTCGGTGAGCTCCCTTATCCCTTTCCCCCCCTCCTCTACTACCCTATCAATTTCCTAACAACACACCGCACCGTAGGCCCACAAGTCTTCCTCAACCACGACGCCCCCCGCTATTTCACTGCTTTCGCCACGCACCTCGGCTGCTACAGTCTGCTCATCGTCGTCCTCCTCACCCTGCGGACGACTCTGAGGCGGAGGAATTCGATACGAAACGCGGCCGATGCGAGGAGGCATGGTGATGATGATGATGATGGCATGGTGCATGCATTTGAGGATCTGACGGATCGGGAAAATGTGGGGTTTCGGTATATGTTTTAAGGGGGTTTGTACCTACCTACCGACGACTCTTTTGTGGACTTTTTTCTCCGATGCATCCATCAATAACAGGCTTGACAGACAGACAGACAGTTGTTAATGCTGAGTGATTGTAGGTCTTCGAAATTTTCCAATTTTCCTCGTTCGACGTCGAGACCCTATTTTCGATATTTATAGAGATTATTCTAATACCGATTCTCCGATTATAATGGCTGTATCTACAGGGCCGGCCACCTTAAAAGTCTGGACGGACGTGAAAGGTTAGGTAGGATTTCTTATTCTTATTACAGAGAAGGAATTGTGAGTCGAAACATTCGGCGGTTTGGGGTGCCCCCGGGGTGCCCCCCCCCCCCCCCGGTGGGAAGCTATACCGAGCTGCTGAGATATAGGGCCAAGGAACCCCTCACATGCGTGTGTTGGATTTAATTTATTTTTATTATTGTTCGGGTCATTCTTTGCACTGTCAATGCTGTCGGCCACGGCCGAGAGCCGGGAAATTTCCTTTAGGCATTGGCATCGGAACCGTCCTCAGCAACCACGACACCTCACCTCACCTCACCTCACCTCTCACACCCGTCGGAATGCGATCCCTCATGAGCTGCTACCACTTCCCCTGGCTGCTCCTCCTAGCCCACACGAGTCAAGCACTCCTGCACGCCTCGGAAACCCCCCAGCGCCTCACCCTCTCCAACGACCGCCTCACGGCCTCCGTAAATAAAAGCACCGGCGCAATCGACGCCCTGTCCCTAGACGGCCAAGACCTCCTCGGGACCCCGTCGTCCAGCAACCCGGCTGTCGGCCCGTATCTCGATTGCTACTGCATCCCCGGCGGCAATGGAGCGTATACCCCGGGATCCATGGACGCGCGATACCAACTCCTGACCGCATCAGATAATCCCTCCTGGGTCGGCATCGTCATGAGCGAAATCTACCCCCCGACAGGCCAATTATTCGAACAATACTGGTTCCTGCGCGACGAGGAGACGGGTCTCCACACGTTCAGTCGGCTGGCATACCACAACAGCAGCACGCGTTTCGTCAGAAATCTATCCGAATTTAGAACGCTCTTCCGGCCCAACACGCGCCTCTGGACGCATCTCAGCACGAACGAGAAGACGTTCGCTCCGCTTCCGGATCACAATCCCGCCACGGGGGACCTGGAGGATGCCGTGAAGGTGCAAGACGCGACGTGGTACCTGCGCAATCGCTCCGATCCGTACGTGCAGGGCATGAGCGATTACTTCACCAAGTATACGTTTTCCGATTCCTGGCGCGATCACCGCGTCCACGGGCTCTTCGGCTCCAACGGCACGACGGCGGCGACGTTCGGTGCCTGGTTCGTGATGAACACGCGCGATACGTATTTCGGGGGCCCTCTGCATTCGGACCTGACGGTCGATGGGTTCGTGTATAATTACCTCGTGTCGACGCATCATGGGGATCAGACGCCGAATATCACGGATGGATTCGATCGGACGTTTGGACCGGGATACTATTATTTCAATTCGGGGCCGGGAGATGCGAGTTTGCAGGCGTTGAGGAGCGATGCGCTGAGGTATGCGGATCCGGATTGGAGTAGGGACTTTTATGATGAGATTGCGGAGTTTGTTCCTGGTTATGTTCCGTCTTCGGGGAGAGGGAGCTGGAGAGGCAAGATCGAACTTCCCCAGGGCTCCACGAGGCCCGTGGCAGTCCTATCCCAGAGTGGCGTCGATTTCCAGGATAACGTGGCAAATACCAGTGCGTATCAATACTGGGCAGACATCGATACAACGACGGGCTCTGTATCCATCTCCCATGCCAAGCCCGGCCTATATCGCTTGACCGTTTACGCCGATGGGATCTTCGGCCAGTACGAACAAGACGACATCCTCATATCCGCGGGACAAGAGACGACCACCGTTGCAGCATGGCGAGAAGAAGCAGCCGGCCAAGAAATCTGGCGTATCGGGACTCCAGATAAATCGTCAGGGGAATACCGTCACGGCGACCAGCTGGATCCCACGCATCCTCTCCATCCCGAAGAATACCGCATCTACTGGGCCATCTATGACTACGTCGACGATTTTCCCGAAGGCGTGAGATTCGAGATCGGAAAGAGCGACGAGGTTCGAGATTGGAATTATGTGCACTGGAGCGTCTTTGGCGGATCCGGCAATTCCATCCGTAGGCAACCGCATTATGGCGATGGCAATGTGAACAACTGGACAATCCTCTTCGATGTTTCCGGAGATCAACTGCAGCGGAAGAGAGAGGCGACATTCACGGTGCAGCTTGCTGGGGCCAAAACAGCGGCGGGAAATACGGATACCTTTAATGCCAGTCAGCTGTATTCCGACTTGCCGTACACTGTGGTGGTGAACGGGCATGCGCTTGAGCCTTGGATCATTCCGTAAGTCCTTCTCCTTCTTCAACAGCAAGTCGCAAACAATGCATGGAATGTCCAGCTGATGATCGGCACGCACAGGTACTACCAGAGCAGCTCCTGCGCCGTCAGATCCGCCGTGAGCTGTTACAACCTCGCGCACAAATTCGTGTTTGATGCTTCGTTGTTGACCGTCGGCAAGAATGCGCTCGTCCTCCGTCTCCCGTTCAATGGGACGGACTATGAGTCGGCGATTCTATCCCCATCGGTGTACGTCCAGTACGATGCTCTACGACTAGAGGTTCGATAGCGTCGCAGGTCATAGTACAGATGGCGACACATAGCATAAGTGTCGGTCCAAGAAGTATTCGTTCCAGCAATCGGAGCATCTCCCGTCTGTATGAATCGAACAGTGAACATGACTGCCAAGGCGGCATCCTCTCTCGTTACGAGACCAGTCCGTTAGGAAAGAAAAGAACTCTCGAGCTCAACGCATTACCCTAGGTCTTGCCAGCATTATCAAGAAGACAAGAAGCTTCCGCTGTGCAAAGACGCTCTACAACAATTGATCTGTTTGTTGAACGCGAAACCCTTGACACGAGTCGTAGGATGTCGCTGAGTAACCCAGGAGATGGTTCACGGTCTGTCCGTATTACAGCCGTGGCCGTAACAGTGGCGAAACTGACCTGCTTCATGTCTCAACCGGTGGCGATAGCGACAGGTAATAGCGAGCATCATGTCTCGCACCTCTCTCTCGGCCAGAATGGTCGCCTCCAGATAATGAGACCGAGAAGTGGGGTCCTAATTGCGAGCTTCCAGTCGTGATTTGACAAAAGACATTCAAAGTAGCCCATCCAAGTAGCTCAAGCTGGACACGACGAGCGTGCTCATCTAGCAGAAGCACGAATAAGAATTAATTCATCTTGGCAAAGACCAGGTCTCTGTCCAGATGAGATCTTCTGGCTGCTTGTTATCGACTCCACAATCGAGGCTTGGTCCAAAAGCTGGAGATCGCATTGAGCGTATTCGATATCGATATCGGAGTAGTAACGAGCATCGGCTGGTTCAAGGCATGAACCATCGCACGAAGCAGCTCTTTGCTGCCACTTTGAGGCGGCAATAGTCGCAGATCGCCAAGTCAAAAGTTGCATATCGTTTGTTTTGTATCTCTACGGCCTTGATAAGCATCCAGAAGCACGCGAATAATCGTTCCAGAGCGCGATTGTCTCGCACTTGGACAGGTCCCACTGTGAGTGTCAAGGGTGGGCATGAAGGGGCTTAAATTGTTCCAAGACGCCAAGCAGTACAATCCCAAGTCTCTGGTCTGGTAGGAGCTTCGGTTTGAGCCGCTAGACTGGTGTTCCCGACATGACAACTCGTAGGATTGGGCAGACATGCATATCGCAGACCATGCCTAAAATGGCACCTTTGATATAGCAGGTATCATCCGCTAGCGTGTGAGAATTGGTACCCAATCACGAAATGAACTCCAGCGCAACGTGTGGCTTCGTTATCGGCGGGCGGACCGTTCTTGTCAGTTTTGGCATGGAAATGCCTATGCCGTGTGCAGAGCACGAGTGTGAACAATGCCTCTTCTGGTAGCTCGGGGATGTCTGAAGCGCTTGAGGCTGTCATGTCCGTAGGGTTCGAGCGTTGTAAAACAATCGCGGGCATGTCGACCAGGTGTACATGCTTTCTTCCAAAACCCTGCGATGGCGATTGCGAAACATCGACCTTGATGAAAGCCGAAACAGAGCAAATTTTTCAAGATAGGCGAAGGGAAAAGGTTCGAAAACAGAAGTTCTCTTGGCAACGGCTCGGGCTTGTTGTCAGTCGTTCAGGAACCGCTCTCCGACAGCCACGCGAACACACTGTGACATCTCCGCCGGGGGGAGGAAGCTGCAATGTGTCGTGGGAGAACCTTGGTTTGACACGAGTCCAAAGTATCTAGGGCTGCACTGTTGATCTGCATGCGAACCTCACGTGGTTCGGCATGGAGGCTTCGGACTTCTTAGTCAGGTCTCCGACGTTGCCAGCTCTGCGTCATTGAACAACGTCGTAAGCCGAGTTTCATATCCCACCACCGAGTCTCCCGACCACTGGCTGAGCTTTCAGGAAGCAGGCGTGGCTATTTGTCGGATCCACACAAGGGACCGTGGCGGTAGAGGCTTGGTAGGGACTGGGGACCCTGCTCGCCTACACAAAAAGCCCATGTGGACATCTGTGGCTTTCCAAGTCGTATCGGCTTGCCCAAAACTTGTAGCCGCATTATGTTGAGGGTTGAGGAAGCTGTTCTGCCGGGGTTTTGGATGGGCAGCCTAGGCGATACTTGTGCCGGCAGGTCTCGCGAGAGCAAAGTCAGGCCCATGTCAATTGAGGTGCGTCTCTTTCCTGGTAACAACATGCTCTGCAGAGGCCTATCGATGCGGGCTCCCCGTTGCTCGGCCACGTGAGACAAGTTCGGGCAGGCCCTGGGATGCCTGTCACGTCTTTCTCTTCTAGAAGGCCGGCTGTAAATATCGAAACCGTCAACTTGTCTCATCTTGGAATTGTTGTCGCAGATGATGTTGCATCTCTACGACCCAGTCTCAAACACAAGGAACGCATTGTCTTTGCTTGTATTCCAGCGATCCACGCAGCCGCCTGGAAGTGCCGTGTTTGAGTGCTTTGGTACGGTCACGGAGTCGTGATGACCGTCTAGCACCTTGGAAGCTCTTGGCACGTCTTCACATGCCCGTTTGCGGAAGACTCAGTCATCAATGCCCGTCTGGAGCAGTAACTTGAGATCCGTTGTTGACTCGTAGAGCCGCACCAGAGGGTAGAGTCTTGACGCGACACCGAGTTTCGGGGAACTCAAAGATCGCGAAGTCTTTCCGGAGAAGGACGGAACGCGCTCCTGGGTCTGGCTTGAGGTCCCTCCAAGGCTGGACCCTGTGAGGGCCAGAAACTCGACTTCACTTCGACCTTCTGGCTCTTCATACAGGACTTCGGTTGCCATTGTCGATGTCGATCAGTGACGCTGCTCGTCGTAGGCAGTGCTAGGCGCATAGAAACCCATACGCAGCTTGGTAGTAGCCGGAACGACCTCTGGCTTCTCCCCACTTATGTGTTTCTCCCGAATCTCATCAGCTTCATCATGCTGCTGCCCTGGCCGTCCTTTCCGCAAGCGCTGACAGCTGCGCGGCCGCGCTCGGGGCGATTCGGTGACTTTTGAGGCACTGGATGTCGATGAAGCAGGAAGAAGCTGGGAAGATTGAAGCTGAACCTTCACTTACTGAATAGAAGGGGCTGAGTCAGAAAACTCCGGGTGGGGCCCAGACTTCACCTCTACTCGTCGCACTCTATTCTCGACATCCACCTCCTCTCTACGTTCCACGCCCCAACGCACTGCCCAGATCCTCACAAGAAGAACCCCCATCACATGCCTAGGCATCTCACAAAGTAACACCACAGAATAGCAGCCATCACCACCAAATCTCACCACACACACACACACGAGAAACCTTCTCCAGAGGCCAGACCGAAAGGGATGCGGTCCGGACGGCCGCTTACGGCGCGTAGGTAGCAAGATGAGATAAGAGTTTCCTACCACCCTTGGCATTTCCTTGCGTAGTAGCGTACGACCGTCTTTCCCAGCTCCTGTTTCCGGGTCTGCCGCTTTCCGCCAAGGAAAAGGCTCGGAATCTTGGTCCGTTTCTTGGGAGGGAAGCCTTGGACTTCACTTGATCCGGATGTTGGGTACGAGTGTTGATCTTTCGGGTGCGGATTGTGATGTGTCGATATCCGGAAGCGCAGGAAGAGAGGGAGTGAGTGAGGCAGCAGAAGAACACAAATGTCTGATTTGCATGCACAGTATAGCGCTCTCTAACGGAAGCAGTCAAGTAATTTGATAGATGGAAATAAAAAGTTGGACGGGCCATGTTACAAGACTCCAGCCCATCGCTCAAGTCTATCGATTTTCGCCATTTCCCAAGTGCATCCACCACACTAAGAAACATACCCTTTACAAATCGTTAGCGCATTCCATCTATCTCTCTATGCCCGTGATCAAGGCTCCATTCTTAAGGTCCCCCGTTCCCCTGAACGCCATGCTCCCGAAAAAACCCCAAAGTTGCTTCTTCCCTCACGAACGAGAAAGAAAGAAAAGAAAGGGCGGTCGTCAGACTTCTTCCTTCTTCTCATCTTCCGCGTCTTCGCTGACGGAGAGTGTGGTGCACGGTCGTGCAGGCGTGGCATCAGTCTTTGCTGCGGCTCGTGCCTTGTCGCTGCGCCGCCTGCACCAGATACCGATGGCCATGCATGTCGCGCTGAGAAACATGCACGCGCCCGCCCACATCTGGACGGTGAGGTAGGTCTTGTAATGCGTGATCAGGTGGCCGGCGATCAGGGGTCCGGTGAGACCCCATACCGATGCACACGAGTACATCATCCCCGTCCACTGGCCTAGGTGTGCTTGTTCTGCGGGATCCGGCCCGAGAACGTACGCGACAGAAGCTGGCGGGAGACCGATGACGGCGCCGGAGAATGCGCCGAAAACGACGACGAAAGCGATGGCGCCATCCAAGTTTGATGTGAGGGACCACAAGCAGAGTACGAGGATGGAAGCCACGTATGTGACGAAGCAGTGGACGTTCAGAGCACCCAGCATGTCCGACGTAAGTCCGGCACCGATACGACCGAGCGTGGAGGAGGCGTTCATGATAGCCAGGAGCCAGTAAGTTCGGATCTGCCTTCGCGGTTCCTCGTCGGGGAGGCCTTTATTCGCTTTAATGTCGTTGGCTTGTCTGGTGCCGAAGCCCAAGTCGACTGCCCACTCCTCAAGGTTGAAGAAGACGGCGTAGAAACCGAAGAAAAGGAAGGAAATCGACACCACGAGCCAGAGGAAAGCCCGGTTACGCTTGAATGCGGTCTTGTCCCAGAAGACGTTGATGTCGAACCAAGTTTCTGGCGTGCGGATGATATGACTAGGGTTCGGTCGAGCGATGTAGATTGCGAGTGCCGAGGTGGCACAGGTCAGAGCAGACACGCAGAATTGTGCGTGATTGAAGCCTAGATCTTGATTGAGGTATCGGAACATGACTGGGTAGATCAGGCCGGCGATACTGGCGCCGGATGCAACAATGCCGACGGCGAGGGACTTCGCCTTCTTGAACCAGGTGGCAACGACTGCGGTGAAGGTCAGCGACTTGGCGGTCTCGATTGCTTTCTGCGAGCGTGCTTGCTTACCTTGTGAAGCGCTCACGAAGAAGCAGGCCATACCGAGACCCGAAATGAATCCCTGAGTGAGCCACGTGAGGCCATAGCTACCGTTGCCCTGCTCCCCTCCACCATTCACAACGCCCAACAAGAACGAACCAAGGGTCACGAGCACAGTTCCGACAATCAAGAGCTTTTGGATGTGCCCAGCATCGAGAAAGCGTCCGACGGGCATGGACAGAGCGAGCACGACGAAGGATTGCGTGGAGCCGATCAAGTTCATGCGAAGAAGATCCTGACCAGGGAGAAGAGTGTCTTTGTAGTAAGATGCGTAGGTACCGTACGCATTGACGATTCCCCAGGAGTTGAACATGAGCAAGAAACCGCCAAATAAGCAGGTCCACGCCCTCCAATCTTTCGGCCATTTCGAATCCTCTGAGTCTTTGTCCGCCTGCGATGGGATTTCGGGTTGTGAGATGTCGATGCCATTCTCCTTGAAGTCCCTGACTGAGGTGGATCGGGAGTCAGAGAAAGATGCCTGGCTTTCATTTGCGTTGGATTCTTGGGTGCGTAGGCCAGCCATGATACCAAACAAATACCCTCAAAGGAATTATAGAATGAAGAAAGAGGGAGTGGGAGGTAGTGGAAGCCTACTGCTTGGGCCGGACCAACCTAGATTGGGGGCAAGGCGCAATTGATATCTGCTCAGGAGCTGGGAATGCATGGGACTCAAGGTTACGCGCAGCCATGCGTCGATCGTCCACACATACCTCTTCTGGCTGCATCCAGCAATGTTGCAGGTGAAGCTTAAGATCAAGACGCGTACGCTAACTCAACGTGCGCCGAGTAGCAGCAGAGACAGCATAGGGAAGTAGCATTTGCCTGGGTAGCGGGTGGGTCGCCAAGGGATGGGTGAGACGCGGCAAGGAGCAACCCAGAATGTGTCATACCCCGGGTGGTGACTCTGGTGAGCATGGCAGCGCCGGGAAGATAGTGATGGCTCGCAGGCCGCGAAGACGACGGCGAGGTGCTTTTGATGAGGTCTGGAATGGTCATGCCAAGGCCTTGGGAATCCCGGGACGCTGGGAGAGGCGGGATGATGCGGTCGTCGGCGCGGTCCCTTCCAAGTGGTTGCCGCCTGCGGCCGCCGCTGCTGCCACCACGGGACGGAGTCGTGCCTTTCGGTGCTGGAGGAGCTGGTAAGCAGAATCCTTCACCCTCGAAGACGGTGGAGATAGCCAGCATTGAGCGGGTTGCGGCCCAACGAGCCAGAGGCAGGCGATCTTTCCATGATAGCGCCAGCAAGAGGCAGCGTGGCGCTATCACGGCGCACGGCTGGTGAAGAGTGCGGACGACACGTCGCGGCGGTGGAGAGCGGTGGGGGAGCACGGAAGTCCACGCCCTGCCAGGCTCTGCCGCCTGGAATGAGCCGATGGGAGGATTGCAGCGCAACGTAAGGTAGTGCAGAGGACGAGATGGACGGGAGTGATGATTCGGTGGTTGCGAACACCGAAGTGCTTGGCGGCGGCGCGGCGCGGGGTGGGAGAGGCGTCTTGGCATCCACCGTCCGCCGCGACTGACGCTCTCACATGTTGGATGTCTGCACACGATGCCCAGACGCTACTGCTGCTAGCATTGAAGCCTGAGATACGTGCTCGACGCCTGTACAGCGTGCACATTGCCCATTTCAGAACACTTCCTTCCTCCACCAGCTCCTACGCCTCTCTCTATTCCTGCGGCTGCTGTCCCACTCCGCCGCCGTCGTCGCCGCTATCTGGTCATCATGCTCACCAACACTACATCCACCACGTCCACGGCATCACCACGTCTGCACAGCCTCTGCGACGGCCTGGGGCTCGCGGATAAGAACCATGATGACGCCCTCCCCCCGCCGGCAAGTCTTGGTAAGCTTTTCGCCTTCCTGATCTCCCGCGGAGGCGCAAGGGAGCGCTGCTTGATCAATAGGTCTCGCACCAAGCCACCACACCCTGCATACCAAGATCTCGCCGTTTGGAAGCGCGTCCATCTGCGGCCTACTGTGACGACCGACTTCCTCCTTATCTTCAACGTATGCGACCTCGTGGCGAGGGTCCTGCCTGATTCGATCACAGAGCTCGCCGCCGGTTTGCATGTGAGAGGATGATGCCCGCCAGTCGCTCTCGCTCTTCGTGGCACATTCGCAACATGACGCACAATCCTAACCTGCTGCCAGGTCTGCTAATGCGATCCTGCTATTACGACGCTCTGGGCGTGTACACGCGTGTGAATAGCATGCCATCGAGCACCGGATATCGCAGCATCAACACACCTCTGCTCAACAGTAGGCGAACTCTCTCTCCCGTAGATTCGGAGAGAAGCGGACTTGTATCGCTCGGCCTATATTCGCTTTGCTACTTTAATAAAGATGCGCCGGTAAGCTGACGAATGAATCTGCCACGCTACGGGACGAGCTGGCTGCCTTTACAAATCGATACTCCCTGGACCTCCGCCGACACGGTACTGGGAACCTTTCTTAGGGGGTCGCATGTTCTGGCAGCAGGTTACAGCTAAGACTGCCGTGCAACACTCACTTTTGTTTCACTTCTTCAGCCGGCCGAGGTCCTCAACTGCGTCGCTTTTGCTTTTCTTGCTCTACGGCCAAGAAGGGCCAAGACTTTGCAGTGAGATGCAGGTCGCTCAGACCGTCTTTGGTGCATTTTCACGAAGGCGTCTGCCAAGTCGCGAGTTACTGACGTAGGAGGAGGAGGTACGTGTGGTCTTTTCGGGTGGTGATGTAGGTGAGGAATGGATATGATAACGGGGAAAAGATGACGGTGGGGTTGTGTGTCACGGTCCGAGGGAGCATTTCGCTCTTTGGACGGACTGGTGGAAAGGACTGGTCATATCGTTAAACCAAAGACGGTCATTGTACTAGCTACTCAAGGTTCTACCTCACTGCAGTAAGGCCTGGGCGGAAGATCGTTCATCCGTACCGAGCTACCTGCACTTCACCTCATCCCTGTCGCCTATCAAGTCTTCCAGAACTCTTCGAGACCGCCAACATCATCATCTTGCCTCGCATGAATGAACGTATTGTCTGATTCGACACGCGCACCTTGAGTCTCTACGTCTGGTGTCTTTCTCTTGATCATCTGCTCGAAGCCGCGGCAAGCAAATCGTACTTCCTCCTGAACGTATGTACCAGTAAGATCTGAGCGGCTAACCAGGGCGCCTAGACAGCCCATCGGCTGCACAACTCAGCCATGCGACGTAGCAGACACTCTAAATCCACCGGACGATACAGCAGGAAAAAGACCGCACAATGGAGTTCGCGATGAGTCGAGCAAGAATCTTCAAGAATCGAAAGTTTTGCGAGTGTCCCATTCTTCTCTCACACTGAGCTTTTGCCCAACACCTTCGACGACGCGATTCGAATATAGATACTGCTCGTCCCGAGCATATATCCGGCATCAAGCAATTGCAACATTTGTTCGCAGGAGCAGAGGCGAGGAGTGGCTGCGGCACATGAAAGCGATCTTGGCACTGCCCAATACGCGCCGAGTGCCTGCCAGTCCCATCGTGGACTGGGCAGAAGCGGTAGGAAGAATCAACAGCATGCCTCACCCACACTGGCACCGGCAATCGTCTTCCAAATTTGCTTCTCCCTCAACTTCAACTACGATGCCAGCCACGCATTTTCAACGGTACGCCTCATCACTGGCTGGCAAGCCTTGCCATTGTCCTCTCCATTCTTCAAATTGGTCGCGTAGGTCATGCACGTGGAGTAATCAGCAGCCTTCGAGGCTCCGGAACTGTATGGCCTGCTTGGTGGAAGAATCAATTCGTTTTGAGACCTGCTAGCGAATCTGCGAGTCGTGGCGGACAATGCGGTATTCGCTTCGGCGGCTGGTGAAATGGCTGCTACTTTCATGAGGATCACCTTCGGCCGGAGAGCAGTTGAGACTATCGTCGAGAAGCACCAGGTGAGTACCTCTGGTATCTACCCTTCGGGCCCTTTCGAGAGGTATGAGCTAATGCCTCTCTCCGAGATCGTGAGGAAGCGACAGTATCGTCTCATAGGCTGCTGCACTTCAACAGTGCTATCGGCTGTTTAAACGTTAGCAGTGCCTATTACCATCTTCGTCGAGCGATATCAAAGTTCAGATTGGCACTACACACCGAGGGAATATCTTCAAGGGCCACGACACGCCAGAAGCATGTGGCGATGAGGCAAGCCAAGTAACTTCGCAAACCTGGAGAAGATGAGGCACGGTTCGACACTGTGAGCTTCCGAGGTCGGTAGTTCGTTGCACTAATTTGCTGCATGGTTTCTAGACACTGCCGCGAATGCTCAGGGGACTTATTTTGCCATTGGGCACGCTTCTTGCCGAGAGACGATACCGCGAGATCCGATGTCGTTGTATTGATTCGCCAGACCGAAACGTGGGTCAGTGTGTGATTCGGTTGAAAAGAAGCTCTGAAAGACTGCGACTTGATCTTTGATAGCATCTTCCCAGAAAACGTCGCTTTCGATCAAGTCTGGAGATGATGAGCTGGAAACGCGCGATAGCTCAAGAGAAATGCAGCTAGAGCAATCGATCTCTCCACGAGTGTCACGGCCGCGAGCCTCGAGTGTCGGAGTTAGATTGTTATATCATAACATCGATCGTACCAAACCTCATTCGCCTGCGGTGCTCGGCATGACTTACCTTCGATGAACGACAGCGTGCGCATGAAGCGCTCACGCGAGGCTGTGATGGCAAAATGGGTTTTGGATCGACAGCGTGAGTGGCTGCCAAGATTTTGCTCGACTTGTCGTACGGACACGAAGAGTCGTATGGACACGGGCAATGATTCCGAGTGCGTCGATGCGACCTCATTTAACACCCATATGGCCTTCTTCATCAGCATTTTTCGTCCATTAGATGATTGTTTCAAGGCGTCTGTAGAGAGCTTACGGCAGACTGCTCTCGACTAATGACTACCGATCCATGTCAATGGGCTCGAGCGGAGACATCTTGATGTTGGCCGGCACGAGGATGTGCAGTATCGTTCGACTTAGTCTGTGGTGTTTCCGGCGAGTACTGTCGGGCTAGCTCAGGCACCAGAAGCATCTGAAGAGTCCAGGCGTCAGCCATAGCACATGTGCCGGGCATGGTCTGGTCCTTGGTGATGCTATACATATATATAGACAACTCGTAGTCCGCCCACATGAAAGTTTGGATTGTATCGGATTTGGTCGTGTAGCGCACGGGCCACAAATGACGCCACGACATTGAGCGCGTCTTCTCGCGTTCACCACTCGATTCAAGTGCATCAAACGGCAACATGCCGTGCAGCACCAATCATGAGCACGCCCAACAAGCGGCGCAAGAAGAACGATCATCAGGCATCACCCCTGCCTGCTCGAGGGCTGGATTTCTTCTTTGGCAAACAGCGGGCTGAGAAGGAGAGGGAAGCCAAGTGGAACGAGAGCAATGCCCATAGCGACAATCTTGGACCTGTCGTTGATGACAAGAGTGGTGAAGTCGCGAATAGAGAGGAGCAAGAGTTGACAGACGAACAATTGGCACGAAAGTTGCAAGCTCAGTGGGAGGAAGAGGATAGGCCGCAGGGACAATCGGATGACGGTACCCGTGGAACAGCTAGCAATGACCAGGATGGAGTGACAGCTCAGGAGAGGCCCAAAGCACCGACAGATGATAGACCTGCTTGTACGGATAAAGGGGAGGTAGAAGACTTGCCACCACCCGCCAATGCCTTTACTTCTATGGGCAAGAAAGGCACGTTGTCCCTCCAGTCTGCCACCGCAGAGGAGGACACTATCTCTCACGATATCCCATTCGACGAATCGCCGCTCACATTTGATCCGCAAAAGTATATACCGGCACTCAAAGATCAATGGGCATCGGAGGGCAATATGGCAACATATGCCATGCTCACACACTGCTTTGTCCTGGTCAACAGTACGCAGTCTCGCATCAAGATCGTCGATACCTTGGTCAACATGATTCGAACTCTGACCGAAGCGAATCCTCAGTCTCTACTCTCAGCGGTGTGGCTCGCAACCAACTCCATTTCACCACCTTACATCGATATCGAGCTGGGTCTGGGAGGATCAGCCATTTCAAAGGCCTTGAAGAAAGTCTGCGGCCTGGATAATTCTGCTCTCAAGGCCCTGTACAATAAGCACGGCGATGCTGGAGATGTAGCCTTCGAAGCCAAGAAACGACAGAGTTTGACCCTCCGGAAGCCGAAGCCGCTCACCGTCAAAGGTGTGTTCGATAGCCTGCACAAGATTGCTGAAGCCAAAGGCCCGGGCTGTCAAGAAGTCAAACAGCGCATTGTGGAACGCCTTGTCCAGGATGCAAGGGGCGCGGAAGAGAGCAGGTACATTGTGCGGACCCTTGTGCAGCATCTTCGTATTGGAGCTGTCAAGACCACGATGTTGATCGCGCTGTCCAGAGCCTTCCTTCTCTCGCGACCGCCAGGTGCCGACTACAACATTAAGCCGGCAGCATCGTTAAAGAATCTCAGCAAGCAGGATGTTGCTGAAGTCTTTGCTCGAGGTGAAGAGCTTGTTAAGGCTAGCTTTGCCCGTCGGCCAAACTACAACGACCTTGTACCGACTTTGCTGGAGGTCGGCATCGATGATGAACTTTTACTGCGCTGCGGACTTGCTCTGCACATTCCACTTCGACCCATGCTTGGAGGCATTACCCGTGATTTGGGCGAGATGCTCACCAAATTACAAGGTCGAGACTTTAGCTGCGAATTCAAGTACGACGGGCAACGGGCGCAGGTGCATTGTGACGAGAATGGCAAAGTTACAATCTTCTCGCGCCATCTTGAGGTGATGACGGAGAAATACCCAGATCTCGTTGCACTTGTGCCGAAGATTCGCGGCGAAAGTGTTTCGAGCTTCATCCTCGAGGGTGAAGTTGTCGCTGTTGATCGAGAGAGTGGGGACTTGAAGCCTTTCCAGATCCTGGCCAATCGAGCGAGGAAGGATGTTGTGATTCAGAGCGTCAAGGTCGATGTGTGTCTATTCGCCTTTGATCTTATGTATCTCAATGGGGAAGAGCTTCTTAATAGACCATTCCGGGAACGAAGAAGTCTACTACGAAGTTTGTTTGTGGAGATTCCAAACCGCTTCACCTGGGTCAAGAGTCTGGAGGCCACCTCCGCAGACGGCGATGCGGTCAGCGATTTCTTCAAGCAGGCAACGGACATCAAATGCGAGGGCATCATGGTGAAAGTACTTGATAACCTTCCCAATCCCCAATTGCAGACCGATCTGGACGGTGCTGAAGAGGACGAAGTCGAGAAGCCTGCACCAGCAGCGCTCAAAGCGAAGAAGAGCAAAAAAGCGAAGAGTAAGCCCGGTGATAAGGACACCGGAGAGGAGCCGGATGAAAAGAAGTCAAGCCGCCGAAAAGCTTTACTCTCGACATACGAACCCGACAAGCGCTTGGACTCCTGGCTGAAGGTCAAAAAGGACTACAACACCCAGACCGATACCATCGATCTGATTCCAGTGGGCGGTTGGCATGGCCAAGGTCGCAAGAATGCCTGGTGGAGTCCAATCCTGCTCGCCTGTCGTAATCCAGATACTGGTAGTCTTGAAGTGGTGACAAAATGTATTTCTGGCTTTACGGATGCCTTCTACAAAACCAACCGCGCGAAGTATGATCCTGGGGGGCCAAATGTCATCTCCAGGCCCAGTTACGTGGAATACGGCGGTGAGCCTGATGTTTGGTTTGAACCTCAGGAGGTTTGGGAGATGATATTCGCGGACATTACCCTAAGCCCGACCTACACCGCAGCGATTGGTCTCGTGAGCGAAGAAAGAGGGCTGAGTATGAGATTCCCGAGGTTCTTGAAGATTCGCGAGGACAAGAGCATTGAGGAGGCGAGTACAAACGAGTTTTTGGCCAATCTCTACCGGAAGCAGCAGGCGCGAGCCCCAGTTGCCGAAGGAGCCGTTGCTGGGGAAGATGACTAGACATGGTAAAGTACGAGCTGTCAATCTCGTACTTCCACTTCTCTAAACGTGTAGCGTGTTGTGCGTATCCTCTCCGACCATCCGAGATTAGCTCGGAATTTGCTCGCCGTCCCCGTTCACGATGCCTGGCAGTATTATACTGTCTCCAGAAAAATGTCGGCGAGGCTGCCTGAACCGACTTTGGTGCATCTGGCGGCGTCGTTGCGTATCCTGGTGATCACCAGCCCGACCCCTGGAGCCAAGGCTGTCTCCGCTGCACTATAATGGCCTGATGACCACCAGGCGAACAATTCCCACTGAAACTAGCACACTATCTAGTAGATCGGGACCACGCGTACCCGTCGCGTCCGGTTGCACCACGGCCGACATTTCTCGAGCTGCACTACAGATGTCGATCAATACAATGAAAATTGGCAGTTGGTCGCAGCTCCTAAGCTGCATCACATTCACCTTCCTACACTTCTTCGTCGGTCGGGAGACTGGTTATCTCAGCTGCAAGACTTTCTCAACGACCCGATTTCCAGAGCCGAGGAGTCAACGTTTGGATTGATTTTGGATAGAATCCCCCGCTCAAGCTCTCGTTTGCGGGTTCTTGGGGGATCCTCTTTCATATCGACTAGGCAGTGCGCAGGTCACTCGATCTGAAGCTCTCAGGACGGCTACCATGAGGGTCCTCTGGAGCGCGGTGACCTTCTTGGCTATCTTGCCTTCGGCTCTTGCTGCGACCAACCAGACAGAGCTGGCGGCAGCTACAGAGATCCTCGCTGCTATGCCAGAGTGTGGCGTAGGTCGGAATATAGAAGATACCTTTTGTAACTGCAGACTGACTGCTACTTAGCGAACATGTCTCGTGAACGAAATCGCGAACTCCTCGTGTGCCCTGACCGACATCGAATGCAGCTGCAACAGCCAGATCATCACCGACCGAACGACAGCATGCGTCACAGCGAACTGCACCGTCAAGAACCAGCTGAGTATGGCATCTGGCGACGGGAATTCATCGTGACTCTTCGTGCTGACAACGCAACAGCAACGAAGAACAGCACCTCGACATTATGCCAACATCCAAAAAGAGACAAGAGGGGTTCCATTTTGGGGGCAGCCATAGCGGGCCTTCTGATTTCATGTTTCGTCTACATCTTACGAATAGCGTCTAAGATACACAAGAGCCCGGGTGGCACAGGGTTTACCACTACGTTGTGGTGGGATGATGCAGTGTTGGGCTTCGCTCTGCTTGAGATAATTGCCATGACTGTGTCGGCTTTTGAACGTATGTGGAACCTTACGGAAAACTGGAGGGCTGAATGCTGACGGAGACACAGTGAACAGATACGGCTTCACCACAGATCTCTGGACCATAACATTTCCTCACATTACGTGGATCTTGAAGGTGCAATTCCGAATTCTCCAAATCGGACTCCTTTGCAATGTGCTAATCGCATCTAGTAGATCTACTACTGGTATCAAATTCTCGACATCACTGCCCTATCTTTGGTGAAGGTATCGCTTCTCATTACATACTTGCGCATCTTCCCTCAGAGGAATTTCCGAACCGGGTGCTATATCAACATAGGACTCAACATCGCATACGGAGTCACCTTCGCCCTGGTCTCAGTATTCCAGTGTTGGCCCATACCGATGGCGTGGGAAAGATGGCACGGAGAATTTGACGGACGGTGCATCGCGATCAACGCACAGGGTGTGGCATCGACTGCCTTGAACTTGGTCTTGGACGTGCTGATACTGAGCTTGCCTTTGCGCTCGCTCTGGAAGATGCAGCTCAACAATAGGAAGAAGTTTTGGGTCATGCTGATGTTCGGTGAGTAATGCTTACGCAATGCACTTGAGCCCTCAGACGCTAATCTATGAATCTCAGGCCTCGGACTCTTCGTGGTCATCGTCGCTGTCCTTCGTCTTCAGGTCCTCATCGAATACGGCGACTCGCAGAACTTTACATGGGACTACACGTGGATCGGAGTATGGAGTACAGTCGAAGTCCACGCCTTGCTCGTCTGCGCTTCCATGCCCGCTCTCCGAAGGCTGCTAATTCGATTCGCTCCTGAGCTTATGGGCGGCTCCGACGCCCAGGCACCAGCGTCTTCTGGTATCAGTGGATCTACGAATGAGAGTGGCATGGAGAAATCTGGAGCGGCGGATGTCACGACACGGAAGTGCGGTCGCGTTGAGGAAAACTACATCCCACTAGATGAGATCATGACCAATCAGTCTCAGCCTTTGCCGCTTGACGAGAAGAAGTGAGGCAATTGGAAATGTTTCGTTATGAGGCATGGGCGAGACGGTCGTTTCAAAATCTTTGGGGGGAAACTGCTTCAGCCTGGCTGGGGACTTTTTTTCCCCTTCTTTTGGGTTGAGGTCTTGAATATGACCCATGGCTTCTGAAAGGGGCGCGACAGCTGGCTGCATGGTTTCTTGTTAGAGATATCAAAATGTTAATGTCTTTCTACGGCCGTTGGTCAGGCTTGTTCCCTCGGATTCTGCGAAACTGATCGTAAGGCCGGCACATTCTCAATAACGAGCTCAGTTTGAACCAACATTTGATACTACAGACTGAGAAAAGATAGCCTCGCCCCACTAATTTCTCAAGCCGAGTCCATATGTCGTCTGGGATCAATGGACCTTCCAGGACTATCCTACTCAATGTGGTATTCGATCTCAACCGAGCAAGTGCGAGACAAAAGCCAGTCGATCATTCTCAGAAGTATCCACCCGATAAGGAGAGTCACATCGCAGAATTCTCCGGACCTGAAATGTCCAAGGAAGCAAGTTGCGCCTCATCTCCAGAGACTGGACGTGCATTTTCATCGCTCACAAGCGCGGCTGCATGCTGGATCCATTCACCTCAATTTCCGAGCTCTTGTCAAGAGAGAGATCGGAAGTACGAGAGTACGGAGTGTGGCATCTTGTCGAGCAAAGGGCCGCCGGCTCTATAAATTGGGTTGGCGGATTTGTGGGTGGATGCTGGGATACTGTACCTACGACCTCAGGGCGTCGTTCGATGGCTTCGGCCAGGTCCGGTCCCAGATGTGGAGGTGTGAGAGTTGGACGAATGCCCGTTGGGTCGAACAGGGCAATCAGAGATTAGAGGGACGTTGATCCAGCAAGGTGAAGAGATCACCAAAGTACAATGCATGATACTGACTCCATGCTGCATGACAATTACAAGACATCGATCCCTTCCTTCTCAATGAAATAACTGCACGTTCCAAGAGTATCTATATCCCAGCCCTGTCGACTTCCCCATTGCAAAAATGCCAGCTTCTTACCAACTCATCATCCTCCGCCACGGCCAGTCGGAATGGAACAGCAGAAATCTCTCTCACAGGCTGTGTCGACGTCCCTTTCAGGGCCCAAGCAATCCAAGCAGCAATCGCAGCAGGGCATCTACTCAAGAAAGAACCAGACTGGCTTCCTAACATGGTCTATACATCTCCGCTATATCGTGCAATCGTGAAGCACCGATCTAGCATTAGACTCGCGTGATAGATTGTGGATTCCCGTGGACAGAAGCTGGCAGCTGAATGAGGGCACTGTGGCGGTCTACAGGGCTTGGGAAGAGCTGAAGCAGCGGAAAATGAACGGCGATGAGCAGATTCATCTCTGGAGAAGGGGTGATAATACAAGTTCCGCCCCAAGAGACGAGTGAGGAGTAGAGGAAGAGCGAGGATGAAGATGGTCGATACAATCGCCAAAGAGCTGATGTCCCGAAGACGGAATGTTTGAAAGATAGCGTGGCGAGAATTCTACCGTGCTGGAAGGCAGAGATCATTTCCGACCTGAAGACCGGGGCAGACTGTATGGATCGCTGCGCGTGAAAATTTCTTTAGGCGTTGATGAAGGGATCTGGAGGGTATCAGGGATGAAATAATTCCCGGCGTAGAGATCCCGAATGGTGTTTGAACTGTGTACAAATTTGATGGGGAGTTTGGCAAGTATTTTCTCGTTCGAGGGATCATGCCTGCTACTTGGCAGAGGGTACAGAACGACACCTTCTGTAGCGTGGCTGATTGTTGACATCGTCCATGAGAATTCGAGTCAGACAGAGACCAGAATCAACATAACCTGCACTGGTTTCGCAAAGGGCCATATACCGTACAAAGCATAGGATACTGTCGAATGTTTCGTCAACTCTGCCGATATTTCTTTACTTCATGACTAGGCTTGCGGCATGTAGTGTTCTTCATCATCGAGCGTCCACTTCAGTCGCCCTGGCTGTCATCATGCTGTCGTTTGTCTCCGTGCTGTAATATCGTTACATTCGAATTCATGCGATCTAGTCTTGAAAGAAGTCGGGCGACCAGCGCCCAATTCGTTGCAGCGAGTGACGTGATCTTGGCCATGTCCTGTTCAACACGCTGACTGTGGCTTATGTTACTCGTCATAGGTTCAGCTTTGTTTTTGCGTGGTCTGTGACTGCTGCTAAAGTGACATCGTTCTTCCGTGAAGGAGTGATGTGCTTTCTTCGATGACCGATTTATCTGTTTGCTCGTGTTAGCGGAATGCTAGGCTACAGCTGACAGACCATCGTACATCAATCTTTGTGTGCAACACCTTTCGTTTAGTTCCTCTCGGAGGAGATTCAGTAGGGGACACAGAGGAGCTCCAGGAAGTGTGAGCATTTAGATTGGGAGTTGTGGCAGCCGGGCCAGACTGAGCGCTCCTTTCATGGAAATGATAGTGGCCCAGATCGTTTGCAGAAGTCTCTAAGTAGCATGAAGAGCTCCTTGTGGTCGGTGGCGGCCTTGGTGGAAGTGGCGGCAGCATTCGACATTCTGGATACATTCTGTAGTCGCCTGTCCTCGAAGACATCAATGTGGCTGTCGCTGCAAAGCTGGCTGGCTAGAACTGAGTCCTAGCAGAATCGGACGAGTTCGTGCAGATGCACCGCCCATATTGATACACCTCTGCGCATTGCGCCTTCAGGAGAGCCAGCGTCCCGACTAGCTGGATCAAATTGCGAAGTGCATCGCGAAGATTCAGAGCTAACATGGGATGCCCAAAGCCATCCCGAGTGTCTGAGCAAAGTTTCTTGGCCCAGAAACGTTGACGATGATCAGGACCCTGAAGCTGGAAACAGGCAAGTTGGCGCGCAAATTGAAGATGAGCAAGTTGCTTCGTCGACTCGGCCGTTCAGTGCCTTCCAGAGACAGGCAAGCGTTGCTTGATCACATAGCTCATGGCTTTCAGGATGCGTAGGGCTGATTGAAGGTGACGCTGATCCATCCTTCGTGATTTGTCGAATCAGAAGCAAAGATGCTGTGCGTCGATTGGCGCAGCAGCATAATAAGAATCCTCCATCCTGCTCAGCATCTCACCGTGCTTGGTCGGGAAAGGGGCTGCCAGGTCGTGCGACATCCACGCAACACAAGGTCTTGTGAATGCGTGCCGCTACCAACCCCTTCTGCTGAGCTGGATGATCTGTTCACCCAGTCCGCCATCTACTCTTGAAATACTGGCCTCGAATCAGGTCAAAGAATTGTTGCGTGTCCGGCTACTGGCGGCTACGGAGTTGCCGTAGTCCTCGTGTGCTTCCGCAGTGGGAGGCCAGAGTGATCGCGATGGGTCGGATCCAGAATCAGTCGGTTCGGTTGAAAGAGCAGATCGAGTGTGCCATGCCAAGATCACGTGTAGAGACTGTCAGGAGCAGTCACCAAGGGAGAACCAGCGTGATCTTCTCGCACGGCGTCTGCTCATGTGTTCAGGAGAGGACATGACTCCATTCGCGAAATTGATCCAGCGAGGGTAGCGCACGCAGGCATGGCGCTGATGCCAAGACTTTTGCGTTGGGCGATGGGATGGCGGCAAGTATCACGAGACAGCAAGTCTCCTCTCCGCTCTCAACATTCCAGTCATTTGCTTCCGCGACTGCCCGTGGGATACGAAAGCCAGTCCAAGGCCGAGAACTTTGCGAGCCGGATCGACGTTGTGGTATGGGGTTGAGGTCGATGCATGCTTGGCATGCACGTGAAACGGGTGCCCGAGTGGCGCGGACATTGATTGAACCTTAAAAGGTAAGTTTCGCCAGCTCTCCTCAAACGTGGCTTGGCGCCCGTCCGCTGCCCGCCGCCTCCGCAAAGCCCGTCCCGTCCCGTCATGTGTTTGGGCTTTGCGCCTGCATTCCTCCTGTCCGATATGATATGAGCGCACTTCCTCAGTCAGGAGGCCATCATCAACTCGCCGAGGCAATGCTGGCGAAGCGCAGAGTACCGTCGTAGCGCGGAATACCGGCAGAGCGCGGAATGCCGTCGTCGCGAACCTGGTGCTCTTCACCCGCGCCTCTCTCCCGATTCTTTTGCTCCACTGCCGGCACAAGCGCAAATCTCTTGCAACTTGCACAGCAAACGGCCGCTAATGATGTTTCACAATGCCGACCCCACGACGGCAGATAGACATCAACGGCAAGCGAGCATGAGAATACGAGCAACCCGGTCTCTGAGATGCAACAAGCCATAATGGCTGAAACTCGATGCAGTCTGGCCCATGAATGATCATTCCCCTCCTTTTCAGAACCACTGCATTTGGATGCCGACCTTCCGTACAGCGTCGCCGTCATTGGAGGATCCTGCTAATGGCGGTTATATCAACTGCTCGGCTTCGAGAAGCTTTGCCAGGATACCTGCGGATGCGACCAATCAAGCCTTGACGGGAGATCACAACCTCAGTCTGTGTGCTTCAGCCAACGGCTCAACGCCATTATGTTTGACGCCGCGTGTTTCGATCCGGTACGTACCTCATCATTATAGAGCTTCTCTTACGTTATCGACGAGTGCCATTCCAGAACAAGGGAAGGTTTAACAGCAATTCGATAGGACTTATAATCACCCCAGTGCCGCCATTGGCGAGACGCTACGTTCTCTACTAGAAGTTGGCGTACGGAAATGTACAGTGTGGTATCCCGGGACAACAGTTCTTCGCGCCCACAAACCGAAGCCTAAAGCACCGTAGCGATCAGCATCCTCATTGAAACACAATATCGACCCACAATATTCACTTATCAATTGGCGGGACACCGTCCTCTTGCAACCATCCTGTGAACGGTGCTAGGCTCTCCGACGATATTCCGCACGCCCGAGGCCAAAAGGGCAAGGCAATCGCATCTCGTGCAGGCATACAACGCCCCAAGCAGCGGCCAGGAGCGATAGCAGCAAGTATGCGACCAAAACTTCGGCTTGACACCTCAGCTGGTGCATGCGAGCAGCAACAAGTCTTTCAGTTTCCGCTTCCACCTTCATCAACAACGCCCATAGAGCGGATGAGCATCACGCTTGGGCCGGAGTGGGATCTCGTCCCAAGATCAATCCGCAAATCACGAAGTCCAGCACCGCCTCTACCGCCTCTACCGCGTAGCAAGACGTCCCCTCCACGGCAAGAGGAACCTACACCACCTACTCCGCCTCTTCCCAGCGTTCCAATATTATGTCCGGGCTGTACTGGACATCGTTCGCCAGAGAGTCACAACAAGCCAGAAAGCCGCTTCAACGACGACAGTGCACGACCAACGTCTCTAGGCGCCGCAACAAAATTACGAACAAGTTACATCAGAAGCAATACCCCGACAGGTCAGTCGCAAGGCTCGGCGACGGCTAGAGCATCAGTCTCGACATCATCAACCGCAACATCGCCTTCCTCGCCATCTTCTGCGCAAGCTCTTGACTCCATACTCGTTCGACTAAGGCAAATCTTCGGAGCACAAGCTGACGATACGCCCACTACTGGCTCGCAACATGACTCGGCGCCAGCACAAGAGCCGTGCAGTCCTTGTTGAGATATCGAACATCCAAACCCCTGATGTACGTATATCTGAACGAAGTATCAATATTTTGCTGTGCTGATTTCTCACTCCCAGACCTAGAACTCATTGGCTCTTGATGGCCTGGATGTTTTTGGAAGAGATACCCATACATTCGAAGATGTGCACCACAATGGTTGTATCCTAGCTGCTCGTTGGCGATTCGGCTTCCCAGGCCTGTTCCCAACCAAGCGTCCGCCAAGAGCGGTTCTCGTCAAGACTTACAGTCGGAACATCAATTCAGACAATCGTTTACGACAACAAGCATGACCTACATTTCATCCATATTCTCCATCAAAACGTGCGCAAGAGAAAGGAGCTCGCCTCAGAACGAGCTCCCAACCCACACCACGGCAGTCTTGGGACCACATTCTTGCAGACAGTGTTGCTCGAGCTATGCTTTTGACATGGCACGCAAATACGATTGCCGATTCCAGAACATTCAAGATGTCGACCCCCAAAGGCTTGCCGTGAAGCCAACGAGATTCTCGATGATGGAGCGTCATCGTGCCCGCGAAATGCGAAGCGTCGGACACGGTCGTCGAGTTCTGAGCCTCCACAGCATATTCATTCTGATGATACATTCAGAATGCTCTGTGCTCGTGTACGAGACAAGGAATCGAAGAGGGGCGATTGATGGAGCTGTCCAAGGCTCAGCGGGGCACGATAGGATTCCTGTTGGGAAGGGTTCGATTGCTGGTGCTGCGGCACTTAATGCGTTGATCTTCCTTCTGTAGTTGGTCATGAGCAAAAGGAACTGTGATTGAGTGATTGATGTGATGCGTGGTAGTATACTCTGTTCCAATGGCATTATCTATCAGGTTATATATCTCTCCTGTAAAGGCGTCCTGCCTCATTATTCCTGGTAAGCGAACGCCAGAATCGCCTCTTTATCGCTCCGTCGAATCTTCCTATTCAACCTCTGCAGCCGGAATCGCATAGTTCAGGCCTCAGAAGCATAGGCAAAAGAGAATGCCGCATCGCAAAAACGCCGGATTAGCCAGTTATCGTTTGTCTGCGCTAGTGAAAGCACTTCTTGGTGCGTGACTGAAGGCTTTCTAGTGTCGGCGTATTCGGTGAACACAATTTGAGAGGACTGCAGAAGTGAAGAAGAAAGACGGAAGATGGAAGATGGAAGGCGGCCTTCAGGTGAGTGACGATCCCACGCCGACATCGGGCCGATGATGCTGTTTTCGCTGCAAAGCACGCCGACAACGATATGACTGATTGCGTCTGTCCAGAGGAAATGCCACTTCTCTTTCAACAACACCATACAGGTGTACTCGAAGCGAAGGTGGATGGCAGCGATAGTCCGTCCGTTCGCATGGTTCTACCATGAATTCGGCCTCGACTCCGTCCAGGCAACGGGCAAGAATGCATGGCTTATCATCCTCGCCAGGAGTTTTCGTATGTTTGCATACGGAACGAATTCCTTGATACTGGGTAAGTCGTCGATCCACATCCGTGGCGGGAGAGAAGAACTGCGGCTGAGTAAAGGTACCATAGCTCTCTTCTTCGCCGAGATTGAATTCTCGGATTCTCAGATTGGCTTGTTCATGACACTAACGCTGGCCGGTGATGTGCTTCTCGGAACGTTCCTCACCCTCATCGCGGACCGCGTTGGGAGGAGGAAGATCTTGCTCGGCGGAAGTGCCTTGATGGTCATGACAGGCATCATCTTCGCCTGGTTCGAGAATTTCTGGATCCTGCTTTTCGCCGCCGTGATTGGAGTGGTGAGCGCCACCGGTGGTGATTTCGGGCCATTCAGAAGCATCGAGGAGTGAGTTGGAAAGTCCCTGTGGTAGATAATGACATGCTGACAGTCATTAGATCCGTGATCTCGCAGCTCACGACTTCGAAGACGAGAGCTGATGTTCTTGCTTGGTATGTCACCTTGTCAGCCCTGGGGTCGACAGTCGGCAGCGAGGCCTCGGGACGAATCATTGAATATCTTCAATCGCTCGACAACTGGACGTTGAAGGATGCTTACCATTCCTTGTTCTGGATCTACGCGGTAATGGGCATTGTGAACGCCATTCTCGTCCTCCTACTCTCGTCTGCTTGTGAAGCAGAGAAGACACTGGAGACCTACGCTCACGTCCCGCAAGATGATTCTGAAGATTATAGCATTGAACTAGTCGATAGTCCGGATTGTCAGCATACCATCCCTGAACCTTCTCCAACATCCCAGCCTCAACAGAAAGCATGGGTCTCCTGGCTGTTCTCTTGGATGGGTCCTATCTCCCTACCAACCCTGGGCATCATGTACAAGCTCTGGATCCTCCTAGCCATCGACTCTCTGAGCGACGGCATGGTTCCATATTCCCTAACAAACTACTACATGGACGACAAATTCCACCCGAAGAAAAGCACACTCGGAGACGTCACATCAGTCTCCTATGTCTTAGCCGCAGTCGGTGGCGTTTTTGCCGGTCCACTATCCCGTAAAATCGGTCTGGTGAACACCATGGTATTCACTCATATTCCAAGTTCGGCCGCAGTGCTCGTCTTTCCGTTCCCGACCGTATTCTGGATGACGGCTCTGTTGCTCTTCGTCAGAGCTGGTTTGAACAACATGGACCAAGCGCCTCGCTCGGCTTTGATCGCTGGAGTCGTGAAGCCGGAAGAGAGGACCGCAGTGATGGGCATCACCTCGATGATACGAACGCTGGCGGCGACTGCTGGACCTATGGTCACCGGCTTCCTCGCAGGCAGCAATCGATTCTGGGTCGCCTTCGTCGCTGGTGGCGCATGCCGGTTGACGTATGACATTGGCCTTTGGGTGGCGTTTGTTAATATCAAGTTGGATCAGCATGAGCCTCCAAAGCCGGAGATGGGTCAAACAGGAGGCGTTTCGCCTTCGCAACAATACGAGCGAGTCAGTCATGATGATGAAGAGATGGCTAGCCTGACTGGCTCTGATGATGACCACGAAGAACGACAGAAATGAGAACGAAGGAACGAGTACAGCAGTATAGATGAGGGATGATTTTGCACTTAATGAGCTCTTTTCCAGGTATCTCGAGTAACACCAATTGTCCATGGCGGACTGTTCAAACTGTGACTACACAGTGCTCTCGTGCCACTCAGACGAATTCGTCATCTTCGACGGGATGCTCGTTTGCTGCGCGATGAGGAGGATCGATGTATATATGTCGACCAATATCCTCCCAGCTCACTGCAGATCTACTCATACCCATCATCCCTCTCCCTCTCCCGTTGAAGAAAAGAATCCACTGAACCACCACCTCACCACTGCAGATATTCGGCCTCTCGCGCGCGACTAGCGACAATCCTGCCGGACCGTCGGAGCGAAACCCAGTCACGTGAAGACACAGGCCCTGTACCTTTCCAAACACCCCACTTTTCGCCGTCCTTAGCTCGGATTGCGTGATTGCTCACCTTCCGTCAAGAACAACCAGAGAAACCAGCAAAATGCCTCCCATGCGGCTGCAACATGCGATCGGCATCCCGAAAAGCCTGCGGACGCTCCCGGAGACCCGATATAACGTCCCGATTGGGAAATTCCGTGCTTTCACGCGCGAGGCTAAGAGATGGGAGGTGAATGGGAAGATTGCGCCCGGTGGTGGGAAGTGCACGAATGGCAAGAGTGGGATACACGGCGAGAGGTTTCGATGGCAGGGCTGGAGACGGTATATCTCGACGAAGAGCGATGGGAGGTTTATCGGGACACCGAAGAGGAGTAATGCTGCTGGGGCGTTGGCGATTTTATTCGGCGCTTCTGCTGTTGCTTTTCTAGCAGCACCTCTTGCGTCGTACGTTCAGGAACGGGTGGATATCATCAGGCACGTCGACGACGAGCAGGAGGCTCAGCATATTGAAGGTGAGCTTTTCGATAGTATCGACGGTCGTTTCGACAATGACCATTGATAAATTGTCGTCGATTTTGGAAGCAATTTTGCTAATCAGCTGCAGATTCCCACAGCGACGTTCAGGGAACATTCCGTCTTTCCGAGGTCTCCCAACACGACGAAAACAACGCCCAGAAATGGGTTATCAGCGGTACTTCAGTCTACGACATCACCGACTTTATCGACTGCCATCCAGGCGGCAAAGTCATTCTTCGCGCATGCGGCGGCAGCATTGATCCATTTTGGCAATTGTTTTCCATCCACCAGAAACCCGAAGTCCGAAAGATCCTGGACGATTACTCCATTGGCGAGATCGACGCCAGAGATCTCAAAGCAGATGGATCCATCAACTGGACCGTTCTCGGAAAAGACGCCAACGCCGTCGACGACCCTTTCAAAGACGATCCAGAAAGATGCGAAGAACTGAACATCCTGACCGCGAAACCCTGTAATGCGGAAACTCCAGGAACTCTCCTCGCGGACTTCATTACGCCTTTGAGATTGTTTTTTGTGAGAAATCATCTCTGGGTTCCTAACATCGAGCCGGAAACGCACGCCTTGCAAATCGAACTTCCCGACGGCGAAGAAGTCTCCTGGAGTATCGAGGATCTGAAACGCAAATTCGAATCCCATTCCGTCACGGTTACTTTGCAATGTGCGGGTAATCGTAGAAGCCATATGAACAAGGCCGCCAACGGAAAGACCTCCGGTTTAGGCTGGGACGTAGGCGCCATCGGAACAGCAGAATTCAAGGGAGCCCGACTACGAGACGTGCTCGTGGCATCAGGCTACGACGTCGATCAAAAGCCTTGCAAGGACGACGAAGAAGCGGATCGCCATGTCCATTTCTGCGCTCCGAGCGATACCTACGAGCAATCAATTCCCATTCAATCCGCGCTAAGTCCTACCTCCGACGTCCTCCTAGCCTGGGAGATGAACGGCGAAACCATGCCCCGCGACCACGGCGGCCCCCTCCGCGCCATCGTGCCCGGCAGCGTAGCCACTCGAAGCGTAAAGTGGCTTGGAAAAGTCCGAATCAGCTGCGAGGAGTCTCAGAGCAATTGGCACACCCGCGATTACAAATGTTTTGGTCCAAACAAACTCAAAGCTTCCGATGTAACGCAGGAAGACTGGAATGCGGCGGAATCCATCCAGGAATTCCCGATTCAGAGCGCCATCACAAAGATTTCCCCTAGCAGCGCTACCGAACCCGTCTCCGTTCAGGGCTTCGCGTACAGCGGAGGCGGTCGTCGTGTTGTGCGAGTAGATGTCAGCGCAGACGGAGGCAAGACGTGGAAACAAGCCTGTCTACGTAAGGATGATGCGAAGGGCAGTAAACGTTGGGCATGGACGTTATGGGACATCAACTGGCCCAAAGAGGAAGTTTCAGAGAACGCCGAGTTTGTTGTCAAGGCGGTGGATGAGTCGCATAATTGTCAACCGCCGACTTTTGATGGGATTTGGAATTTCAGAGGGCTTTTGGCTAATGCGTGGCATCGTGTGCCGCTTGGGGAGAAGCCGGTTGAGGCTTGAGTTTTGAGATCTCACAATGATGGAGTTCATGATTCTTATAGTCGTTTGTGGAATTTGCGATTCTCGGGTAACGTCGTACTCGGTATCATTTTGAGGGTTGCTCCAAGGTCCTGGGAAGATTAAGTCGACGCTTTCATGTCATTGGCCCCTTCGGTGGCGATAACTCTGTTTAGGTACCGTGTATGTTTGTTCAGTCAATTGCTCGTTGTGTTGTTGGCATGGGTCCTTGCGGTTGTTGCCACTCAAGTGACAGACCACAAGTCGCCCTCCTTCTTCGCAGCATCTCTGCTATGCATATCTTCCAGCAACCACTTCACCTCATCATCCCCTCCTGTGAAGGTAGGCATAACCATCTTGAGCATGTTCGTGATACCCATCATACCGCCAACCTCCTTTGGTCCCCCGTTGCGCAACATGCCATCGATAAAGTTCTGAAACATTGGCGCATTCTCCCGTAGCATTGCGAGCTCTGACTTGACGGCCGAAATCGATTCGACGTCGAGGTGGGAGCCATCCTCCACAAATTCTATATCCATGTCAAGACGCTCGAGTACCGCATATCGTCCTTCTGACTTTTCGTAGAGTACGCGCCTGCTGACCCAGTAGCTGACACCGCTCTGTACGTAGTCTTCATCCATGTTAAGCGTGTCGATGAGATCTCTGAGAGTCATCCCATCTTCATTAGGAGTTATGGCAGGCGTCTTGGCCTCCTCTGGTCGCTGAGATGCGAAGACGTCAATGATGGTGGTCTTCCAGATCTCGACACCTTGTTCCTCGATGGTGCGGTCCTCCATCTCGAGCGTCAGGTCGGTAGTGCCGAGCCCGTGTCTCCATACTAGCTTTCGCTGTCCGCTGGTATTCGCAAATACACTCTCAAACCTCTCCATCTGCTCTTTCGCTTGTGTCGGGGCTCGAAAGTCCACATCGCGAAGCTGAGGCCAGAAATAGCTCGAGAGAATTTTGGCCTCGAACAACATTTTGTCGTCTTGAGAGGTAGCCGGCTCCTGCGGCGCGGACGGTAAGCGCTTGCGCTTCGGGAAAAATAGGTCGTTGCGCTTTGCCGCTACGACTTTGAGGAGAGCTCCAAGTTCGCTGGGCTCCGCTCGGTCTTTGAACTGCTGCCATAGGGAATGGAAAGTAATGCCCTCTTCTGGCAACGCATCCTGGAGTTCTTTTGGCGTGACTTTCGCGCGCTGCCGTGGATGAGGGTTGACCCGTTGGTTGAGATGTTTCGAATCCCGGATATCCTTCAGCATGACTTCCACTTGCTGAAGTTTAGAGGGATCCAAGCGGGACTTCAACAATTCAAGAAGTCTGGTCTCCTTAACGAGCTCTGTCTCTTGGACACGGAGAAGGTGATCACCAAAAGCCGAAGAGAGCGCCTTAATGAAGTCGTCGGTGTCGAAGAGCCCCAGCACGTAGGCTACAACATCATCTGATTTGGATGCTTTGTAGTTTGGCCCGGCGTCGATGGGATCTGGCACCCAGTCCATGTCGTTCCAATTCAGTAGTCTGTCGTCCTGTGCACCAACTGCTGACTGAGCGATCGCGATGGAAATATCGACGCAGACCTTGTCGACATCCTGACCTTGCACTTCTCCGTTTTCATCGACCTCAGCAAGGAGACTTGTAGCAATCACCGTGACAGTATCTTCACGACTACGCAAGTAGCTGCGGATAGGTATAGCCACCTTTTCGAGCAGCACGCCGCGGTTGTCCAACACCTTGAATACGTTGATCACGTTGATGTACATGCTAAGTATTTCGGTGGTACAGGCGCCAGCGTGAAGTAAGCGTCGCTGCATTTGTTCCGAGAAGCTGGAGCAGAGTTGCGCTTTTGTTGAGCCGGCCACGTTCAGATATTCGCGAATATCAAGGATTGCCGACTCGCTGGCAGGCCAGCTGCTGACGTAGTCGAATAGCGATTGGGTACGAAGTCGGCCAAAGCTGCTCATAGCAGCGGATATGAATTGTTCAGCAGGCGCCTCGGCAGTTGCATTTCCTGTTATGGCTCTCAGTGCTCGCTCAATCGAAGGGCTGAGTACCTCGCGAGCCCAGTTGTGGACTTTCGCAAAAGTCGGCAATCGGTTGCTCCAGTCAACCTGAAAGCATCTTCTCTCAATAGCAGGCCCTTCGAGAATCTTGTACACAGCATGTGCGAGGGCACGCTCGCCGTGGCTGCCACCAAGACCTACGTCCTGAAGCTGAGTCATCGCTTGCGGATTGCATGTGATGCAACATGTACAAGAGGTCTCCCGGAGACACTCCTGGACATTCTGTTCCAGTTCCTCTTTCATCGTCTGGAATACATAGCTGGCGAGTGCCTTCTGAATCCTTTCGCGCGGCAGGGTGTTGACCACGAGCACATGAAAGTCGGCTTTCACTTGCTCTGCGAAACCAGATGCCTCCTTCGAGTCTGTTGTTAGTGACAAGTAGAGCGTCTGCGCCTGCTGGAGAACCTGTACAGAGGTCGCGAATAATGGGCGTGTCTCGTTTATCGGAATAGGTTTCTCCCAAGCCTGCAGCTTTGGAAGCACAAAATGGCGAAAATGGGTGCGAATCTCGTCGAGGTACCATTCCAGAAGCTCTCTTCTGGATGTAATCCCGGACAACAGATAGTTCAATGCGCGTTCGACGTTTTCGCTGCTCCGTGTCCGCCGAGTGGATGTAAATTCCGGGGGCAAGGAAAGGAAGCGTGTCGCCGTGCTCCAGGCTCGGCTTAGATTTGCGGCGGCATCGACCGGGTTGCGTGGCAGATCGAAGCCTCCAAATGGGGTTGCTGGAGACGCAAGTGTGCCAATGTTTGGAGTAGCTTCCGGTGTTGGCGTTGTGTGGTTTTTGGGTGGGAACACCGAGGTGAAGACTGCGTCAAGGGGGCTTTGAGGGGCAGGTCGCGCTGCTATCGTGGCCATTGTTCATTCTTGTGGTGTATGCGCTTTGATGAGGGCGGTGAAAGGGAAATGATCACGTTTCCATGTTGACGCTTCTGTGTTGATGCATGTCAAGTGGTGAGAAGCAGAGAGCAGGCGCGAAGGCTTAAAATGGACTAGCGCGACAACCACGAAAGCACGTGTGCGCCAAGGCTCCAAAGACTCAGTGGCAGGCTGTCAGAAAGCTAGGAGGTACATGAAGCGTCAATCAGAAGAAACTCCTAGCTGTTGTACCAGAGAGTATCGCCTGTTCAGCACCAAGGTTAATTTCAGCTTAAGTGCTACATGTGTCACAACAACATTTGGCAATGCTGGCCCCAAGCCCCCGACCGTGTTGAACGACCGCTCATGGCCCTAGACTCAATGAGCCTTACAAAATCACTATTTACCACTTTTAACATCTATTCGTGAGAGGTGTCCATTCAAAAGACCGAGGCTACACACGTGCTAATGACAACAAGCATGTCCATTTCAATGACGCGGCTATAGAGCAATGATTTTATAGCGCCGATGTAGAATTCTGGAGGAGCAAGAAGGTGAACGAACGTCGCACGCATTAGAGAGAAGATCTGACGGGTGGTTTCTGGCAGTGAAATGTCGGACTACCCGAGTTCTACATTCGTTATCGTTAGCGTGGCAGACGCAATGAAGCTTAACGGCATGTGTCGAAGACGACGTGTGCCTTCTCTGACGCTGATGTCGACCGCAGGACGCGCAAGCTTCGCATTGAGCAAGAGAAGCAAGCGTGCTTCAAATATGCGCTAGTTGTTAGTGACAAGATAGGTCTCGCCTTTCTGCTTGTTGAATGATACAACGCCATCCAGGCAGTCACTCACACATGTCTTGGCAGTCTCAGACGGCATTGGAAGGTCCAGGTGCCCGATATCCGCTGACAATTCGAGCAAGCTTGAATCCAGTTTACTTCTTGGCTCGGGAAAGGACATCGTCCATGGCCGCAACATTGTTATCAAGATCAAACTCGGCCAGCTCTGACACGAACGCAACCTCTGTATTCGATAGCTCAGGCATGCGGCATAAGTCATTCATCATCTTTCCAACACAACCGTTGCAGGTCATCCCCGAGAATTTGGACACTACATGCTCCCTTGCGGCTTCGCGTTCCACATCTCTACCTTCCACGGGCTTGCTGGTAGAGATTGGATACTTCTTAGAGGGCATAGTCGTTTGTGAATAGTGTGGACTCATGCTCTGACTGATACCAGACGTGGCTTTTGCGGTAGTTGTGGCGGCGATCTTGTAGCTGAAGATATTGTGACCGTCACATACAAGCTCCTGAGGCAAGCTATTCGGGCCGAGTGAGCAGCAACATATACCAAGCCGGTAAAGAATCTTACGGCAAAGACCTCGTCCCATCAGCAGCAGATTCTCGTATCGATCCAATGAGTCCTCGAGGTGCTTGCTGCAGGCTGATGAGACAGTCGTGGTTCGAGGATCCGGAGGCGCCTTGCAACAATGGTCCGCACGTGTGTCGGCCAACAAGTCCGTCGGCGTGTCCTCGCAACAGCTATCGTGGCAGCCAAGTTGTACGGGAGTGGTTGTGCTACAAGCGATGGGTTTGCGGCATGTGTCCACTGGAGATTTGGAGCTTTCAATGCTGGAATAGGCTTCATCAACGATAGATCCGGTCTTGGTATTGTCCACGAGGGATCCCGGCTTCCTCGGGCAAGCCTCGTTGCGCGCTTCGTTGGTATCTGCCGCGCTGCCACAGCAACCAATGGAACCTCAATGCCGCATGTCTTTTTGGTGCTGCCAGACCTGCAGTCCAGCTCGGCGGTGTTTGCGGAGTCACTCGGCGGACCACTCAAACGCTTGGTCGAGAAGCAAATCGATGTGATGATACGTTGCCTCGCTTGCCGCATGAGCCTGGATCGGCAGAGCAGCCGCTGTCCAGTTGTTTTGCCGTGGAAAAGGCAGAGAAGCATACACTCTGCTGAGTGTCATCTTTGCAGCAGCTATGTGAACCAGTTCACGGCGCTTCGTCAAGACTGGTATGCTGCTGAATGGCGGCGCTTTGTATATGTACGAGTAGAAGGTGGTGCTTCCCAGATCACTGAAACGAGAAGCCAAGGAGCGCGGACTAGCGCGAATATGGGAAGGCACGTGGACGCGAAAACGCCCCACAGATGACGCCGGCGGATGTTTGTTGGCAGACGCTCCAGAAACAAGGTCACCTTCATAACTTCAACCTACACCTTTCACTGTGACAATTTACCTGCTTCTGGCCGCCACATTCCCACGCTCCACGCTGCTGCTTGCACACCATCGTTCTTACTCTCGGTCGGCCATTCTCCTGGGCTTCGAACTAATACCGATCCAGACAATCATCCAACAGAGCTACGAACAACCCTACGGCCAACATGTCGAAGCGATCCGGTGTCCCCAATGGCGGCTTCGACCAGGCAATCAAGGAGGTCACTGAGAAGCCAAGTGAGTCTGAGGAGTTGTCTTTCAATTGAGAGCACCAGGCTAATTCCAAACCGCAGAGCAGGATAAGCAAGAGCGCCTCCTCAACGACCCCAGCCCCGGCCATTTCTCCCTCGTCCGCGCCTATCACCTCGCCGATATGATCACTCTGATGAACGGATTCTGCGGCGTCATGTCCATTCTCTCCTCCATGCGCTACTGCTTGAATCAATCCGACAAGACCAACTTGTGGGCCGCATTGGCTTTCATGCCATTCGGTCTGTTCTTCGACTTCTTCGACGGCAAGGTTGCGAGGTGGCGCAAGAAGAGCAGTCTGATGGGCGCTGAGTTGGATTCGTTGGCTGATCTGGTGCGTACAAATGTCAGAAAGAGCGGGATTGGACAAATACTGATATCCGTGGCTAGATCTCGTTCGGATGCGCTCCCGCGGCCTGTGCGTTCTCCCTCGGCGTACGTACTGCTCTAGACCAGCTTCTGCTCACGTGCTTCGTTCTCGCCGGCCTCGCTCGACTCGCGCGCTTCAATGTCACCACAGGTAGCGTACCAAAGGACGCCAATGGCAAGGCCAAGTACTTCGAGGGACTTCCAATCCCGACCAGCTTGGGTATTGCTGCATTGATGGCCTTTTGGGTTTCGAAGGACTGGGTGCAGGAGAGCATCCCATTGGGCACCATCGCGCAAGGCTCGATTCTCGAGATGCATCCAGTCGTCGGCCTGTTCTTGGCTCACGGATGCTGCATGCTGTCCAAGACGCTGCACATACCGAAGCCATAGGTGCATCGGCATATCACGCATTCTGCCGAGAGGTCTTTCAAAAGCATGTTGGAGATTGCAGGTTTACAAGCGGGAACGGCGCTGGCTAGGCTTGAGATACCCTTCTTTGAATGTCGACATTCAACATGAGAATCCAACAAGAATTTACACTTATTTGAGATGATCCCACAATCAGCAAACGCTTACAGCGTGACGGAAGTACCGGATACAGTTCAAGTGTCGTCTCCTACGACCGAATTTGCTAACCAATGTCTACCAGAAGAGCTATCCAGTATGAAACCGCAGCCCGCGTCCGCAGCCGCGTCCAGCTTCAAACAGCGTCATACCTGAGTTTAACCGAACTTCAACTCAAGGCATCGACTGACGTAAGTATAATATATCATTGGGCTGAAGGCTCTTCCATTCTACGCTCTCCGTCTCTCCGAATCTTCAGCTCGCCAAGCATGTCCCTCCCTACCTCCATGCGTGCAATCAAATGCACAGGCCTAGGAAAAGCGAACATCGACCAGAATGTCCCCGTCCCTTCTCCACCACCAAAAGACTACATTCTCGTCAAGATCGCCGCAGTAGCCCTGAATCCCACAGATTGGAAACACATCCACAACGTCGCCAAAGAAAACTACAACCACTCCTGCGGATGCGACTATGCTGGAACCGTCGTCGACCCCAATGGCCACCCAAAATTTCAGGTCGGCGACCGCGTAATGGGTTTCATCCACGGCATGAAGCACGAAAATCCTTCCTCGGGTGCTTTTGCGAATTTTGCGCTCGCGAAAGCAGAAATCCAAATTCATGTACCGGAATTCATGACGTTTGAGGAAGCTGCTAGCATGCCTACGGGGATCAATACGGTGGGACAGAGTTTTTATGAGAGTATGGGGTTGCCGTGGCCTGGATCGACAGATCGAAAGGGGATCAGGGAGGGGGAGTGGGTTTTGATATATGGTGGATCTACTGCTACGGGTATGTACGCGATCAAGTATGCGAAATTAAGTGGGATGAAGGTGATCACGACATGTTCACCCAGAAATTTCGGAAAATTGAAAGAGCTTGGGGCGGATGTTGTGGTGGATTATAAAGACGGTGAGAAATGTGCGCGGGAAATCAAGGAAGCCACGGGAGATGATCTGAAATTCGCCATGGATTGCGTTTCTTCTTCCTCTAGTGCACGGATTTGCGCTGATGCACTCACTTCGAAATCTAACATTGCAAAATATCGCGCTCTGTTGCCTTTGGAGTTCCCCCGGCAGGATGTTGAACATGACTTCACGTTGGGCTATTCCGCTGTTGGAGAGCCGTATACCTTCTTCGGGAATACAATTACGCCGACAGAGGGGAATTGGGCATTCGCGCAGAAGTGGTGGAAACTGGCGGAGAAGTTAATCGAGGAGAAGAAATTGACACCGGTGGAGATGAGGATTGGGAAGGGTGGGTTAGAGGGTGTGTTGGAGGGATTGGAGGATTTGAGGCAGGGGAGGGTCAGTGGAGAGAAGTTGGTGTACAGTGTTGAGTAGAGCAGAGGCGCTAGGCTGTAAGAGGAGAGAAAGATATCGCGCAGGATATTACGGTGCAGTGGTCCTCATACGATGCTATCCTTCTTGCCTGGAAGCGCCATTCTCACATTCGCACGGAAAAGAAACAAGCCATGACTCCTTTCTCTTGAAACCTGGTAGAGCCACCACTCCAAATTTCCCTCCCGCTGTTGTGCTTGCTTCAGAGAGTTGAACTCCAACAACCGACTCTTCATCTCTTTTTCAAGCGCCTTCGCGTCCTTCTTGATCGCCAACTCCATGTCCTGACCAAGTTGCCCTGCCACACCCTCCACCAGCGATCCGAGAACCCGCGCCCAAAAGCGTTCAGGACGCGAGCATGGCGGTAATACACGTCAATTGCGATCTTTCCCAGCTTGTCACCCTTCAAAGCTCCTCTCAAAAAGAGGCTCCGCGTCCGAAGTTATGTAGGTCGGTATCGCAATTCGTGAAAACACGAAAAAGCACCTTTCGCAGATTCGGCATATCCTAGTAGCTGTCTTCCCAAGTTTCGCGTTCTTGATGTCCGATCCTGCCACGTCCTGGGATCTTTCAACTGACGCCTTAGCTAGCACGATCTTGATGTGCTTGATACAGTTGTCTGGTAGTTCGCGTAGTCCTTGACTTTGATCTCAAGGGATCGCAGTGGGTTGATGTGGCTTTGTTGAAGATCTGTCGTGAAGGCGCGAGGATTTGAGGGCTACGCAACTTGCTTCTCTGGCTCTGGCAGTGACACTCAATAGCGTTGCGATATCTGTATCTGGCCTCTCTACATCGGCAGTATGGATTTCCGTTCGGCGATTTCACTTGTCCCTGGAGCTCTTGTTCCCAGATTTCGTGCTGCAGCTCGGCGAGAAGGTCGACAGACTCCTTCATGATCGCAGGTGGTGGGATTTTGCTCGTGCGATGAGGTTGTTCAAATTGAAGCTGAAGATATTGGTATGATGCTCGGTAGGGGAGTCATAAGGGCGCAAGGTGGGCTGCAGTGTGTTTGACGAAAATAGGGGGCACACGTGAAGCTAAGAGATCCAATGTTAGTGGCGTCAGGGGAATGATATTATACCCTTCATAAATTTGTAAGATGATGAGATACCTTGCAAAAGAAGCACATACAGCAGATGAAGAATCTGTTGGGTCGGGGAAAGTGCGAAAAAAAAACACCCATCCTTCCTTCCTTTCTCGGAACCACCAACAGCAACACCAAAAAAATCCACCTTCAACCAAAAAAGCAAAAACAAATTCGAGCCGTTTACGACTCGAATCAGTTTTGTCCCGCCTTATCCCGCCCGAAAACTGGTGTGTTGTTCCAGAAACGCATGGGCTCAATTCCATTCTTGCTTGCGCGTTTTTTGTTTGTTGTTTGTTTTTTTCACCCACAGTAGCCCGCGCCAAAGAAAGCTCGACATTTTTTCAGTCGAGAGAAAGAACCGAATGCGCTATTCCATTGTTCTCTATCAGTTCTGTTCTTGATTGGCTTGCGCCAAATTTCGAATATATAGGTTGTTGGGTGACCGCGCCGGGGTTTAGCCGCTTAGCGGACTTTTGCATGTGGGAGGAGCGTTTCCTCTCCGCCGTGAGAATAATACTTTCCGGTACGGTGCAGGCCAGGAAACTGATTGAGGCTATTCTATGGTGAGATGAGAGTCTCCGTTGTAGTATTATGCGGGTGTTTGGCATCGTGTTCGATTACGTTAAGTGGTAGAGGGAGAGCCAGCTCCCGAGCAAGTGTTTGCCGGGGCGGCGGGCTGAGGATCTTTAACGGAAACACGACACGCACAGTCGGGTCAACCGCGATCACTGAGCAGATTCAGATCCGCATCTATAGCACTTGGTCTTCGACATCCAACTTCATTTCCTGTATTGTGACGAGGACCGAATCGTTTCGTAGCCGTTCCCAGTACATCGGACTCGTCCATAATGCAAGGACACTTCATTAGTAGCGAGCAGCAAGTCAGGATCTGGATTCCCTGGTCTTTTTCAGAACCATTTGGCGTTACATGCGAACGGTACTGCGTTGCGATCGAGCCTGTCGATACTGCAAGCCCAGAGCGCGAGACGCCACACTATTTTGAAAACCTATCTAGAGATCAGCCGCTACAGCCGCGCTCAGATACATGATGCTGCTGTCCATACCGTGACCTGGAGACCACTTAGCCTCGAGATTATCCGCTCCAGTGGAGCAGTGCCACGTAGAGATCCTCCGCCAAGCGAAATCACGTAGCAACCCAACTCTCAAGCATCGTCTCCCCCCGAACTCTACTTCACAATCACACTTCAGCGCTGAATTACCGAAAACGAACATCGATGGCTGTTCAGAAATCAGGATCAGCCATGTTGCCCCATCATTGATTACCGCTGCTAACATGGAAGCAGTCGACCGGCACGTCCGCCAAAAGATCCGCAACCTAAGGATCCGTCAGTCCAGTCTCGCTCTATTCTAACCTGGGCCAGTGCACGGACCTGCAATAGCAGATAGCGGCATCGCAACAAAGACGTCAACCCTCGAGATCCTCCAAAGGGCTAGTAAGCACATTTCGTCCTCGCAGAATGTCCTCGAAATCAAGGTTTGGGAGCTAGCATTCGGGCTTCGGTCTCTTCAATCTAGTCTACATGAGAGAGATTGCATCTAAATCTTACGGAGGGGGTTGAGAGGTGCCCAGAGGGCTTCTGTGCTGGTTTGATGGGTGTACCGGGCATCTTGACGAGTGGGATGTCGTTGGGGCGCTCAGGTTCTTTAGGGGGCTGGTTTGTTTTTGGATCTTTGGGATGAATCTTCCTTTGGCACTTGATCTTATTATGGCTCCGGACCGCGCTTTCTCGACTACAGAGTCGGCTGATGCAATTGCAGATGGATGAAGATGAGAGTTGGAGGTAGGTTGATGGAAATGTCTAGTAGGAGTTCCCGTCCCAGGTACGGTTTCTCGCAAGTATTTCGGTGTACAGCAAATCTGCTGGTTGGCGCTTCGCCGTAGCAAGCTCTTGTTCATGCCATGCTGTTTCTTCTCGGAGCGCATTGATCGCCGCGTGGTGAGCCATGTCAAGCGTATTGGGTTTCATGGGACGGACTCAGGAGAAGTGAGGTCAACGAAACTTCAAGAGTTCGGAGCGAAGCACGGACCGCGAGAGGAGAAGCAGAAATGTAAATCGACTCTCACAGCCCGTAAGGGCCAAGAATCTAGCATCAAGTTTCTACAACAGCACACAGTAGATTCAGTCAGTGTGCCGTCCCTATCAAACCACGCTAATGGAATGCAGTTCCTCCCAACGCCGTCGCTCATGCGCCATAATGCAAGTTTTCATACACGGAAAGCATTCATGACCTGAAGGTCATACTCTTTCCAGCTTTCTCCTTCTGCTTCCTCGGCAGGCCTTTTGGTGCATCCATTGACTTAGCATACGGATTCATCTGCTTCTCCTTCTTCTTCCGCTCCTTCGCACTCTCCCTGGGACCCTCATTCGATGGATTCAGTATGCTCGGAGCAGAAGCGTAATCGAAAGGAGCTTCGTCCTCTTCCTCGGCATCCTCATTGCCGTTCGTCGCTCCGTTCTTGGCCGCCCTCTTAGCCGCCTTCTTCTCGCGCCTCTTCTGTGCCCGAGAATCTTCCGTCTCCCCAATCGCAACCTCGTCTGAGTTCGCTGCCATACCATCCAATACCTCAATCGGATCAGTGCGCTTGCGCTTCTTCGCCATATCCTTGAGCACAAACACGTCGTCTTCGGCTTGCTGCTCTCCTTGATCGGATGATATTGGAGGGCTAGGGTCGGGAATTCTTGCCTGTGAATGTGCAGCTTCCGCAGGCTCGGCAAAGACCTCAGCCGTTAGCGGCGGCAAAGGCACTGACATGAGCACGTTTGCGGCCGAAGATGTCATGCGCTTTTGCTGCCATGCGCTGCTTGCAAACGCATCGCCCCAGAAGGAAGATGTCGAGCTTCGTATCGGTGTTGTTGAGGTATCGTTCGATGTGAGAGGAGTCGCGGTTGGCTTAGTTTGAGAAGTAGCTGTCCTTTGAGCGGTCGGAGTCGAGTCAAATCTAGCCGTGCGTTCGGTGCCAGACTTCTTCGAGACGACATCGAACAATTCCGGCCCATCCTTCCCGGCGGCCTTCGACTTAACAACAACATGAAGTAGCTCATCGGCTCGTAGCTTCATGGTCGACGTCAACTGGGCGGCATTCGCCAATTCCTGACGTGTGGTCGGCATCGCTCGGGCGATGCTGAAGACAGAGTGAATCGGCATGACATAATGCACACCATCGTCTTGCTCCCTCGCTACGTCGTCGCGCCATTTGTGCACGCCACGGTAGACGGAGAACTGTTCTTTCGTGTATTGCACCGGTGTCTTCAACAGTGGCTTGTACCAGCCTAGTGGACCTTGGCCCCCTTCGACATCATAGACGGGATGCTCATATCGCTGAAGTGCAGTCTCGCTACTCTTCTGCAGAACATTCCAAATCTTGTCCCCCTCACGATCGTCTTTTGAGAAGTCCGATTTGAGGATAAGCTCGTTGCGCATGTTATCGTAGATATAAAGTAGGAAATGAGTATCGCTTCTGGCATAGTCGAAGAGCTCCTGTGGTAGAGGTCGTATCCGCCAATCGGCCAGTTGGTATTGCTTCTGTGCATCAAAGTTGATGAACCGCTTGAGAAGGAATGCCAAGCTACCACCAGCGTAGCCGAGTGCTCTCGAAGCCTCGTGCGTGTCGAAAAGACCTACCAGATACAGGCCGAGGTCACGCTGAAGCCAAATGACATCCATGTGGGCTCCATGCAGTACCTTGACAATGTCTGGATTCGCGAACACTTCATTCAGACACTCCAGCTTTCGTCTCCATGGCTTCAGGGTATCGACTATCCAATCCTTGTCGCGGGTACTGATCTGCATTAGACATACTATACCAACATACGAGCGGTTATCGTGATGCTCAATGTCGATTGCAATTTCCTTTGCCTGCTTGAGCTCGGACAGCATCTCATGAAGAGCTTCTTCGGTATCAACGAAAGTCGCCGTTGTCGACTCGAAGGGATGATACATTATCGGCTCGGAGTGAGTATACACCGACAACGGGTATCGATATTGCTCGATCTCGAGCTGGTAGGGGTGCGGGTATCTGTTTGCAAGGTTAGAGTCGAGTCAGGGTACATCACTGCTGCTCTCTCGGGGGAAGAGGACGGGGACGGATGGTGCAAACGATGGGCCCTCTGAGTAGGAAAGAGAAGTCTGAGTTCTCTTTCATTCCAGAGCGGCTCAAGTCGAGAGAAGGCAAAGAGGGATGAGGCGTACGATTCTTGAGTGTCCGGGTCTGAAGCGGTGCGTTCAGTCTCCAGCGGGAACGAGGCATGGGGCTTGCTCAGCAGGAGCGGTTTGAAGGGCGTCTTTTCGTCGTTCGTGGGCATGTGCTCGAATTGCAACTGCGGTTTGTCCAGCCGGTCCTGAGTTTGGAAGCCCTGCGCAAGTCTTGCAGACCTTGAGGGTCTTGGCGCCATTGCCTTCACCGTGTTCAGTATGCAGTTCCTTCCCATCTTTTCACGTGTATAACGATGCCAGGCCTACCTGTTCTGCTGCCGGACTCAATCTCTTGACGGCGCCCGTGAACTCATCAAGGGCGGTGTCTGCGCGCTCGAGCAGGCTGTCGACGACATCAACCACCGCCTTCCAGTTGCCCTCGACGGCATCGAGGTCCTTCAGTCGTGGAGGACGTACAAGCTCCGTATTCGCGGTCGCACTGCTAATGAGCCGATCTGAAAGACCGAGAAGGCGCGCATTCTGGGCGTCAATAGAGCTGCCAATCGAGGCATTGAGAGATCGGTGGAAGGCGACGTCCTCGTTGCCGGCGGCGTTGGAGCTTCGGACGGTCGAGACGAGGGCGGCTCTGATGTTCTTTTCGAGGTCGTTGAAGTCGTCCATGCTGGGCGATCTGAGCTTTACGCGATATCGCCGAGTCGCATGGGCTGCGGTGGTGTCATGGATGTCAGTGAAGTGGTGAAGCCTTCAATACAATTTCTTGAACGTCTTCGAAGAAGCGGCTCTTCCCGCCGGATGCTTGCAGATGCAGCTTATGTCCGCTCAAAGTCCGAGCGATTTACCTCACCTCGCACTTTCTTTGCCATTTCATCAGATCCATCACAGCCATGTCCGCCTCATTAGCGCCCGAGTGTAACGAAGTAAAAGAGTAATTATCCCTCGGAACCGATACTCGGGCCAAAGCATCTCAGCTAATCCCTTCACCCAAAAGACGCTACGACTCCTGCTTCCTGAAGTGGTACTCGGAAAAGTACCTACGCGGTACCGCGACGACAGATGAGTGCGAGCCTTTGTTCAAGCAATACAAGTCGTGCTTGAGTGTACGTTTGCCCGCCTTTTGTCGGAGCGCGGCTTGCTAATTGTCTCCTGCAGAAAGCCCTCAAAGAGCGCGGCATTGATACGATGCTGGAAGAGGCGAGAACGGACAATCGCGAGAATGATGTCGAATATATGAAACCGAGCGCGAGGAGTCGATGATGGGGTTTCTGATTAGGTAGGCATTACTATCCTGATTTCCACTGCTGGTGTGTCGAGAGCAGTTTGCTGACATGTTTGCCAAGCATGTTGCATGTTGCATGGCGGTGGCGTACGGCGTTGCGGGAGAGAACATCACTCTGGCAATTAGATATGTTGCATTGATGCGGCGCATGTCTCCGCTCCAAAGATGGCAAACTCGGTATGAGGCTTAAATCTCTCGTTCTTCGCTCTGTCCGTGACTTCTTACTCCCCATCCATTTCCTTGAACTTTGAGTGGGAATGCTATAGTTCATGTTTGTCGCTATACTCATGGCCCGCAAGATCTTATATATTAACAGGAAATACAAGATGGTCCAGGAATCAAGGCAGAAACCTCACTGAGCGCCCAGCATGGTCCCTCCAGCATGGTCCCTCCAGCATGACCCCAGCCAAACCAAGAAGGAGAACATGCGTCCCCAATTCGAACGCGAGGAAGCTCGATGTACTCCCCATCATGCAGCTACCAGCGAAACTTCGCGAGACAATCTCCCGCTATGCCTGCAAGGACCGTCGCCATCTTCCTACCAGGTCACTGTGGTCCACGTCCGGCACCCGTCCCACTGTCCGCTTCAGACTTGAACACCTTCGCAAGCGCGCTGATCACTTCAACAACAACTCTATTCCCAAGAGCCATGGCGTCCACTACTAAAGCCGTGGACGCGGAAGCGGACACCCGGCTGACCACCGCCCTGCACGGCCCGCAAGTCCAGCAAGCTACACCCACCCGCCAGCAAAGCCCGCGCCGACGGCCAAATCTCGGACTCTGCGCTCGAGAAACAGTGTCGTGAGCAAGCCACCACGCTCCAGCGCACCTACGGTCACGCAAAGGACAGACGGAGTTGGAAGTTGTGCGGTTCACGGAGGATCGTGGTCCTGCTGACAACGCCGGGGTGTTCGGGAGTGGAGGCCTGATTCCAACAGGTGTTCCGGCAGAAGATCGCCAATGGCCAACGCGTCAAGGCTGTGGCTTTCAAGCTTCTTGGCGAAGCTTGAAGAAGAGGAGTTTCGCTGAGAGCAAAAGAACGTACGGGTAGTGTATTCGCGGGCGGCGTGTTTCTGCAGCCTTAAATCGAATGCTGTGGCATGAAGTGGGTACCAGGAGCTTCACTTCGCACTTGGCGTTTGGCGTTTGGCTTTGATCTTGATCAGACGGGTTCTGTATCTCACTAATCAATCGCGTCTTCTCGATCACGAACAACTCAATAAATCCACCTGAAATCCGGACTCCTCGGCCCCTCTTTCAGCCTCTCAGTAGGAAGGTCCTTCGCTCTCACAACTTTCCCTTGCCTCCTGTTCCGTCTTCCATTATCAAAGATCATCCAAGCTCCCAATGATAACGTGAGTACTATCCCGGTAGCGCCAAAGGCCGCCGTGGTTGCTAGAGCGGGAATATAGGCCGGAGCATCCTGATTCCGGAAGATGTTGCTGGAAACCACGCCCATGACGTTCGCGACGGGAACGCCGAGAGACGTGAGCAGGACTCGTCGGTTCTCGTCGGCGATGTTGTTGTTGTACCATACGTCGAGGAGGACGGAGGGGGCGGAGGTTCCCCACGTCTGTGTGTGGGATATGATGGATCAGTAAAGGCGGGGTTCAATGACAGGGAGGGAGGGCAGGGGAAAAGTGGTGCAAGACGGACGGACGTACCATCATGAAACAAGCATAGTATGCGACTTGGATGTTATGCTCCACATCTATAGCCGCGTAGATGATGAAGCCACAGAACGTGAAGAAGAAGCCCAGCGCGATGAACGGGAATCTCCAGCGCGTGTAGTCGGAGGCATAGGCCAGGATCAGAAGCATACAAGCACCCGTGACGTTGGGCGCGACGGTGTAGAGATTTGTTTTCACGGTCCCGTATCCCAGTCTGGCGATGATCTGTGGCAGGAAGAGAGAGACGGATTGCAAAGGTATTCCAAGACACATTTCGATCGCCAGAATAATCCAGGACGTCGGTTGCTCAAGAATCTTGATCGCTTCGCGGAGATTGAATTTCTCCTCTACAACGGCGGAGGAATCCACCTGTATGCGGTAGAAAGCCAGTTTCTTTTCCTCAGGCGTGAGGAATTTCGCGTGCTGCGCCGAGTATGGTAGGAAGATGAGTGCCATGATCGCACAGAGAACCGTCAAGCCTCCTTCCAGCGCGAAGAGATATTTCCAACTCGGGAGCAATCCTCCATGGAGCTGGAACATTCCAAAGGCAAGTAGACCGCCAAAAGCACCGGCGACGTTGGAAGCCGCGTAGAAAATCGCAAGTCGGCGGGCGAGTTCGTGACGGCGGTAGAATTGCGTTTGGTAGTAGATGACCAGTGGGAAGAAGGCTGATTCTGCCATTCCAAGGAACCATCTCAGAGCCATGAGACCACTCCAGTTGTATACTGCCACGGTCAGGACAGTCATGGATCCGAACGTCATCATCATTAGGGGAAGCACCCGCGAGGGACCGTAGATCTTCCCAGCCATGCCGAGGAACGGCGCTGTCAGGACATAGGGAACGAAAAAGATACTGAGAAGGATATTATCTACGCAGAATCAGCAGCCACTATTAAAAGATTGGAAGGAGAAGGACATGCACTTATTCGTCCCCGCAAATCCCAAATCCTTCTCCAACCCAGCAGTTTTCGCATTGCCGAGATTCGCCTTATCCAGACTATTGAAAAGGTACATCATCGTCAAGAGCGGTAAGATCCTCAGATCGAATTTCCAGAGTAATTTTCGCTCGGCCGCTTTGTCGATGACGAAAGTCTCTCCATCTTCCGTCCTGATCACGGTATCGCCTTTGTCGTCCGTTGCGATGGACTTCGTCCGTTCCAGGCCACCTTCATCGCTGCGGTCTTCGACCGCTGGCAATTTGGTGAGGTCTGCCATATTGCGGGAAATGGAGACGAGATGGGAAGGGGTGAAGTCAAGTGAATCAAAGGACCTACCTTGTTATCATAAAGTAAAGTTCTCGGGCGAGCTTGCCCAGTCGCCGGCGGGCATGCTGCAGAGCGACAGAGCATGCAGTTGTATGCAGGTGTAGGTAACATTGAGATACCGCAGAGTCGCATTGATAAGAAGAGAGCGAGAAGCGCGAAGCTTGATCATGCTTATCTCTCCTCGGGCCTTGTGGCAATCTCTAGTCCAAAGCCAAGCCGTCAGTTGCCGATGAGTTCTTGGGCTCATACTTCTTTGAATACAATGGGGTATCTTTCCTATTCTCATGGCAGCGCCGTCGCTATGCATTCAAATCCGCCATTTCCGTGCTTTTTGAACGTGTGAACGAATGAGGTGTGCGGGAACACTACCGTTTCCCTTTGCCTTTCTTCTTGCCGCCGCCGCCAGAAGACGTCGCACTCTTCAGCGCAGCGTGTCCCTCTTCCTCGATATGTGCGAATAGTCTCGTCCTCGAAGGAAACTCTTCGTGGCAGAGCTGACATTTGTGTCCAGCCTCTACTTGATTGGCAGCGGCAGCAGCTTTCTTGGCCCGTTTCTGAGCCGCTTTGCCCATCTTTGATTTTGAAGGCTGATCGCCATCCGCCAGGGTTTTCAGCTGCGTGTCATCGGCTGAGATCTCTGAAGCAGCAGTCGGAGGTGTGTCAAGAGTCGCGGATGACATCCTAGCTTGAATGGTAGAAAGCGATGCGTAGTCTTCATCTTCCGAATTTGACTCATCCTCGCTTTTCTCGGACGACTGTCCTGGTGTCTTTGTGTCTCCCTCCCTTGCATCGTCTTCGGCTGTGTTGTTTACATCGTCAATATCTTGGTCAGCGTCACCCTCTGAGGCTAGCTCTTCCTCGTGAGCCTGTCCAGCGCTGCTATGAAGAGCATCATGACCGTCCACTTCAGCGACCAAGTCGTCCAATTCTCTCTGCTCCTCCTCATCTGCTGTATCAGGAATAGTGATTCCGCTAGAGACGCCTTCTTCTTCCAGATCAAGATGAGCATTCTGCTTGCGCATCTTGTGCTGAAGCGCTTTGACGGCCTTTTGATGCTTCTTACTCTTCTCATGAGCCTCCCATTGGCGTTCACTCTTGAAGATCTTGTCGCAAGCCACGCACTCGAAGACTTCCTCGTCCTCTTCTTCCTCCTCGCTCTCCTCAAGCTCCTCCGGATCCCTCACTTTGGTCCACTCGGGCACATCCTCCGTGGCCAGCTTGGCCGCGTTTGCAGCTCTGGCTCGAGCCGCTTGAGACGCAGCGGCATCACGCAGTGTCTTTTGACGCTCGGCCTCGCTCTGGGTGTTGGGCACGTATCTAGGATCACGCTTCCGCACGAAAGCCACGAGCGATCGGACAGCTTCGGTGAACTCCTGTTTGCCTTCTTTACGTAAGCGCTGATTCTCCTGCTCCATCCGGCGCCTGTACCATCTATCTGGAGCTTCGGAGAGTCTATACTTGTCCCGCCATGCGAATGATTTGACGGTAGAGAATCCAGACCAGGCAGAGTAGAAGCGCTTGACGACATCGTCGTACTGGTCGTCTTTGTGGCCGAAACTTGGGTACTCCAGAACGTCCACATCCTCCCAGTTGGCGGCAATCTCTTCTTCCTTGGCAAGCTGTTCGAACGTCTCTCGAATGTAGCCAAAGAATCCTGAAGGTGAGTCGGAGAACTCCACGTTGCTGTTGAACTTCCTCACCAGGCGTGCAAGGTCGTCTGCGGTTGTTACCCGTACGTTTTCATAGGTAGGTGCATCAGGTTCGCCTCCGTCGTCGCCACGCAGGATGGCACTCTCATGGCTGTCGTACCAGCCTCGCTCTTGAGGGTCGGAGAGCACTTCATACGCGGCCTGTACTTCTGCGAATGTCTTGGTGGCAGCCTCCTCGTTTCCGTAGTTCCGGTCCGGGTGCAGTTCCAATGCTTTCCTCCTGTACGCCTTCTTGATCTCCTCCTCGGTGGCTGCCCGCTCTATGCCCAGCAAGACATAGTAGCTGGTCTTGACGTCCTGGTCAGCGCTGCCGGCGGCGTCATTGGCGGAGGAGTGGCTCTGCCCCATGATCTAGGAGCGGAGCGGCGCGGAGCGGAATGGAGTCGACAGCTGAGGACTTCAGTCTCGTCTTCATGTGACCGACGCCCAGAACTTTTCGACCCTGTCCGGCGTTCTCGCCGATGATTCGGCGCTGAGTCATGACATAGATGGTAAGCGACAGGGCTGAGCACGTGAAGATGACGCCAGGCCGCGGCCAGGCGCCGGGAAGCGGGGCGAGATAACACCTTAACCCGCTTTGGGACGGGCTTGGCAGAGTTTTTACGCCGACGTCGCCCTCGTTGTTGCGTAGCGGCTCGTCGTGCAGCAACCGAAGAGTCAACCACCAACCACACGAGCGCAATCGCTTGCAATCACCTGCACTTCCATCTGTGATTCGTCTGCTTCGGGCAGGAACACGCAGGAGCGCACGCGACCTCCTTCCCGCTGCGTGCACAATGACACGCGCCCTCCGAGGTTCCACCCGTACGTACCACACTATCACACTATTGTACTAGGTACTTACTGTGGCACCGTATGCTGGACACCGTGCGCTAGAAGAAAGAGGTTTGTCTAGAAGAGATTTCCTTTGAGCGTCTATCTAACAATCCTCTCTCTCGCCACCCACGCCCTGCGTTACACAACTCCACATTTCCTTTCAGCCTGGAATAGCTTCTGCTACTCGAATCCAATAGCGTCTGCTACCACCACACCCCACCTACGCATGCTTGCAACACCCACAGTACATGTACGAACATGAAGTTCGGCCGCGAGTACGAGGCGGCAGTCGCCAACGAGCACTTCCCTCGAGAATGGATGGAAAGCGCCATCGACTACAAACAGGGGAAGAAGCTCATCAAGAAGGTGCACCTGGAACTGGAGAAGCTGGGGTTGGACGATGAGACACTCTCCGAGATGCGATCCTTGGTCGCCCGACCACTCACTCCAGCCGCTCACAACGAACTTGCCTCTCAAAAAGACTATTTCTCGGCAGCAAAGCCTGTCTTGGATTCCATACAAGAGGAGTTCATACCAACGCTGCGGATACTGGTAAACAAAGATGGTGAGCCGCTCAACGCTAGATTATCTCCGGAGACGAGACAAGCGCTCCGAAAGCTCGCACAGCCCGAGGTGCAAGAGCTGCGATTAGCGGAAAGCACTCGACGCCCTTCACATCCGGGCCATACCATCTCCGATGAACCAGCGCGGAGGGATTCGACTTCGACAGTAGAGGCTGAAGACGCGCGTTGGGTGAACGTCCCTCTTGACACGGCCGGTGACTTCTTTGCCATGCTCGAGCCGAAAGTGCCCAAGCTGGAGGCGGTCAAGAAGAATGAGACACGCAAGCTTGAAGAAGAGATTCTCGATCTTGGCGACGCCGTTGAAGATGTCGTACAGCCAGTAATGGAGGGGTATGAGGCGAGAAGAGAGATCTCATACCGCGACTTGTACTTCTGGCGGGAGATGTTCCGGCTTTACCTGGAGAATCCGATCTTTTACAAGAGCACCGAGCAGAAGAGGGGCGCCATCACATACAAGGAAGCAAAAGGCAACCTGGAGGCCTACGACAAGCAGCTGCGAGAGACTGGTTTGCTGGCCAAGATGAAGACTCCTCAGGCTAAGGCTGCCGCACAAAAGTTCCTCGACCTGAACCTGGAAATCCTAAAGCTCATGTATTTCCAAGAGATCAACTACAGGGGTCTGGGCAAGATTCTCAAGAAATTTGATAAGCAGACGCATCTGGAAGGCGATCAGTTCCTCAAGAGTCTGAAGATCAGCCACCCAGACATGCTGGTCAGCAAAACCGCAGCCGGAGGTCTCGCGGATTCTATCGCTAGAGATCTGCAAGCCGAGATGGGGTCCAAGGTGCTTGCGATTGTGCCACAACTGGACGACTGGATCTGTCCGGTCTGCTACGGCATGGCTTGGCGTCCGGTCAACCTTGGCTGCTGTCGCTCAGTCTTCTGCATCCGCTGCATCATCCAACTCCAGGACAATGGCATGGAGAAATGCCCGATGTGCAACGCCGACACCGTCATGAAGGCCAATGGCATGAACATCGATTTCGACACTATGGACTTCCTGGGTATCTATTTCCCCATGGAAGTGAAGAAGCGACAGAAGGAGAATGAGAAAGCACAACTGATCAGAGAATATGGGGAGGAGTACGTGAAACCTGGTTGCACTGTAATGTGAAGCACGAAAGCGACGTGAAGCACGAGAGCGACAGGCATGATTCGCCCGAGAGAAGTCTTTGTGAGGGATCAGCGCTCGAAGGACTCCAGGCGGCTTGATCGATTTTGCGTTCTCTATCTGATTTTATGCATGGACGGCTGTAGGGAGCATTGGGAAAGGCGCTCTTGTACCATGATACCCCGCTGACGCAATTGTCAGTAGAGCAGGCATAGGATCGGCATGGCGTTTACTCAGCAGTCTTGAGGTATTTAGCAAGGGAACACGTAACCGTTCATCATCACCATCTCATCAAGTTCGTCCAAGCATCGCACAATGGGTTCTCATCCAGACGCAGACTTGCATCCTGTCGCCACGGGGCCGGCCAAGGCCATTGTGGACGCTCACCAAGCTGATCAGCCCCTCAAATTGTACTCGGGATGGTTGTAAGTCAAACACCTGGCTCGACACCACACGTACTCTCGCGCTAACTAGTGAATGTAGTTGTCCCTTCGTCCAGCGCGCCTGGACCGTTCTCGAGGAAAAGAAGATTCCATACCAATACATCGAAGTCAATCCATACAACAAGCCCGAGAGTTTGATCAGCTTGAATCCGAGAGGTAACCAAAAAGAACGTTTTTTTCTTGTAGACTACTACTGACGACCGAACCTCGAAAGGTCTGGTACCGACATTACAATACGAGAACAAACCTCTGTTTGAAAGTACGGTCATATGCGAGTTTCTCGAAGAAGCCTATCCAGATCATGGACCGCATCTGCTGCCCAAGGATCCGTATGATCGAGCGAGGACAAGGTATGTTCGCCCCCTTCTACTCTCTCAACCATTCAGTTCAGAAACACTAATTTATCAAATTCGGTGGGATGAAGAATCTGGACGGATTTCTGTACTTCGAGAATCATCCCCGCTTTCCATCGCTTCTTGCAATTCCAACCCGTGAGCGATAAGAAAGGTCTCGAGGGAACTCGACAGGAATTCCTCGCGAAATTGAAAGAACTCACAAAGGAAATGGATAACAAGGGGCCGTTCTTTTTCGGAGCGGAACCGTCTCTTATTGATTTCGTTGTGGCTCCTTGGATCGTACGTCTCTTTCTGCTCCCCCAAGTCCCCTTTGCTTACGTGGATACTCATGTTGGAACAGATGCGCCTCTGGGTCTTCGATCACTATAAGCAAGGACTCGACATGCCTGCCCCGGGCCAAGGAGGCGAGGACGAAAATACCTGGGCAAGGTTGAGGACGTGGATGAAGGCATTGGAGCAGAGACCCAGTATTAGGGATACGACGTCGGAGAAGGAAAATTATCTGCCGATTTACCAGCGGTATGCGGATGATCGGGCGCAGAGTGAGTTGGCGAAGGCCACGAGGACGGGGAGGGGGGTTCCGTGATTTCCTTTTCCCCTTTTGGAGAGATGAGAATTTTGAGCCGCCGAGTGGTTGGTCACTTTCTCGGGACGTGCTTTGGAGATAGGGTGAGTACGAATGGCAGTATCAGGCTGCATGAAAATTACTGCGACGCGGCTCGCTGTTTTGAATCTCCCGCTTCTGTGGCTGAGACTCTCTGCCGATATGGTGTGTCGATGGACCATGCGTTGCTCGGTTGATTACTGGTGGGTTACAAATCTTAATATTGTTCAGCAAGGCTTTCGAAGTGGTGCTACTTTAGCCCGAAGACTGGAAATCCTCGCCGCTAAAGCTTCTATTAAGGCATACTACACCACAACGATATAAGAGAGAGTCAAAGCAGCCGAGTGGGTGCCTTGCTGCTACTCATCCGTACCCTGCACCAAAACCTATCCCCCAAGCCTTTCAACGACATCCTCCTCTGTCTCATCCTGCATCGTCAAACTCGTAACCGTCATCCCCAACTCCACCTCAACGGGGCACCCAACACAATCAACCTTCCACTGCCCTTCATCAGGCTTCTTATGCAAAAGCACCACAGTACACCTCTCCGGGAGCCCAGCCTTCTCCGCAACAACAAAAGCCCGGCTCCAGATCGGGAACTCGTAGGGAGGACTATCTTCCAGCAGAGCCCGCAATCGCTGAACGAAATCTTGTAGACAGGCATCGACGTCTTTGAATTCTTGATTTTCGACGATCTGAAAGATTTCCGGCTTTTCGAGTCTTCCACGGGGCCAGCCTAGGGCTTCCTTGGCGTAGCTCTCGGTCGCGAGGCTGCAGAGTTCTTGGACTTGGTTGTCTTGCACGTCTTGGAGTTTGTAGGCGAGGATTTTGCTGTTGTCGAAGTTGTGGCGGAGAGATTGGTCGAGGAGACGCTCGACGTCTGATGGTAGTCTGATAGCCATCATGTGCGTTGTATCCTCGAGGTCTAGGAGTTTGGTTGACTTGGAATGGAGATGAACGTTCAGCTTGCTGGAGGCGGCAAGTTCTGAACCTGCTTCCGACGTCCTCCTGTTTTGTGACGTCACGGTATCTCCTGCCTGAATTGGTATGTCGTTCGATTTAGCATGGAAACGGTCGTACAGGTCGTACGCAGCTCAGCGGCGATGGATTCCATGAAGTAATAAGCGGAGTGACAGCGTTCAACGGGGCTTCAAAGGCACTAGCTCAGCCTCAGGATATCCTTCAGCTCCTTCGACCCACGCCGACAACCACACCCTTGTAAAGATCACAAGCCCTATGCAAGGCTAAGCAAGCTGAGCATTCTACCAATGATCCCGATCTGCAGCCATAAAAATGCGTTCCGAACAGGATTGCTGTACCGCCATCATCCTTCAGCGACGGCCCGAGCTCACGAGGAGTTGTGCTTTGGGTCGAGACGAGCGAGATGAGGCCAAGACCAGACAAGAAAGAATAGCGATGCGTCTGAAGGACGAATGAGCTCTTGCTACGATCAGAGCTCAGGTAGGTACCTGTAATGGAAACAGCTCCAGCGCCGTTCGAAATTGGAACCTTGTTCTCTGCACGAGAACCCTAGCCAAGTTCAGGGCAACAGCGGATCGGAGAGCGCAAAGTCAGGGGTAACAGCCGTCGAGATGATACTCCGATGTGCGAGAATGCTGTGCGGAGGCTTCTTTGTTCCTGGTGAGGCTGTACTACGCCTCCGACACCTCCCTCACCGGTCCAATCAGTCGTACCAACACCGAAGCTTTGACACGAGAGAAGATGCATGGTAGGTGACAAGTTGCCACCAAGGTGGTACGGTGGCCATGTAGCCAAACGTAACAAATTTCTGATGGGAGAAACACTTTGCAGGCTCAGCATCTTGCTCAAGCATAGCGTCGTGTCTCCCGGAAGCATCTCCCAAGTCGTATGTCATTTCTCCACCGGAGACAGTGGAAATTCTATCGTCGGCAATCGTAAGACACCTCTTTCTGAGCCGGTGGGATACCAGTTGTTGATCAAGTTCCACTTGGCATGTGGTTCTGTTGTTGTTGGTGTTTTTGTTGTTGTTGTTGGTGCTGGGTCGCACAGCTACAATGCCACTTTCCCTTTCTTAAGCTCTCTCCCTTGATGGTCACCGGTGTCTGAAGGCACTGTTCAGAATAGTAGCTGAATGATGGCTATGGTCCACACGGGCCCTGTCCTACGCAAAATACACCGGCCTTGAGACTCAGCTATGTCTTGATCATCCTGGAGCTTTATTCGCTTTCCCTCAATGATGGTGGTGGGTCCAGCAGGAAGATGGCGCTTTCAGGATGGAGCCAAGCTGAAGAAGTCGTCCGAAAGAATGGCGGCGGCTGCTTCGCTGGGGAGAACGAAGATATATAAGGCATTGCGATCAAGTCTCCTTTCCGCAATCATTATCAACAACATCTTTCCTTCGACATCGAACATCACTCACACAGCCAAAATGCACGCAATCGCTTTATCCCTGCTTGCTGCCCTTTCTGGGTCAGCTCTAGCAGCTGCCTCTGCTCCATTGGAAGCCAGAGCACCGCCAAAGCATCTCCTTCGATGGGTCTGCACGGGCATCGACAGCGACGACATCCCAGGTCAGTACTCCTAGTCAGTGCGGGAGTCTTCAAGCTGACATCAGTGTGGTAGATGTCTGCAACAACATGTGCTATGGTATGTTGTCCAGTCTTGACCTCACAAAGCAAAGGGCGAGCCCACTGACCTTGACAAAGCCACCAACTGCAAGGGCAATCCGATCGAGCTATACTGGGACAAGCCAGACACCACCACGCAAGGTCAGCGTAGCAGAAAGGCTGGATGCGGTGGCGTCAACAAATGCGACACCACGAAACCAAGCCCAGATCAGCAGTGCGACGAATACCCGTTCAAATCGACCAGGACAGCCGACACCGTGTCGGCATCTTACAGCCGTTGTGTTCCAAGGCTGCAGAACAACTGTGAGTGCCATCACAGCCATCAATCTGGAGAGACAATTGCTGATAAGCAGAACAGACCAGGGCCAAGCCCTCCGTCAATTCTACAACTCTCAAGGCAGCTTCGACGAAGATGGTCTGGGCGGTAAAGAAGGTGCCTTCTCCATCTCCTTCGGTAACGTAGGGGGAATTCGATACTGCGGCACTAGACCTAACTGCGCCAACGACGGTCACGAATTTACCCAAGGCGGCTTGGCTAAACGCTCTGGCGAGGCCAGCAACGGTGGCAGGCTGGCAACTGGCGGCTGGTACCGGCTTTCCAACAATGAGACGATGCACGCTCCTGGTGGTGCCAACGTCGGGGACATTGTGCACACTCCTAAGCCCATCAATAGGACACTGTCGGCTCAGTATGCGCAGAACCACGTCTACGATCCAGACCAAGGCTTGGAGCAGTATGAATACATGCAGCACAACATGTATACGGAGCAAGCCACTGTTCTCGGCCCGGCCTGAGTTATGGCAGGAGTATCGGCGGGCTCAGATGGTGACGCTCGCAAAGAGTCGGAGGGGTAGTTGTGCATCGAATCTTGTCCATGGATAGCCATTCGTTTGCATGCCGGCGTTGATTTGATAATTGAATAGATTGCAATCTTCGAGCTCGCGGCATACCAAGCTTCTCCTTCCTTCATGTGCTCTGCTCGGTTGCACTGCAAGCTATCTTTCCCCCGAACTTCCCTCATGCAAATCACACGAGATCAAACTCAACCCAGTCTTCATCTTTTGCCCGCTTTGCAACCTCGCCGTTCATCACACCATCAACATAGCACTCACCAACGTATCGATGGCGCTTTGGATGCTTTCCACGAGCAGAATAGTTCTTCACGGGTCCCAAAACCACAAGAGAAGAACACCCGCGCAGCAAGGCCATGACGTCTCCCTGCACAGATATAACCAGAGCGTTCTGGAAGTCTCTCCGACCCTAGTATTGTCGCAACCGCCAGAAAGATAAGATCAAGTCGTTGCAGGCACGATGGGTGGCTTCGCACTTTATAGAGCAATCTTGAGCCCATCGCTGGGTCTCTCTAGCTAGCCAGTTTTCATCTTCATGGAGTCTCGTCGACCAGTAAGAGGCGAATTCTGGAACCCAGTCATCCAGTGGGACGGCCTCTTATTGCCAGCGAGCTGGTTCTGCTGGCGATGATTCCTCGAACCTCAGCACTCGGATCTCTCGCCGCCTCGGGTCGAGCGGTTAGTACAGGCCGTTGGGCGTCGCCATGGCCGTAGTAGTCGCACAAAGTCTTTTCACAGCGAAACGACGTTGTCCTGCCGAGATACCTAGCCAAACCAAGGGCAATAGCGAGTCGGATAGCGCTAAATCAGCGATAGCAGCCGTCGAGATAACACTCCGAAGTGCGAAGGTGGTGTGATATCGACAAAACGAGTATTGCCGGATATTGTATATCCAGGGTGTTTTCATAGCTACGCACCGCCCGGTGTGTGATGCAAAGTCCGGCGCCCCCCCAGATAATCCTGGAGGCTGCAGGCACAGTCTTCCTTCAGCCTCGCCTCTGAGGCGAGGCTGATCAGGCCATCAACACGCAAGAGGCGACGTCGTGTCTAAATACCTGAATCATGTCGAGATTCCAAGAGGCAGATGGAAGACAAAGGTGGGTGATGTATTTTCAATCACAACCACCGAACGTGATGTTCCAGGTTGTTGAGGCCTTGCGCTGACCTCGGTACGGATAATGTTTCACCCGAAGAAGAATATGAGCACATGAGGAAAGTCCTAGCAGATGTGTTCTTGGCTTTCGGGAGGAAGTTATTTGCCGACGCCTACTAGGACTCTATACTACTGTAAGCTGATAGGCTGTTAGCCCCTACTAAGTAGTACGAAATGTAAGAGCTTTAACTAACAAAGAAGGTTCATGGCCCGGCTATCTATATAAGGTTTTAAGGTGTTTTTATATCCCCTCTACTTAGCTGCCAAGACTAGAGTTTTTCACACTTAGGCATAACACTACTTTAGCAAGTGTAGTGTAATTCCTTAGTATGTAGGCTAAGGATCTTACATCCTCCCCTACTTAGACTTTAGCACCTACTAAAGCCTTAGTAGAGCCTTAATTGTCTATAGATTCGTAGCCTCCCTCTATATACTAGTACATAGTTGTCCCTACAAGCCTCAGCCTTATAAAAAGGTTACAAGCCTTAGGTAGTAGTATTTACTAGTATATAGGCTTCATCTTTCCTAATTAGGAAGGATGTTTGCTCCTACTTACTAGATAATAGTAAACTTTTACTATTTATAACTTACCTATATAACCTAGTAATAAGGGTATAAGACCTAGTTATTAGAAGGTAAATAAGTAAGCTTCTAGAAGCTTATATAGGTAGGGGTATAAGAGCTTCTTCTCTACTCTTATCTCCTTCTTCTTATTAACTACTCCTCTACTCTATTCTCCTCCTATAATAACAAAAGCCCTCTCTAAGAGGCTATTTATATAATAAAAGCCCTCTCTAAGAGGCTAAGTATATATATATTTTCCCTTCTAAGCTTCTAAGCTCTCTCCCTTTACTTCTAATAATAACATTTATTAGTAGCTCTTATTAGAGCCTTAGCTAGTAGAGCTTATACTATGTCTTCCCTTTAGGTACGTATAGCTAGTATACGTGTTAGCCGTAAGAGTAGCCGTACTAATCTTAAGGCTAGCCTATCTTCTTTAGGGAGTAGTAGTAGAGAGCCGCTAAGGTAGCTACCAAATTTTAGACCTATAGTACTAAGCTTAATAGAAAACCAGTTCTAGTAGATTATAAATACTCTATAGGACTCGTAGTTCCGCTATACTTCTATTACTATAGATCTAGTAAAACTTCTTAAGCTAGCTCGTATTGTCTTTATTACTAACAACTATAGCCTTATCTAGCGCTAGTATAACATCCTTCTAAGCAGTTCTAGGAATAGCCGGCTAAACATAACTCTATTTAACTAGATTGCTTCTCCTAAGGCTAACTTTAATAATAATCGTAGTAATCCTAACATACGCCCTATAGATAAAGCTATAGTTACTACTATCCTAGGTAGTCTAGCTAGAACAATTACTATCAATCTATATAGTAGTACTAGCTACCTACTTATAATTCTAGGTACCCTACTAAAAGGGGCTGTTACTAACTCTAGTCCTCCTAAGTAGTCTCTAGATATAGAGGAAGATAAATAGAGCCGTTACATTTAGTATAGCCCTAAAGGCTCTAGAAAGGGTAGGCTTGCTTTGTGTCGCCGGATACTAGATAGTTAGGGTAGTTAGTTACTTAGAGGTACCTATACTAACTGTACTTAGACTCTAGGTTATAATAGATGCTCCCTAAGCTTAGGAGTAAGTAGAGTACGCTCTAACTTAGCTAGCCTAAGCAGGTCTAGTAGGAGGCCTAATCGTCTAGTTATTAATAGGGAGGCCCTTTTTAACTAGGTATTAACTAATATCCGGGACATGTAAGGAGCTTAGGATGCTCTTAGAGGTCTTATCTACTTTAAGCCTAACACTATCGAGCCTACTAAGGACACTAGGGAGGGTGTAATAATCATCCTATTTAACTTTAATATTAATAATTAACTATAGTAGATTGTAAGACGAATAAAGTACGCCTTAGGTCGTAGTCGCTATATAGCTAATGTAGCTACTACCCGCCTTCGTTAGGATGTAGGAGGGGATGCTAATTCTAGTAGGGATAAGAGTAACTCTAAGAAATAGGGTCTTTCTAGTAAGGAGGGTAGTAATAAAGATAATAAATAAGTTTAGTTAGGGAGCTATAAGGGTTTAGGTTAGTAGTTCTTCTTTTGCTTTTACTTTTAGGGGTTAGTAGAGTTAGTAGGTCTTTTTCCTTTTTCTTTTAGCTATTCGCTAGAGTAGCCTATACTACTATAGGTTACTACTTATAGCCTTTCCTTTATGTTATAGAGTACTAGGACAAGTATAGTCTCTTATTAGGATTTAGTAGCCTCTAATAATTATAGAAATTGAAAACTTATCTTAATTTCTCTTTCTCTAAGAAGGAACAGGTCTCTACCTTAATCCCCTAGGTCTAGGCCTTACTAACTTAAGCTTATTCTCCTTATATTCTTAAGAAGAAGCTAATAGGTCCCTAGGGTTATAATCTCTTTAGAGAGGAGCAGTTATAGGAGGTTGTATTAGTCTTAGTTCTTCTACTATAGAATTAGGTTCTCTAGAGGGATAGAGTAAACTGTCTTTAAGTACAGTTCTAGGTCTAGAATTTCGCTCTATAACTAGTAGAGAAGGATTGCTAGGCTGTTCCTAAGCAAGCCTAGCTAGTACTAGGTCCTCTAGGATAGGTAGGGCTAGAGATCCCTCTATCTCCTTTGCTATATTCCTTTATAGGCTTAGCTAGCTTGTAGGCTGAAAGCTAGTTAGTCTTGTTAGAGGTTCCTCTTTAAGTCTGTTAAGTAAGGATTTTTCTTAAGCTTACTTATACTCTTAGATTTTTAACTTCCTCCTTCTGTCTTTTAAGACCTAATCTATAATTTTTTGGTTTGAACCTATTACTAGATTATCTCCCTCCCCTACTAAGAATCTTCGTACTCCTATATAAACACGATACTAGCTAGTATTCCTAGTTAGGGAATTCTAAAGTCTCTTCTATTTAGCCTCTAGAATTGTTAAGAGATTAGAAACTAACATCCTTATATCTCCCTCTTTATTTAGGATCTCCTTAATTTCTAGTGAACTTAGAGTACTAGGCTTACTATTTAATATACTATTAGTATACTTTAACTAGAATTGTTTAGAGCCCTAGTAATAAGTAGAGATTAAGCGATTACTATATATTAAGTGCCTTAAGACTCTCCCTTATAGGGTCTATAAGGCATAGGTCCTAAGCTAGTAGGCCTTCTTAATCTTAAATAGCCCTAGCTACTTAGGCTAAAGCTTTTTAGGTTTAGGGTTTATAAGTAGTACCTATTCCCTAACCTTTCTCCTTAGTCCTAATTCTACCTACATAATCTGTAGGTTTATTAGGCCTCTAGAGGTTGTACGGTTTAGTAGCCTTTTATTAGTAAGCTGTCGTGTATAGCGTACCTTAACAAGTCTTTTACCTTAATTATTAATTATAAGCTTACTTATTAGGCGCTATTTATTTTTATCCTCTAAGATCCGGGGGTACTGTCTATATAGGAGGTAAAATAGACTTATTTTAGTAGTTATATACTACCTATATCTAGTATAGAACAAAGCCTTATAAAGGAATGTATCCTAATAGCGTATGTCTATACCTAGGTACATCTTAGTTAATATATTACTAAGAGTGCTATTTAGATTCTTAACCTTCCTATTTGTTATTAGGTAGTAGGGAGTACTAAGCTTATAGTTTGTCTTAAACTGTTTTATTAAATAGGCTATAACCCTTAATAGGAAGTTTTTCCTATTATTAGACAGTAGTTCTCTTAGGGCACTATAGAAGCTATATATTTCTTTATATAGGAAGGTAGTAGTTGTCTTATTATTAGTAGAGGGCACTGCCCTTATAACAGGCTAGCTAGTTGCATACTTAATAGCTATAATAATGTATTTATTTCCTTCTAAGGACTTAGGCATAGGTCTAATTATATTAATTGCCTATCTTTCAAATAGTTGCAATTGTAGATTGACCTAGTAGAAGGGATTCTCCTTGTTCTCTAGCTTGTTAGGAAGCTGTTTCTAGGTTAATTAATAAGTAGGACATTGTCTTAAGAATCTCCTAAGGTCTGTTTTTATTAAAGGCTACTATGCCCGGGTTTTAATATGTCTAAGGAGTCTAGGAAATCCAAAATAGCTATACTAGGTATAGATTCTATTAACAAAGTTATACCTCTAAAGGGGTTTAAGGTATAGTATAGTTCCCTTATTATCTAGTAGAATATGCCTAAGATTAACAATCCCTTTATTATCTATTAGGGTAGTGAACTGCTAGGATCTCTTAAGGACTATATCCTTAAGGTAAGGATCTTATAGAAGTGTTATATCTTGCTTGTAGGCAAGTATAGCTTCTATAAAGGGTTTATGTTCCTTAGCCTTAAGTCTTAGTATAGCTAGCTATTTAATAGTAGCACTTGACTCTATAGGCTAAGCTATGTTTGCTAGTCCTTCCCTAATAAAGTTAGGCCTTCTAGAGATAGTATCTAGGACAATAGCTTTACTACCTTTCCTATACTTAATATCTAGGTTATATTCTTAAAATTCTTTAGCCTACCTTATAATCCTCTTGCTCTAACCTTTAGTCTAGTTAAGGTATTTAAGGGATTAGTAGTCTGTTAAGACAGTAATAGTTAGTCTATTTGTAATATAATTGCTCTAGGTTCTTAGGGCTTCCTTAATAGCTAGGCCTTCCTTTTCGTAGATAGGATAGTTAAGCTTAGCTCCTTAAAGCTTTCTTCTAGAGAAGGCAATAGGATAGAGCTTGTCTTTATTATTATACTAATACAGAGCGGCCCTAATAGCCTACTCTAAAGCATCTGTCTTAATAATAAAAGGTTTAGAAGTGTTTAGGGCTATTAAGACTAGGTAGGACTAGAGAGCTTTCTTAAGAGTCTTAAAAGCAATTATATATTATACATTCCACCTAATAGGTCGCTTCTTCTTGCTTCTTAAGTTAATATTATCTTCCTTTAAAAGGTTAGACAGAGGTGTAGCTAACTTAGTAAAGCTACGAATAAAGCGTCTATAGTACCTAGTAAGTCCTAAGAACTAACGGATCTATTAAGTATTAGTTAGTATAGGCTAGTTAGAGATAGCTTCCACCTTGTCTTATATTAGTTTAACTATGTTCTTAGTAACCTTATAGCTATAGAAGGTGACAGTCTTAACTCCTAAAATACACTTCTCTACTAAGTAGAACAGGTCTGCCTTACTTAGCCTCTTAAACACTTCTTACAAGTGCTTAATATGTTCCTTTATATCCTTAGAGTATATAAGAATATTATCTAAGTATATAACTATATTCTTCTATAGGAGGTCCCTTAAGACATTATTTATTAGGGATTAGAAGGAAGCTAGAGTATTAGTAAGCCTAAATAGTATTACTAAGAACTTATACTTCCTATCCCTAGTATTAAATACAGTCTTATAGGTATGCTTAGGTTTAATTAAGAGCTACTAAAATCTAGAGACAAGGTCCAGTTTAGTAAATATACTACCCTAGGTAATAGTGTCTAAGTAATCTTAGATCCTTAGGAGGGGGAAGCTATTCTTTATAGTAGTATTATTAAGGGCCCTATAGTTAATATACATTCTCTATTGCCTATTAGGCTTTAGAACAAAGAGTATAGGACTTCCCTAGGGACTACTAGAAGGCTTAATTAGGCCCCTCTCTAGTAGCTTTTAGATCTATATAGTCTGTTCCTCTAGCTGTTTTAGGTTCAAGCTATAGGCCTAGAGGTTAATAGGGGTAGTATCTCTAGTTTCAATTATATAATTAAAAGCTCTCTCCTATAGGAGTTTAGCTAGGAGGGAATCTCTCTAGAGGGTAGGGAACTAGTTTACTAACTTCTAGATTTCTAGATTACTATATAGGGGAGGTTTGTTCTCCTTAGGTACAGTCTCTGTCTTAGTAGTAGCATTTAGGCCTTTCTCCTAAATGTTATCCTTACTTAGAGGAGCCTTTCGTAGTATATATAGGTACTAGGGACTAGATATATACTTAACTGCTTCTACTAAATAGAGGGAGTTAAAGACTTCTAAATCTAGGTTTCTATCCTTTAGCTTAAAGATCTTAGAGTTAGACTTAATAGAGTAGCCTTTACTATCCTTGTCCTAAAGACTAAGTTTACTAGCTTGCTAGTTTACTATTAGGTTGTACTGTCTAAACTATTAGAGACTAAGAATCACTTTATACTCTAGGATGTCTAGGACTCTAGTAGGGATTTAGTCCTACTAGGATCTAATCTAGTATAGTAAAATAACTCTAGAATCTAATATAATGCTCTACCCTATTAGAAGGAGTATCCTTATAGGGGGCATAGATATATAAAGCTTCTTAGGGAGTCTCTTTACTACTTAGTAGGAGATATAAACTCCTAAAGTAGTAGTATCTAGTATAAAGTAGGCTCTAGTTAGTTTGTTTAGTAGTCTAATTACACCTTTAATAGTAAACAAGTTCTTATTAATAGAGGCAAGCCTTTCTAGGGTGTAGTCTTCTTCCTCCTCTAAGTCCTCCTATATAGCTAGTTTACCTTAGGAGCTAGGTCCTAGGGGAGAGGTAGAGGCATTTAACTGCTTTATAAGGTACTAAGCCTCTTTAGGCATCTTATAAGCTAGTTTTTTAACATGTACTCATTTCTCTAGTAACTAGTCTTCCTATACTTAAAGCAAGTACTTAAGGACTTGTTACTCCTAGTTTTCCTATTATGCTTCCTACCTTTCTTGCCCTTACTATTCCTCCCCTTTATGCCTTTGTCTTTTCTTCCCTTAGAACTTTAGGAGGTTCCTAGGGCTGCTAATTGTTCGGTATTTTGTTATAGTAGGGCATTTATAGATTCCTAGGCCTTCCTAGTACTATAGAGTTTTTTGTCTATATTAATAGCCTACCTTATATAGTCCCTAGTAGAAGTGTTTAATATATACACTCCTCTCTAGTCTAATTTATCTCTAATATCTCGTTTAAGGCTAGCCTAGAACCTCCTAATAAAGACGAAATTATTAGGTTTAGGGTTATAAAGCTTGTTCTACAAGCCTTTTAGTACTCTAATAAAGTTATGTACTCCTCCTGTCTAGGTACAGCTATTAAATTTCCTACGAATGGACTCCGTATAGTCTAAGTCTATATTTAGATCTTCTAGAGTTTGTATAGTATTCTTAAAAGCCCTAAGTAGGTTCTTTACTTTCTAGGCTTTAGTAATAGCTACTACCTAGTTAATAAGAGCATCCCTAGTAAGGTAAGTTAATACTAGTTACATTTTCTAAAGATTATTAAGTAGTGTTTTAAACATAAAGATCTTATTCTAGGCAATCTAATTCTAGACCTAGTTAATCTAGTCTAAGACATTATTATTTCTCTAGCTATTATTATATAGTACTAGATGTCTAATCTAGATCCTTCCTATTAGTCTAGCTATAGAAGTAGTAGTGTTTAGAGCTTAGTTAATAGTAGTATTAGTTAGAGGGTTCTAAGGAGTAGCTACTATAGCTTCTTATATAGTACTTAGTTCTTAGAGAAGCTAGAGAGCTCGCTAAAGGGCTGTAATTGCTACTAGGTCGGCTCCCTTACTATGCTCTAAAATGTAGAGGCCTAGGAATTCTAAGGGTAGAAAGTCTCGGTTAGTAAAGCGTATAGTATTAGGTAGGTTAGGTTAGTCGGCTATAGTAGTAGTTATTATAGTTAAAACTTAGATTAGGGCTATAGTTAATTAGGCAACCTATAGGCTTGTATAGAGGGCTTTAATCTATCTATTCTTAGAAGAAAAGATAGAAGGTATCTTAGCTACTAGATATAAGAGCTTTAACTAACAAAGAAGGTTCATAGCCCGGCTATCTATATAAGGTTTTAAGGTGTTTTTATATCCCCTCTGCTTAGCTGCTAAGACTAGAGTTTTTCACACTTAGGCATAACACCACTTTAGCAAGTGTGGTGTAATTCCTTGGCATGCAGGCCAAGGATCTCACAAGTCGCGTCCTCCTCTCCAGTGAGTCTCTTGAATACAATGTCCGCAACCGATCCGGGCTTCATTGCCGCTCTCGAGGAAGCTAAGAAATCCGCTGCGGAGGGCGGCGTCCCCATTGGAGCATGTCTCGTCGCAGCAGATGGGAAGATACTAGGAAGGGGCCACAACCAACGCGTTCAGAAGGGCAGTGCCATTCTACATGTATGTACAAGCTATAGTATAGCCTTTCGTCCAATCATCCTGTACACACATGTGTACAATACTGATCTTGGTTCAGGGCGAGACTTCAGCCCTCGAGAATGCAGGCCGTCTCCCTGCCTCGGCTTATAAAGGCAGTACAATGTACACCTCCCTCTCTCCCTGCGACATGTGCACTGGTGCATGTCTCCTGTACGGAGTCTCCAGACTGGTCATGGGCGAAAACGAGACGTTTGTTGGCGGCGATGACTACCTCAAACAGCGGGGCATCGAAGTAGTCAATCTCGACAACGCGGAATGCAAGCAACTGATGAGAGACTTCATCAGAAGTCATCCTGAGGATTGGTGGGTGGTAATGCGAGGCTGAACGGCGGTGTGGTGATGTGGCTGACTGGCTTGAGGTAGGTATGAAGATATTGGTGAGGACAAATGAGCTAGGTTTGCTGCTCTGTCGTCTACCAATCGCTGTGAAGGATGTTGCGTTCGTGCATCTTCTGCTCCGCGGCGCGGATGTCTTTGGATGTTGGGAAAGCGTTCTGCACGTGTGCACCTAGAGCATGGTTGGCAAGTCTTTCTCAAGTGCAGCGCCCGGGCGGAGTCAGCTACTTGAGATTCTGTGAATTTCCTGAAAGTAGAATTTGAGGTCGTCGGGGTTGACCCACGGCGTGATACCTGGAAATGTCAGCAATGCGAGGAAAGATGCCAATGTAAGTCAACACGTACCATGCCCCAAGTTCGCGATCCAGCCTTGCTTACCACCACCAAAGCCTTCCACCATCTCTTTCACAACCTTCGTAATAGCCTCGTGGCCGCCATAAAGAACACCAGGATCCGCATTACCTTGCACAACTTTTCCGTACTTTTGAGCAATAGCATAAGCTTCCTTGGGATCATGTAGCCAATCTAGGCCAATAATATCATACTTCGTCTCGCAAAGATCCTCAATCGCATACCAAGCGCCTTTCGCAAATACCACCATCGGCACGACTTCTGCACCAAGCTCTTTCAGCTTCGTCGCTAGATTATCGCAAATGTACGTGAGATATGGTAGCGCAAACTCCTTGAACGAAGCCGGACTCAACTCTCCCGCCCAGGAATCGAAAATCTGCACAATCTGCGCCCCAGCAAGCACCTGCTTCGCCAGGTATTCCACACACAGCTCCGCAATCTTCTGCAACAGCTTCTTCGACTCTTCCGAGTATTTGTAGATCCAGGTCTTGGTTTGCTTGAAGACCTTCGTTCCTCCTCCTTCGACCATGTAGCAAAGCAGCGTGAATGGCGCTCCACAGAAGCCATACAGCGGCACTCTGCCTTTCAATTTGTGCCTCGTCATCGTAATCGCATCGTACACGTATTGCAGACTCTCCCCGACATCGACTTTCCTCTCCATGATCTCAGAGTACTGCTTGTCCTCCGGACTGCCCAATGGATCCGGAAAATGCGGACCCTTCCCATCCAGCATGACGACCTCCATGCCCATTGCTTGCGGTATGACGAGGATGTCGCTGAAGATGATCGCGGCGTCTATGAGGCTTTCGAAGCGATCAATGGGTTGGAGGGTGAGGTTGGAGGCGATTTCGGGAGACCGGCAACATTCGAAGAAGTCATGATTTGCCTTTTCCTTGTGGTATTCGGGCAGGTAGCGACCTGCTTGGCGCATGACCCAGCATGGAGGACGTTCGACCTTCTCGCCTCGTGCGGTACGAAGGAGGAGGTCGTTTTTCAAGGGTTCGAAGTCGTGGGCCGTCATCGTCGCGATGTTTGGGGGATCGGATGAGGCAGCAGAGTGGGTGGCCGGGGCTATGGATTGCTTGTTGTTCAGCTCGTTCTCTTTCCAGACCTGATTGCTGTTGAGAACGGCGTTTTCGTCCATAAAGATATCGACGCCAAGTGGGATGTGTCTTGGTGGTGGTGGCGCGGCGGGTGTACTACCTTAGGTAGTCAGCGGTGGCCGAGGTCCCCGCTGTGCGCCATCAAAGTTCAGTGGAGGCATTGATGACGAGAGCTCCTTACTCAATCAGGTGGAAGCTCTCGAGTCTCAGTTGTGCGACGCGACTGGCCGCGGTTCAGACGCGGTTACTCCGGACAACGTGTGCACTGTGATGATCTGGATCCCTTTCCTCTCCACCCTTCGTCACATCAATTTGCTCTGTCCAAATAGGAAATCATGGGCATCGCGATGAAAAGAAAGGCCGACGACACCTTCAACAATGCTTCGCCGGGCCGGAGATTGAAAGCGCCTTGCTTCAATGTTCCATCTCAATGGCCGCCATCTTACGAAGACAACACTGGAATGCAAGACATGATGACGTCGCCGCCTCCTACGCGACGCCAAAGCCTGTTCGAGGGAGACTGGGACATCAACGGAAACAGTGTCTCAACAGCGAGCGAGAACTCGGGAAACGGAAGATCTGGATCCGGAATGGACGTCGACATGGGCTCTCCGGGTCAACTATGCAATCGCTCCCCCATCCAAGGCTTGTTATCCGCTCAGCGAATATGGAGATCATTATGCTCGGACGAGTCGAACGTGGGCAGGAAAGCGAAACGCGAAGTCTGCCAATTGGCCTGGATGGAGTATCTGAACGAAGTGGCACAGTCCCATCCGCAACGCGTGGTGCCGAGAGAGCAGTATGATGCTGCACAGCATGAAGTCGAACGTTTGAGGGAGAGCGTGGCGCATTTGACCCAGGAATTGGACGATTCGAAGGCGAGAATATCTCAATTAGAGACACAGCAGTCCCAGCACTCCTTTCAACAACAGCATCAGCAACCTGTCTCAACGCCGACCGGACGGTATGAAGGCGCGGCGCTGGCAACCTCGTTTCAGCAACGCCATCCACCGTCGCAACCGCAACAGGCTGTCTTCTTCACTCCCCATCAATATGTTCCGGTGCCTTGAGGTCATCCAAGGTATTGTACTCTGGACCTCACCAGTGCCGACTCTCGGACGCATGTGGCGTACGCCTCCACAGACCCCCAAACTCCCTGAGAAACACCTATTGATAAGATGCGCTACAAGATGGTTGTCTCGCGGCCATTCAGGAGGTGCGCTTCATTCTGCTGGGCGGCTGCTTGGATGGCGTGGACAGTCGGCGCGCGAATGCGCTCACAGCGCGGTTTCGAAATTGGAGGTTGGGCTGAATACAAAAGGAAGGCCAATTGGAGGTCCACCATCGGATTGCAGCATTTGGCTACCATTATTGCAATATAGCCAGAATTTTTTTGGCTTTAGGTTGACAGCGTTTCAGCGTCGCATACGTTCTGTACAATATCTACGACAGAGGAGCTGATGAACCCATCGTTGGTCGTTGCACTCTACAACGGTCATCAAAAATTGCTGGCCCTGTGATTGAAATTACGTCAATTGGGGCGGCGTCTACTCAACTTTGTGCCTCGACTTCGCCTCGTCCAGCGAACAACAACCCGCCTTCTTCGAAACCCATCACCTAGCGGCCAGATAAAAGTTTCCGGAGTGATTGGTTCTTCTTTGAGACGTTCACCATCCTAGTCACATGCGTCGGGATCTACAGCACCTCCAACCTCAACCATGGCAGACGACCCCGTCTCTCCTCTCCTTCGCCTGCCCACTGAGCTCCGCCTCCGGATCTACGAACTCGCCCACGACGCAAAGTACATCAGTCCGAGACTAACCTGGCGCAACGACTTCACTCTCCATCTCTACGGAAGTCAAGACTACCATGGCCAAGTCATCACCACTTCTGGCTCGCCCTTCACTCTCCTCCGAGTATGCAAACAGCTCTACACCGAAGTCCAACCCATGCTCCCACCAATCCGCTCCATCTGCTTCGAGTTCAACGACTTCTCCGCGACAGATTTGGCGCGATGGCTGGCCCTGCTGACTCCCCGGCAAGTCTCCGAGATCAGGAAAATCAAAATCTTCGGATGGGGAAAATGTCAACTCCGCCAGCAGAATCACCAGAATGCAAGAGAAAACCCGTCTTGTGATCGTAGTCTCCTCGTCGACCTCTCACATTACGAACGGACTTTCAACCGTACGGCTTTCCTCAGCACTGTCGGGAGGAATCCCCAGACGGGAGGACCGAGGGATAGTAAATTCTACCGGGGCTTCTATCTGATGCGACGGCTGGAAGGCTGCGTCGTGATTCCGAAGGCGTATAGCCACGAGAGGAACAGTGTGGGACAGTGCAATTCCGTGACGGATCAGCAGCTTGCCGTGGCGGAGTTGATCACGAATACCGGGGAGGTGAATACCACCAAGGAAGGCATTGAGGGGTTGTTGAAGGCGGTCTTGACAGATGAGATTCCGGGTGGCCCTGGTGTGAGACGGTTGGGTTACTCTTGAGGCGGTTCGCGGAATATCGACTGTGGATCAATGCCCTCGTTTAGATCCTCGATCTCACATAGTGTTGATATATTCTGGATCTAAAGCTTCGTATCGTTTGCGATGGCCGTTGGAAGGCAGGAGCAAGAGATGAGGTCGAGTGTAGCGGAATTTGTTCACTGCGAGGAAATGATGGTTCGCCACGTGAGTGATTTTGGAACCTGTTGTGTCAATATCGCTTCCAGGTCGCGTTGGTGCAGGCGAGTGCGTCTGGAAAGTCGGTTTTCTTGGCTAGCGCAGAGGTCAAGAGCAATTGAAAGTCATTGGAGATCGGGCAAAGGAAAACTTGTATCACTAGTCCGCCTTCTCCGTATTCCATGATATGCTGCTTATCATCGTAACGCACCAATTTAGACATGACAAGCTCATCGAAATGGGCGAGTAAGCCAGAGTCGTTCCTTTCAAGATGAGCTCCCCTCAATGGTGTTCGGAGACGATCGGGCTATTCCGAAGGAAGAAGTTGTCATGTACTGCAGTGTGTCCGATAAGAATCACATCCAGCTACGCGTAGTACCCGGGTATTGCTGCTCACAGGTGTAAGAGATATTGTGCTACTACAGCATCTCGGACAATAACAGCTCTCGGCTAAAGCAACGTACGCTAACCGATACCAGCTCCGAACTCATATCCCAGAACTGCCAACAGCTCACGAACTTGCTGCGCGTTGTGACCATGACCGAACAAGAAAACTCTGTGCATACCAGCCATCCAGAGCCAGGAATCACAGTCATCACCATCGACAGGAAGCATCGCCGAAATGCTGTCGACGCCGCGACGGCCCGTAAGCTGTACGACGCCGTCATAGCTTTCGAAGAAGATGCAGATCAAAAGGTATCATCAAAGTTGAAAGATCACTCCGTCTCGTTGCTCATATCATTGAACAGATCGCCGTCCTGCACGGCGACAATGGCACTTTCTGCGCTGGGTTTGATCTCCACACTGTAGGGAAAGATGACCGGGACAGGCATTACGATGGGAGTAGCGTTCATAGGACCATAGGCCCGATGGGGCCTTCTAGACTGCAGGTGAAGAAGCCACTGCTTAGTGCAGTATCTGGATACGCCGTAGCCGGGGGACTGGAACTCTCGTTGCTAGGCGACATGCGCATTGTGGAAGAGGATGCCGTCTTCGGGGTTTTCTGCCGACGGTGGGGCGTAAGTCTTTTCGTTCTTGGAACATTGTCCCTTGATCCGCTGACGAGCTCAGGTACCGCTGATTGATGGAGGCACGGTCCGTCTGCAAGCCGTCGTCGGCCTCGGACGAGCTCTGGACATGATCCTGACGGGCCGAGCGGTTGGGTCTCAGGAAGCATTGGCGATGGGATTAGCCAACCGTGTTGTCCCGAAGGGCAGAGCACTCGAAGAGGCCGTTGCAATCGCCCGACAGCTGCGTGACTTCCCGCAGCTGTGCATGAATCTGGATCGTTCGTCGTGCTATTACGCGCGCTACGACGCGTCTTCATTCGAGGACGCCATGAGGTTCGAATTCGAGCATGGCATTGAGGCTGTCCAGAGAGAGGGCGAAGCGGGAGCGAAGAGATTCAGCCGGGGAAGTGGAAGGCATGGCGCTTTTACCGAGAAGTTGTGAGTTGTTGTTGAAGAGAGAGAATTGAAGCCGTTGCGTTGTTGATATTCTCTATCCGGTCGGCCAAACATCGGCTCGGATGTTACGTTTCGCCGCACCCGGTTTGTCTTACTCATCTCACACATTTGTCCAAACTCTCGTAATCTGAGCTTCACGGCCTCACCACAGCACATCTTGGACCACGTCCATCCTCCGGGGCCAGAATGGATTGTGATACCAATCAACCACGATCCATATAATGCTCGTTGATGGACATTTTCTCCAGAGGCCACGCTTTCGCGCTCTTGCGGACTTCGTTCGCCGCCTGAGGAAGAGCACTGGAAACAGCAACGAGCCGAATCACAACACGAAGCATAACGTGCTGTATTGAAGCAGTGCCACTATGCACTTCAAGATGCCGTACATTCCTCACAAGTCACGAGAATGGAGCAAGTCGCCATCTCGAACCTGCGTTTGTCGTCGTTATTGGCGGCAACACGTCGGTACGTCTGTTACAGCGCTGCTCGGAGGCAGATCATGCAACTTCACCCCAGACTGGACTCGCTGGCTACTCGTCGGAATATGAAATTAATCCAAGAGCCTTGGCCCTCCGACTGCACCGCGAGGCGAAAACGTGGAATGTTGGGAGAATTGTTCACGTCGTACGGACTGAAATATGACAGAGGCCTTGTACAGGAGTGGAAGGAGCTGGTTACTATGAGTAGAAGCGGCGATGCTTGACGACGCTTTTGACTGGCGTTGATCCGTATTCGGATTCATGCTATAAGCGCGGAAAGTCTTGCCCGGCTCTGGTCAAAACGCGGCATTCAGAACCAGCTAGACTCCTTTTGTGCCAAGACGGCAACATGGAGTCCCGGGGTCCTGGGAAAAAACCCACACAGATCAGTGCGGGCGCGTATTCGAGACACGACTACGCTGGAAAGGAGTCGATGGTCCATCGCAATGATTTTCTTCAGCTTCGGAACCGCTCTCGAACCGGGTCCCAGTATCTTGTCGTGTTCGTAATTGCATCACCTGGTGCGGCCGGCGAAATGGCATTCGCGATATCCAAGACCTCCTCCGACGCAGTCGTAGCTGCTGCCACCGTTGACTCAAATGTGGTGATATCGGACGAGTTTCCGATGGCCTGCGCAATATCTGCATCACTTCCTGCTGTAGGCGAAAGCGATGGCACGACCCTTGGACAGATACCGGCATTCCTTTCGTCGCGGTAACGGAACACATGCCACAAAAGCCACCGGATTATCCAATTACTCTCAACATCTCCCTCGGTGTCATGGCCAAGCCCGTACATAATCTTTGTGTCTGGGCGGGCATTCTGGTATATGCGAACAATCTCTCGCTGGACTGCGGCTTCTGTAATCATGCCAAATGAGTAGGAAGACCCTATCGCTCGGTCTTCGCGAAACTGTGGCAAGAGAGAGTTTCGATCTTGAGTTATCCGGGTCCATCCGTCCGCTGCTTCTCCCTACATCGTCATCAGCGGAAATACGCATGCAGCCATCCGGAGTCTCGTACTTTCATGAGTGTATAGAGATGCCGATGCGTTTTATTACTCTCTTCAAGACCAATGCGATTGAAGAATTTGGATTTTGGCTCGCTTTGTGCGAGGCTTGGTGCCACGGGAGCCATGGCTAATGTGCCGCTCGATACATCGATGTCGTATCGTAGTGGTTGCCGTGCGAATGGCTTGACGTTTTTAGGCCTTCTCAACGCAGAGGCTCATCGTGAGAGCTGCTGCGCAGCTTGCGATAGGGCTGCTCAAGGACGCCGATGCCGATACTTCACCGCCGATATCCAGGATCAGAATTGTAAGATGACCGACGGGTCTGAATAAGAAGAGCAAAATAATGGAGAGAAGCCAAGCGGAACTAAGAATTCGAGGCAAATTCTACCGCATCCAAATCCATCAACTTCGGAGCCGAATCCCGAAGTCTGGAGCGTCTGTTTCGGGCTTTCGTCCGGTCCTCACCGTAACCCAAGAGCTATCGTGCTAGCTTTGGGGGTGTTTAGCTCATCCAGGCGTGGGAACGTCTTCTTAGGCAGCACGAGCGAATATCTCCGATGCATATTCCACGTCCTACGATCTTGTACGGAGTTATAATCGATCAAGGCCAGCATGAGACTGCTCCATGACGATGACATAGCATCCGCCATACCCTGAGCAAGCCCTCCGGTGGCACGTGGTGGCAAGCGCACACAACTCCGTTTTCTATCTCAGCTGCCGAGCTATCTCTTTGGTGCGACTACGGGTAGGCATACTGGACTCTCCAGTCGACCTTGACGACATGTGTTCGCCCTATTCCCTGAAAGAATTGGACGACCAGGGACAAGATGCTCAGTACTCTTGGGACCGATAATGATAAGAAGACTTCCTCATTAAACCGTCGTTTATCATACACTGCGCTTGGCGTGACACTTCTATGGTGTCCCCCGTTGGATTACATCCAAACGTGTCCAGATCAGTGATAGGACACAACCCCATGTGACCGAAAGTCCCAGAGCATGATGCGGGAGATCATCATGAGCTTCGATGATCTTGACTTGGCCTGGAGAAGGATCTTTCCTCTTTCGTTGCCATTCCCGGTCATCGCTTTGTTCTTCTCTTGCTCGGTTCCCTGTGCAACGAGTTAGCGTAGTCGATGGACGAGACCATTTTCAAGCACCTACACTACACACTCTCGATCGGCTTTCTTGCATTGCAAACAGCCTCCATCATGAGTCGGCTCACACCTTATCTTCTTCTTTCGGCACACACTACAGGCAGTCGAAAGTCTCCGTCGGGGCACCTTCGACCGCGTGAGTCCTCGGCTGGGATCCACGTATTTCCCTTCTACGTGGGTTGGTACGAAATAGCCGGAGGTATAGACGTGGCAAGGGCCTTTTCCGGAGATGATCTGGATCCCTTGATAGTCTGTTGGGTACGGTTGATAGACGTATGTTGCGGGTCGAAGGTCCGCGTCTGCGAGGTCTGGTGCCGCCATCATATACACTGGTGAAGATCGATTGCTTGTACGGGCCATATTGAAGCTATCGGTGAAGACGGAGTCGGAACGCTGGTCTTTGACTGCATGGTGCTCTTTGTCGGACGGAAAGTCTCCGTTGAGGGACGTCCAGCTACTGTATCCGACACTTGGAGTTGATGGCAAGGAGTGCGAGGCAACAGAACACTGATCTGCTGCGCTGTGTTGGTATGTCCCTGCTTGTCGCAAGTCTGTCGACACCGAGGACAAGTCGCTGTGTGCTGGACCGTCTCGTGCATAGCTATCTGCAGTTCGTCTCTCGTTCAGTAGCTGAGATCGGACAGCAGGAGGATCGATCCTGGCAGAGCTCCGACTAGGTGACAAGGAGTGGTCGACTGCTTGTCTCCCTTCGGTGGTGCCTTGATGCTTCGCGTGATCAGACGTTCGATACCGGCCGACTTGGTTCGTGATGAGCAGGTCCGAGGCGAACAGCTCTTCCAGTGGAGGAAGTCTTCTTGTAATCGGATACTGTGCTGGCTTGCGGTGATCTTGTTCCATTGGAGGTGTACTGCGATGGTCTGAATGAATCAAAGAGTCCACTGTGATCTTGGTCCGGCCATCGGTACTGCGAGAAGTACAGCGAGACATGTTCGGCGGAGGTTGAACGTGGTTTGCAACATGGATTGCTACCTTCGACGACCGTGTTTATGACGCCTCCGTGTCGGCACCGAATGCGGAGTAGTCTGGTTTGCGGGAGACATATTCAGACACATGTCCGTATGGCCCATATGAGACTCGCAGCACGTTCTGAGGGACCGTGGTCCGATGATCCGCTATGGGCCGAGTTTCTGCAGGATTCCCGGCCGACCCAAGATTCTCACTTGGTAGGATGCTGCTTTCCGCTGCACGAGATGTGCGGGCACCCAGTAGTGGCATATTGAGACCTCCACCAAATTGCCTTATGTAATTTGCGTGCTCTATCAATAACTCACCCCCGTACAAACAGACGAGCAGACATTCCAAGGCAGCTGTATGGCACTGCTTTCAGGCAGACGGGCAAGGAGACTCGCAGGCAGCATTTCTCGCAACGTTGCTGATAGTGTTTCCTAGTATTGTGCTCGACAAGTCAATCATGCAAGCAATCGCAAAACGCCCGAGCGAGATCCCAGGCTGGGATACACAACAACGCCCTTGGTCGATATTCGACGATTCCAAAGTCTACGATATTCCTGAATGCACGGCCTTTCTGCCTATTCTGTCGGGTCAGGCGGTCCGGTTCATCCACCTGCTCTAGCGTCAAGCCACACCCTTTGGCTGCAGTGCTCCTGCAGCCTACCGCCTCCAAAGCTTCTGAGAATAGTGCTAGCACACCAGCACACTGACGATGCTCCCGCCCGACGATCCTTGAGCCTCTTCTCCATTATTTTGATCGAAGCACTACGATCTTGGCAACAGCCACGAGCACATGAACGCGCTCACCACAGTATCGCGGGCTCTTTTCTGGCCGGAGAGTCGTCCAACTCCGAGATCATTCCCCGAAATCATTCCATGGGAATAGCACTCCGAAATCATTCCATGGGAACACCACTCCTATGCGCGACTTGGGGGGTACCGCGCTGCGGAACCAGCCGTGAAGTATTGGATCTGATGTGTCGGGGATGCAAGACACTGCTTCCGCGCATTCGTTATGATGCTTGGGCAGTTCGGAGCGCCCATTGTGCCAACCACGGAACCACAGGAAAAAGCTTCACCCTGCTTTGCGATGGGCTGGGAAAAGGAATTGAGGCTCTGCATCGGGGCGAATCGTGGGTGTCATCGGACCCACGCAGAGCGCAAAATGGGAGTGGTTGTCCCAAGAATCCCCACTTTCGCATGTCTTGAAGGAGCCAGCCATGCCGCGCTGCGATCGGCCCCGATCTCTGAAACCATCCTCACCTGTCCCCCAATGCGGGAAGGAAAGGAGAGTCGTGCATCCCATTCTGGTATTGCTGGTACTCGGGTTCGGGAGCCTTGGACACTATCATGTCTGCCTGTTATCGACTGTTCCCCAGAAGAGCTCGTACCGGTTGAGATTCATATCTCGAGTACCTCGTGAGCGACCGAACACAGGGGACGACAACCAGTAGCGGCTGAATAATACGCTGTTCGCATGTCATGGGATAGCACACGAGTCTGTCGCTTCGTTAGTCGTTCGTGCGAGCTAAACCCGAATGTCAGATCTTGAGCATCAAGCGAGGGAGCTGTTCTGAAAGGGAGAGGAGGGGTCTGAGACTGAGGCTGATAGCTTGAAAGCTAGTCGAGGCATCGGGCAGCGGCAACAGTTTCGGCAGATGTCTATCTGGACGTCTCTCGTCGACGACTACCCCCAAAGGAGACCACCCCGCGACTCCCACGTATCGAGACTCATAGCCTGAAAGCTAGATGAGGCGCCTGTCAGCGGCAACAGTGCGGCAGATGTCTATCTCGACGTCTCTCGTCGACGACTATACCCGAAAAGGAGACGACCCCGGGACACCCACGTATTGAGGCTAATAGCCTGAGAGCTAGATGAGGCTTCAAGTCGGCGGCAGCAGCTTCGGCAGGTGCCTATCTGGACGTCTCTCGTTGACGACTATATCGAAACAAGACACCATCTCGGGATGTCCACACTCGTCAGCTGTTGGTTCCAATATCTGAGATCAGGCTATCACTGTCTGCGTCGCCCCTCAATTCATCGAGACTGCGGGCGCTCCGACTCTCGTGGCGCATACTACCAACCAAATCTCACAGACACTTTACCCGTTTATACCCGGTGGACTACGGGCGCGGCTGCCGCGCCGACGAGGCGGGCTGCCCTAGTCCTTCGGTCTTTTCCGTCGCCATAGCAGACCTAGGAGGCACCCGCGGTAGGCGGCGGGGCACCCGACGGGAGGGAGGATCTCGCGGGAGTTCCCAGGCGCAGCGCGGGGCGGAGGGCGGGGAATTCCAATTTGCAAGATATCAATTCTCGTGGCCGCCGATATCAAAGGAAACGGGAGCTGCCCGCAGTCTCGTTATCCCCAATTGGGCTGCTGGACTCCCATCTGTAGACCGTTACCCTTGATTAAGCGAGCGCGGCTTGCACGAACGGAAAGGCATACTCGTGTACCGCCCTTACAGCTCTCCAATCGCTCCCGTCATGGTTCAGAAGGCCCGTCCAGAAACGTTGACCGAGTGGACCCGGTGATTGCGTGTACTCTCACCCCAAGTCTCGCCATCGTCCTGTGAGCCCACGTGAATGTAGTGGCTTGCTGACCAACCCCTTTGCATTCATCCGCCTTTGATAGAAGTGATGTAGTCTTTGATGCAATTTCCATATTGGCCCATATAAGTGGGCTCATCTTGCGGGAAGCCTAGCAGACGGGAGTTGCCAGTACTCGCGGGAAGCCTAGCAGAGTTGCCAGTAAACATGTGGAAGACTTGATGATGATGGCGGCATCAGCATTGCCAAACTCTGTCAGAACGATCAGGCGCTTTTCTTTGCCGTGGGTTCATCGCATCGTAGCCAGCGCTAGAAAGTTCATTGCGGGTTCATTGCGGAAGTTGGTACAGTTTGAGCCCAATAGATCATTGTTGTAGTTTGTGCAGCTCGAATCTAATCTTATCAGAATGAAGAAAAGGCCGATTTGCTGAGTACTTCGCCACTGCCTGGATCGGCTCATTCCGTAGCATTCTCGACATCCGTGTCGTACTTTGAACCGGAAAGAAGATCAGAGGGTCCAGATCTGCAGCATTGATCGCGTCTGCAGCCTGTATCATGTTCGCATACCCAGTTGTCCAGCCATCTTCCTCGGCAGGCGCATTGTTTTCGGGGACACGGGGTTCGTGTCGCAAGGAGGATGAAACATATGCGGGCCAGGACTCGGCGTGGTCGGCCACGTGAGCAAGGCGACGCACCCCGTCGTCGACATGGAAGTAAGTGTCTGTGAAGCAGCCATTGCCGTCGGTGGTACTACCACGCCACGCTGCTTTACACGTGTGATCGTCTAGATGAACTCCTATAGAGCTGTTACTTGTTGCATTCCGCAGCAACAGCATCGAAACTCTGCTGCATGCGATTACCAGATGCGCTCTGGCATCGCTCTCAGGTAGGTGGAGGGGGCTGTCAGGATCAACATACCCCGCAGCTGAGGACGGAGATATTCCCAGTTCCTACGCTGCAGTAGAGAATCATAAGGGTGTGTGACACGAGCCTCGAGCCGGTGGCGTGTTCCAGGTGTTCCAGAGTCTCTTACGGTCAGAGACACCCGATGAGAGCTGGAAGGAAGCAGGATGGCGACAGCTGCAAAAGCTCCCATAGCGACTGATGAGTGCTCGAGTCATCAGAGTATGGGAGAGTGACGATGGAGTGTCATGGTCGCTGTAGATCCCGGGGCGATCTTGGTCGCGGAGTAAAGTATATCCGATGCGGAAATTCCCATCGATGAGGTCTCAAGGGTGTATTGGGTAGAAGACTCCATGGAATGACGAGAGATGCACCTCTTGCTCCCTCCGCCGGGTGAATAGGTCCATCGGCACCGAAGAATGCAAATACTGGTCCTCGCAGTCGGGCCAGAAACGAGGCTCCTTGCGATAAATTCCCGGCGTTGAACCAGACTTCGTGCATTGGAAGCGGTTGTAGGTGATAACGATGCGATAGTGGCAACGGGGATGACGAATAGTGCGATGTAGTCGATTGCCAAGCACGCACAGGAGCATCTTGCCTAGATGACCAAATTAGCAATGCGTAGATCACTGCGTCACTCGCGTGTTCGGACCTGCAGCAAGAGGTACCTACATGGCTAACAAAGCGTATTGTACCGCACGTCTTGCAAAGTCCTTATAGCACCGAGTTTGCAGCATGCTCTTCGGCCACGATCGCATTCTGTCGTGCCTCATGTTCCTACCATTGATGCTACAGATCTTTCCTCGTCGCAAAGATCATGGTATAATGTCGTCGCGTATGTAGTGTGAGGTGCGTGTTGACGCAAGGTAGGCCACGTGTTGTTGCCCCAATAGACATACTTTTCAAATGGCAATGAAGGATTCGTATCCCTGCGAACTCTAACCTTATCGTAAAGGCTAATCGAAACGGGCTACTAAGCCCGCGGCCTCCCTCCTCCTGTGATCCACTCTTCTCTGTCCTAATCAAAGCTTCCATGCCCCGTTGCCAGAGGGCCTGTTATGCCAAGAATTCCTTCAGTGCTTCATCCATGGTGTCGTTGAAGTTCTTGTTCTCCTCGAGTCTAGCTGGCTCGACCTTCTCCCAGATGTTCTTCGCCGTGCCGACGGCTATGTCCTGCTTCCCTTCGGAGAGACCTTGCCAGAGCTCGTTGTTGAACTCGGCCAGAGGCATGCCGATTTGATCACCATTCTTGAGGTCTGGCTGGTTCTTCGAATCGTGCAATTCCGTCTGAACAGCCGGTGGATAGACCTCGATAACGCTGACATTTGGCGCAGACTGCGAGAGCTGGCGCCGCAGAGCAATGATGAAGGAGTGAAGAGCTGCTTTCGATGCTCCATAGTTGGGCCTGCTGGTCAAAGTGATGATGGCCATCTGACTCGTCGTGTAGGCAATGGCGGTTGGCTGAGATTTGGCAGTCAAGTATGGCAGGAGAGCCTTGGTCAAGTAGACTGGAGCATTGTAATTCGTCTTCAGCTCCAGCTCACAGGTATCCAAGTCGACTGTCTCTGGCTTGGTAAAATCCAGCGCTCGCTGGACTCCGGCATTGAGGTAGACGAAATCGATATCTGGGTGCGCATGGAAGACTTCTTGGACAAACTTGGGTCCCTGGACGGAAGTCAGTCTTGTCCACATGGTGTTAAGTCGGATCGCTTACAGCCTCTGGGTCGTTCACATCGTGCACCCTGTGATCGGCCTTCTGTTGCCCGGCTTTCTTGACGAAGTCTTCCAATCGTTCCCTTCTCCGGCCAACGACAATAACAAACACGCCGTTCTGGACCAGCGTGTCCGCCAGAGCAGCTCCAATGCCAGAAGTTGCTCCAATGAGCAGGACTTTCTTGTACTGGAAACCCATCTTGTAAATGCCAAACCGGTCCAAACTCAGTAATGTGTGAAAAGGCTGGAGTCGATACGTGCGTTCTTGATGGTACTATGCGGGCAATCCTTGAAGAGGCCATCGAGGAACAGCTTCTATCGCTACGTCATTGTTGAATCTGTATGACAAGATGCGACGTGATTGGTCGACATGATGAGGATCTTCTTGAAGAGACTTTGACTGCCTCGGCCGACAGTGAAAGTGGAACGCGAAGCTGGTCGAAACTGGGCGATTGCGTCGGTGATGGGTTGATGGGCGAATGTGTCGCGCGGCAGTGGAGGAGGTGAGTAGTTTCTCATTGATGCCTGAGGCAGGAACGAGCCCACCTCATTCTCCCGGCACACCCGTTCTTCCTACCACAAACATCATCAGCATCATCCGCATCATCAGCATCATCAGCATCGTCAGCATCATCACCACCATCAGTCACCAGTCACGGCGTCAAACCCGTAAGCCTGCTGATCCGGGAAGCTGAAGATCGTAACAGCGGTACCGCTGATGGAAATTGCCTCTGAAGCTGTACTGGTGACATTTCAACGATGAAGTGTGAGCAAGACGGACGGGCAGGAATTGCCGTACTCGCAGGTCGATCGTCTGAGCTCAGCCGGGCATGTTGCTCGTTTCTCTTCCGGTCCTGCGCCGGCCCTTAGTGACTGCCTCAGCGGTCTTATCAAGAAGACACAGCAGGCCACATGTCGATGTGGGGAAGCATCAGGATCCAAAATGGTGTTGTACTGATCCGCCAGAGCCGGATACGCGTCCAGAACCGGTCGTTTGGTACATTACATACCCCTTATCGTCTCAAACATCATTGCCGTTTGCCGATTTTCCAGACAGCCGACGAGTCTGGTCTTACAATGTACTCTGTGTCTGTTTTCGACAATTCAACCTGTCAGAGCGCTTCGACGTCTTGCGAGCAGGACAGATCTCGCCATAGCGGCGATAGCAAAGATGAACGTGTATACATGAAAGTTGACGATGGTGTTCCTGGAAAGAAACCTGAAGTGGAAAAGTCGGAGATCGGGCCGAAATACCCCCGAATAGACGACATCTCTTTCTCGTTTGCTGTACTCTGTCCTTCTCCTCTGTACATCAACCTACTGCGGATTAAGAAACGGCAAAATCATCATGTCCACCACACAAAAAGCGATCGTCCTCGCCACTGCCGTCCTGTCGCAGTATGTTGGCCATTACTTCGAGCTTGGTCTCTTCACTCGACTCTGCGTCGCTCTGGCAAGCTGCGGCGCCGTCCTCGCCATCCAGTTTTCCGTCAGTGAGCCGGTAGGCTCCGAGAAGACAGTTCCTCCGAAGAAACCAGCAGCACGACCTCAAGCCATAACGAGAGATTGACCGGATATTCGATCAACGGAAGCAAATGATAGCTGGAATCCGTCTCTCTGAATTCTGAGCCCTGGACACTATCTGGACAGCCAAACACCAGGCTGCTACCCAACACGCTTAATGATAGGGAACTCCAGCTCGAGATCTGTCGCGCCATTCTTGCGGCGCTTTCGTATCTCGGTGGTCCAAACAGTTCTGTTGCCCGCGCCTCGTCTATCCGCTCCATCAGCCCAAGGACTGGCATTCCCAAGAGCAGCCGGATTAGTCCACGTATCACCAGAACCGATGCTAGACGCAGCAGTTGAGAGACAGAAATCTTACCTCTATCCCGGCAATGGATGAAGGTCGCTCAGCTACGCGACGAAGCTTGTAATCTCGCCAACGCATGAAAAGAAAATCGGCCCAAGCGCAGAGGCTAGGGTACACCATCACACTCTCTCGTAGAGCCTTAAGTGCCTGTCCGAGATTGAACAAACTCGCATTGGAGATTGCCGTGACATGAACGGCCAAACGACGGCGTTGGATGTCATCTCGCGAGGATATGTAGCGCTGAGATGTCTGCCAGCGATGCTCCATCGATTGTTCTTTTGGAGATGCCGCCGCTTGCATCCGTCTAGGTGCCCTTCCCGCGGCTACCAAATAAACCATGCCGCTACCGAGGAGACACAAGAAAGGTGGGACCGGAAGCGAGCGGAGGAGTGACGTGTACAATGGCTCCAGACCAGCGTAAAGCAGAGCAGCTGTCCATGACGGTACTAAAGCTAGTCCTGTCTCCTGGAAATCCTGAGGATGGATCATGAAAGGAGAAGTGATCCATGTGCTAGACCAACGAATGAGTTCCTTCGTGGTCGATGCCGCGGAAACGGGTCGCTGTACAATATTGCAGATTACCATGATATCAGAAGCTTTGTCCTCGCACGCACAACCATTGGCGGCCGGGATGGAAGCGATGATTATAATTGCGTTAATGAAGTGGCCGCTAGACTTCCAGCGGTGTTCGATCGGCTGGGATATGTCGAGCATTGAAGTACATGCGGTAGGAGAGGACTTAGCCATTACGCGATCCATGAAAATTCGATGAGGCGTCCATGAATGTGTCCATGAATGCTCTGCTGCGCGTCGAACGAGGGTCACGCATGTCGTGCACTTCACTTGTTCCTTTTCCTTTTCTTTCCTCTTTCCATTCGATCACGAACTCAACCTCACAACAGAATCGAAGACCGAGCATGCGCGGAGGGTGCCGGATGAGACAGCGACCATCGATCGGTGCTCCTGCGTCCTCCTTCGTACTCCTGCATATCCGGCGTATCCCGTAGCGGCATGCGTCGCCGTCAAGAGGATGCTTCCACTCTATGCGCCAGGTCTAGGTGAATGCATTGCATTCCCTCAAGAGGCAATCTCGCTCGGTCGATACAAGAGCTTGAACATGGATGAGCGGCGTTTGCTCAGGATACTGACGGAACATACGAGACCAGCCAGCCTCGCTACATTGACGGCCGAATCGTACAGGGAGAAGGTCACGGATGCCTATTAGGCATTGATACTTTGAAGGATCTTGCCCGGTGGCATGGTTGACCGGAGCCACAGCCCAACCATGTGAGCATGTCCTGGCCTACAGCTTGGATCTGTCGGCCGCGAGAAGAGATCTCCGCAGTGGTCCAGGTAATCCTGGTCCTCCTAACCATGCTAAAGTTACTTATCTTCTCAGATAGCCCCAGTCGAAGTTCTCTGGGTCAGTCGTTGGTGGCATGCCGTATCTATCTAACAACCTTGTTGACATCTCCTGATATATCGAGAGTGTTTTTAGTTGCCGTTCTCTCCTGCCACGATGCCGCGATCCAGTTCGCATTCGTTTGATCGCGGTTTTTCTCCGGTGCCCTGACGATCTACTACATGATATTGAACGACACATACTGACACACCTACCGGCTTCCAATGAGATGACGGCCAGTGGATGGGCATCCCCTGCTTCGGTTCTTGGGGTGGTCTTCACCTTCACCCCGCTCGCAGCTATTTGCGTGGGTCTTCGGCTCTGGACTCGCATCTCCATCGTGCGATCACCTGGTTGGGACGACCTTTGCATCGTAATCGCCATTTGCTTCACACTCGTGGATGCCAGTTGCCAAGTTGTCAAAGTGCACTACGGCCTGGGCAAGCATGCAAGCGAGCTGACCCCTTATCAAACATATCATATCGAGAGGGCCTTTTGGGTCGCCACTTGGAATTACTACCTTGGACTCGGTTTTGCGAAGCTGTCTATCGTTTTGCAATGTCTGCGCATCTTTGGTCGTAGCCCAAGATTCTGCATCGCAGCCTACACCTTGGGATCCATTATCGCGGTAAGGGACCATAGCCTTACATTTCTAAACATGGACTGACTCCCAAACTAGGTGTTCACCCTGTGGACGGCTTTTCAGTCGATATTCATATGCTGGCCGATCCCTCAGTACTATCATCTTACGTTCGCCTGGACAGATCAGCTGCTGATTGTCTCCACAGCTTTTGGGACCGGGAAGTTCCAGGGAAGTGCTTGCCCCGTCTAGCACTATGGTAAGCTGGATCAAGAAGCATCAGGCGGAAAATGTTGGAATGGAGCAAGCTGACCTTGCCTGTTGTGTCAGGTTCTTCAACGCTGCCTTTTCGATCGTTACCGACACGGCGACTGTCATCCTGCCGATGCCAATTGGTAAGAACAAGATCAAGCCCTTGCAGCATGTCTTTGTGTTGCGTATCTGTCTCGTAAACGATGAATTCGTACCCAGAAGATTTGCTTTGCCCGATTGCAAGTAACTCGAACATCCCTAACGCTATCTACGCCAGTCAACAAGCTCCAAATGCGGACAAAGGAGAGAAGAGTCGTCCAAGCCGTGCTCGCACTTGGTGTAGTCATCTGTACAGTGTCCTGCGTCCGTTTCTACGGCCTCTACGCCATCGCCGTCAGCAACGATCCAGCACACGACAACCCTCAAGTCGCCATTCTGTCGAACCTAGAGGCCTCCGTGGGCATCATTGCCGCCTGCGTTCCGACACTGAAGGGCTTGGTCACTCGCTACTCTCCAAAGATCTGTACGACACGAGGAGACTCGTCGACCGATCCCGCTTCGGTCGAGCTGAGTGCAGGCAAGTCGCAGGCAAGCTACACGGTGCTTATAGAAAGAGGCAATGCGAACCGATTGTCGCGACTGGCAGGCAGGTCTGTTCCAAGAGCATGTGTCGCGGAGACAGATGACTCTCAGTGGGATACTCCCAGACAGCTTTCGGACGTGTCAATGCAGGACCACGGCGAAGAGAATGAGATCCGAGTCGTGACCACGGTTGAGCAGTCAGAGCGAGATCGAGGGCTTGAGTGAGCTACTCAGCTATATGAAGGAGTGTTGCTCGGCTTGTTGACTGACTCGTTCTCAGGAGTGCCGAGTGTCTGGTGCAGGTACACCCCATTGAACGGCCATGAGACCATAATGCGCTCAAGCATTCGTTCAGCCAACTCTTGATCGCAACCTTACAGCAACTCGTCAGTCGTACGCATGTCCTCCGTGACGAGCTACTACACTGATGGCAATGTGTCGATCGAAGCAACCTTACTTTCTGTCTCAACAGACCCGGACACGTTCATCTGCCACGCTGCGAAGCTCGCGTGTACTTTCGAAGCATGGAAGGATGGGCGTTGCTGCGAGTTTGAAAGTCAACACGAAAACGATTGTTCCCATTCACGATGTTACGCATTACCAAAAGCAAGAAGACTACGTTCAGCTTCTCGATTCCATGCAGTCTTTTCGGCAACACATCAAACGAAGTCTATTCACAATCCTTCGCGTGGTATGCTTTAATTGGCGTCGCCTGGTTCTCATTCCGTACAACGTCTCATCCACGGAGCGCTGCGCGATTTCACTGGCTCTGAATTCCTTGAGTATCCGCTTCTGTTGTGACTGGTAACTAAACATGTTCTAGCTTTCAAGGTAATACTCATAACCTCACCGGTCGACTTGGAAAGCTAGGGATCTAATTATAAGATTTGCGCATACATAGAGACCCAGACCCCTGAATGACGACTTTCCGACGTCGACTGGCTGGTCGAAGGCCATCGAGACATCTCATGTCAAGCAGAACACATTCCTCAAGCTGTTTGCTGCAGCCGGCTGGACACAATGCGTACCACCTCTTGCGCAAATATTCTCTGCCTCACGGCCTTGATAGCCGCTCAAGAAGTCACGTCCGCGCCTGCGCCCTCAATCAGTAGCATAGCAGATTTGACATCCGCGTTGGATCCTGGAGCTCTCAGTATCCCAGTGTCCGAGTTAGGACCACGGTTCAGCGCGGCCGCCGGACTCATCTCTTCATACACCAAACCTCTCGCAACGATCCCTGCAACGCTCCAGGAAGGTCTTGAGACGGCATTTGCAAGAGAGATTGGATAATGCAGCTCATACGCGACGAGCCTGATCGCGCAAACTCCGACTTCAACGTCCGTTTCACCAGCGGAGAGTTCGAGGTTCGTCTCTTGCTACCCTACGGCTGGATCTTTGTGCTACCTGCAGTCTCAGGATTCGTGGGAGAATGGAGGTACTGTACCTTCGACTCTTGTTCGAGCGTAGATCAAGCGGTTCGGACTTCCGCGAGTGGATCGTGCGGCGGAAGTGGAAATGGAAATGCTGCTAGCAAGGCGGCGACTACCGAAACCTCGGGGAACTCGTGGGGCTTTGCTCCCGCGAGAGTAGTACTCATGGCTGCGATTGCTGTTGGACTTACGTTTTGTAGGAATGCTTTCAAATGATAGCTGACGTGAAGGTGAGGTCTGCGACAGGTGAGCCGACGAGACACACCAAATCTGCCAGAACCATGCACGGAGAGAGCAACTCGTGGTGAACAGTTTCGCGTGACTGTTGTTTGCTCCTGGCTTTCAATGAAAGCACTAGGGTCAACTGTTATCTCTTGCAGTCAGATCCTAATTGCCTTTCACGCTCGTTTGCGCCAGAAGAAGGTTTTTTGAAAGGCAGCAGCGCTTGTGCTATCTGCACGCAAACTTGTATGATCAGCTACTTTAGCAACTTGGAAGCGCACGTAATCCAGTGCGACTGCACCATCTACAAGTATCAATCTACTTTTGTTACTATTGTGCCTTTGCTAAAAATAAATGACAGCTCTCTAAAGGTGAATGACTACCGCCAACAGCCCAGTCCATTGTATAAGAAGAATATTCCGTTACGAACACCCGATATACACCTTTAAACATGTGATAGCAGCTCTATACAGGTGAATAGTAACCGCGGATTGGCCGAACAGCATATGCCTAATATTCACCTTTTAGCGCTGCATTCACATGCTTTGTGGTCCGAAGTATACCCGTCGGATTAAACAAATACTGCCTGTCGAGCAGACAGTCGGCGTCTGGCAAGTCGAAGACATAATTGTACAGCGTTAGAGGCAGTAACTTAGTCGTCCTTTGCCTTGCGTAGAGAGTCTCTGTCGTCCGTCCGTCACTATAACTACAGCGGGACAAGATCTACACCTTCGCCGACGAGGTGACCCTCGTCTATAAGAACAATTCCACAGGAGAGCGGAGGCTGGAAGACTCCTCTCCTCTCGAATTATTCAGACACAAACAACATCGCACAGGATACCTATCACAATTCGAGATCGCCTATACACAATATTCTAAAGTGAACACAACGAAATTCACCATGCCGGGTTTCTGAGGCACGACGCTCCACGTCCAAAAGGACGAATACTGCCACGACTCCTTTCACGAGGTCTTAAAGAATAAAGAATAACAAAGATCTCGAGGGCTATGTGCGCGAGCGCTGCCGTGTCCCCAAGGTCAGCGTAAAGTACAAGACGGGCAAGTACGATGTTGACGCAGTTGGTGAGCATACCCCCTCTACCTACTAGGAGCTCGAATACTGATGCGTGTGCCACAGTCCACCGCGACAGCGAGAAGGAGAAGGCTTATCGAGAGCACGTCAAGAAATTCTATCAAATCCTTAAGGAGAGGGTTTTCAGGAGCCAGGCGGACGGAAAGTTAGGAGATAAGGAGGAATTGGAGCTTATCGAGATGGAAGAGGGCGAAGACAGCCGAATGTATCTCTCAAAGTCTGAAAAGGCAGTTGCAACCATTGAGAATGGTCTGGAGTAGGTCATTAGTGCTTAGGGGAAGGCGAAATCTTGGCAGAACCCATTCTCGACCTACACTATGCCTTGGACTGCATCTTAAGAACAGGGTACATAGTGATTCAATAAGTTTACCGAGAAACGCCCGTCTGCCGTAGGGTATAGCAGGTGCTCTCGAAAGCGATACATTAGGACGTCGCAGTGTTCGACGGAAGGAACAAACGAATACAGGTAGATTTGGCGAGACGTTGTGCCGTGCTGACTATAACATGGAAGCGCAAAGCTGCAACACTTCTGTGAGCAGCGATTCGGCGGCGGAGATTGATGCCCTATTGAGGAGTACATTGACAAGCCACTTTTCGTACACTAAAATTCCATCATGAGCTTGCCGAGGTTCCGGCATAGCGTCTCCATGTCTTCATAGTGGAAGGTTTTGTAGTAGACCGAAAGTGGAGGGTAGGAAAAGACGCATGTACTCAACGCACTTTCTTTGCGCGAACTCATCTCCTCATTCCTGTGGTACGTACGTGCGTGCTCCTGTATGCTTGCAATTTCCTCGTTGGAGCCGCAACCCGCACCGGCATCTTCACATCCCAAGAAACTAGCGTACGAGTTCCGAGGATCTGTCTGCTGAATCTCTCGTATTCCTCGACACGATCACCAAAGCCTCATACTGGTCGTCGTGATCCAACATGAGAGCGTGTGAACTACCAGCGCCGGCTTTCCAGGCGCTGATTGACCTTCCAGCCATACTTCTCGGCTTCTCGAATGACAGTTGCGAGACGAGCTCGAAACAATGATACGTCGTGCTTCGCAATCTTCGACTTAGCCGAGGGCTGATAGATGGACAACACCGGTGGAGGCCGCAAGCAGTCGCTCAGCTTCTTGACCAGTGCAGTGCCCTCCTGTTTGCGGATGACGTGCTCTTCTGCGTCCGACACGTTGAGAAGTTGCTTGTCGTCTCGAGATCGTCCCGTCCAGCGATCAAGGGTCGTGCCGTTTTCGATGTTGATAGACAACGTCTCCAGCTGACCTGCCTTCATGAGGGAGTGTACGGACGATCGAATGGCACCGAGAAGTCGATCACGACCAACCGGCTTAAGGACCCCAAGGCGAGAGGCCGGAGACGTCAGATCTAAGACTGCTCCCTCGATGAAGTCTTCGTAGGCGCCCTGATGCCAGAGCGGGACGTGAATGTCGATCTTACGCAGGAAAGCCACATTCATAGGTCCAATCGTCGCCAAGAACGATTCCAATTGTATCCAAGAAGAAGAAGCCCAAGGAAAACTCCAGGTGTTCTCGCCATACAAGACAGATGCCGCAAGTTTGTGCATTCCCTTCGAGACGAACAGCACACCCGTTGTGAGACCCCGGCATGGCCCCTTAAGCTTCCTAGTCTTGTTACCGCGAACCTCCAAAGCCTCCTTGAAGGGTGCACAGTCTTTCTGCATCACACCAACAGCTGTTGTAAGTTCGTCCCAACCAAGCGGAATGCTGTAGACGCTGTCCTTGTCCTGGATGGTCTTGATGGCTGATGGCACTCGACAATGGCCCTTGACGAACGGGCGCAGCCAAGAGAAGTCAATCTCGATTGGTTTAGCCTTCACGAGAAGGAGCGACATGATCTATATCATCTGTGTAAGGATATACCGGTCTAGTAGAGCTACCAGGGTGCTCACCTTCTTCTGGATTTTATCTGGAAGATCGACAAAGCGGAACGGCATCGAGCGTGATCTGGGAGGAGGTATTGTGCGGCAGCGTGAGCTTGGTCTGATCTCAGAGGGCACATAGCGATCCACATTCTGCAGCTTCTCTGCGCGACGATTCTCCAATAGCTCCTCGTACCCCATATCATCCCTACGAGAGTCCCATTGGCGGTGCACGGTGTTGCGGAGCGTATTCCAGGTCTTACTTGGACACTGCGCGCCGAGCTTTACTGTGTTGGCACCGGTGCCTTGAACGGCGCTAGTCATTGTCTCCTCAGCAGGCAATGCTGAAGACTCGATTGGAGATGCCGGAGACACGAGCTCCTGCGCAGAGCCACGCCGCGCATACTCGGGCTGCTGAAGTAGCGAGACCCGGGAAGGGTGAACATCAGCAGAGACGGCTTGTACTTCTGCTACTGGATCTTCCAGTCGGGCTCGCTTGGCGGAGGCGTGCTGAGGCGCTGGAGTCTTGTGATGGCGGAGGCGTGGATCAGCTGCGATGATATTGGCTTCTTGGGATGATGGGCGCTTGCAGCCGCGAAGACGTGGGTCGACGGGTGGTGAAGTGGGAGCAGTGTTCGGGGTGGTGGCGGAACTGGACGCTGAAGACGCCGCTGCCGCTGCTGCGGATTCAATGAGCTCTGCGAGATCCTCATCGAACTTCTTGCGGTCATTGAAGTAGACCTCGTAGAGGTCCATTTCCAATGTCTATCGGTTGTGATTGTGGTGGTGTCGTTGTTCAGGAAGTTGACAAGCGGCGTTTGTAGTGCACTGAATGCTGATGCTGTGCGGCATCCCGGCTCGGAAGGGGCAACACGGAAAAAGTGGGTCCATCAAAATATCGGCTTCGACATAATTAGTTTCCCGCCGGCACTCAAATGTTGATACCTACTATGCCGCAGCACGAGGCGCCCAGAATAGGGTTATGTACGAGGTGGCAATCTCTATACATTGGACAGAGCAACTGAGATCGACCGTCGAAATGTCAGCAGCTGTATACCACTTCTCCTTTCCCCGTTGTCCCGTCTGCTCCTCTAGCGAATCTCCCTCTTCTACAAAACCCTCTTCAATCTCGCCCGCACCCTCCCCTCTCCAAAGACCAAGGCGCCGCAATGTAGGATGCTTGGGGCCCCATCAGGCACCTGCAGGCCTTCCAGCGATGCTTCTCGCGTCCTTACGGCTGTCCTTCCTGTGATGGACCCACGTGCCCGTCTGTGCCCTGGCACCTGGTATCATCTTTTCACATATCTTTGAACGGTGTTCTCTGCTTCAGATGTTCTGCGCTTTGTCTCCTCCATCACGGCCGCTTCACGAATTGGCATCAATCTCGCCCCAGATCTTCTTCATATGATCCCGCTTCTTCCTCGCTTGCTCACGATTCTCAGCTGTACGTTCGAGTCGCTCTGCTCGTAGGCATTTGTTGACCTCGCGTTTCGTGTTGCTGCACATCCCCATCGCCTTCCACAGGAAGCCTTTGGCGTGGCACTCCTCCAACGCGGTCATGATTTCTTCGCAACCTGTTCAGCGTCAGTATCGGCGTATATCTAGAATAAAAGCAGAGCCTGCCTTTCTGATCTTCGCGATGAAGATGAGGATGCATTTTGGAGCAACACTTGATGCAGTAGATCGAGTTGATGCCGTAGACTGGGCAAGAGGCAAGTTTGACGATGTCGATGATGTTGGAGTTGTCTGGCCCTAATCACGTGCGAATGTCTCTGCCGAGATCCGCTTAGTAACCGCAGTTTCTCATACTCAACACAAGAAGCACGATCGAGAGCAACAGAAACATCGTCAACATGTCCCAGCAACAATTGTCCGCAAAGAAGCAGCAAGGTGAGTACGAGCCGCTCGCCATTTTTCCTCGATTACTAACATTCATCAGAGCTGCAAACACAATATTCCAACTACAAGGACACGCTCCAAGCCATCGCACAGAAAATCGGCGACGTTGAGCAGGAGACCGAAGAACACAAGTGAGTGCTAATTAATCCGGTCGTCATCTGAAGAAACTCCGAAGGGGAGTCTTCGACGCCAATCGGGCTTCATCTCTTTTGTTCAAGCAATTTCTGCTCAACCATTCGCCGAACAAAGTTTCCCTCACCAACCACTCGATCATCCCTGTTGGACCTTTCCTTCCCGTCTTCCCCAAACTTCTGCATCATGCCGGGAGTCTTCGTCCGGCGATGTGCGGGTTGCTAGCCGGCATTCTGTACCTGCATGAGCGCGGCGGAGGACCAACTCACTAAGCCATGCGACGTTGTCCCATGACTCCGGTTATGCTTCAGAAGCGCACCTTCACAGTGCGAAAGTGCTGACGGAAATGCAATAGGCTCGTACTGGACACGCTCACGCCGCTCTCTGGCGACCGAAAATGCTTCCGCATGATCAATGGAATACTCACTGAAAGGACGGTGAAGGACGTGCTGCCGACTCTGCAGACCAACGCAGATGGTCTGAAGAAAGTCCTCCAAGACCTAGTGAAGCAGTACCAGAGCAAGCAGACCGAAATGGAGCAATGGAAGGTAAGGTGATTCAACAGCAACTACCACAGAGGGCCGTCACTAAGAGTCTCATAGAAAAAGAACAATGTCCAGGTGGTCCAGCAGTGAGATTAAGGTCTCCACTTATTCTGCCTGCGACGTTATACGCGATCCTAGCGACTCGGCCCGAAAGACTGTACTTTTCATCGCACGAGCAGCATTCCAGGGGGTCCACGCCAGGTCGCAAAATGTCATTCCACCGAGAGCTCAGGATTGCGGAGTCACAGCGGTACCAGAACGGCGATTACACCTAGGGGACCTGTGTCTAGCCGACAAGTTCCCAAAGCAGCGACGGACACGACAATATCAAGCAAAGAACTTCCATCAGGATCAAGACTTTGCTTCTTGTTGAGGTTTCGTGGTGTCACCATTTACTGGCGTGGCAGCATCCCTGCGCTCCTTTCTCCGTGGAAAAAGCATCCAATGGACCCGCTTTCTGTAGCAAGAGCCACACCAGATACGAGTCTGAAGCAAACTTTTCCAAGTCATTTGTTTCTGCTAATTATCTCCACCACGCTATCATCGTCCCAAGAGCCTCCTCTTCCAGTGTTACACGACTTGAACGGGATCCGCCTGGGCGCTGGCAAAGGGTGTCACCTGACAGGAACGACATGTCTCCATGTCTCCGGCCAACGTAGATTGCGATTGCGATTGCTCCGGATGCGTTGTTCGCACAGATGCAAGATGACAGCGTCACAGCAAGTAGAACCTGTTCACGCGGGTCATACTGAGCAGCGGCGTCCAGCTCGGTAAGTAGTACCGCCCGACGGAACGGGAGGTCGACAGGTAGTAGCCTTATGCAAGATGTGCTGTCCCGCTTGCGTTAGTGCAAGCCCCATAGCTGAGGCCTGAAAAGCATGCGAGAGAGATGATTGGGTTCCAACAATGTCAGGGACAGCCTCACAGTGAGTGGTTCGTCTGGACGTCATGTCTTGAAAGATGAGGCTGCTCTACGGATCGAGTGCTTTTCCGCATCGACGGGAAGGGCAGATTGGGTGGAAATGGGGTGCGAAGGGGAGGGTAAGAGCGTGCCGTGTCGTCCCAGATGCCAGCACATCGCGCCGCGCGCTAGAATTGAAGGATGCGTGATCCTGGAGGGGGGGGGGGGCACGTCTACAACACACGAGGGAGGACTACTTCGCGTGTGGGTGAGCGCATTATTGTTCGTATGTAACAACAACGTAGCTACACACACGCCATCGGGCGCACGCGCATGAAATTCCCTCCGTCACCTCGACGCCGGGGTGGGATGTGGCGCATGGTGCAGCGATATCACAGCCGCCAAATCGCATAACGACGACGGCGGGCGTGAGTGGTGAGTGGGTGAAGCAGGATTGCACCCTCATCTCCCACGTGACGTTGTCCGGGTCCGGCCTGTGACAGCACAAGGGCAGTGTGCAGTGGCGGAAGAGAAGAGGAGAGCCGGCTGCGATTGGAGGGACGGGAAAGGGAGCGGGAAGAACCTTCCTTTGGGCAGCTCCTGCCACAGCCTCCTCACACGCGACACGCGCCGACACGAGAGCCCGCAGCTTCCAACTTTGACGTGTGAAAGCCCAATCAATGATTCCTGCATCCATCCATTTTCTCACTGGTTCACCGGTCATTACAATCGAATTCGCGTTGGCAGAGTCTGTCTCTTGTGGGCGCCGCGCCTCACGTTTGCCGGTAATCCGCCCGCCCGTCCGCTGCCGTCAGAGGACAACCGCCGACGCCGCCGTAACAACAGCGCGCTGAACGCTGAACGCTGAACGCTGAACGCGGAAGGACAAGGAGGTAACGGCGCGCGTTGTCATTGGGCGTCGACGGTGCGCATTCGCCCACAGGCCTCGTCGTCGTCGTCGTCGTCTGGTCCAGGCCAGGTCCAGGTCCAGGTCCAGGTCCGGTCCGAGTGCTCGTAGCTCTCTCCTCTCCGTGTCGCTGTGCTGCACTGCGCTGCGCTGCGCTGCGCTGTGGCTCTTCCCGCGCTTGCTTCAATCAATCCTCGCCGCCAAGACCCCGCAAAGCCACACTGTCAACAACACCACCACCTGCAGCTAGACACTCTCCGCTGCTCGTCGCCTCGTCGCCATACCGCCCGCGCGCCTACTCCGTCCGATCAGTCTTTGTCGGATCATCAAGCCAGTCCACAATCCATTCGCCGCTACGCTGCACTCCAAAAATCCAAATCTCACCGCCGCGATTCCTTCTCCCTCCATCCGTCAAACCCCTTCTCCCGCCACGCGCGCGCGCGCGATCAGCAGCCAGCGAATCGTGTCGCGCTCACCGCCGTGCCTGAGGCTCGAGTAGCGCTCCCTCTGCGCAGAGCCGGCAACTGGGAAAGGTGTCTAGCTACAAATCTAATACCTCTTTCGGTGCCAACACTGCACCCACACTCTGCCCTAGAAGTAAAACACACCGCTTCCACTGCAGCCGACTACGACGCATCCGCGTCTGGTGCGCTTCTGGGCATCGGCATCGGCAACGCGATTCCATCTGCATCCGCTTCGAGCTAGCACCGGTCGTACTGCAGCACCAGGGGTCTCCGTTGACGTGGTGGCCAACGAATCATTGACAGCTCAGCACGTCCAGAACGCCTGCCGGGCCTCGATTAAAAAGATGTCGCAGTCCCCAAGGGATCCAGAGGATGTCGACCCGGCTACCGCTCCATCGCCCAACGACGATGAACCGGCCCAGCAGAACAACGAGAACAACGACGGCAACGAGATGAATCGCACCGACGATGTCGGCTATGATTTCGAGGTCAAAGAACAGGACCGGTGGCTTCCCATCGCGAATGGTGAGTAACGACACTACCTGCCTGCCTGCCCGCTGCGCTGCGCTGCGCTGCAATGAGATTCTTGCGTTGGTGTTGTAGCACCTTGCGTCCCAAGCACCACTCCGTGCAATCCTTGTCCTCCCCGTCAATTCTTGTGTACCCATTCCCTTCCTTTGACACCTGCACATCATCAATCCGGACGCTGTGGCTAGCGTCGCCAATCTGCCCACATATAACGCTGCACTGCGCGTCTGCTTCTGCAAGTCCGTCGAATCAGAGGCTCCTTGGCCAGCCAGCGATCTGCAGCCATCGTCGTCGTTGCTGCCGACTGGACCAACTCACCAGACCGACGTGCCCAAACCATGCCGTCGCCATCCCCGCATTCATCCTCCTCGCCGCAGAACCAGCACTCCCAGGGCCATTCGAGGCATCGTAATCACAGAAACTTTGACCACGATGCTAACATACACAACTTTGCTCCAGTCGCTCGCATCATGAAGACGGCGCTCCCCGAGAACGCCAAGATTGCCAAAGAGGCCAAAGAATGCATGCAGGAATGCGTGAGCGAGTTCATCTCCTTCATTACGAGTGAGGGTACGTACCTCTGTTCTATCGTGCACGACTGCCGGTAGCGCCGTCCAGCGCGGCTATTAGCGTGGTACAGCAAGCGCTGATTTCTGAAACAGCATCGGAGAAGTGCCAGCAGGAGAAGCGCAAGACCGTGAATGGCGAGGACATACTCTTCGCGATGACCTCGCTTGGCTTTGAGAATTACGGCGAGGCATTGAAAATCTACCTCGCAAGATACCGAGAGGTGAGTACTCGAGACACAACTGGCAATTCGTCCGTTCCTTATGCCAGTATATCTACCCTCAATATCCTTATCACTGACACCACCCGAGAACCTCGTTGCTCGCGGGGAACATCAGAAGCTTGGACCTGGCGGAAGTGGATCCGGAAACGTAGCATCTCCCGGCTTCGACGGTGCAAACCACAACGCTCTGGGCATGGATCCTGCGGGCGAAGGCGCTCCCGACTTTGGATACGGTCCTCCAGGTGGCGGCGACTATTAGAAGTGCTCGCGGATGCGGCTCTTTGGGCAGGCTTTTGTCCTGTGTGCTCACCTTGCCGTTGATAGCACGACGCAAAGCACTTTGAGGGACGAAGGCGCAGATATATGCTGAACAAGCTCATGAAGAAACGTTACGAATCGCTGCCCGCACCGCCAGAGCCTCTACTGAAGCCCGAGCCCGCGTCTCCTCGTCCGACCCACCAAGCGCTGATAAAGCAATACAACGAACGTAATGACCATCCGGATGAACATCCCGTTCGAGAGTCTATCGAATACTCCTGAGCTCCCGGTGCGGAAATGAATACCCAGTCAGCTCGCCCGCTTCATCGACTTTCCACGATTGATGCTACTTTCTGAATATGCATTTCCGGCTTCGGGGGCGAATGTTCCGCAATACGACATATTTCTTCATGGCGAACGCGAACGAGCAGAACTCCGAACGAGGAAGAAGACATGTCTATCATGTTTCTGGCAGTAGTGGTTTCAAAGAAGATCGTTGGGTGTGATGGATGGCCAGGCTTTGTCCTTTCTATGTGGTTTTATAAACCCTCTAGAGTACGAAAACTGCGCGAGCAGATTAATACTGTAAGATAGCCATCGCAACAACGGTATACCCAAGGAACATGAAAGGGAGGATTGGAATTAGTACTATAGCTGTTGCATTGGAATAGCCAGTCTCAATTGTTACACGCCATCCTCTTTCCAAATTGTAACTAAAGGTATTTCTGTGAATGGTGAGTGGTTCGGCATGATCGGCCGTGGATCGATCTCGGGTCATGTCATGCAGGTTCGCGTTTCTGGTCTGTGCGCTCGAGTCTCTCTTTCCGCGTCGAGTCGCGACTCCCACCGGGTCTACCTCTCGGTGCGAGATGAAGTTCACAAAACACCCCCCCACCACCACCACAACATGAAGATGAAACGCCACCTACGATGCTGATTGATCGGAGTACAGGACGACGTGCAGCGATTCCCGGCAAGAGGAGGACACTTGGACTCGGCAAAGAAGGCGTCAGCCGACTCCTCAGCGTGGTGGGAGGGAAACCGCACGCTACGGCTGAGGACCACGCGGAAGCGGAAGAATACCTTGATTTCACAACAGTCGAGGAGATGAGGACGAGGAGGCAATTGCAGGAAGAGGGGAAAGAAGCCGCTGCTGCTGCTGCTGCTGCTGCTGTTCAGGTCTTGACTCCACCGGCGAGTTCGAATCCCGCTGCTACGAGGATGGATAAGGAGAATTTTGAGGCTTCGCCGGAGATTAGTGATGATGATGACGATGATGTGTTTGGGGAGGAGAAGAAGAAGAAGGCTACGTTTAGGAAGCCGCCGGCGGTGGGGCTTGAGGATGGTGGCAAAGTTGGGGCGAAGTTTCAACCACCGGGGGGGATCGCGAAGTGGGAGAGCGATGAAGCTGGAGATAGTAGAGAGCCGGAATGGGTGCCCGACCCTAGTACCAAGCAGAAGTCCCGAAGCGCGAAGAGGAGTCTTGTTGGTGAGGTGGAGTCGATGCCGGTACCTAAGAAGCAGAAATTCGACAATATCTTTGCGCCGACACTGAAGACCACCAAGAGGAAACCGATGGGCTATGGGGCCAAGTTTGCCCAGACTGCGCAGCGGGCTGCATCATGCGCGAAAAAGAAGACTTTCAAGGCACCTGCGACAGTTCAGAGTCCCCAGAAAGCAAAGTTTAAGATGTTCACGGCTGCTTCCATTTGTTCGGTAGCATCCGGGGACGACAACGAGATGCTCGAAATCAGAATGGATCAGGTCGATGATCCCGCCGAGCCTCCGGAGGCGGAACCGTGCAGCTCCAGCGTCACCTGCCCATTTTGTGACGAGGAGATCGAGCGCCATGTCCGAGAGGATTTCGAGGACAGATTTGGGAAGCATCATTCGTATAAATGGCAACGTCGATTTTGCGGCTACCATAAACAGCGCGAGGCGGAGAGCAGATGGCAGGAAAGGAAGTATCCCGACATTGACTGGGCTGGTCTTTCGAAGCGAATGCGGAAACACGACGATTTCCTGATCAGCATCCTCAACGACACCGTGGACTCGCATTACCGCAGGGAGCTCCAGTCAAAGCTCAAGCCAGGTAGTAAGAGTGCGAAGCAGTCGTATCAGGCGGAGATGAAGCCGGGTGCATCCGTGGGATACTATGGGCCCAGGGGGGAAAAGCTCTTGTACGTCTGCTGAATGGTGTGTCAATACGTGGGTGGACATCTCGCTGACTGTGACAAAAAGAACCGACCATATCCTGTCGAGCTTATCCGACGAGATACGTGAACATGCTTCCAAGGATAAGCTCGTGTCTTCTTCTGGAGTGCAGGGCGGTGTTTCGGGATTTGTCCAGGCCGTCCTGTTACCGCATCTGGCCGAGCAGCTCATCAAAGAAGATATGAACTTCGTCGGCGCCGATTCCTTGCGCAGAGCCCGGGGGGTCATTGAGGAGAGTGCGGAGCTCGGCGAAACCATGTGGCCGGAAGCCGAAGACAAGATTATCGAGATTGAAGAAGAAGAAGAAGATGATGATGATGATGATGATGACAGTGCCGACGATGGGTACTGAGCTGCTTGGACATTTGGCCTGTGTATGGATGTATTGCTTGTTCGCATCTTCGCATCTTCGCATCTTCGCATCTTCGCATCTTCGCATCTTCGCATCTTCGCATCTTCGCATCTTCGCATCTTCGCATCTTCGCATCTTCGCATCTTCGCATCTTCGCATCTTCGCATCTTCGCATCTTCGCATCTTCGCATCTTCGCATCTTCGCATCTTCGCATCTTCGCATCTTCGCATCTTCGCATCTTCGCATCTTCGCATCTTCGCATCTTCGCATCTTCGCATCTTCGCATCTTCGCATCTTCGCATCTTCGCATCTTCGCATCTTCGCATCTTCGCATCTTCGCATCTTCGCATCTTCGCATCTTCGCATCTTCGCATCTTCGCATCTTCGCATCTTCGCATCTTCGCATCTTCGCATCTTCGCATCTTCGCATCTTCGCATCTTCGCATCTTACAATTTGACTGTACATAGTGGTTATGTACAGCGGCTTGCTTGCTGCTATCGTGAATGTCGCTTCTGGGGTATCTCGTGTCCGCTCTAGACAATTTGTCTCTCCTTCATGCCGACCGCCATAAACCTCGGGCCGCCTCTTTCCTCGCACACTGACCTGTGTATACTCTCCAGTGCATCACCTTCTCAGGCACTCCAGCAGCTGGGCAGTATTCGCCGGGGGCGTGTATCGACGTGTCGTGTCCATCTCTGTCTGTCCCTCCCTGGCCGTATAAACCTGTCTCTCTCCACCGTCTCACTCTTCATTCAAAAGACCCATCATCATCATCTCCCCCAATCGCAAAGCCACACTTTAATTCCCACTCAACTCCTCCACCCGCCTCAGACCCCGGGAATGCCGATTCACTTCCTCCTGAATCTCTTTGATCTTGACCTTTTCCAAATCCAGTTTCATTTCTTTGCCGTCCTCTGCGTTTGCCGAAACGATCAGCATCCCACCACAAACTATTTATTAGGAGTAGGAGGAGGAGGGGGTGTCTTACTGAATTTCAGCTCCAAAACGGAAGGTTCCCGCAGCATGGCGGCGCGGGGCAGCATTTTGATTTCTATGGCCATGGTGGTGCGGGCGTTGGGCGGGAGGAGGGCGAGGAAGTTGCGGGCGGTCTTGCCGCTGCGGGCGTTGAAGGGGGAGAAGGTCGTTCGCACGGCGGTGAGGTATTTGGTTAGCATTGTGGGGGCGGGATTGGGTGGGTGGGTGGCTTGCAGGCGGAGGATGGAGGGTGGATGTGATGTGTGAGGCTCGGTCTTGAACACAGGTTGCTTAAGTTGTTGCGGAGAGGTCCGAGACGAGCGGAGTCAGGTCCGGCTGGCTGTGGATCTTCGGCCTCGTGGCGTCACGTGTTCCACTGCATCGACATGACCTTTTCTTTTCCGTAGCACTCTGGACCGCGTCGAATACGGGAATCATCACCACTACACGACGGCATTCCGGGTCATGCGCCTCAGCTCTGCGAGTCAGCGATTCGTATTGGACGCTACGCTCTTCATCACCGGAGACAAGACACGACCAGACACGACGAGACGAGACGGCGACCAATGGTGCTGTCTGGTGCGCCCTCTGAATCCTTTCAATGTCCGCGAGCCGCGTGTGGCGCTCTTCACAGCCCCCTTTTCAGTCCGAGTCCGTGTCTCGTTGACTACTGAGGTTGCTCCTTGCCGTAGGAGCGACACCAAGGAGCCCTATTGTTTTATAATAAGCACAAGAGGTCTGTACCTTTTCTTCCTCATCTACCGGTAGGGTAGGGAGTATCTCCGGTTTTTCCTTCTCACCACAGTCATTCGCTACCTTGCCAACGAGCATCTCTTCGATCTTTGGGAAAGAGAACTTTGAAAAGTCTGTCGCTTCACACAACTCCAACTCTGTCCTCTACGAAAGAAAGCAAAAAATGCCTTCCATCACCTCCATCCTCTTCGCCGCCGCCTCTCTGGCTCCCCTCGCCCGGGCTAGGACCGACCTGCAAGGCTGCACCTCTTCCACCGTCATCCAGTACGGCGGCGCTTCCCTCCTCTACTACGTCCCCGGCACCGGCGAGATCTGCGCCTTCCTCGACTGCGGCGGTGGCCGAGCGCCCCCCAAGACCACCGTTCCCGGCTGCGCTGCCTACTCCGGTACTGCCACCTACTCGCCCTCCTACCTCCCGGGCTACGGCAGCATGGCCTCCAGCACGGCCAGCGCTACCCCAAGCAGTGCCGAGAGCGCTTCGACGCCCGCCATCACGGGCTCGTCCTCCTCCTCCAGCTCTCCGGCTGGCTCTGCTAGCGCTGTGGTCACTATGGTACGAAACACTTCGACTTTCGATCCCATGCTTTACTAATTACATTTCTCGCGTAGACCACCGCCGTCATGAGCAAGGCCTCCAGCCTCTCCGTCAGCTCAGGCAACTCTTCCGCCGCCGCGGTCGCCGCTTCCTCTGTCTCCTCCGCCAAGCCCATGGGCACCGGCAGCGGCGTCTCCCCTGGATCTGCTGGCAGCAGCAACGGCACCCTCTCGACCGGCTCGCCAAGCTCCTCTCGACCGTCCGTGGCCGTCAGCACTGGCGGCGCTGCCAAGCTCTTGGTCGGCAGCGCCGGAATGGTGGCCTTCGGTGCCCTCGTCGCAGCTCTCTAGAATATGATTCGATTCGGTTCGGGTAGCCCTTGCTTCTCAGGCATAGCGCGGACAGAACAATGGACATGCATCTTTTGGTTCTTTTTTGGGGGGCATTGCAGAATGACGATGAGCAGAAGGATTAAAGCGTTTTTGATGGGATCATGTACGAATACCAATACGAAACCTGCTGCTGCTGCCTGATGATGATGTACCGTAAATTAGATTTTTCGACAATGGCTTACAGAAAATCATCATGGCACGTCCTTTGTTTGTCCCAGCAGCTAAAAAGCTAAAAAACGATCTTTCCCTTATTGGGCCCTGCTGACTTCAACAAACTTGACACTTGAACATGCTATTCGAAAACTTTCCTTCCCCGTGTAATCTGCTTTGCCGTTTCCTCTCGGAGGACGCTAGGTCTGAGCCATTACGCTTCACCATGCTGAATGAACACGGAAAAGGATTATTCCGCTCCTTCTTGGTTCGGGGAAAGTCGGACGCCGCCGCTGGCTGGGTTGATGGGGATGTGCACCAGTTGAAGGTTTTGGTTTGAGTCCGGGGGAGGTCGAACGCCGCCGCTGGCGGGGCTGATGGGGACGTGGACCGGTTGAAGGCCTTGGTCTTGATCTCGATCTTGATAAGGCGAGAAGCGAACGCCGCCGCTTCCCGGTGCGATGGGGACACCCGGATGCAGAGGATCATGGTGGACTTCCTCAGTAGTGGGATTTTCGTCGTTGTAATAAGTGAGAGGATAGGCCGCCGCCTGCTGTGGCAGGGCGAGCGCGCTGTGGAGGTATGTCAGGAAGACGGCGAGGAGGAAGGAGGTCTTCATCATCTTGGCGGCGGGGCAGGCGAGCGATCAGAGGGAGGTACAGCTGTTGCAATCGATGCCTGCTGGGGCCCACCTACTACTTGCTCCATCTTATATAGCACTTTCTGGAGAAACTTGATGAGCGTGAGGTCCACGGAATCAGCGATGGCGATGGAAGGGTTTGTTTGGAACCTGATTCAGAGAGTAGGTATAGCTGTGTAGCTGCTGTGTCGTGAGAGCAACGTTCCATGTCTGGCATCATGCTTCATCCCAGCTGCCCCGAGTCCTCAGATGCGCTGGTCTTACTTGCCCTCAAGCCCTAAGATGTGATTCCCTGCACCAGCCTGGAAAGCTTGGCGAGTCAAGGCGATGCAACATCCGGAGGTAAAAGTAACGTCGTTCCGTATACCACTGTGCACTGTCGAACAAAGAGCAGTTTTCAATCGATGTTTTAACACATCATATAGCTCGTGATTGTATATACCCTACTATAGAGGTCTATGACCGACTAGTCCTGTAATCCTCGAACGCCCGAAACGCCTGAGCGCACGCACGATCATGCATTCGTCCACTTCTTCATCCAAACATCAACATATCTCTGCATCAACCCTTCACTGACGGGATCACGAACTGCTCCCAGAACCGGACAATCCCGAATCGTCCGTGCCGTCTCAAAAACCAGTCCCGTAGGCTCATCATGCTCTTCCATCGGGACAGAAACACTTGCATTGCCATATTTCTTCTTCCAGAAATCTATCAGTTTGACACTAGGGTTCTTTGCGAGATCCTGCTCGCTGTTCGCCAACCGTTCGAGCCATTCGACGGGGCCGACAATGTCGAAGGCAGGGAGGTTACTCTTCTGAAGCGCCGGGAGGAGGTCGTGGCGGAAGCTGAAGGTGGATGGGTTGACCAGGTGATATACCAGATTTTCGTCGGTGTGCGGTTCGCTCTTCATCAGGGATAGCTCCGCGATGGCTCGGGCGCAGTCATCGACGGGTAGCCAACTCGGCTGTTCGTCCAGAGCTGGTAGGGAGCCTGTCGTCGTTGCACTCCGGATCATCAAGGCGATGGCTTCGGTCTCGTTCCAGTCTGCGCCTACAGTATCACCGCTGAGCTGGCCGATTCGGAGAACACGAGCATACATGCCGGTCTTCCGCATTGCGTTGCGTGTGATATGTTCAGCGACGAGCTTGCTACGGCCATATCCCATCCGTTGAGCGTGGTGGAAGTCTTCGACGGCTGCTTCAGTGATAATAGCCGGCTTCGGCGTTCCACTTGCAGCGCTGACGCTACTACAAAAGAAAAACCTCGCAGGACTTGGGAGGTTGCTACGCAGACAGAGATTGATCAGGTGGTATGTGCCGCGGATGTGTTGCTCCTCGAAGCTGCGGACGCCAAGGTTGAAGTTGACGGCCCAAGCAGAATGCACTACGCAGGTCAGAGAGTCGAGAAGATGTCCCAGGTCATGTGGAGCGAGTCCGAGATCAGGCCTGCTGAGATCGCACGGCACTGCTCGCAGCTTCGAGCTTTCCTCGTCGGTGAGTTTGATGCCACGCGAGGCTAATGATTGCATGACACGAGCACCAGCAGCAGCTTGGCCAGGAGCGCGTACCAAGGCCCACACCTCGGCGACGTCAGGTCGCTTTGCCATCTCTGCAACAACAAAGGCGCCCAGATTGCCCGTGGCTCCAGTGACGAGAATCCCTTGATTCTTTGGCTCCTCTGTTCGGGTTGCAAAGTGCTGGGTGAAGTTCGAGTATTGTTCAACCAGCCCGTGCATGACATCGATTTCATCATCTTCTTCGGAAAGCTCTTCTCCAATTCGTAATTGGTAGAGGTGTCTCGCGAGCTGCTTGATGGTGCCCTTTTCGAAGACAATGTTCTGGCTCAGAGTTGCTCCGCCTTCGCCAAGGTCAAGGTTCTTCTTGATACTACGCCAGAGTCGTGTCGTCTGTAAGCTGTCAATGCCAGCAGAGAAAACGTCGGTATCGACGCTGGGTAACTTGATCCGGAGCTCATCCTCAAACTTCAACAGAAGCCATTGCTCCAATGCAGGGACATCAAATGCAAGAGATCCAGGTCGAGCCTCATTGCCAGCTTCGAATGCCTCGTACGCCTTGCTGATGTCATCTGCGAATTGCTCATATACTTGGGCGCGGATGAAGGTTCCTTTATCTGTTCTTGGGTACGTCATGTCGGCATTTTGAACGATCACCATCTCTTTGGGCACCCTTGAGAAGCTCTCTGCTTGTAGATTGGCCGCCTCGATAGAAGGCCAGACCGCAGCCAGGTATTCGTCTTTGCTGAGTTCGAGCCCTTCCTCTTGGGAGCGCATGATCAGTACACCAGGCACTGTTTTTTGATAGCCAAAGACAACCGCTTCACGGACTAACGGGTCTAGTCTTATGCTGTTCTCCATCGGAATCGGCAGGACTTTCTCTCCATTCACCAGAGTGAGGCGGTCATCGGAGCGAGCCAGGTACTTGTAATAATTGGACTTCTTGGGGTCCGGATGCCGTGTGAACAAGTCCTTGGTTCGGAAAGCGTTCTTTGGGTTCGTTGCACTGAATGGAGGCTCCGTGTTGCTAGGTCCTTTGGAAGGTAGTCCGTCAAGACCGACGCATTCAAATACGCCTGGCGCAATTTCATCCATGAGTGTGAAATCCGCTGCAGGCCTCAGGAGCCGGAAGTACTGCCACTCATTGTCGCCGGTAGGCCTAAACGAGGTCATGATCTGGCCGATCTCCGTACAGCCATAGTTCGCAACTAGATTGACGCCGTTGGCAACCAGTCGACTGCCAAGCTCGTCGGGACAACTGCTGCCGCCAAAGAGCACAAGCGTTGCCCTAGCAAGAGTACGAACGCCCTCTGGCTTTTCGGCAAGTAGTTGAAGGACGTATGGCACAGCGCTGACCTGTTGAGGCTTTGCCACTTCCATTGCTTCGACCAAGTTCTGTGATGTGACAGGTAGCGAGTGGTTGCCAAGATAAGTCGGCGCGCGAGTGTAGAATGCCCGTCCAAGCTCCATGAGACCATGCGAATGAAAGAGTGGTGACACGCAGAAGTGTCTCAGTCCAAAGCTTTTCCTGAAGTTGGCAAGACATGCTGTATTGGTCAAGAAAATCGGCTTCGGGAAGCCAGTACTGCCTGAAGAATGTAAGATCCAAGCCATCTTCTTTGCTTCCTTGGACATGTCGACATCTTGGCGTCGGAAGACAGGCGCTCGAAGCACACCACGGTAATCCCTACGCTGAAGGATAGGGATGGCCTTACATCCTGGCCGATCCTGGTTGATGTCTTCGACAATGCCCTTGTTTGACTCTGGGACGATCAAAGTCTTGCAATCAGCCAGTTCCAACAGTCGGGCATATGCAGGAGCTATAAGTCTGGTGGAAAGGAATAGTGCCGTCCATCCCAGCCGATTTAACGCGAAAAAAGATATTACGTAGTCGAAGCTTGTAGGTGCTAGCAGGGCAACAACCGGCGCCTTCTCTGACGATGGGTCCTGGATACAATCAGCTTTGTATTGCAAATGCAAATGCGGATGTCCTTACTGCTGGCTCGAGGCCGTTGCGGATGTAATACTGAACAGCGGCATCCGTGAATCGATCGAGGTCGGCACCCGTGTGCTCTTCGTAATCCGAAGCGCCGTTCTTTGGATAGCATATCAGAGGCGTTTGTTCTGGCTCCGCCGCATGGCTCTTCAATAGTCCGTCTATGGTCTTGAAACGCTCGGTCGGCAGATACGAAGCGTCGTGGTGAGCAAGCTTCAGAGTAAACGGTTGCTGATCCGCCTCCGGGGCCGTTATGGTTGTCGTAGTAGTCGCCATTCCGTTCAAACCGGTTGTTTTCGGCTGCATTGTTGTATAGAGATGTATTACATTTATCAACAAGTGAAGTCGATATCCGCCCTTTTCCGCTCGCGACGTCGGATTTGCCACTAAGCGGGAAAGTGGAGCATGCAGGTCGGCATCGTGGCTGGAAGAGTGTGGAGATGTTAATATGCGGAGACTTCACGCGTCCAAAGGTCTCAGGACGTCTGTTGCCGTGTTGTTTTCCGTCTCAAGGCCCGGATATGCGAGAGATTGAACAGCAGCCTTGGCGGTATCAACAGTGTCGAAGACCGGAAAGACTTCCCAGGCACCACCAAAGCTCTAGCGGCTCAACTTGCCTTTCCAGGCTTGTGAGACAGTGCTTCTTCGATTCGTATGCTGCTGTCCAAAGAATTCCAAGTCGCATGCGTTAAAGACCTTAGGTAAAGTGAGGATGACTTTAGCGCCTGCGGTCAGCTTACTGAAACTGAACTTGTCCTGTGCGACACAGAAGGAACAGCTGAATAATGAGTGATACGTTTGTTTTCTTCCGTCGCCAAAATGAAAGCACCAAATCCAAAGTCAAGTAGACATTCGACTCACTATCCTCACTGATCTCGACCGCGAGAGGAGGGCTTACTTCCAAACCACGGGACTTGCTTTAATAGTAAGTGTGAGTATGAGCCGGACAAATTCGAATGCTGTGCTGGGACTAAGTAGTCCGCCGGCGGTATTGATTGGCGACCGGCGAGGTCACTTGCGGCTGCTGGAGCATCGGCGGTCGCGTCCGCAGACATTGACGAGCAGAGGGTTCAGAAGGAGGCTGAAGAAAGTCGCAAACATGCCACTCACCCGTAGTATGGATGCAAGGCATACAAGCTCGACGTCAAAGATCAAGCACCTGTCGAGAAGACATTGAACTCTATCGCCCAAGAGTTCGACCGAATCGACTACCTAATCAATTCGGCAGGGGCGAGTAGAATTTGTTGAATGGTTTCCCTGGCGCTCACCAATGTCTGTAGGTAGACGTCGCTCAATACGTATCGATACCGGAAATCGAGCTCGAGGACCATGATCGCGTTATGGCGGTGAATGATAGAGGCACATTGATCATCTCGTAAGTGGTTGCTAGGATCACGCAGACCAAGATCTGATGAACTTCACTACTGCGCCCAGCAGTAAGAGAAGTCTAGGGCGATGAGCGATCGTCAATGTCACTTCCGCCATGTCTCTTGGTGCTGTCCCGGGGAAAGTTACGTATGTCGCCTCGAAACATGCCGCGCTTGGAATCATCAGATCGCTTTGTACGTTGCAAGCCGTGACAGTATTTCACAGGAATAGTGGCCAGCCGATTCTTGACTCTCGTGTAGCACGGGACCTGAGTGCCAAAGCGGGTGAAAATGTATCTGTCCTACCCGGATCGACCTGCCTGTGTTCGAAGTCGAGACAGAGAAGTTGCCAGCCGCCCCGACGCAGTCAAAGCCGTGATCCCGCTGGGTAGAGACGCCAAAGAGGATGGGGTTGGCAACAGCATTGTGTATCGATGTAGTCCGGCTGCGAGCTGCGTGAAGCTGGTACTCGATGGATGCCTCTCTGCCGGCCCGAAGATCGTATCTTAGAGCACTTTGTTGCCGTTGTCGCGTGTTGTATGAAATGAATGCGCGGGAAAGAAAAGATACCGTATGGAACGCGAAGTCAACGCGTGCAAAGCTGAGCTGACAGGGGGAGGCGCGCCCGGGCCACTGGGGGGGATCCACCTTCACCTGAAAGTATGATGCTTACTTACTCTTCAACGCCTTTGCCGTGTCCGACAATGATGATCTTTTGGCAACAACCCAAAATTAGAACGCTCATCCAATGCTGGAGATGGGGTCCCGATGGTCGTTCCCATTAGAAGACGTCGGTACGGGTCCCCATCACGCTGTCTCTAGGTAATGTGCTTTCACCATCTACTATCTTGCAACCTTTCCTACGTGCTGCATATCCTTAAACCCAATTGTTCAGTGGCTCTCTCCTCCGCAGCATTCACAGCTGGCCAAGATGGGCTCTACAGATGAGAAGATCAACATCGTCATCCTGGGAGGAGGCATCTCTGGACTCGCTTTGGGAGCCGGTCTTGCGAAGAAACCTCACATTACGTTCACCATCTACGAATCCGTCCCCGAGTACAAAGATGTCGGAGCTGGACTCGCATTGCATCTGAATGCCATCAAAGCAATGACCCTCATTGACGACGAGGTACGAAAGGCATATGTCGACCGAGCGCTCGACATGGGCGAAGAAGATATGGAGATGGCAACGCAAGTGATACTGGCTCACGGCCCTAACAGTGGGGAGGTGGTGGCAGAGTTGGGAAAAGCAAAGGGGAGGAAAACAATAGCGCGATATGAGCTGATGAAAGGCATCATGGAGTTATTGCCAAAAGGCGCGGTCAAGTTTGGAAAGAGAGCGGAAAGTATACGGGAGACAAATCAAGGCGTGGTAGTCAAGTTTACGGATGGAGAAGAGGCTACCGCAGACTGCGTGATAGGGTCAGACGGCGTACACAGTATAACGAGATCTTACATCCTTGGTCCGGATCATCCAGCAGTAGAGGCAAAGAACCATGACGGCTACCAGAACTACCGTCGGATGCTGCCAATGGACAAGGCGAGAGAGTACGGCTTGAATGAGCAATGGACGAAATTCGTGCCGATCATGTGCGGACCGAAAGGGAACATCAACAGCATGCCTCTTGATCGAGGGCAAAGACTAAGCATCGGACTTGCACGACGAGGGCTACGATGGGAAGCAGACAAGTACAGTGGAGCACCGCCTTTGAAGCCAGAAGAATATACGGACTACAGCGAAGAAGCGCAGATGATGATTCGCATGATTGCGGACGACGTCTCTGGCTCCTGGTCGTATGCTGATCATGACCACGCTCCTGTCTACTACCGTGGTAGAGTCTGCATGATTGGAGACGCTGCACATTGTACGTCCAGCTAAAAGCAGAAAGCAAAGTGACATTGCTAACGAGGTATCAGGTATGCATCCCTTCGCAGGGAACGGGGCAGCTCAAGCTCTTGAAGACTGTGCTGTAATCGATCACCTCTTCTCCAAAGTACACGACGTCTCCCAGATTGAGAAAGCCTTCGCAGCATACGATACCACAAGACGGCCTCGCTCACAGGCCGTGGTTGAGATATCGCGGAAGTACGGTCGGGTGTACGGCTACGCAGAAGGCAACATGCACGAAGATCCAGAGCAGATGAGAGCCTTCTTCAAAGAGTCCGCGGCTTTCACGAACAATGCCGATTTGACAAAGCAGAATCAGGATGCGATGGACTTGTATTTAGCAAACTGAGAACACAGCCAAGCGACTTGGTACGAGATGGGCTTTGGATGGTCACTTCCATATTCCTAGCTAGCAGAGCATGCAGCTATAACAACCACAGCCTACTAGCCTCTCGCCGTCTTCATGTGCATAACAAGGGCTCATAATATGTCCATCAATATTTGATGTCTCTGCCAAGACCGCAATCAGATATCGGTGCCACAGATCCGAGACCGAGACCGAGACCCCAACTTTCCTGAAATTTCCAGACTGCATTTCGATCTCGCCGCCCACGAAATCTTTTCCACCATTCACGCCGCCAAGATGAAGACGACGTGGAAGGATATTGCGCCGGTGCCGACGTCGCAAGAGTTTCTTGATATCGTGCTCTCGCGCACACAGCGCCGACTACCTACCCAGATCCGCGCCGGATTCAAAATCTCCCGTATTCGAGCCTTCTACATTCGAAAAGTCAAGTACACCTCCGAGACCTTCGCCGAGAAGCTCAGTGCGATTCTCGACGGATTCCCTCGACTGAACGACATCCATCCCTTCCACAAGGATCTGCTCAATACCCTATACGATGCAGACCACTTCCGGATTGCGCTGGGGCAGCTGAACACCGCGAAGGGCTTGATCGAGACCCTTGCGAGAGATTACATCAGGTTGCTGAAGTATGGACAAAGCTTGTTTCAGTGCAAGCAGCTCAAGAGGGCGGCGTTGGGACGGATGGCGACGATTTGCAAAAGGCTGAAGGACCCGCTCGTGTATTTGGAGCAAGTGCGACAACATTTGGGTCGTCTGCCCGGAATCGACCCGAACACAAGGACTTTGCTTATTTGCGGATACCCTAATGTCGGGAAGAGTTCGTTCTTGAGGAATATTTCAAGAGCCGATGTGGATGTGCAGCCCTACGCTTTCACAACGAAGAGCTTGTTTGTGGGACATTTCGACTACAAGATGTTGCGATTCCAAGCGATCGACACACCGGGTATCCTAGACCATCCGCTGGAAGAGATGAACACGATTGAGATGCAGAGTATCACGGCTATTGCTCATCTTCGAAGTGCGATCATGTACTTCATGGATCTGAGCGAGCAGTGTGGATATAGCGTTCACGACCAGATGAAGCTATTCGAGAGCATCCGGCCGCTATTCGCAAACAAATTGGTCTTCATCGTCATCAACAAGATCGACGTGATGCGACCAGAAGACCTGGATGCAGAGACGCAGGAGAAACTGCAAAAATTGCTCAAGAGCTCAAACGTGGAGCTTCTCCAGCTTTCTTGCACTACCACCGAGGGCCTAATGAACGTTAGGAATGCGGCTTGCGACAGATTACTGGCGGAGCGAAATGCGCAGAAGTTGAAAGCGGGTACAAATGCGACTGGCGAAGTTACGGGCAGGCTCGGCGATGTGCTTAGGAGAATTCACGTTGCCCAGCCCATGGGTGGTGTAACGCCGTGGAAGCCAGAAATTCCAGAAGCCGCGAAGAACAAGATGAAATACGACAAGGACGATCCCGACCGACCCAAGCTCATGCGCGACATCGAAGAGGAGAACGGAGGAGCCGGTGTGTTCAACATCAACCTCAAGGACCAGTATCTGCTCGAGAACGACGAATGGAAGAACGATAAGATCCCAGAGACACTCGACGGGAAAAACGTGTACGACTACATCGATCCAGACATCGAGGCCAAGCTTGCGGCGCTGGAGGAGGAAGAGGCTCGACTGGAAGACGAAGGATACTACGACGAAGACGAGGAGCTGGAGGATGCGGAGGAAGCGGATGTCAGCTACAAGGCAGAGCTGATTCGGGAGAAGCGACAGCTGATTCGCAACGAGAACAAGATGCGCAAGTCCCTCAAGAACCGAGCCGTCATCCCCCGGTCCAAGAAGGCAGTCGAGCTGGAGAAGATGGAATCAGCGCTAGAAAACGCGGGCTACGACACATCTGCCATTTCGGCTCGTGCTCGATCAGCATCACGGCCACGCGTGAGAAGTCGAGCCGGCACAGAGGACGCCTCAAACGCTGGAGCTGGAGGTGATGATGCGATGGACGTTGACGAGACTCCAAAGGAACGTCTTGCGCGCAGCTTGTCTATGGCTCGGAACAGGACACAGAGCACGAACAGAAGGGAAGACGGAGTCACGAGCCTCACGAGCAGAAGCAAGGCCGACCGTCTAGCCAAGTTGGGGCAGAAGAAGATGAACCGCATGGCGAGACAGGGTGAGGCAGACAGGCACACGACTGCGGCCAAGTCCAAGTGGCTGCTTGCGGGCAAGAGAGGTATGGGAAGTACGAGAAGTCGTTAAGAGCCTTTTGTTGTTGTTGTTTTTCACTCATGGCTATGGAGTTGAGGATCTGCGCAAGAGGGCATGCATGGCGGTTTTTGGGGTGTTTCAATCGACGAACCACGAGCTCCGTTGGCTCTGCAGTGAAGAGCAGTACGTCTGCGAAGATCACCTGCGAGCGAGATCATTCTGCAGAATAATGTAGCAATTACGGCACATGGACTGCTGAATCAACGCAAGAAGCATTTCTGCATTTGGACAAAAGAGGTATCTCAAGCAAGCGCTTTACGCCAGAACAACTTCTGTCTCGTGTCCAGCCGAAAAGCCTCGTTCAAGCTCCACAGTCCGCACATTACACGCAAGGAAAATCCCACAAGCCGTCAGATCTCAATCGTCTTCCACGACAATCTTCTTTGTCATGCTGTCAACCACCTTGCTGTAGAATCTCTGCGCATGGTTACGAGGGAAGCAGATCTCTTCCGTCAGGTAGTCCGGTAGGAGATCTAACAGTTCGCGATCCCGGCTCTCGTCCAACAAGGGTTCGTATGCAAACTCCGCGTCTTCGTATGAGAGCCCGCTGGGGGTCTTTGGATGGGGAGTAGAAGTGTCGTTTGCGATGGAGAGATGGAAGTGGAGAGCTGTCCACAGGTTAGCATAAGTCCATTATAGGATTTGAGCGGCCGATACTCACTGCCATTGCGGCCGGTCTGAATGCAATCGTACTCGTCTTCGCCTTCCTTTCGCTTCACGCTGCGAATGAGCAGACCGGTAAGATCGGCGTAGAGGTTCTCTTTCATCTTGGCCTCTTTCTGCGCGTCGCCGATATTTCCGGGCACGGCAGTTTCGTTGCGGAGCTTCTTGCCGGCTGCTTCGGTTGATTTGGCCTCCTGTACGCCGTTGGAGATCTGCTGTCTTGCTGCGATGAGTTTCGCATCCATGGCTTTGATTTCGTTTTGGGAGACTTGGAGTTTGCTTTTCAATTCGTCTCGCTCTGCCGTCAGCTTCTCGTTCGAAGTGGTGAGAGTGAAGATCTGTTTCTGCAATCCAGGAGTCTCGGAGTTGGAGCTGGACGACGTCTTGCGGAGTTCTGCGAGCTCTTTCTTAAGAGATGTGATGAGTTCATTTGCATCCTCGGCCTTTTGATCGCTGGCGCGTTTGAGTTTCTCGAAGTTTGATTCGGCCTGATTCTTCCCGATTTCTTGCAGGCTTTCGTGCTTCAGCTGTAGGTCTTCGTACTTCTTCGTCAAGTCGTTAAGTTGCCTTCTCAGCTCTGGATCTCCGCCACGTCGTTCATTTCCGCTGACGCTCCCGCTGCGCTCGCGTGTCCGTCCATATCCGGGCTGTGCAGAGCCTGCGCGGGCACTTGCTCGCGGCTGCAAAGACTCAACTCGGGAGCTGGGTCTGGACTGAAGTAGCTGTACGGGCGCAGATGGAGCGCGTTGGTAGAAGATCTGCTTCTGCTTCGGCGTGGGCACCTTCTCGATGTCCATGTTGTCCGGGTCCACTTCAATAGACTGCTCCACGTCCTCCATTGTCTCTGCATCGGGCTGTGTCTCGGGAATAGTCATCATATGCTCAGGCGAGGGCGCTCGCTTTGCAGGTCTGCCTCGCTTGGGCTTCGCAGGCTCGCTCGCCTTCTCCGACTTGGCGGCCTTCTTGCGCGTGGCGGTCGCGGTCTTTGTGCGCTTTGCCTTTGGTTTGGCGGCCTCTGCCATCTCGTCGTCTTCAAACTCGTCCACCTCTTCCGTCTCGTTCCCTTCTTGCTGCAAGTTGGTGCGGTCCTTTAATGCAGTACGCGTTGTCTTGGGCGCAGCTTTGCGCTTCGTTGTAGTCTTACCCGCGCTCACGCGACGAGTAATGGCGCTTGTTTTAGACATCTTGGTGGTGTTGCGCTTGCTCTCTGCGCCGGGATTCAAAGGTTGAATGGCTGTAGTCGCGAGGAGGTCGTCTTCGCTCTCGTCTGCGCCTGCCCGGGTCGCGGCTTGAGCGCGTGGTGGCATTGAATAGGGTGTTGTTTGAGACGGTCCAACAATACTGCGTAAATGTGCGGGTGGTCAATGCGGTGTTGGTAGTGGGATGTCAGGTGAATGCGCTGTGATGATGTTGAACAGTCGCAGGACGCGCGCAAGGTTTGTTTACGTTCCTCTTCCCAATTCGGCTTGCTAGCCGAGAAGCCCGACGCCAAGTAAAGCCGGCTTACTCCAAGCCGACGATGACCTTTGCCGATGATGTCTTGCGCCTTCCACCATCATCAACGGGATGTGATGGACGGCACTTTCGGATCCGCAAAGCCAATTCTCTCCGTCACGGCTGTAGATGGCCGCGGAGCTCAATAATGGAGAACACGTGCTAACAACCACTCAGCCTTGCTTCCTTCGCTCTGGTTTGCTGAGCCACTCCGTCTGCACAATATTCAGCCGCTGGATCCACGCACATAAATCCGTCCTGACTGTAGCAGATCTCTTTCTTCCAGCATCAGTGCCTTTCCAGAGGCACTCATCAGACCCTCTTGGCACCTTTCTCTACCGCTGATACTTGCCGCTTGGCACGGAATACTGACCATGGCATTTAAGCTAGGCCAGCTCGAAGCGCAGATCTACGTCGACTACAGAGGCCCGTACTACGGCTCGGACGATCCCATCAATGGTAGAATCGTGCTCAGCTACCAACCGCGATCCGGCATCTTCAAGAAGCAGAGCGAATCTGAGACAGCTGCCCTATTTGGACCTCTCAAGATATTCACTGTACTCCGCGGAAATGTTGCCATCAGAGTCCGCCGAGACAACGACCTGCCGACTCTTCACGGCATTGAGGTACTGCAGAAGGCCGACGCTGTGTTTGATGGCTCCTTCAAGGCAGATGTTGGGGGGAACTACGAATTTCCATTCTCTCTCAACTTTCCAGACGGCTCAAATTTGGTTGTCGCCCAAGGATATTCACAAGACCTCCCCTTGCCACCTTCATTCTACTCGCACTTCTCGCACTACCCGGACGTTGTTGACATCGCCATCAAGTATTTTCTTGGTGTGCATGTCGACCTCCCAGGAATCGATGTCAAGGTCAACGTACCAAAACAGAGGCTACAGCCTGAGCTGAAATTTGACCTGCCTAGACCACCGAAAGACTTGTTCGAGAGCAACCTAAGCACATTCACAGAGCGAGCTGTGCTTCAAAGCTCCAACTTGCTGCCGGAGGACCAGCGACCACAGGGATTCAAACAAAAGGCTAAAGCTGTGTTCAGCTCGAGCCACTTTCCCAAATTGGCCCTCGATGTGTCCTGCACTCAGTGGCATTACATTTGCCCTGGCCACAACCCATCATTCGAAATAGTTGTGCGTCGAAGCAACAACGACTCAACTTCACCCACTTTCCCGGAGGTGTCGTTAGAGTTCTTTCGAGTGAAGCTCGTCGCGTATACTTCGGCCAACACCGCCCAGAGGGTCCGCGGAAAGCCTCTCTGCTCGGACAACGATATTGTGCAAAGGTTAGAATGCCGGACGAATCTCCCTCTGACCTACTCCAAGGCCAACGACTACACCCACCGCGTAGGAGTTGATCCGATCGCACAATTGCCCAGTTCCTTCAAGCATCTGAAGGTATCAAGAAGTTATCAGTTCAAGATCACGATGCATTTCAAGGTGGCGGAGGAGACTGTCAAGGTGAAGAAGAAGCATCCAGTAGTGTTGATTCCGCATCCAGTAGAGCCAATGCAGCTGGGCGAAAATGATGCTGGGCCTTCACGTGCAGGCACAGATCAGGCAGCAGGGCCATCAAGACATGGGGACGAAGACGAGGCACTTCCGCGGTATGAAGATGCGGTGACGAGCGCGCCAGGATCGAAGTGAGGTCGCCACTTGCCATTCTAGAGACTTGGGAGCCATAGCGAACGCACAGCCGTAATAAGGAGCAATACGCTGCAAGAAGACTCTGTCTGCAGTAGGTCATCGCAGCACTAGCTCTGAGTCTACTCGACGCCATCGATAAAGTGCCATACCGTCAATGGCCAACGAACAATACTTGCGGCGGCAAAGTACCGGCAAAGGGAAATGAGTAGGAGCTCACGGAACATAGATGGGCGGTCGCTGGGGCTTTGGTCAGATGTCTAGTGTCAGAGGCGATACTAATCAGCTGGCCCTCGACTACTGGCACGCATCGGCCATCAGCAAATACATGCAATGCCGGTTTACCGACAGAAGACGAGCCCGGCGTCTCGATGTATCGACAGTATCGACAGTATCGACAGTATCGACAGTATCGACAGTATCGACAGTATCGACAGAATAGCGTTCCAGTCTCGAAACCCTCCGCAGATATGTATTTTGAAAGGAAGAATCATCGAATCAACCGCTGGCCGCGACTCAGCGGTGGGCGAGCGGCTCAAGCATTCAATGGCTGGATCGATCGCACTCTTCCATGATGATTATCCCATCACGACCTTTCCCACGCACGTTCCTCCACTCAAACGCTGCTCCGCACTCTCAAATGAAGAGCGGCGATGGCATGGTACGTCTACGGTGGTCATCAGGGACCACTACGAGTAATTCGACAGATTGCGGCGCTATCATCGGGCAAGGCTCGTCCCTCTCGCTTCGGCAGCGCTTCCGAGTCGGAACATTGTCTTGCAGGAGCGACCCAATCATGAGACCCAAATGCGGCTAGCGGCATGGACTCCGCTCCTTCTGTGCTTAGCGCTCCTCCCCCATGTGAGCTTGGCGCAGTGCTCGGACCAGCTTCATCAAACTATCATCCGCCCAGCGACAAAGTAGGAGACGACTAGGAATCTGCCCAGTATTTGGTGGTCATAGGCGCCGCCGCCGTCTACAGCCTAACAACAACCGTTTGCACGTCTCGGCGAAGGGCTCGACCTCATTTGCCGCTTTCAAAGGTAGGACCCCCTCCGCTGACTCTTCACCCTCTTCTTCTGCTGTTCTGCTTGTTGTTGCTTCACCACGCGCACCACACGCTCCAACACCGACCCAAGTCACTCTTTTTCTTACCCTTCGACTGCCCGCTTCACTCTTTCAGCGGCTTTCGCTTCACGGTTTTCATCATGGTCTACAACGCTGCAGCGGCGGCGCTCCTGGCGTCCGCCCTGGTCGCCTCGGTGAGCGCGGGCAGCATCCACGCCGCCCACCGGAACCTGCACAACAAGAGGGCCGCCGAGTACAAGGCTCCCGAGTACAAGGGCCCGCAGTCCGCCAATGCCTCATCGTGCGGCTGCACCACCTACACCACCACCTGGTACGGTACTCCCGGCCTCGTGCCCGAGTCTTCGACTTCCTCGTCGGCGCCCGTGACAACTTCGACCCCGGCCCCCGTCAAGCCCACCACATCGGCTGCTCCTTCGTCCAGCAGCTCTCCAGCTCCCGTGTACTCCGCGCCGAAGCCATCGTCCAGCTCTCCCGCTCCGGTCTACAGCGCACCCAAGCCATCCACCAGCTCTTCCGCTCCGGCTTACAGTGCACCGCAGTCCTCGTCCAGCTCTCCCGCTCCGGCCTACAGCGCCCCAGCCTCCAGCTCTTCGCCGGCTCCCAAGCCATCCACCAGCTCTGCAGCTCCCTCTTACAGCGCCCCAGCTTCCAGCTCCTCGGCGGCTCCCAAGCCGTCCACCAGCTCCGCAGCTCCCTCTTCCAGCGCTCCAGCTTCCAGCTCTTCGCCGGCTCCCACGCCATCCACCAGCTCCGCAGCTCCCTCTTCCAGCGCTCCAGCTTCCAGCTCTTCGTCAGCTTCCAGCACCTCGGCGGCTCCCAAGCCATCTAGCAGCTCCAGCAATGGTGGCTGCGCTGAGATCGCTCCTAACGGCAACAAGTGGGCTATGACCTACACTCCCTACACCTCTGGCGGCCAGTGCAAGTCCGCCGACGACGTCTCCAAGGACATTCTTCAGATCAAGGCCAAAGGTTTCACCACCGTTCGTCTCTACGCCACCGACTGCTCCGGTCCTCAGAACATTGGCTCGGCTTGCAAGGAACACGGCCTCAACATGATCCTCGGTGTCTACATCGACTCTGCCGGTATCAGCAAGGCCCGCGAGCAGGTTTCCACCCTCGTCCAGTGGGGCAAGAGCAACGGCTGGGGCAAGGTCGAGATGGTTGTTGTCGGAAACGAGGCTGTCTTCAACGGATACTGCACTGCTGCCGAGCTCGCCGCTTTCATCGGCGAGGTCAAGAGCTCTTTCAAGGCCGCTGGCTACACTGGTCCATGCACCACCACCGAGCCCCTGAACATCCTCCAGGAGAACACCGAAGTCCTCTGCAACGCCATGGACGTCGTCGGATGCAACATCCACCCCTTCTTCAACACGGCCATCGATGCCTCGGGTGCCGGTGACTTCGTTTCTTCCCAGCTCAAGATCGTCGAGGCTCTCTGCAGCGGAAAGGAGGCCTACAACTTGGAGACCGGATGGCCATCGGCCGGTGACGCCAACGGTGCCGCTGTTCCAGGTACCTCGCAGCAGAAGACGGCCGTCGATGCAATCGTGGCCAGCGCTGGTGCCAAGTCTGCCATCTTCTCGTACGAGAACGACAGCTGGAAGGCTCCGGGTAACCTCGGTGTTGAGCAGTACTGGGGATGCGCCGACCTGTTCCAGGACGTCCTCAACGCGGTCTCGGACGTTGTTGACGACGCCACCAAGGCGGTCACCAACATTGTCTCGGACGTCCTCTAAGCCGGGATATTATCTAATGTCTAACTCTCCACATCAACGACGAATGATGGCCCTTTGAGCTGAGCAAGGCGTCGTGCTCCGAGAAGCTCTTCCTGGTCAGCAATGTTCGAAGACAATTTTGGGTAGCGCGCGCGAATCAAAGGAAGAGACCTCTTTTGCTGATATGACCCTTCGGAGCTGCTTCTTTTTTCTTTTTTGCCTGCGCTCGGAATGTAAATACTTCTCTTGCCCTTTGCGGCCGGCTCTCGATACCCTAGCTTCTTCTTTCTTCTCTCTGGCGATCCACGGCCGCGGGCACCTTGACGGTTTTATGTAGTGTGGCCCTCAAACAACGACAGTTCAAGAAGCGTCCGTCCTTTTCCCCCCCTTCTCTCTCTCCATTCTTGTTTGCTTGCTTAGACAAGTAAGGAGAACTCACATCTCACCGCACTGCGCAACCACGACGTCCTGGTTCGGTTTCTCCCTCGTCGTCCTCACATTTTCAATCTTCCTCACCACATCCATCCCCTCCACCACTTTTCCGAAGACCACATGTTTGCCATTTAGATGCGGAGTGGGAGCGCATGTGATGAAGAATTGACTTCCATTGGTATTAGGTCCGGAGTTCTGGTGTTTGTGGAGCACATATTATTAGCGGCCTACCTTGGGATGCAGAGGTATAGGGAAAGGGGGAAACATACAGCCATGCTCAACAAACCCGGCTGATCATGAAGGAGTTTGAAGTTCTCGTCGGCGAAGGCTTTGGTGCCGTAGATGGTAGCGCTCCCGGTTCCGTCTCCGTTCATGAAATCGCCGCCCTGCAGCATGAAGTCTCGGATTACGCGGTGGAATTTGGAGGATTTGTAGCCTTGGGGACGACCGAGGTGGTTTTTGGTCTCGCCGGTGCAGAATTGGCGGAAGTTTTCGGTGGTCTTGGGGACGACGTCAGAGAAGAGCTGCATTTTGATACGGCCCAAGGGTTCGCCGCCGAGGGTGATGTCGAAGAAGACGATGGGGTTGCCATTGGGACCTGCCGGACCTGCCATGTCGGAGAGAGTGAGGTTGCTGCGTAGGGAGTGAGTGTTACACGGGAATGAGAACCTTCTGCGATGCAAGGAGGGAGGGAGGACGGGGGCAGAGCTTGGCGGGGTAAATTTCCGATCAGATCATCAGAAGCCAAGCACGATCTCCTTGCTGGAAGCGGCAGGAGCGAGAGAGCGTGTGAGTGAATGAAGGAAGGAAGGAAGGAAGGATGATGTTGACGCACAGGCGGCGATCTCCTGCCCGCCGCCGAGCAAGCTCGATGCCTTCAGAGCCCGACTTGAGTTGTCGGAGGTTTTCCTGCGAGCAAGTTACCTACATGCCGACGGCACGTGGACGGCTCGTGAAGTGGAGAAGGCGAGACACAGACGGTACTCCTGTGGTCTACCTGTGATTAGGAGTACCTTACTGCAGCAGTGGCCTTATTATTAGAAGCTGTGAGAAGGGTTCTAGAAGGACGCTCCACCTGCTGCTGCTGCGCAGGAGGCGGACAGCACAGAGTTCCCGGCGGGGTCATCCCATGCAATACGCACGTGGACGCGCACCATCGACTCGGCTCGGGAGGTGCGGGAGCTTCACTGCAATCACAATGGGGGAGAAGCCGTCCGGTGTCGTCGTTGTGTCACATGTGTGAGAGGAGATTGATACGCCCGCCGCCCGGCCCTCCGCTTCGCTTCGCTATAGCACTCCCTCATCCTTCAATGCAACCTCTCACGCCTCCTCGCCGCCCTTTCCCACTCGGCCCATTTACTCGCTAGGCAACCCTACCACGACCGCGATCGCGACCGCATTCCCCGTCCGCTTCGGCTGCAACTCGACTCCCACTCCGCCGGGACGAGACACTCCACCGCCTGCTCCAGTTGGCGCTAACCTGCGCCGCATCTACGCATTCGCCCTCGCCCTCGCCCTCGCACATCTCCCCGAGTGACATGCCGCCTGCTGCTGCTGGTGTATCTGTGCTACAGTAGAAGTCGGTGACAGAAGCATGACATTACCGCTTTCGTGCCCTCCTCCAAATCCTTCCTCCCTCACCTCAGACACCCCCGGCTGAAGGTGAATGACGGCCCCGCCGATCGACTAGCTCTACACTCACTTCAGCCTCATCCACCTCTACCCCGACCCGCCCTGCGACACATATTTCTACTCCGATGGAGACAAGAGTTCGTTAGCAACCAACAAATCCATCTCCGGAGAGCGAACCCAAATCGACTGCCCCAGCGCATCGGCTGCGACCTGACGAGGCGGGCTGTGGAGGACCACACGGAATAGCACCTGGCGCACACCGCGCAGGCGCTGCGCCATTGCAAGAGCAAGACCTGCACCCAGTCGACTGAGTGAACATGTCGTTCTTTGGCAAGTTCAAGACCGGTTCGGTAGGTTGCGAAGCCCTTGTGCGTTGGCTTACCCGTCTTACGGCATAGGGACTCGGCAGGCACAGAGGAGTGAGTAGATATGGGTTGGCTGACAACGCATTGACAATTCTAGAATCAGAACAGCGCCAATGCCACATCCACAACCGCGAAGAAGGATCCCAATGCGCCCCAACCGACGCTTCTCGAAAAGCACATCGCCGACGTTGCTGGCCCTGTAAGGCCGGACGGCAGCGACAAGTTCTTTGGCTTCGAAAACGTACGCGCTCCTACATGCCACCCCACTGCAGAACACATGCTGACCGATGCCTATCGATAGTACGGTTCCACATGGTATGACAAGGATTTTCTCTGGGCTATGGCCGTCAATTCGATCACTGACTCTCTCTCTGCATAGCTATTGTAATTCCATAATACAGTGCTTATATTACTCGGCACCCTTCCGAGAACATGTCATCAATTTCCCTTCGACTGCCTTCCTCGACGAAATCCGAAGTAGCCAGCCCAATGGCGCACCTCTATCGCCTCGGACGACGCCTGCGACACCATATCCCAATCCTACATCACCAGCGCGCAAGTCCAATGTCCCAGCTTCACCGGGGCAGGGGCCCCCGAAGCCTGAAGACAGCAGAGATTCTCCGGAGCACAGAAAGAGGCTGGCGATTCAAGCCGGACCGGTGCTTGATATGACACATGACAACTCCCTGAAATACGGCATGGACGAGTCGCTGTTCACGTCATTACGAGACATCTTCGAGGCAATAATAGGGAATCAGTCACGGATAGGCGTGGTGAGCCCGCATAGATTTCTGGAGATTCTCCGACGAGAGAATGAGATGTTCCGGTCTGCGATGCACCAGGATGCCCACGAGTTTCTCAATTTGCTGCTGAACCAGGTGGTGGACAACGTGGAAATGTTCGCGAAGCAGCACCCGTCTCTAATGGCGTCGCATGCGAACGGAGGAACAAAAGGAACGGTGGATATGACTGTCTCGGAGACTGGGCTGAACGTTGCCAAAGGTGGACTGGACACACACTGGGTACACGATCTGTTCAAAGGCCTCTTGACGTCGGAAACGCGATGCTTGACTTGCGAAAATACATCGCAACGAGACGAGGCCTTCTTGGATCTCTCGGTTGACCTCAGTGCCCACACCTCGGTTACCTCGTGCTTGCGCAAGTTCTCGGAAGAGGAGATGCTTTGCGAGCGTAACAAGTTTCATTGCGATAACTGTGGAGGGCTGCAAGAAGCAGAGAAGAGGATGAAGATCAAGCGGCTACCACGGATTCTGGCTCTACACTTGAAGCGCTTCAAATACACCGAAGACCTACAGCGATTACAGAAACTCTTCCATAGAGTCGTCTACCCCTTCCATCTCCGGCTGTTTAACACGACAGAAGATGCAGAAGACCCGGACCGGTTATACGAGCTCTATGCGGTGGTGGTACACATCGGAGGAGGGCCATATCATGGGCATTATGTCAGTATCGTCAAGACGCAGGATAGAGGCTGGTTGTTGTTCGACGACGAGCTCGTGGAGCCTGTGGACAAGAGCTATGTCATGAACTTCTTTGGAGGCGAGCCGGTGCCTGGTGTTCAAGACGCGAAGCAGCTGGCGTGCGCATATGTACTCTTCTACCAAGAAACGACTCTGGAGGCCATGTTGAAGGAGCAAGAAGCTGAGGCCGGTAAACCAGCGCAAGAGATGCCCGTACGGACATCAGACGTAGAGACTGCAAAGGATGGCGCTTCTCCCCCTAACACTAAGAATGGAGAGGAGAAGCTCCAGCATGCGCCGTCAGCCACGACACCCATTGCCGAGGAGATGGAGCATATGGATCCTCTCGTACATGCCACGACCTCGCCTATCCTCGGCGGCTCCGATCGGTCTCGCTTTGATCCTCTGCCATCGCAGCCTGCGCCGCCGGTCAAGTCTAAGAAAGAGCTCAAGCAAGAAGAGAAAGCGCGCAAAGTAGCCAAGAAGGCGGAGGAGAAAGCGCATGATGACAAACGCCACGAAGCAAGTTTTAAGCGTATGGAAGCTTGGAGAAAGCAGGATGAAGAGATGAAGCAAGCTCTGGAAATGAGTAAGCAAAGTGCTGCTGATGAGGCCAGAGCTCGAGGCGACCAGTCTGAGAGTAAGACTGGTGGGCTGGCGCGCTTCAGGCACGGCAGTATGAGTCTGCGGAAGAAGCCGTCCATCTTTAGTAAAGATAAGGACAAGGACAAGCTGCCGCCGGTTCCGAGTGCAAGTACGATGAACTTGAATGGCAATGGGACGACTGTGCCCGCGGCCTCTATGGACGGTACGGCACCCGCGACGGAGCCCCACGAGCACGACGACGTGCCCACGGCACTGCCACCCATGCCAGCAGGAAGTGAGCCTGCAAGGCCTCCCGGCGAGGAGAAGGTGAAGAAGCATCGATTCAGCCTTGGGAGGAAGAAAAGCTCGCTGTTATGATTTTTTGAGCGCGCGAAAGGCAATTGGGGACAGGAAATTAGCATCTCGCACCAAAGCAACGCCGGCCGGCATTGTGAAGGATTTTTTTGTTTTCCCACTTCGAGAGGATTTCTGTGCATATGGAGAGGCAGGTGACATGCGCCCTCAGACGGCATACCGCAAGGCGTTTCTTGGAAGTCTCGAGAGAGCCATCTGGGCTCAGGAGGCAAGGGTCGGGTTCAAAACTTTACCTTGCTTGGACGGGTATGTAAGTGAGGTGAAAGATGTTTTTGAGAGCTTCTTTTTTTTTTGGCTCCGACGAGGCCTCGCTATTCTTCGTGAGACTCGAAATTGCATATTGTATTCTGGACTCTACCGTACCTCCTCGCTCGACTTCCGTGACTCTGGTCTGCTTGTCTGCAGCACCCATTGGGCACGTAGCTGAACCCAGGAGAATGGAGGTGCGCACACAGCATGACCGCCGCACGACGTGGACGCTGCTTGTGTCCCCGTGGCCTTTCTCTCTCCTCGCTCGCTGCTCCTCACATGCGTGTCCCATCCATCAAGCTCGCGCTTCTCTCTCTGTCTCTGTGCTCACAGGAACACGAACAACCTCGACCTGCCAGAAGTAGAACATATCCCACATCTCCATTCTCCTCCCCTCATAAGCAGCCATGCAAGCCCATGAAACTTAGAAGTTTTCCACATCTCCTGCCTCATTCGATGCGTGCCTCTCTCTCTCTCTCTCTTTCTTTCTCTGTTCAACCAAAAGCCACCGCCCAGATAATAATCAACACATTCAAAAAGATGAGCGGAATTCGCATGAGTGTTCGCACGCTGTTGATGAGGTTGATCATCTTGGCTTTGATGGAGGCTTGGTCTGCTGCGGAGGAGGAAGCGCCGAAGCCGTCGGGGGTTTGTTGCGAGGAGCCCCAGCCGACTGGGAAGGATACTATGTCAGTGGGGTTGGAGGTTCTGGGATGGGATGGGAGAGTGTACTTCGTGCGAGGAAGCGGTCTTCCGAGAGGACTGCTATGGCGTTTACGAGGAGGACGGAGACTGGGTGGGTGGGTTAGTTGCGGTGGGTGGATTGGAGAGGTGCTGCAAGGTTACCTTGGAAGAGCCCGCCGAAGGAGAAGAAGAGGGTTGCCATTTCGGATGATTGCGTCTCGTGGTCCGTGAATGCGTGTGTGTGTGAGAGGATGTGTTGCTTGATATGAGACGTGGCTTCCGACCTGTTGTCTGGAGGAGCTGAAGTCGGAGCCAACTTTCGCCGACTCCACTTCCACTTCCCTAGCCTACTTTCCCAAGAACTCTATAGACCCATTGGAAATCGATTAAAGAAGACACATCAAATGTCCCTTGCGGGCCATCACACCTGGCGCGCTTTACAGATTGGCGCTTTCCGACCAGACGCGAGAAAGGAGGGGAAGATGTGGAAAGTGTTGGGTAAAAAGTCCAATTCATACAGCAGATCGAAGAAACGGAGACTAACGAGAGACTTCGCAGGCGACGCGGCCCTAGATCTCCTGTTGCCTGCACTCGTTCTGCTTCACCTGTTCTGCTCGCCGTACACGAAAGTCGAGGAGTCCTTCAATATCCAGGCGACGCACGATATCCTGAGCGCCGGTCTACCCCTTACGAATACGACCGGAATCCTCGCGTCTTCCTTCGATCATGTCCATTTCCCGGGATCCGTGCCTAGGACCTTCGTCGGAGCTTTGCTTCTGGCTGGGATCTCCAATCCTTTGACGACGTTCTTGCCTCGATTGGATCAGCATCAACTCCTCGTCCGAGCAATCTTGGGGCTCGGAAACGCGGCGGCTCTCTGGCACTTCAAGGGCGCGGTCGACATTGCTTATGGGAAGACGGCAGGGAGATGGTATGTCTTGCTCCAAGCAAGTCAATTCCATGTCCTCTATTACGCGTCGCGAACGCTGCCGAATATGTTTGCTCTCATGCTCACGACTGTGGCGTTGCGAAACCTGGTCATGGTGAAGGCTGTGACGTGGAAGACGCTGAAGAGCTCCAAGCGGAGACGACTGGCGCTGTACTTACTCACGGTTGCGGGCGTCGTTTTCCGGTCTGAGATTGCGATTCTGCTTGCTGCTGAGACGGCGTACTTGATGTGGCAGCAACGGATTTCCCTCACAAAGGAGATCATCCCAGCTGGACTGGCCGGAGCTGCCATCGGTCTTGCGACTACGGTTTCCATCGATTCTTTATTCTGGCAGCAGTTCCCTCTCTGGCCGGAATGGGTGGGCTTCTATTATAACACCATTCTCGGAAAGTCGTCGGAATGGGGAACCAGTCCGTTCCACTTTTACTTTCTGAACGCTTTGCCGAGACTGCTGCTCAATCCGATGACATACCTGGTCTGCATACCAATGGCATTAAACATCCAGACCAGCGTGGACATATTGCTACCGCATGTGGCATTTATCGCACTCTACAGCTTGCTCCCGCACAAGGAATGGCGCTTTATCATCTACACGATCCCCGTCTTCACTGCCGTTGCTGCAGGAGGAGCAGGCTGGATTTGGACAAGGCGACAGAAGAGCAAGCGCTACAGCCTTCTGAGCGTCGGACTTGTCATCTCAACGCTGGCCTCGTTCGCGGTCAGTCTCGGCTTGCTCTACATCTCAAGCCTGAACTACCCCGGCGGCGAAGCCCTTCGACGCCTACACGACATCGCTCCGAGCGACCAGAGGGTACCCGTCCGAGTGTTTCTCGACAATCTAGCCTGTCAGACCGGCGTGACTCGCTTCCAACAAATCGACCCAGACTGGGAATACGACAAAACCGAAGATCAAGAAAAGCTTCTCGATCCGATGTTCTGGCAGCAATTCGACTACGTGCTCGCAGAACATCCTGAACGCGTCATAGGCAGCTGGCGACCTGTCGAGGAAATCAAGAGCTTTGCGGGAGTCTCGGTGAGGCCTGGCGATGAGGACGACATCCTACCCATACCGGCAGCACTTGGGGAGCCGGGTCGGAGAATGCAGCAGATATATCAGAACACGGCTCTCTTCGCCCGGAAAAGGTTTACGAAAGGCTACTGGCCCAGCATCAAGATGGAGCCAAGGATATACATTCTGCAGAAAGAAGTCCCTCCAGCAGTAGCAGCAGCAGCAGCAGCGAGACAGAAACCTCCCACCGCAGCTTAATCAAATAGCCATCTTGCTTGCTCACACATAATTCGATACCCTGTACCATTTCAATGTCAGCCACTCCCGCTTTCATCTCCCGCCATCAGACATCTCCCACCACCATCGGCAGCCAAAAAAAAGAAGGCGAAAATTAACTCACTCAATCAAATTCCCATCCGGATCCCTGCAATACACACTCCTCAACCTCCCCACCGCCCCCGTCCTCTCCACCACTTCCCCTCCCTCTTCCATCACCATATCCCCCCCTGCCTTCTTCCACGCCCCCCGCACAACCTCCACGTCCTCATCGATAATGAAACACAAATCCTCACTCCCAGGTTGTACGTTCGTAGCTTTGGGCTCGAATTCCCGCCCGGATTGGTGGAGGTTGAGTTTCTGGGTGCCGAAGAGGAGGGCGTGTCTATATGCATGCTTGCTTGTTAGAGCGGAGGCAGAGATGTGAGGGGAGTGCATGAGTGGGTGGAACGTACCGTTCTTGGCCCTTCGAGGTGAAGACTTCATGTTTCATTCCGAGGTTTCGGGTGTAGAAGTCTATGGTTTTGGGGAGGGATTTTACGGTGAGGACGACGTGGTCGATGGAGCGGACGGCGAAGGAAGCCATGATTGTGGTTGGGGGCTCTGGATTCAGATGATGGGTAGGGTTTTGAGGATGAAAGGAGGAACAGAGATGGCTTGTGTTGGAAATCTCAAGTTGTCTTGGTCGGCCTTCTGTACTCGATGGCCCGTCGACGTGTCGCCGTCTTCGGATGGTACTAGCTTGGACGTCCCGACAAGTGGGGGGGGGGCCTTTACCTTTGAGCTTGCCCTTCATCAGCAGTCTCACAGGTAGATCAGACACGGCGTGCCGGGAGACAGACCATCGTCGTCGCTTTCTTCCAACGATGGAATCGTCGGACTTTTTGATATACTCGAAGATGATAGATAAGTGATAAGGTACTCCTCAGCAGATCCCTCCATACCAAAATGAAGGGCAACAACCTTCATAGCCTCGCTCCATCAAGCAATCCTACGCTAAAAATGGTCCAAGACTACATTGTTGCTCACATTCGTTTTCCTCTTACTCAATCCGTTCCCAGCCCCAGCCGACCTGCTGGCCAACTGCGGTGGAGGGTGATCTTGCATGTATTCCTGCCTGATCCTCGCAGCATCTTGATCCCACTGCGCGACGTTGACCTCCCAGTCCTTCCTCTGAGAATCAGCAAATTCTTGCGCTGCCTGGCTCTGCACTATGTATGGTTGCTTCTCCTCATCCGTAGCTCTTCTCCACCATTCGCCTAACGTACGCCGAATAACGTCGCGGCCGTTTGACGAGGTTTGAAGCTTGCAGTCTTCCCACTTGTCTTTGGTGAAGAGGAGGAAGGGATTGACTCCTGGTCGAGTGGGCTTGGTCGGACGGTCGCCAATTTGGGACAAAATGCTGCTGATAACAGCTGCCTCATAATCCAAGTCGGATGCCTCGAAAGACGGTGCCACCCAGAACGACGGATCAGTTGCGCACACGCTCCTAGCGGGTAGTGCGGCCGGTTTCTTGGGCACCGTGCTTGTTGCCAGAGTCGGTGCTACGGCAGGAATACTAGTCAGTTGCATGCTACTCTCCTCCATCTTGATCATGGGACCAGACGGCGGAACGTTCGCGTTGGGGGCGCTCGGCAAGTTGTATGATCCAGTGATCGCAACTTCTGCTGAATGTGGCATGGTCTGGAGTACAGGCATCTGTGGGACCATTACTTGAGATCCCAGTGCCTCTTGCTTCATCTGCAAAGCTCCAACGAGCGGCGTGGGCAGTTCAATCGCACCCGCCATGCTGTCCATCACGTCGGACGCAACGCGCAGTCCCGAGAGGAATGCGCCGTGTACAGTCGCTGGATGCGTGCCGCATGTGGCTTCTCCAGCGAAGTGCAGATTACCAACTGGTTTGGCCATCAAATCATAGTCCCCAGGTCTGGTCTCTGGCGCCACATACGAATATGTTCCTCTTGTGAACGGGTCTCTCCTCCATCTTGTGACTATGACTTCTCTTGGATTCGGTACTCTCGTCTTTGTGAAAACGGATCGCAACCTTGTGGTGACCTCAGCCATCAGCGTCGCAGTATCCGTCCATTCCGCGTCATGCGCAGCATTTCCAGCCATCAATGCGATAAGCATCGGCCTTCCGCTGATTTTGGAGCAGTTCCAGAAGAGGTAGAAGCGGCCTCTTCTTCGTTCGTAGTCGGTCGGATCCATGCTGGCATTCCGCTCGGCTTCATTGAGAAGCCCGAACATGTCGCGTTCGTCGTCCCAGAAGGGCTCGTCGTAGAGAAGAATGACCTGCACTTATTGTTAGCACTGGCGAAGGGAGAACTCACTCTCTGGACATACCTTGTTCAGGAGACCGAAACCCATCCGGTCAATGGCGCCAGACTTCCAGCTTGGCAGTGGAGGGTCAAAATCGATGTCGCCCGACTTGAGCACACCAAGGGGTGCAGTCATGACGACTTCATCCGCTTCAATAACTTCGCCGTCTGTACATACTATCTTCGTCGCAACAGGCCCGTTGCCGCCTTTGCGATCGTCGTAATGGATGCTGTCCACGATGCGATTGAATCGAACGTCAAGCTTGGTAGGGATGTTCATGAGCCCGCGAGGCACTTGCGTGTAGCCGCCAACGATTTCAGAATGAGCGCCCTCAAACTCATTCCCAGTATCTTGGTCGTGACCGCTCAGGCTCAGCTGCGAGACTGGAGCGGCGTTGGCATACTCAAGATTGGCATGATGCCAATTCAACAATCTCATGTCCAACGGTGTCATGTCAATAAGGTCTTGGTATTGTTGGATGGCTTCGTCCATGACAGTCCCAAGAGTTGGGTATGCGCTGGCGCCTGCGATGCCATGGAGGGTAATGCTGCGGTTTCTTGCAATCCCGTCCTTGATCTGCCATCCCATGTTCTTCGCTGCTCGAGATGCGCTCACTGTCGAGTTGGTGCCTTCCTCCATGACCTCACTCCTGCCAGTCAGCTTCTCCGTCCCGGGCGGCGCATTACGCCGCCTCCCTCTTCTTGCCGCCGGCTTGTGGACTTTGACATGGGCAGCAGGAAGAGGCTCAAGCTGAAAAGCAGTGAAGCCGTCCGGTACTGGGTCCCGACATCGATTGATCAAATCTTCGTCGCCATGCAATGTGTCCTGTTTTTGTGGCTCCGCTCTGTACTCCCCGGCCCTGTCTGAGATGTCCGTGTAAAGCTCGGTGTTGAGCATATCCCTTTTCTCTTCAATAGCTTTACCGTCACAATCATAAATAGTCAATGCGTCCTTCATAAGGTGATATCGAATCCCGAGTTGTCCACGTATGATGGTGTCGAGTGGGTTGCCGTGCTCGAAACCGGTGACGATCATGGCGCCCATCTCGGCGGTATTCCGAAGGCCGTCAGGTAAGCTGTTCTTCACCTGACTTCGGAGAGGCTTGGAGTATACTCGACCACCGATGCGTTTCCTGCCTTCCAGAACAATCACACGAGGTGGTAGCTCACCAGCATTAATCCATTTCGCAGCTTCTTGTCTGAAATGGCTCTCAAGCTGGCGTGCGGTTGTCAAACCAGAAACACCAGCGCCGATTACCACGACTGTCCGTTGCTTGGCATCTTTGTTCAGCCTCTTCGGTAGGCTAGGATCTTTTGGAACATGCACGCAGCCGAAGTTGATGTAGCCATTGCGGCCGAGCCACTTGTATGCAACCTCTGCGAGACCGAAGTAACGGCTCGCTTTTGCACAACCAAGCGCTTCTTCTATTGAGACGCTGCAAAGTGGATTCTGTGTCCATACTCGAAGGATGGCATTGCGAATGTTCAGATATACCGTGACCTCTTTGGAGGTCAGCGAATTGACGAGAAGTTTGTCCTCGCTTGGATGCAAGGCGTAGGGATCTAATCGAGAGTCGTAAGCTGCTTGAATGCATTGGCTCGCGAATGTCTCCGCAGAGAGTCGAGATGGGATGGAGGAGCGTGGCCGAGCTTTGATCTGGTTCTTTGTAACTCGGGGCGCTCTGGGCTCCTTGGGTGAAATCGTGGCTGGCGCATTGTGGGTGGAAGGCGTCTCTGTGACTGGTGGTCTGATCTTTGGTGGTCTGCCGCATTTCTTTCTAGGTGGTGCTTGCCGGTCCGGGACTTGCTGAATGTCAGGCGCGGGAGGCAACGTTGTAGTGGTTTGTATGGGTTGACTGGCTGTCGGCGGGAACGTCTTGACGCTGCCATCAAACCAACGTTTTCGGGAGGGTGGAGGAATGAGTGGCTTTTCAGTAATAGGGTCGTCGGCAGCGACAGATGAACTCATCGAAGAGATGCCGGTACTGGGAGCAGAATCTGATGAGCCATATCGCCGCCACGTACCATTGGCATCGAGCTGCCACCCGTTTCGCTGAGATGGAGTCGGATCGCTGCGATCGAAGACCTCGGTGCCGCTTGAGGACAGGCTCGAGTCGTCCTCATCGACGGTGGGCGGCTGGGGGACATTCACATTCACAGTTTGGCCCAGAGCTGCAGCTGGCAGCTTGGCCTGGGATGTGATATAACCCGTGTCTGCCACCGAAGCCGCCATCCCTCCTGCGGTGTTTTTATTTGACCAGACGACGGAATTGAGATATCTGTTTCGCCACCATGTCGCCGTGGGAGTCGGATATGCGTGCGGAACGTCGGGTCTGATGGGGAGGCTGAGTGGATGATCTGTGCTGCGGACTCCTCGATTCTAGGCCGAATCAGTCGGGAAGCCGGTGCGGACAACGAATGTGCGTGTCAAGGAGCGAATTGAACACGATATTGCGGGTGGGGATTCATGAAATGTGGTGTGAGGGATGGGATGAGGTCCTCGTCGGCGCTGGATCAAAGTTGATTCGACTCCTCCTGCCTCCCGTGGCTCTTCGCTCCTTCCTCGCCTCCCGCACCCACCCCACTCTGCCGTTAGCGCAACCATTTCCAGACGACACCTCTTCTCTCCTCCGCCACCTACACCTCGGATCTTCCATGTTTCCTCCTACATCCGCGAACAAAGCCATTGGCGGTCGTCTCAGTGATGCGCCGGCAACATACTGTCCATTCATTCCATCCGGCTGCGGAGAAGCCCGCCACCGTTGAGACATCGCCGTGTCGCCGCCTGTCGAGAGTCACCATCGCCATGCGCCACGTAGGCTATCCGCAACACAAGATCATCGGAAATAAAGAACAACCATATGTCAATAGCGGCTCAACGTAGCGCGCAAGTCCATGCGTCTCGCCAGATGAATATCACGGACGCGCGCTTCAAGAGATAGGTCATACCGGGCGTGGTGTACCCATCCCGGTACTTTCTTCTGGTCACATCTTCTTCTTGACCTCTGCGCGAATTACTCTCACAGAAGCAGGAATGCCGACATGGCTTGCTCCAAGATTTGAAGCGTTGATATGTTGGCTTCTTTTAGCATTCTCTCGCCCACGTAGACCGTGTCGACCCCGCCAGCGTGGACGAAGGTATCAAAACGGTCTATTATGTGGACTTCTTAAGCGAATGTCAGGAAGAGCACAGGAGGCGCTGGGGATTGAATATCACGATGGATGTACAACACTTGTGGAATGAGGTGGGTCCAATGTCACGACGATCTTCCGGTGCGGTTTGTTGGACAAATACTTTCGGAAGAATTAAAGAGTAGCATTTTCGGGCATCGAGGAGTCACGCATGAATATTTCAGTTCATCCAACGTGGTCGTGACTTTCGTCGGCAGCTGGTGGGCCAAAACCGAGGCCTGCACCAAGCCCTCGTCTTGCATTGCCAAAGCCGAGACCAGCAAATCCTGGTGCTTCCTCTGCATCTGCCCCGTCACTCTCATCTACCATGTCCTCATCCCCTGTGTCGTCTCGTCTCTGCTGGTCGTATCCGTTGACTGTATCTGGCGGCGCTTCGATCGCCGGCGCGGTGCACTTATTCTCGCCTGTGATGCCTTTCTCCCGCCTGAGCTGCTCAAATTTCTCAGCAGTCTCTTTCAGAGCGCGCTGAATGCGGACCTCTTCTTCCGCCAGCCGCATCTTCTCACGCTGTAGATTCTCCATCTCCTGAAGTTTCCGCATGCGCGAGCTCTGCATGTCTGCAACCTGTTTGCGCAGTCTCTCGATCGCTCCGTCCAACGTCGGCAGTGGCGTAATAATTGGTGGCGTTCTTGGTCTCAGGTCCGCAGGATCAGGGGGCGCTGCATTCTGCGCGTAGGTGCCATGTTTCGTCTGCGCGGCCTCAAAAGCAGCATTCCGATCACGCTCGCTAGCATCTGAATCAGAATCAGAAGCGCCTTCTGCTTCCGCAATCTGGGCGGCCATTTCCTGTTTTCTTCGACGAGCCGCCTCTGCTTCAGCTCTGCGGCCAAGCGCAATCTTTCCATCTTCCGTGAAATCGTCGAAGTTCTCCATGACATCTTCATCGTCCGCTACCAGTCTGCTCTCAGACTGCCCGTACTTGTCCTTGGGTTTCAGGATGAGTCTTCCATGCTCGTCCTTCGTCACATTGTCGTCTTCGTCGAGGTCAGGATCATCTGGATCCAGAGAGATGTACTCCTCAGCTTTCTGTTCTTGGGCGAGCCTCGCGCGACGAGCCTTCTTTTCCGCGATCTCTGCGGCTGACGGGATAGCAGATTCATACGGCACCCAGCTTTTGCCGAATTTGGAGGATATGTCCAAAGATTGAGTACCCAAAGAAACCAGTTCGAGGTCGGTGTTTTCGGCAGAGCCAGATTGCTGTGGTGTAGAAGGCGTGCTGTTCTTGAGCTCCTGGAGAGAAGCGGCGCTGTAATTCGGGCGATCATCCTCGTCACCAGTGTCCCGCGTGGGTAGTTGTGAAGCTAGCAGTGAAGATCGCTTGGAGGCATTGCGCTGTATTGCGACGCGCGAGATGTTCTGGCGCTTGGGCGTTACAACTGACGCTTCCGATTCCTCCTCATCGTCGAGGGTGGATGGTCCGCCGCGAGACTGTCGAAGAGCAGACGATTTGCGCGGCTTCACGGTCGGTCTTCGAATCGCAGAATCTACTCACATGCAGTCAGCGCATGTCGCAGGCTGGGCCGAAATGTCAGAGCTGGACTTGTACGCTTGAAGAGTCGAGGAATTTACCTGAACTTTGGCTTGCATCCGAGAATTGCGCGGGTACCGCTTCATCTTCTTCATCCTGGCCGATTTTGCGTGGTACTCGGCGTGTGGAGAAGGCTTTCTTCATCGTGTCTGTTTGGCTGAAGATGAGCTCAGGTAATGGAGTACCTTCTGTATCGGAGTTTGAGATCAGAGACCGAACTTGAGCTTCTCGTGTGCCCGCCCTCGGCAAGATCCGAATTAGCGTACGATGTGGCTCGGATTCGCATGGACGAGCAGTCCAACCACAGCCAACGACATCTTCAACTTTCTTGACCCTGCACCTCCATCCAACTAACCACATAACGTTGCGGCACAAAAGCTCTTTCGCTCCATGTGGCCTGAATGCTTCTGACATGTGATACAGGGAACACGCATTCGCCACATAGCCCTCGATTCCGAGCCGCATGTCGACGATGCGACCTCTCGCGCATTTGGCCTAACTTTCAACGCCCATCTTCATCTATGTGCCTTCAAGCTCGCGTATGGCATCGGTCCGCCCGTACAATGCTGCGAAAAGATATGATTGTACATCCCAGTCTGGAACAGCGTGTGACTGCGGAACGTATCAATGAGCGGTAGTGGTGATACTACCGCTCGGAGCGGCACACCCAAAGCACTTCTCGGCGCACGAAGACATTCTTGCTACAGCCGTATAAAGGTCAGCTATTTGATATGCTGTGGGACCTGCATGTGTCGTTCCCTCTGACTTTCTCATCATCCATGAACATTCTCTCCCATCCTCAGGATTGCCTTCGAGATATAAAATCTCCTTTTGATGCCAGTAAACAGGCCGAGATCATCCATGGACAGGCGATGGAGGTCGACGGACTTGCAGACAAGCAGAATTAGTGACAATAGAGTCGTGTGCTCGCAGAAGCCAGGGAGGTGGAGAAGGCACATCAGCTCGATCCCAATCTTCCCGACGAGGCGATTGAAGCCCTGCAAGCAGCCGCGAGAAGGAACACTGTAGAGAAAGCCTTTGAGATTGAGGATGTGTTCTTGGAGGACTCGCCATACGACAGCATCAGAGCTGCCGTCCGCCCAACAAATGGAGAAGAGATGGCCAACACGTTACGTGCTTGAATCCTGGGATTCATCTTCGTCGCTGTGTCTGCTGTGATCGAATTTTTCCCGCGATTCTGGAAGATGGTTGCACCTGGAAAAACTTTTGGGCCGAAGACTTGGTGAGGTCGTTGGTGTGCTCTAAACGTACATGTATACGGCGCTGCAATGCCGAGGATTCGAAGTTGCTGCCCGATTCTCTGTCGTCTGACGACCTGGCTGAGGAAGGTATTCTCTAGCACCGCACCTTGGCATGACCAGGCAAGAACGTCCACCGAGAGAAAGGGGTTTCGCAACCATGACGACGAGCTAATTTCACCCATTTTGCATACCTCACATGTACAGCTTGAGCCTCATGCATTTCCCATCAACAGTACTTCCAGCTACCATCTCATTTCCTACCAATCTCTACTAACCGTCTGACCCTCAAATCGCGATGACAGAAGAAGAACTTTCCCGCACACGCCACTGCATGTTCGCCCCAGATCCGAAACACATCGACGAGAAAGTCCTCGACCACACCGGCCACATCATCACTCACCACGACATCCCACAAGCACACGTAATCTCACGACTACGAACCCAAAACCGCAGTCTCGGCTCCCTCTCCCTGATAGCCACCCACACCCGCACGCAGTTCGCTTTCTACAAAAACGACCCCGCCTGCCTCCTGACTTTCCGCTTCCAATTCCTCGGCTCTTCCAACGCTTTTCGCTTCCAGAAAGCTGATGTTCGGATCGAATTCAAAGCTGCCTCTTCTTCTCATGCTGCTGCTGCTGCTGCTGCTGCTGCTGCTGCACCCGTGGTGGTAGACTACGGTCCGAAACATCTATCGAGTGCTGGAACGGACGGGCAGAGGAATTGGTGGTACAATGCCACGCTTTCCGCTTCGGCGAATGGAATGGTGCCCGTGCCGGTCGGACCCAGCATCAGCATGGGAGGCGGAGGCAGTCATGGGAAACACACTGCCGTTACGGTCGAAGGGGCGGATTTCGCCGCACATGGACAGCAGGAAGCGAACATTGCGAAATTCTGGCTGAGGGAGGACGAACAGCGACAAGTCAGCAGCATACATCTCCCTTTTCCTGTGCATGAAATTCTCTTTGCTGACAAAAAGGCTTCGCGTTAGGACGGCGTCCCGTGCGACTTCGAATGCGCTGTCATTGTCAAATGGACCGATTCCTTTGAAGCACAGATTGATGTCAAAGTCGGTCCGCTATTCGACTGGCTAGCGAGTCCTTGGCCGTCTTCGAGTCCAATTATCATCCAGAGAGGAGTAGACTACGGAGAGCCAATTCGCGCGACGCCAGCAGTAGATATGGACTTCTCGACGCTGACCCTAGAAGAGTGGAGGAAGTTGGTTACGCCGCAGTTGGACTTTACCCAAACATTGCACAGAGAGTCGTTACATTGAGAGAGGAAAGAAGGGCCTAGTCAAGAGGTGATAAGGCCGATTTGAAACGGGTTTGGAGCGTAGATGACTACCAAGGGATCGAGGTATATTGTGTTCGTAATCATGAGTATTTGCATGCCCGTCGTGACGTATGATGTCGTTCGTGAACAAGATCAAACATAAACTCCTTCGCTCGCTAAACTACTCCACCGAAAGCACAAAACCCAAACTCCGAATATCAATGATTCTATCCCAAACTCTCCTCTTTCAACCAGTGCATGTCTTTGCACCGGGTGCCTAGGTAAGCGTAGCCATGGCAGCGGCGAGTAGCTTCGCATTTCGCCTCTCTGTAGGACACAAACTCGTCAGCCCATGTCCTCTTGCAGAGCTCAGCGAACGGGCCGCTTGGCTGGTGATGATCTGATAGCACGCACCCACACCAAGACCGCTCAGTGAGCAGACCGAACCAAGGCCATCCTACCTTTCCTGTCCTTTTCCACTCGTATCACATTGCGCGGCGGGCTACGCTCGCGCTCGTACATGACTAGCTCTCCTTTTGGTCGGCTCCGGTCGCGGTATTCAACGAGTTCGCGGTACTCCTCTTCGGGATGTTCGCGCAGTCGAAGAGCCAGGCCGCGTCTCTCCTCTGCTTCGCGTTCTAGGCGAAGTGCTCGACGTTCAGACTCAAGAGCGCGGATCTCGGCGTTGATGTCTCGGTCGGCGCGGTGTTCGCGCTCAGCAAGGACAACAGTTCCAGGGTGATGGCTATGGTGATGAGACGGAGCGCGCTCTTCGATGATCGTTTTGTGCTCTTCGTAGAGTTCCGGGGCAGCTGGTGGTGGTGGAGCAGATGGCGCTCTGAATGCTGAAAGAGGCGGTGGTGAGCGAGTCTCTTCTATCACAGTCTTGCGTTCTTCAACCATGGTACCTGGGGCCGATGGTGCGCGTGATCTTGCTGTCCGAGCGGGCGAACGCTGACTGATGCTGCTTTTGGCATTAGGCGATCCTTCGCGGATAGACCTGGCTCGGGATCGGGCCCCGACTACTGTGGGTGGGTTGATCCACTCGGTGCGCTGAATGAATTCGTGCTCGCCGACCGGGGGCGGCGGTACAGGAGTGAGCTCTTCAGCGGACTCCTCGAAGCGGTAGACTTTCCGTTTCTCTGCAATTGATGGATCAGCCCATGCATCTACATTTGGCGGAATCTCACATGACTTACCTCCGTCCTTGTATTGCTCGCTGATCTTAATGACTTCGTCAATCTGCTCTTTCTCCAGAGCTATGCGGAGGACAAAGAAGTCCTCCTCTTCATCGAATGGATATCCAAGATCCATGATAGCTTCGCGCCGGACAAGCCGCTTGGGCATGCGAGTCTTACCCTTCTTGAATTTCCTCTCCTCACGCACGCTCTCCATAAACGCAGTCTCGTGGATACTCTCGTATACGCTTTTGGCGGGAGGTGGTAATGGGACCGATGGCGCGCTCTCTTCCTCTTCAATGACCGTATCGGCGACGCTCTCATAGACGGTTGTAGCTTTGGTGCTCTTGGCTTTCGTACTGGGCGCTTTGCTGCTCTTTGCCTTGGAACTCTTGGCTTTCGTACTAGGAGCTTTCGTACTAGGAGCTTTGACCGTGTACTTCTCTTCTACTTCCTCCTCCTCCTCTTCTTCTTCCTCTTCCTCTTCCTCTGCCTCCTCAGAACTGGAGCTGCTTGAGCTGCTCTTACTGCTCTCCTTCGCGGACTTCTCACTCTTTGGAGGCCTCCGTCTGTGCACAGATCGCTCCCGCTGGATCTCAACTTCGCGATAATCTACAGGCGGATACTCGTCCCTGTAGCGATAGTCGTCCCATTCGTCTTTGCGGCGACGAATTGGCAGCGGGACCGGCGTGTAGGGGGGAATCCGATATTCCTCCCGCTCGTAGCGTGCGGGACGTCGATCGAATGTGTCCAAGCTACTCTGGCGTCGTAGAAGACTAGGACGAGGCGCTCTCTGGCTGATGTCGAGCTCCTCTTTTGTGACGCTCTTCCTGTTGTAGGGAGTAAGAGCCATCTCAGCGACCTCACGAGGGTCGATGTCACCGAACAGTTCTCTATCGGTACGGCGTCTTGGTTTGGAGCGGACACGGTCCTCTTCAAAGAATCGATCGGTCTCCTCCCACCGTCGACCGGGACGAGAGGCCTCTCGACGTTCGGCCACTACGACATCTCGACGTCCAGGCCGATCGCGCTCGGTGAAACGATAGTCATCCTCGTAGTAGCCTGGTCCTCGCTGACCGAAGCGTTCGAAACGTTCGCGATCCCATCGCTGAGGGATGTCGCCGTAGGCGAGATCTTCGTCCCTGGAGCGCGGCATGGCTTCCCGTTCTCTCGTCTTGCTCCGCTCAGCCTTGTATGACGAATCGATGATACTGAGTCAGTAGGCGGGATGGGATGTTGCTGATGGTTGTGGTCGGTAGACCGAGGACACGGGTATAAGAAGGGGTCTGGATGAGACTTTGACAGGAGTGAAGTGGTTGAGGGAGGCTGCAGCTCTTCTACTCGTCGCCTCGCTGGGAGATGCTGTGGCTGGGATCCAGGATGGGCCTTGTCGCTCGAAATATGAGTGTCACTGCTGCCCGAAATGAGATTATTGGGCGCAGCGAGACCTGAGCGCTACGTGAGAAATTCGCGCCGGGCGAGGAAAGAAGTGTATGGAGGAGAAGTCGGTTTGGGCAGCAGAGAGAAGGCCAACCATGCCGGCGGAAGGCAGGTGGGCAAGCTCGCTCACGGGGTTCTCGACTCTCACTGCGTCACGTTGCAGGGGCCCGGTTGGAGCCCGACACCCCGACGCTTCCTTGGCAGAAACCGCGCTTGGGAGCCGACCTCACGCCTTCCTCTCCTAACAACACTTGCTGTATCTGTCGCGAACTGCGCCTCCATACAGGCTGAGGACACGTCTTCGTGGGAGAGAGATCACTCGATGGTCTCTGGGAGGATGTTCACTAGGAAGAGCGCGGAGACTCACACTGTGATCGGAGGTGCGGATGAGAAAGAGCAAGATGCAGACCTGGCTTGGAAGAATGAAGTTGGTATCCGCGCAAGGCGAAGACGCTGTGAAGTAGGCTATAGGTATGGCATCTGATGTGAGTACCTCTCGCATTCATGTCCGCTGTCTCCCGAGTTGCAGCAGACGGAAGCTGAAGAGGGACTCGAGCCGTAGTTGCCCTGTCCACCGATTATCGTATGTCTGGCAAAGCATAGTTGACATACTTTTCAGATGATGTACCAGGAGATGCGCCTGTGTCCGCGCCTGCGGACTGCATGCATAAGCAGTCCATCTCGCGACTCGGAATTGCACGTGACCTAGAAACATCTCTTACGACCTCATGCCCCGTGACCCCCCCTGGTTTCGCGGACTCCCCATTGGAGCTCTCAATAATCAGACCATTGACGACCGGATGAACCACTCAGAGATGGACAATAGTAAGGCGCAGCGACTGTAGTATCGTTTTCGGAGCTATGGTGGGGCAGGAGCAGGGATTGCAGTTTCTGCCTCAGGCCGCTAGCGCCAAGTAACGACGGCAGGCGCAACTACTCAACGCCTTTCCTGGAATCCAAATGCTTCGGGAGATGGTAGAACAGCCTCTTCAGAACGCGCTGTCGTTGTAAAATCGCAAGAATCTCCAATGACAGGCGAGGAATGGCTTGCTGAGGAAGAATAGTTGGACTTCACATGCGCGAAAAACAGCAATAGCGTTCGCGCTAGCCAGGGTGTGCGGCACAGCCCGCATGACACATCAGTGCCCCGTGCGCCAGAGCTCCAGAGGCTCCTTTTGATTCTTCCTCTCTCTTCTTCCTCTCTCTTCGAAACACCTGCAAACTTACACCTGCAAACTTGTCCGAGTATCTTGCAAGGCCAGCGCACAGCCGACAACCAGCACCCAGCCGCCACTGATCACCAACCACCTGGTCCACACCAAGAACTACCGACCACGGACAAGCGACCAACGACTGACGACCATCCCCCAACCCCAATCACCGACCAACGACCATCCACCGACCAGCATGGCGGTACCAGTCCAAGAACTCCTCGCTTACCGCGAGCAATTGATTGACGGAGTCACTGAGGGTCCGATCACTGAAAGGTAATTCCGAATTTAGTCGCGCGATGTGTCCATAACACCACTGACCCTGATCGCAGCACGAAACTTGTCGCCCTCCATCAGCCTAACTTGTGCACCGACAATGGCAAGCTCGTCCGCAACCTGACGCAAATCGCGCGTCTCGACACTGAGAACGAGTGCTTCATCATCACCGAAGATGACGTTGTACTGCCGCCTCAGGCTATTGGCAAGCATGCAATGCCTCAACAGTACACCTTCACGGCATCGTTCAACCGACTGGTATGTACTATGCCCCAGAGCTGCTTTGGACGAGCTGAAGCTGACTTGAGAACAGCTGACCGCGCCCGTTCTCCGACTGGAGTGCAAGTGGCCAAGAGTATCGGCTCCGCACGGGCAATCGGGTCCCTTCAAAGTCAGCCTGGAGTTCCATTTCAACTCCTGCGATGGCGTTCCGGGGATTGAGAACTTCGAAGTTCGCAAGAACGTCGACCTTGCGGGTATTGAGAAAGACGAGATCGTCTTCACTGCTCACGGGGCTACCTCTCAGGGGCTCCGAAACATCTCCAAACTGCCTCCACACAACAGAATGGTTCTTGGCGAGTTGGTGCCAGTACTCAACAGCTTCCTCAAGCCAGAGACGCCGATACAAGTCCGGCTGAGATTCAACGAGCACCTGGACAGAAAGGATGCCGCAATGGCAAGCATGTTGCCGTACGTACTCGGCGACGGTGTCGAGAAACTGCCGACCATGACGCTCCCAGAGTGGAGCACGCTCCTTCCTCTTAGCCCGGAGCGCAACATTCACGCTCTCATGGACGCATCGGCTCCTCACCCAATGGTGCCTTTCGAGTGCGTCGACACTTACACTAGCATCGATCAAGCCTCCATCGAGCTCTACGAATCTGCCAGATTGGCCAACATCGAGCAGGAGGAGAGCCTCCGACTCTGGGCCGAGACAGAGCATCATGCGCTTCTCTACCAGGTCGGTCGCACTGTGGTCATGGCCGTCAATTTCCGTGCATATCGACAATTAGTCGGCCCGGGGGGCCCAGTCAAGTCTTCCGTTCCGGACAGACTGCTCGCTTCGGCCACCTGGACAGATCCAATCTCCTACCAGACCTTCACCGCAGAGGTGAGTCGTTGCTCCCTCCCAGTGCATCTTCCAAGCCACGACGCACTCTTTTCCATTCCGAAAGCAGATGGTGCCATTCGGGCGACCTGCCTGCGCTCGGATCCAAACCCACCGGGCGCCCAATTCCTGGCTCGGGTCAAGTTCGCGCCTCGAATGCCCAAGTTCACGGTGTCCAGCCAACTGAATACCGTATCCAATCTGAGGAGCGCTGATGCTGCCCCGTGGCATCCCCTCATTCTCAATCAAAACCATGCCCTCGAGCAGGTCGATCTTGTCTTGAAGCGAGCCGAAGACGTGGAGACACCCCTGGAAGCTGAGGTTGAGGAAGCTTATCAATGGATGCTAAACTTCCGCAAGTGGAATGCAGAGCAGCTGCAAGCACTCAAGAGCATCCGCAAGGCTGTGGGTGGCATCGTCCTCATCACTGGTCCAGCCGGCACGGGCAAGACTCTGGTGTTACAGGCTATCTGCATCTTCCTCTACCGTCTTGGTCTGCATATCTTGGTTCTTGCCCCAGCCAACAGCAACTGCGCCGATTTCATGGCAAAGCTGGCCCAATACTTCCCAGAGATCTGCGGCACCCGCGTGTTGCCTTCATCCATGGACTCTGACATCCGCAAAGTCAGCCCATCCTGCAAAGACGATGCAGAAGAATCCGATCTGGCTGACTTCGAGATGATGCGAGCGGACAGCCAGCCTTCCTCGGAGATCCCCCATCACGGTCTGCCTGCCCAAGTTCTCCAAGCCGCCAGACAAGGCAAGCACCACGACAAGGTCCACCAAAAGATCTTTGGAAAGAACATGGATGTCTGGCAGGAACTGCAGAAGTGTGTGCTCAAGTGCGACGACGGTACCTTCGACTGGCAAAACGCCGAGGATGTCAAAGTCTACCAGCTGAGCTACAATTTCTGCAAAGCGCATTTCGTCGCCATGTCACGCCTGATCATCACCACGACAGGCAATGTGCGGACTGCCGACATTGTCGAAAATTGGGCTTTGGGCAAGCATGGCATTGAGTGCAAGGGCATTGTCGTCATCCTCGACGAAGCCTGTAAGGACCGGGAAATTGACACCCTCTCTGCTCTGCTCTGGCCAGTCTATAGGAACAAGATCACTGGCATGGTGATGCTCGGTGACGAGCGTCAGCTGGAGCCCACGAATACCTGCGCGAAGGGCAAGACCGTGTACAATCCGTTCAGCGACCGCTTGAACGTTCCTTTCCTGACTAGGCTCAAGCGGGAGGGTTTTCCCTGCACCGAGCTGGTCGAGCAGCACAGAATGAGCGAGCACATTGCACAATGGGTGAGTCGAGTTAATCAAACAAAATTATTTGAAGGCGAGCTAATGAAGACGCACAGCCGACCGCCAACTTCTACCCTGCTGGCATGAGAAATGGTCCGGGTACCAGCCAGTTACTCAGTGAGAAGCAGCCAGGACTCCATGCTGTTCTGGTCAACATCCTCCAGTCCGTCGGCACCAACATTCCTGCTCGCTTCAGTGCCGTCCAGCAGGACAAGTTCATCCGCGCTCACTACCTCGAGGTCCACGGTGTTCGCGACAACTCGAAGCAATCTGCATTTGTGAGAGAGCACATCAAGTTCTTCTTCGACAAATGCTACTGGCCTCTACGAGCCTACTACGGCGCGGAGACGTTCGAGAAGGTGATGATCATTTGCGCCTACAAAGAAGCGCGCAAGTGCTGGCACGAGGCCGCTCAACACCTGCAGCACAAGTACAAGATTCCGAACGCTCAGTTACCGAGAATCCTCACGATTGACTCCAGTCAAGGATGTGAGGCACCGGTCACTTTCATCGACTGTTCCGTGCAGCAGTACTCTGCCCGCACGAAGTTTCGCGATATCGGCTTCGTTGACAACGACAAGCGCATGAACGTTGCCATGACGCGCGCGCAAGACGTGCGCTGGATCTTGGGTGGCAGCTGCAGCGTCCGTGAGCGCCGCCGCACTCGTGACCCGGGTACGCCTGCCTACGTACGACACCGCGATGAGATTGCGGAGTTCACCATCGTGAAGAACGAGAAGATCAAAGATGCCGGCACTGCTTGGCTCGAGGGACTGACGAAGCAAGACATCTGTCTTGGGCGCCGCTTCGGTCACGAGAGCACTCGCCCTTCGCACTGATGTCAGCTTCCAACTGATGTCAGCTCTTGTGATGAGAACAGATGAAGGCATAGCGCATTGTGGATTGGGTGGATGGACGGCAATTGTAACATCAGAAGATTGACGGCTGCTCCAGTATGTAGTCTCTGCTCCAGTCGATGTACGAGCTTGACTATGCTAGTCCACACAAATGCTTGTTGACTAAATCATCTCCATTCTCTCACTCTCACTCATTCATAGCAGCTTCGAACATCTGATGACATGCGTTCCGCGCGACGGTGTTAACCCACACACTGAAGAGTGTTTCGTGTAGAGATTCCAGATAGGCAGACCACCATGTGGGCTGGTGTAATTGACTGATGTCGAGGTGGATTGTTGCAAGCCGCTCCTGGAGCAGAGGAAGAGGGGGGCGAATTCTGGGTGAATGGTAAGTCAGCACTCGCAGTCATTTATCCTTTTGGGCGAAATTATACCAAGGAATGCTCAAATGAAAAGGAATAAGAGCTACAATTACAGCGCCGCTCGCCTCAGTCGATTTGTAAGCTGTACATCTATATTGCTGCCGTACTCACATACACGCCGTTCTGTTGGTGCCGAGCTCGTTTTCTTACCACTTACCTCTGATCACATGTCCTCATAACGTCACACGACAGACCGATACATTCATCCACGCTTCCTCGTCCTCGCAGTCGTCCGCGTAGGCTTCACGACTTCCTCCTCGCTTTCGTCATCATCGTCTTCCTCGTCGTCGTCTGCATTAGCAAAATATTGGCTTCTAGTTGGTGTAGCTTTCTTCGCAGGGCGAGTGATCCTCGTACGTCGACTAGTGGCATTTCGTGGCGTGATCATCACCCTTGGCGAAGCAGGCTTGTTCGACTTGAGCGCGACTTCGGAGTCGCTCATCTCTTCGTCGTTCTCGTGATCATCCAATTCAGAGAGAGGCGAATCACTGGCATCGTCTGGAAGCGTCGGTACAGAAGCCCTTCGGTTGAGTTTTGGGTTGCCTTTCGAGTTTGCGGGTGGTTTCTTGCCCTTCGACTTGAGCTTCTTAGCGGCCAAACGCTTCGCAGCTTGAGTAAGCTCTTGCTCTTCTCCAACGTCGTCCTCCTCCCCCATACTCTCATCCTCTCCTTGCTGGGTTCGAACTTGGTGCATAGACTGAAGCGACACTGGTTTGGTCAGAGCACGATTGCCGTTCTTTTGCTGCGGAGCCGCGGGATGATCTGGATCGTCTTCAACAACAAAGCCACCACCTCCTATGCCCTCGGGAGATTGGGCTTCCTCGTGGTCTTGGTCATTATTTTCTTCGTCGTCGTCGTTCAAGAAGCCACCTCCCATTCCTGCTTTCGATTGGTGGTTACGCGCCTGCGGTACCTCTTCCTCTTCATGGCCCGGGGCGAAGAAGCCCCCGGCATCTCCAGCCATGGGCATGGTCTCCCGGCCTTCCCTTTGCGCTTTGCTCACGAATGGGTTGACCTCATCTTCGCCAGCACCATCGTTGGCATACTCAGCTCGCATTCTTTCCACGATTCGCATGCCCATTAACATCTTGCGCCACCAATGCAGAGCAGCAGCGGTCCTCTTAGTATCTTCTTTCCGCTTAATCTCTTTCTGCTCTTCTCCCCAAGCGTCTCTCACCAATTTAGCGTTCTCCTCGGCTACAACGACACCTGTAAGAACAGGCACAGCTCGTTGCTTGCCGAACTCGAAGCCGGTGCATGCTTCTGCGTAGTCAATCTCCAGCTTCCGACAGATTTTGGCAGTGCCTTTGAGCGGCAGATGAACAGCTCCTTTCGGTACCATGGTTTCCACATACACATCCATGTTGCCGAAGGCGTTCTTGGGAATGACACCGTTCTCAATTGGCGGCGGAATGATCCAGTCAGTCTGATCCCAGCTATATAGGCCTTGTGTCAACTTCTCTCCAGTCTCACGGAAGGCCTCTTCCATTTCACGCTTGCGCACTAACGTAACAGCGCGCATTGGGACATGCTTGATCGGCTGCTCGCCGAATTTCACAGCACGACCTTCTTTATGCCACGACTCGACAGTCTTGCATGTGGCGACATCTTCGCGCCGGTAAACCGGGTGATCTTTGGCCTTGTCTCCCTTGCCAGCTGTGAAGGTCTTCACAGGCGTCGCCCCGGGCACGATGGCTTCTTCGCGGCGAAGATGCTGGCCTAAAACAAACTCTGCAGATTGCTTGTACCATTGCAGACTCTCTTTCTCAGCCTCTTTATCCTCCTTGACCGGCTTGAAGGGCTTGAGATCGGTTTGCTCCTCGAGGTCATCGGCAGGCGTCCTTTTGGCATCAGGGCGGTCATACAACGACATTACGGTCCGGAACCAGTCATAGTCTTCATATTTCTTGACCTTGCCTCTGTTATTGTAAATTGGGATCCTCTCAGCAGGCAAGCGCATGCCCTTTGTCTTACCTGGAAGCTGATGCTTCTTGAGGTACCGTACTGTGACGTCTTTAGCGGTTCCATCGGACGAGAACGCAATCGTGTAGCACACGACCTGTTTAGCATACTCGGCCTTTTTCCCTCGAGGCTCAAACGTCTGCAAAAGCTCATCATTCGAAGCGATGGTGGACAGCACGATAGGATCTATCGGTATGAATTTGTGTGTAGCAGGGGAGCACACCTCAGTCCAATATGTCGGAAATGCAAGGTCGCGATCGTACTTCTTCGTCGACTTCTTGGTTGCAGAGCTAGGTGTAACATCGATCACTGAGATATCACCATCGTCTTCGGCCTCTCCAACAATCTCAGCACCAGAAGAGAGCTCGCTCAGCGGGCTGTCTGATTCATCCAGGTTGATAGGTTGACCCTTGTTGCCCCTAGTGGATGTTCGCTTAGGCTTCTCCTCCTTGAGCTTCTTCTGTGACCTGCTGGCAGCTCTCTTCTTCGCTGCAGATTTTGACTCTTCCACAGGCTCCAACTGGCCCTTCACCTTCTCCTCCTCCTTCTCTACCTTCTGATCTTTCTTCGACTTCTTGGGATCAGCTTCCTCAGCTTTGCTCCATCCAATTCCGGCGGGCTGAAGATTAGCCACCATCCTCGTATCCAGACCGATGCCTCTCAAGAGCGCGACAAAAAGCTGACCACCAACATCCCTTGAGCCTTCGCACTTCTTCGCCAGCTTGCGGAACTCTGCTACGTCCTCGATTCGTTCACCATGCTCTTCAGCATTGTCTCGATCATTCTGCCAACCCTTGATCTCCTCACGTAGTCGCTTGAGTGGCATATACCCAAGCTTGCGAAAGGCTGGAGCCGTCACAGTGAACTTTTTGCGCCAATAGGCGGCCAAGACTTTTAGCAACCGCAACAGAGGATCTCCTCCACTCAGATTTGGAACGCCCTGCTCCGAGTGCTGCGCATCGTAGTTCCAATCCCTGCCACTGCTCTTGTCTTTGCCTTTACGACCTCGCTTGCCTTTGTTCTTCGCTGCAGCTTGCTTCTTCTTCGCGTCGAGCTCTTCCTGGCTCAAAGTTCCCATCGCCTCTCTCCAGCGTGTAATCTCACGCTTCACCCCGTCTGTCAACCCTTCCACCAGCGTCTGTTGAACCTCTCCATCGTTTAACCATGAGTTTCGCATCGTATTGTGCCACATGAGAGACTGCACATGTAGGCAATGAGTCAAGAACCTTGCACGACGCTCTTTCTTGGACGGGGCCTTCTTCCCTGTAGCTAAAGACACCAGAGGCTCCACGTAGCTCCCGTCCTCTTTGAGTGTGATGGAGACATCTCCAATCTCAGGTTCCTCCGGAGCAGTCGCTGTTGATGGACCTTCGCCTATCGCATCCTCCCATTCCATCTCGTCTTCGTCTCCATCTTCATCGTCGTCTTCGTCCTCGTCCTCGTCCTGATCTTCGTCTTTTACAGGGGCAGCAGCGTGCGGCTTGCTGGTCGTAGGCACATCCTCGAACTCATCGCTGTCGACTTGGCTAAGAGATGAGCCAGCCTCATCCTCGTCGTCGAGGGTCTTTAGGTATCTGTCTGTCTCTTCTGCTGATTTTACGGGCCGGTCGGGTGAGTCGATGGCGTCAAACAGCGATTGCTTTGATCGTTTCGAGGCAGACTTCGAAAGAGCTTGTCGCTTTGCCGAGGGCGAGGGTTCAGGCGAGTGCTGACGCTTTCGGGAGACAAAAGGCGGCATGTTGAATTACAGGCTCAACGATAAAGCCAGTGGTGGAACCGTCACATATCGGTCAGGAATGTGTGGAGTCGCATCTCGAAAATCACTTGTATCGTCTTGCACGCGACGAGATTCACGCGCATTCGACGGTACCTGAATCAATGACTTCATCGCGCAGTCGCACGGGCCTCATGCTGGACCTCCCTTTTGCCGTCGTCTTGTGAAAGTCGTTTCTTTCAAGTCCCTTTTGTAGAACCCAAAAGAGAGATTATAGGCCCTCGTCGAACGCACCGTCTTTGGCCCCAGCCTCTGTTACCGTCAACGGAAGTTTCACGCCTCTCGAGACCGGCCACTGGTATTGCTTCCAACGGTCTTCTCCATCCCACCGGCCTCGTCAAGAAGCAAGTTCCACGGGTTGTGAGCGTGCCAGCTCCAACTCTCGTCCCAGGAGCCACGCAGACTGGTGCATCGACAGATCACTTTGCGGAAATCGAGCCAGCTAGTCTGCCACAAGAATTGCTTCAAACTGTGGACAAAGTCCTCTCTGGAAGCGAGCAATGCACGAAGATTCTCAGCCAAGGCGGCCAGCCTAGCGATGAATTGAAAAGGTTGTTCGTTGAGAAGCTCCTCGGTCTCCAGGAATGGATGCCTGGATGGCACTACGCGTGCGCCTATTTGTATCAAAGCCGACTGCATTCGAGCAGAGGTCGTTTGGTCGGCAGGGCGCGCCTGGGTACCATCGGCATTATTCATAGAGAAAGTAGATGTGATCTGATTTTTGAATTTCAAAATGATTCTCCAACAAAACAAAATCTGTGGACGACCATGAAAGCCTGCATGACTCTCATCAAAGCTCGTGTGATCCATATGACCAACAAGAGGTATTGAAGTCGGAAGGATCCTTCTCTTCTCGCTGCCTCCGGCTCTTCCCCACGAACTCCACAAAAAGCCGCCACCGCTATCACAGCTAGAATGGACGACGGGCGGGCATAGCCGGGGCAATTCTGGGGAGCACAACATGGCGGTGGTTGGCTGTCACCAGGTGTACCGAAGCAGGCAATCAGCGCCACGATAACTGTGATAAGATACCTAACATCTACAGCAGTCTCCCTTCATCGTCTCTTACCCACACCTTCTCCCTCCTAACTCCAACCTTCTTTCAACGCTAGTCCACCACCTCATCTGTCAAAAAGAGCCTGCAGACCCGCTTCCTTCTCGCCCATCTCTTTCCCACTCTTTCCCATTCTGCGTTTCGATCCTAGCGAAGGCCCTTGTCAGAACCCCGCAGGCAGAGACTCGCCCATGGCATTTGTTGCAGAGTTCTTCTGTCTACTCCTCAAGGCTATCCGTTAAGGATATCCGTTGAAGAACACAACCGGTGATTTCCACAACCGAACAAGTCACCAAATTGACCGGAGCGGCCACGCCGAAGGCGACCGGGAATCGCTGGAACAATGTCTGAACCAATATCCGGGTCGTCCGATGGCGACAGTGCGATGCTGGCCCTTCTTGGCAAGAAACAGGTCCTCCAACGCCGTTTCTCATTCTTCTCCATGTTTGGATTCGCAGTCTGTGAGCTCATCACCTGGGAGACTGTCCTTGCACTCTTCAGTCAAGCATTCGAAAACGGAGGACCGGCTGGCGCTGTGTATGGCTTCATCATTGCCTGGTTCTCGACCATGTCAGTCTACACTGTCATCTCTGAATTGGCGTCCATGGCACCCATTGCTGGAGGACAGTACTACTGGGTGTTCATGATGGCTCCGCCAAAGTGGAAGCGAGTCTGTAGCTACATCGTGGGCTGGCTTACGACGCTGGCGTGGATTGCGACTGTGGCTACAGAGACACTATTCGCTGGGCTTATTATCCAGGGTATCATCATCTTGGATCGGCCAGACTACGACGCGAAAATGTGGCAAGGAACTCTCCTCACGTGGGCTGTCATCCTTGTGTGTATCTTTGTAAACACAGTCATTCCTGCTTGCCTCCCACGACTCGAGATCTTCATTCTGGTATTCCACATTGCAGGATTCGTCGCTATCCTGGTGACCTTGCTGGTGATGACACCTGAGCTCGGGTCAGCGGAATCTGTTTGGCTCACCTCTCTGAACGAAGGTGGATGGCCTACTCAAGGTCTTTCGTACTGCGTCGGCTTTCTCGGTAATGTCGCTACCTTTGTAGGAGCAGATGCTAGCGTCCATCTCGCAGAGGAAGTCTCCAATGCAGCAGTCAACATTCCAAGGGCAATTCTTGGAGCAATGACCATTAATGGAGTAGTCGGGTTCGCGATGATGGTGACGGTGCTTTACTGCTTGGGCGATGTCGACAGCGTCCTAAACACCAATACTGGCTACCCTTTCATCCAAATCTTCTGCAACAGTGTGCGCAACGTCGCTGGTGCCACGGTGATGGTCGCCATCGTCCTTGCGCTGACATGGGCTTGCTCTATTGGAATCACAACCACGGCGTCCCGAATGTGCTGGAGTTTCGCTCGTGACCGAGGGCTTCCATTCTCCAAATACCTCAGCCGAGTGACTTCGAAAAGCAAAGTTCCCGTCTATGCGATTCTTGCGGTGACTGGAATCGCGGCCCTCCTCACGCTCATCTACGTCGGGTCTTCGGCTGCATTCAACGACGTTGTATCGCTGACAATCACGGGCTTCTATGGCTCCTACCTCTTCCCAGCCTCCTTCCTCCTCTACCACCGCATCAAAGGCAACATCCTACCCAAAGGCAGCGACCAAGAAACCGCTCCAGAGTCCGCTCCAGAGTCCGTCCCAGCCGCATCAAAGGTCTCCGCGGCCATCGATGCACCTTCTAAGCCCTCACCAGAAGACGTCCGTTCCAACAACTCTTCTTCCACAAATCTAATCGCCGTTGCCCAAGCCCAACTCGTCTGGGGCCCGTGGCACGTCCCTGGCATTCTCGGAATCGCAAATAACATCTACGCTTGCTTATACATGGTCTTTGTGATTTTCTGGAGTGTCTGGCCACCAGATGCGCACCCGACGGCTGAGACGATGAATTACAGCGTTGTGGTGACTTTTGGCGTGATGATACTGAGTGGTGTATGGTACTTCTTGGGTGGCAGGAAGCAATACAAAGGACCGTTGGTCGATGAGGACGTTGCAAGGGTTATGAGAGTCGGAAGCGTAGTTGGGGTTGAATGAGAGGCGAATTGCAATGCCAAATCTAGATATGTTCTGGGCGAGTATAGGAACGGGCAACGTTGGCGAAGTCTTGTTCTAGATGTCTGCGAATATGTGATATTTCTGTAGCTCAAAACCAAGCGAGATTATTCATGGTTCACAGCCGGAGGTTTGCAAGCCCAACAGCGCTGCTGCAGATAACGGTCTTTGCATGTACCATGCCATGGATGAGAACATAACTACCGCAATATATGTCGAATAATCCAGTGATGCTGTATTGGCGGTTTCGCGATGGGGCCACGCATCCCCTCGAAGGAGGTGGAGCAGGAGAAAGATGAGGAAGGCAATCCAATAGAATCGAGAAAGAATTTTGTTGGTCAAAAAGAACCAAAACAAAAAGGAAGAAGGCTCAGATCAACCGCAGTTGCGTACAACTCAGTTACTCGAGGGGGGGATCGAACCCCCGACCTTGTCCGATGAGCAGATGCTGTGAAGGACACGTGATAGCCCTGGGGTTACGTAAGCGATTGATCGATTGGCAAATTCGGATTTCGGAGGAACTTACACTACACCACTCGAGCCTTTCTGATTGGTCAATTGCGCCGACAATCAATATATATACCCTGGCAAAAAGCTGAGGACCGCGTTCGCAAGTTGGTATTTTCGAAGTCGCTGGGTTCGATACATTTCGGCCCGCGTGCATGGGCTGTGTAGCCAATAGCATTTGAGAGTCTTCACAAAGTAGCTCGTATCCGTAGCAGTGATCAAACGGACTCAGTAGAAACAATGATATGCCAAGACTTTGCCTTGGTGAGTGGCAAATGACGAGCATGCAGAGCAACAAACCGGGAGGTCCCAAATTTGTTCTTTCAGATCGATTGAAATCGTGTGAACAAGAGAAGGAAAGAAGAAGGCTGCTTGAGAAGATCGTGGTATCTTTTACATATTTACAGGTCCTGGCTTCCATGACTTGATCTTGAAAGGGTGTTTTATGGCGCCTGAGTCTTTCCTGTATGAGTGTCGCGTTCGAAGTAGCTCCATTGGTTGGCCTGAGGCTTCTCCTCGAGGTCCTCCCATCTGTTATGCAGTTAGCACCTGACTGTCACCAAAAGACTCAAGAGAGACATGACTTACACTTTATTCTCCAGCATGATATCCACAAGCTTGCTCTCACCCTCCGCAACTTGAATGATCTCCTCAATCAATCCTGCGCCAATCTTGCTCTCAATCTCATTGACCTGCTCCACTGTCAAAGCCGGCTCACTCTCAATCCTTGGAATAGCCGCTGCCTCTGCCTCTAGATCTCGTGCCATCATGGCCTGACCTTTCCTCTCCTCTTCAGTCGCAATCCCTTCGACTTGCGGCTCTCCAATAAAGGCATCGTCCTCGTCCTTCTTATTTTTAACCTCCTTCAATGCCTGGTCCTTCCACACAATATTGAATTCTCCCGGTCCGCTAGTACCTTGAATTGGTACTTTTCGGAATGCCTCAGGGTGGTCTTCTACCAGCTTATTGACGCGCTGTTGCCATTCTGATAGGCCGGCTGGTTTGACCGATTCGATTATGCCAATGCGGTGTCGCGTGAGAGCTTCGGTAGATTGTCTGTACACGGAGTGTTCGGGGAATTGCTTCAGCTTCTCCAAGGTTGTGTGGTAGGTGTAGAGGAGCGTGCTTCGTGGAGAGGAGTGAGTGATTAGGCCTGCGAGACCGGTGGGAGCTCCCGGTTGGAGGAATTGGGTGCTCCGCTGAACGGAGGCGAGGAGTCGGTGTGCAGCCCTCATGATTGCGGTATGTGAGGGCGCAATGGGTGGTGTGGGTGGTGGAGGTGGTGGTGGTGGAAGTTGTATTCGACGATGAGGTCAATCGGAAGGGCAATGGAGATGGACGGAGCTCAGCGATGAAAGGGCGCACGTGATTGGCTGGGCTGATCAGGAACCTGGCCACGCGGAGAGTTAATGGCAGGCTCTCCCCAAGATTAGAACAGCAACATTCCTGCTCGATCAAAAGTTGAGACTATCTGTCTATTTCTGCTGCCTGCCAGAATCCCGACTCTCAGCATCCACATACCTCCGCTTTGCCTACTCGTCCGAGGGTACTGAAGATTGGAGGCCAGGCGGAAAGCACAGCGCGCGACATCTCACATCAGCCACGCAGCCATATCTCCACGACGACACAGGACGAGCTCAACAAAGAGATTGATCATTGAGAGCGAATCCCTGTTCCGCTGAATCGCCCACCCGACTTGACGGGCCTTGAGCCCTCACGCTACCGCACGTACTGCCATCATGCGCTCCGCTTCGATATTACGATGGCTCGCTCTGCCTCTCCTTGCGGCTGCGACGGCCGTGTCCCCAGCCGGAGGATGGACAGGATCCGAAGGGCGGATAGAAACATCTGCAGATGAGCTGAGCGTCAGGAAACTCTTCAAGCGAGATGAGTCGCTATCAGGCGGCAAGATGGACGGCGATCTGTCAAGCACAACAGATGGCGGCGCGACCGACTTCACGACATTTAACGGCAAGCGAGTGCCTCCCCTGACTGAGTTGGAGGGAGCAAAGTTCGACGAGACCGTCAAAGATGGCTACTGGCTGGTGGAATTCTTCAGTCCGTACTGTCACCACTGCAAAGCGTTTGCCCCGACCTGGCAGACCCTCTACGAGTTCTATTACACCTCCGAACCGCTACCGCAAACCCCGGGGTCAGGGGAGACTCACAACGACATGAACAGCTTCACGCGGTACTACAACTTCAAATTCGCGAAAATAGACTGCGTGGCCAACGGAGATGCTTGTTCGAAGAAAGGGATAGGATCCTTCCCCACAATCAAGCTGTTCAAGGATGGCAAAGAGGTGGAAACAAAGGTCGGGGCTAAGGACATGAACACGATGAGCAATTGGATTGAGCAGATATTGGAGAGCTTCAAGCCGGGCTCCAGACCGGCAGGAGGGCCAAAGCTGCCGAAAGTTGGAGCAAAGGAAGCACCGGCGCAGCCAGCGGTTGCTCCTGTGCCCAAGGTCGGCGGGCCAGCGAAGACGACAATATCCGGGACAAGAATCGTACCTCTCCCTCAACAGACGCCGAATCCAAGCGGTGCTTCTCAGCCTCTCACTGCATTGGATTTCCAAAACAAGGTCACCACCACGCACGATCCCTGGTTTGTCAAATTCTACGCTCCCTGGTGCCATCACTGCCAGGCAATGGCTCCAAACTGGCAAGGTATGGCACGGCAGATGCAGGGTGAGTTGAATGTTGGAGAGGTCAACTGCGATGTCGAGAAGCGCCTGTGCAAGGATGTCAAGGTCCGCGGATACCCAACAATCCTCTTCTTCCAAGGCGGCGAGAGGATCGAGTACGACGGCTTACGAGGTCTTGGGGATTTGATAAGTTTTGCGAACAAGGCACTTGCGGTGAAAGAGGGCGTGCCGTCTGTCACGGCAGCTGAATTTGAAGAATTGGAGAAGAAGGAGGAGGTCATATTTCTCTACTTCTACGACGATGCAACTACCAGTGAGGATTTTGCAGCTGTCGAGAGACTGGTTCTGAGCTTAATTGGACATGCGAAACTGGTCAAGACCAGCGATCCAGCACTCTGCAAACGCTTTAAAATCAGCACCTGGCCTCGACTTGTGGTCAGCAGAGACGGCAAGCCGAGCTATTATAACGCCTTGTCACCTCGTGAGATGAGAGATTTCAGAAGGGTGCTCAACTGGATGAAGACCGTCTGGCTGCCGATTGTACCTGAGCTGACCGCCTCGAACGCACGCGAGATCATGGATGGTAAACTGGTCGTTTTGGGCATTCTATCCCGTGACAGACCAGAGGAGCTTACTGCTTCAAAGAGGGAGATCAAGAATGCAGCACTCGAGTGGATCGATAAACAAATCCAAGCCTTTCAGCTTGAACGTCAAGAACTGCGGGACGCCAAACAGCTACGGATTGAGGAAGCCGAAGATCGCAACGATCAGAAGGCATTACGTGCCGCCAAGAGCATTCGTATCAACATGGATGACATTGAAAGAAAAGAAGTTGGCTTTGCTTGGGTAGACGGTGTTTTCTGGGAAAGATGGATCCGAACAACCTTTGGCATTAGTGTGGCGGACGGCGAAAAGGTGATCGTCAACGACGAGGCGAACCACCGCTACTGGGACGTTACTATGACCGGCAACCCAATCGTCCCCAGCAGAACCTCAATACTTGAGACACTGCCTCGTATCGTAGCGAATCCCCCAAAGATCGCTGCGAAGAGCACGACCAGCGCTCTCGGTCATCTTTGGTGGGTTGTCAAAGGCCAAATATGGGAGCACCCCCTTGTCAGCGCCGGCATCTTAATTGGGATATTAGCTGTTGGCTTTATATATGGCAAGAAACACCTCCCATCACAAGGCGGGTACATCAAACTCACAGAAAAGGGTGGCATGAACGGTCTGCTGGGCGGCAATGCTGGCAACGGACAAGGAAAGACGGATTGATTTCGCTTTTTCTGCATAGCAAGCTTGCATTGCCGGGCGTTTGTGGCGTGGTTATCGAAAGGCATGGGAAGGAGAGCGAGCAGCCTATCTATATGTGTTTTTCCGAGAGATGTAGTAATGAAGTGATACCTTTGGTTAATCTCCTGTTCAAACAGATGTCTTGCACACTCTAATAGGGGTGGACGCATGTGACCGAAGCTAAAATCCAATGGGGCAAGTCTAACGTCATTGGTGTGTAAAATCGGCAGGAACGACTTCACTTCTACGACTTCATCTCTTGCTGTCCAATTCAGTCGCTTGTCAACTCGATCGCAACCAACCGCAAGACACACCGTCTCCCAATGGCTTCTCTCCGCTATCTCGGCCCCAAAGCCGCCGCAGCTTTGGACGAGGAACTCATGTCCAGCGGCGCCTTTTCCATCGATCAGCTCATGGAACTTGCTGGACTCAGGTAACAATACCATCCACTGTACAACACCGCACCACTCTAATTATCCCGACAGCGTCTCCCAAGCCCTCCACACGCTCTCCCCACCCACCAAGACTCCCCGCATCCTCATCGCCTGCGGCCCAGGAAACAACGGCGGCGACGGCCTCGTAGCAGCCCGCCACCTGCACCATTTCGGCTACAACCCCTCCATCTACTACCCCAAACAAGGCAAGAATGAACTTTACGGACGTCTGCGGAAACAATTGGAACAGCTCCGGATTCCCTTCATTCAGGATTTCCAGTCCCAGCTCTCGCAGTCGGATCTTGTCGTCGATGCCATTTTTGGGTTTTCCTTCTCTGGCGAGGTGAGGGAGCCTTTCCCAAACGTGATACAGGCTTTGGCGGAATCCAAGGTACCGGTGCTGGCGGTGGACGCTCCTAGTAGCTGGAATATTGAAACTGGACCGCCTTCGGAAGGACCTGGGAAGGAGTATAATCCGGACGCTTTGATTTCGCTGACGGCGCCGAAACCGCTGGTCAAATGGTTCAAGGGAAGACATTTTGTGGGTGGAAGATTCGTGGGTAGGGAGATCGCGGAGAAGTATGGATTTGATGTCCCGCCTTTTAAGGGTGCTGAACAAGTCGTGGAGATCGGGAGAGATGGAGGGATGCTATGATTGAGGATAGGAGACGAAATTTTGACTGTGTTTGCGAGCAAACGAGTTGCTGTGGTATCGTGGGTTGGGGGATCCTAGTGGGCTACTACCATTTGCTCTCTTCTGAACACGACGAAGCGCAAATCACACCGTCTGGGTGACAATACGCTGCACAATCTTCCAATCTCCGTTCTGCCCCAATGCAGTCTCCCTGGTGCGCTGGCAGACTTCTGCTACCACAACCCCGGCAGTTTCCTCCCGTTCAAATTGCCATTCCGGCGCGCGCTTTACTCTTCTCCAACAAGATTCTGCCCCTCCTTCAGACCCTCAACCTTGAGCTCTTCCCCTTCCGCTCTGCGGTAGATGTCTCTGACGTCCTCGGTCATGGTCTCAAAATGGCTCGATGCGTCATAGCTCTTGGAGATGAAAACATTGTCCTTCGTGCCATCCTCGATAGGCTCGTAGATCGGAATTGGCGGGCCCATGAACTGCTCCTCGATCTTGCCAAGGCGCTCAAGACCAGGTGCCAGTTCGAGATGATGGTTTGCATCAGTCTCGGCGACGGTGGAGACGATGGCGATGTAGTATCCCTTGGGACATACATTGTGGTTTGAAGAGACCATTGCGATGTAGATATCTTGAAGAAGACTTGTCAGTATGTACTCCCAGTAAGTATTCCCGAGGTTTGCACATACCATGCTTACGGCCAACCTGCGACTGTGGAATGATCAATTGCAGCGAGTCTGCGTTGTCCGTCTTGTCGATTGGGTGGTTCAGAATGCAAATGGCCTTCAAGTAGTGGCCGACCACCCGCACCTTGTCCTGGAAGTACGAAGGGTCGGCGATAATCTTCTTACACTTCGTCTCGAACTTCATGCCCTCACCCTCTTCTCCTCGCTCCTTCATTGTTGCTCTGATTCCAGAAACCTTGCCACCCTCGTACTTGATCTCGTCAATGTTGGTGTTCAGCATATACGTTCCGCCGTAGATGGCACTCAGACGAGCGAATCCCTGTGGTAGTTCGCCCAGACCGTACAGTGGGTAGATATACGGGCTCTTGCCGTATCGTGCCATGCTGTTCACGTAAAGACGAATGCGCTCAACACATTCCTTTGCTGCCCCCTTCTTCTCGATGTAGTCGTCGGTCGTGTACAGAGCCATGCTGTGACCGATGAAGTCACGAGTAGTTGCCTCGAGGCCGTACTTGTCGTAGACTTGCCGCATGGTGGTTTGCGCGAGGTTCATGCCTGGCTCCGCATCAGAACTGTCTGGAGTATCCACATGCGATTACGTACCGTTGTGTGTGCTCGGGTTGTTCTCGTCGAAACCGCCTACCCACTGCAAGAAATTCTTCGCCCTCCTCTTCTCAAAAATTCCCATGAGGGGACTCTTCAACGCCTCACCAGCGTCACTTGGGACCTTTGCAACTGTCGCCTTTGGGGCATTCCCCTGTTGAACATAGCTGCCAGCGATCTGCTTGAACTCGATGTATCGCGTGACGTCGGTGGAAACGAGGATGTTGGTGAGCTCGCCATTGCTCATGAGGAGCTTAGGCACAAGATCGATGTTCCAATCGTTGGCACGGCCATACTTCTTCCACGGTTCGGTCCCCTGCTGGTAGTTGCCGTACTTCTTGAACATCGTCTCCAGGTTTACAGATGCTGCCTCGCCTCCGTAATGGTCATTGCGGTCCATGTGCAGGACCTTCTTGCCCTTGACGGACTCCACGCCCGAGAGGATACACTCGGTCAAGCCGGTGCCCAGCACGACGACATCGTATTCGGGGGCGATCTCTTCCATGTTGCTCGTTTTGGAGGAGGAAGTTCGGTATGTGCGGGCGAGATGAGTTGCGGATGCTTCGAATGGAGAGGAACGAAAGAGCTGTTTCCTGGCGGTCAACACTTGGTGATCGTCTTGGAGCTAAGGTGCCTCTAGTGGGCAAGTGGGGTGCTGGATTTAAGTTTAGCCTGCACACTGTCCTTGGCACATGGCAATGGAGAACAGGGGTCCAACGACGACATTCAAGCATGGTCAATCAAAATTTGATTGAGCTTCAAGACCGCACGCGCGACGCGCTTTCCAACTTCACGTTTCCTGCTTGCAATACTTATCTCCTCGAACAACCCATTGTTCTGTCGTCTGCTTGGTTTTGGAAGCTCACGATGGCTTCGTAAGGAAGTTGTCCATAAGATCCTAGCAATGCCTTCTGCGCGAGCGCCCAAGCGCAGGAAACTCGACGATCCCAGCAACGAAACGTCCCCGGCTACAGGTAGCACCCCGGCGAGATGGAGTACTGGGAAGAAAACCACGGGAGTTCCTACCACCGACAATCAATCAAACGAGCTCTCCGCGCAGGAGATGTGGAAGCTTGCAAAAGCGAAAGGAAAGGAACGAGATCTTGAACGGCGACGGAAGAGTGAACATGACAAAAGCGAGCTGGACTTGTACGACGACATCGAGGGCGCAAACCTTGGACAAGAACCATGGGGCAGGCTTGATAGACCTCAGAAGAGAGCCTTGTCGCACAAACACCAGAATATCTTTGGAGAGAGAGCAAAGGAGCAGAAGACGGAGGACACTAGAAGTCGACACAATGTTTCGAATGGGCATGTGGGGAGTTCGCCGTCGAAAAAGAGCTTGGATCCGCTGAGGAATCAGAGGTTGCAGAATCATTCGAGTCCCAGGAAGCCGAGTGCTTCATTGGGCTTCTTCAAAAAGTTCGCAAAAGCACGAACGGAGGAGACACCGACAGTCGCCACAAATGCGGAGCACCAAATAATCAGTGAGCTGAAGAATGCGCAGAATGGACCGGAGGATCCAAATGCTTTGGAAAGAAAGGCGGACTCCGCAGCAAGGTCAGAAAAGAATGGTCAGCACAGAGCTGTAACCGACAGATGGACATACGGAAAGCCCAAGAAGACGTTCGAAGATGAGATTCGAGAGCTGGAAGAGAAGGCACGGAATAATGCTGCCGGTGCGGAGAGTGAGGACGAGTTAGCGTCAAACAACGAAGCGCGCCCATCTTCCGGCAAAAGACAATCGTTGCGAAAACCTGTCGCTGAGCCTGCGGTTGAGCAAAAGACTATATCAGGTCCCACGCCTAGGCCGAAGAAGTCGCTAGACAGGCGAAAGATCAGGCAACCAGATGTAGACAATGATGCTGCGGTCGATTCTGAGGAGATCTTGGAGATTCCTGACTCCGAGGATGATGTCCAACAAGTCGCGCGAGTCGACCTCCCTCGAGATCTGGAACCGGAGGAACCCGAGGCCACACCCAAGAAGAAGGCATCTCGACTGCCGAAAAAGCAGACTTTTGCTGTCTCGGCCAACTTTGAGGCCGCTCGCCTAGAATGCATTCAGAAGGTGGTGCTAGAGAAGGCAACGGGCAAGCGCGCGATCCCCATCACTGAGCTGGACACCGAATACACAAAGGTGTCTTCCGTAATCGGTCAGACAGTCTCAGCAGGCGAAAGCAACAGCATGCTTCTGATAGGTGCGAGAGGGAGCGGGAAGACGACCTTGATCAATCATGTGCTCCGTGAGCAGGCCAAGAAGCATTCGGAAGAATTCCACGTTGTGCGGCTCAATGGTTTCATACACACAGACGACAAGGTTGCGCTGCGTGATATCTGGAGACAGCTGGGTCGCGAAATGGATCTAGACGAAGATGAGGCTACCTCGAAGAATTACGCGGATACCATGTCTAAACTGCTCGCTCTGCTCTCCCACCCGGCCGAAATGGGAGCCGAAAACCCGGATCAGACTACGAAGAGTGTTGTCTTCGTACTGGATGAGTTTGAGCTCTTTGCGACTCATCCGCGGCAGACACTGCTCTATAATCTCTTTGACATTGCTCAAAGCCGCAAAGCACCTATCGTGGTGCTTGGCCTGACCACTCGAATTGATGTTGCTGAAAGCCTGGAGAAGCGGGTGAAGAGCAGATTCAGCCATCGATATGTTCATCTCGCTCTGCCCAAGAGCTTGGAGAGTTTCAAGCGAATCTGTGGCGCGGCATTGACGCTTACGCCCGAAGATCTCGCGGACGACGAGCATGCGTGTCTGCAAACGAACGCAACTTCAAATCCGGTGAATCAATGGAATGTTTTGGTTACAGATTTTCTAGAGACGGAAACGTGCGAGAACTTTCTCCATCGACTCTATTACACGACCAAGTCTGTCCCAGACTTCCTCGCAACGCTCATACTCGCCGCAGCAACGATGCCAGTCTCCTCCAATACTACAGCAACGGTAGTCAGGGGCCATTTCATCAGCCAGTTTGCATACCCGACGCTGCAGCCGCCTGATTCCAAATTGGTCTTGCTTTCGTCGCTCAGCACGATACAGCTCGCGCTACTCATTTGCGCCGCGCGCCTTACCAACATCTACAGCACCGAGATCATATCTTTCGCGCTCACGTACGAAGAATACAGAGTGCTTGCTTCCAAGGCGAAATTACAAGCATCTGCCTCCGGCGCTTTAGCACAAGGCGCTGGAAGTAGGGTATGGGGCAAAGAGATTGCCAAAAATGCGTGGCAGGAGCTGGTTGAATGTGGTCTGGTCATCGAAGATGGACGGACTGGTGGCACTGGCAGAGTCGATGTTGGGCTTGAAGAGATTGGCATGAGCGGTGTCGACTTGGGCCAGTGGGCAAGGTGGTGCAAGGAGATATAACAGTATAGCGATGAAGTTCAATACGATATATTCACAACTTAGGCGGATCAAATTCATGATTGAGCTTTAGCACGTAGGCATACGAAGCCGCGTAGACTTCGCCATAGCTATTCGGCAGCAAGGAGCCGGAAAGTGGACCACTTGACCTCAGACGGAATTGAAGAGCTCAGCTCAGCTCAGCTCAGCTACAGTACACATGGAGCACCAAGAACATCATGATGGCATCGAACAAAGCCGCCATGGATACCCAACTCACTCGAAGCGTCGATATCCTCCGAGTCCCCTCCCATCTTCTCCGAGCAGCATACCTCATCGGCAAAATCCCCTTTCGATCCTGCAAGACCGATCCCAGGGTCTCCTACACGCTCTACGTCCCAGAAAAGTATAAGAAAGTCCATGAGGCGCTTCAACGAAAAGACCTGGCCCATATACCTCCGCGCCTCCCGCTCGTCGTCAACGTCCACGGAACCCGTCGAGACGCAACAGGTTGTCGTGATTCTCTAATCACTTTTGCCGATGCGCATGGTGTGGCGATTCTGGCTCCTCTCTTTCCCGCTGCGATGGATAACCCTCTCGACCTGGATAGTTATAAATTCCTCCGATCTCAGAGTTTGCGATCCGATGCCGTGATGCTGGACATTCTGAATGAAGTGAGTCATATGTTTCCCGGCGTAGCTACGGACCCGATAATTCTGGTGGGATTCTCTGGCGGAGCGCAGTTTGCCCATCGATTCATGTATCTCCATCCCGAGAGGATTGCTGCGGTGGCGATCGCTGCTCCGGGGTCCGTGACGAAGTTGGAGAGTCGGGAGAATTGGCCGGAAGGGATTGGGAATGTTGACGAGGTGTTTCCCGGGCAAGGGGTGGATCTGGAAGGGATCAGACGGATTGGGGATGTTCGTCTGTCTGTTGGAGCGGAAGATCGGGGGCAAGATGAAGAGCAGTTGGAGTTGCAGAGATGGCTTGCAGAGCGGGCGAGTAGGGCTGATTCGGGGAGTGCGAGGCGTCTCACCCAGCCGCAGAATCGTCTGGAGATTTTGAAAGAGCTTCAGGTCGATTGGATGGAGAATGGAATCGAAGCGGAGTTGATTGCTGTTCCCGATGTCGGACACAGCTATCAGGACTTGATTCCCAGTATCGTGGACTGGCTGAAAGAATGTCAGGCTGTCGTGGCCCCGAGTGCTTGAGTTCCTCGTAGTCCGGGGCAAGAAAGACTTTTTATCTAATGAAAACCCCCGAGGCTTCGTTAAAATCTGCTTGTTGGTTTGCAAGAAACAGTACGAGGTCTCAACGACGATATCAGGGCTTTTGACAAAATTCCATGACGGCGGGCGAATCTTGCGGACCTTCTAAGTCGTAAGGATGAAAGGGTCAGGTTGGCTTGTTGCTTTCGGGTCATGGAACGAACACCTTGGTAGATGGAATCGGTTCCAGAGAAGCGCTTGGTCCAGGAGTGCTTCGTAGATCAGAATTCGTTTTCCTGCTGGACGGCGTCCGAGGAAGTAGCAGGTGGGTTTTGAAGGGTGGATTCTCAGCGAGAGAATTTTGGACTTCTGGGGAAGAGGTTCCCACTGCTCTGCTGAGATCGTCGTGGTCTTTTGTGAGAGGAGGCTCGCGTGTTCCTCTTCAGGAGCTGCGAAGAGTGTCCTTAGACTCCAGAGGTGCTAAGTCATCGTCCATGGGAGAGGGACCTGAGAGCGCAGGGAGAAGGAATGTGCAGTACTGTCGAAACCAGTTTTCTTCTACTTCTCTTCGCTGAGAATCATGGAGTTATATAGCAAAAGGCAGCAGAAGCAGCATACCACATTTTGTCCCTTTTGGGCCAAAGCACTCCGAGGACCACATTCGAGACTTAGCGTGTTATTCGAGAGAAAGTTTTTCCTTTCTTCGTGAGGACAGTGGAATTCTGACAATCAGTGGAATTGATCACAGAACGTAAACAGTGCGAGGAGGTTTCTCGTTAGCTGACGATAGGTAGAGATTGAGGGATCAACCACCTGGGACCCCAGGCAATGGTGAGTCCAAGGTCGTGGGAGAAACATAGCGTGGGATATTCGAACTTGCGGTTCGAAAGTTCAGATATCATGAGAGGAGATGTGTTCGAGTTTGGATGGTCAAAGGAAGCGGCGTGGTGGAGTGCGAAAGAGTATATCGTGTGGCCTCAGCTGTGATGATTTATTTGCTCTGTGCTTGGTAACTTCATTCCATGCCTCGCGACCCACTTCGCTGCCGCACGTGGTCGCTCTGGGCTTGGTTTATCCTGTCGCGACCTAGCACAGCTCTCCTCTGTGCCGTGCGAATCCGGCCTCCCGGTAAATGTCGACTTCGACCAGGGCGATCTCCACGACAAGACACCGTCAGCAATCTTCGCCATTCTCAATTCACCTTGAGAGCGTGGAGAGGCGCGGCATCCTTGAAGACATTGGCAAAGAACGTCAACGGACGAGAGATCACCCTGGAACATTCTTAAGGGTGGTGCTTTCTGATCCGATGACTGCCTTGTCTCGGTGCCAGATGGTCACCATACCCCAATCTCCAACCCCGACCATCCACGTCCCATCCGGGCTCCAGGCGATTTGAGAAGTGGCCTGCTCCTTCTGATCGTGGAACTTGGTTTCAGCAAGACGCTTGTGGTGAGGCTCGAGCGGCTGGTACCGGTCACCAAGCGGGTATTCCGGCTCAGTGTCTGCGCCAGAAGGGCTCACTGTCGGTGCGTTAGCAGGTGTGCAGATTCAGAAATCTGAGAACAGGCAGCTTGCAATTTGTTTCAGCTTCCTCCTGATCATCATCGCTGCGATGCAGCTCTTCAGGATCAATCGGCGCATCTTCCGTTGGTGCAGGCGTCTTGCGAGCAGCTTTGGAATTCTTTGCGGGCGACTCTTGCCAGGGGAGACCCTCGTCAAATCGTTGAAGATCCCAGAAAGTGAAAAGACCCTGTTGATTGCCGAATGCGAGAATGGGTCTCGTACCGGGAGCGTGAAGGAGTCCAAAACGATGGTAGAAGCGGTCACAGTGCGTGAGCGACAACGTCAAGAGGCGCTGGAATCCGCGAAATCGAGGGTCGTGTTCGAAAGCAGAGCGCGTTGAAACGCCAGGAACGGGTATGGCAGGCTCTGAAGGCCGAGGCTGGCTTGAGTCGAAGCCGTCTATCTTCCATATGAGGATCTCGTTCTTGTCCTTTCCTTCGCCAACCTGATCTCTAGCGGATTTTGAGATGATGAGATCACCGTAGAATGCCAGACTGTCAACATAATTCGAGTGCAGCTCCTTGGAGTAGAAGGAAGGATAATAGATTATCATCGGCTCCTGGTTTTCCGCCTCTGGAGATCGGTGGAACTCATCAAGCCCTGGCACCGCCCACAGGCAGACCGCTGTATCGATTCCGCCAGACAAGAGCCATTTCCCGTTGGGATGGAAGTGAATAGCCAGAAGAGGCTGTTTGTGGCCCTCACCGGCAAGAACAGCCACACAAGGCTGTTGTTGAAACTCGGGCTCTAGGTTCCACAGACGAATGGTGCTATCTTCTGCGCATGATGCAAGGAGGCTGGTAGACAGCGGGGATACAGCGAGGTCGTTGATGCCTTTGCCATGGCCTGATAGCGTGCCGAAGGGCTCCCCGCTTTCGACATCCAGAATTTTGATATGCTTAGGTATGTGGCCTGCTACACATACCAACGGTTTCTTCGTCACGGGGTGCCTCGCCCAGACCAAGCTGTTGAAGATGGGCCGTGGTGATGACTAGACTTCATCATAAGCGAGATGATTACACAAGGTGGAGGATGCCTTACTTCTTGATCCTTAAGCCACGTGAGGATTTCAAAGCCCTGTTCCAGTTCCAGCTTCGGCCGACAAACGATTATCTGACGGGGTTTAGCTTAGCTCAGCCAAGCCGACTCGGGGCGAGGCCGCTTATGGCGCAATACTTACGTTGATCCCAGACACGACTGCGAATATTTGATCGTCGTCAACTGCGCCATACGGGTAGAACTGCACGTCATACACCGTGTCGTCTAGAAGCGAGTCAGGTGAGAACGACACGTTTCCTGGTGATTCGTACCTTCGGAGTCGACGATGAGTCTGGTGGTTGTATGCAGTGTCGGAAAGACATCATTCGGGACCATGTTCAGTCGACGTGTGGCCGCTTCCGCAGGAGGTGAAGTGGCCAGCAGTCGGAGTTTGCGGATTTCGGAGGGGCCCAAGCAATGCCAAGCTTTGATTCGAAGTTTAGATTAGCCATATTCGCATGTGAGAGCCTCTATATGTTGCAGTACAGTAGTAACAGAGCTGTTGCTCCGACAATCGCAACATGGTTTGTAGGAAGGCGCATATCCAGAGCGCATGCAGGATGGTACAAGGGACGTATTGAATGTCGGCACGTGAGGTGACCGGTTCACGGTCGCACCGGTCTCGACGTCACAAACTCACGTCTCACAATTCGCCTGTGATCGACGATGACGGCCATGCGTCGTCCGGGCTCCTGAGAGGAGATTACAAGGAATGCGTCTAGGTGATCTAGGTGGAAGGCGGAGGCTTGTTGGTGGCTAATCACTGCATAGCCGGTCCGGGGTGGCGATGCTTGGTGCTGCAGTGGTAGAGTATCCTCGAGCTGACTTACCCGAAGGCAGGGCTCCAATGCACACACTACGAATAGAATGGATGAAGGGGGTCAAGGCAGCGCAAGGGTGCAGCGCGGCAACCGGCTGGTGTGGTGTTGCCGAATGCAAGGCCAGGCCAGCAAGCCAGGCCAGCTCCCGCGGCGCACGGCTCTTATTGTGTTGAAATGCGGATGCTGATGAGAGGGTGTGGGATTGGAAGATTAGGCGCGAGCCGCCGAAAAGCATGTCGGCCGCACGTTAGCGCGCGAGGCTAGCATGGCGGGGAGACGGATGAGGGAGTCTGGTTGGACAATTAAGCGACGACGCATGGATATCACCACAAGCGTCGGGACCTTGCCGACGAATTCCTGTCGCCGATAAACAGCGTCCATGGCTCCATGCCGCCTTCGCCGCACATTCAGCTCCGCCTGGAGGGGCGATCATGCTCGGAGCAATGCCGACATCACATCGCGAGAGAGCACGGAAGGAGAAGAGGAGTGTTGGAGAGCGTGGTTCTGTGAGAGAGAGAAGTTCTCCGGCTTGGTCGTGCCTGCCATGCCACGCCATGCACACATGCGCGCTGAGCTTCGGAGGGTGACATCATCACGCAGAGCGCACCGAACGCACCTTCTCTGCTCTCTCATCACGGTCGCAATCGGACCCGGACGCGGGCGTGGTGGAAAGCGAACCTAATGGAAGCGAGGCGAGGCGAGGCGAGGCGGTTACGGTGGTACCTCGACTGCAGTGCATGCTAAGACTACGAATGTCTGGGATTTCGCCGACCGTGTCAAGCGTGAAGCCGAGACGACACCCACTCCACTGCTCCCACGCGGATATCGATTCATCAATTCTTGAACGCCCTTGACGCCCTGCGAGACGTCAGCTGCTCTCTCAGTCCTCGCCGCCTGCCTTGCGTCCCTTGCGCCTTCCTTGCCGGCAGTCTCTCCGGCCCACCGAAGCGGGTCTGCGCGCCAGGGCGGTATATGAGTCTGTGCCAGCCTGCCGGCATCGCCGCCACGTCTGTCAGCATCACAGGTCGAATAATCACCTCCGTGGCCTCTCTCATATACACCTTCCTTCTGCTGGCCTCCTGCACCGTCGGCGAACTCACCTCCCTCCCGCGAGCGCCTCATTCCGGCCGTGCAACGGATTCTCGCTCACGCCGCCTGTAGCAGCGGCAACATCACGTGTCCTCGTCCTCGTCCTCACTCACCTACCTGATCGCCGTTGCCATGCGTGTTCGGGGCTGAGTACGCCGTCTTGAACTGACATCCCGCGTTGCCATCACCCTTCAACAACGCCGTCAAAATGGAGTCGACTTTCATCTCAATCCACGGTAAACCGCCATTGCCTCCATCACTTTATACCAGTCTACTTACTGTCCCATCTAGACCTGACCGACAGAGCCACCATTCTCTACTCGTCCGACTCCGTAATCGACATCCTGGGCTACACCCCCGACGACATCGTCGCCCACTCAGCATGGGACTTCTTCTCCCTCGACGAGCTTCCCTACGCGAGGGATTTTCACCAGAAGCGCGTTGCCTCCGATAAGGCTGCCGTACTCGCTTATTGCCGTATCAAGAACAAGGCCGGCGAATGGGTCGGCTGCGAGTGCTGTTTCACCATCGTCTACGATGTAATGGTCGTGTGTACCAGTATTTACCACCGTGACCTGAGGAGCGAGAGTAAGTCTGGCCATGCCGAAGTCTGGGTGACTGCCCTCTAACGTAGCTACAGGACGCGCAAATGAGGCACCATTGATCCGCCGAATATTCTCCTCCTCGCCCAAGGACCCCAGATACCACATGTTGTCGCATCTGTCGGCCAAATTCTCGCACTCATCCAAGTCGCAACAGCACGAGCCTAGGGCTGCACTCTTTCTCAATCGCTTCACGCGTACCTTGACCATCATGTACGCTACCAATGGCCTCCAAGATGTCATCGGCATCCCCGCAGAGACAATGCGAGGCCGAAGCTTCTACTACTGCATATCCGAGAATTGCTTGCAGGATGCTGTCAAATGCCTGGAGAATGCCAAGGGCAACGATTCCATCGCCTACTTACGCTTCTGGTTCCGCGATCCTCGCATAGATGATGAAACAGAACCGTCGGACGATGAGCCAAGCGACGAAGAGATGACAACGGACCAGAGCGAAGATGGAGGCGTCCATGTCCAGAGCGACCATTCATCTCCTGGCGCAAGCATGGATATCGACAGCGACGAGTCGAAGCCGCGTTCGAGGAATTCTTCCGGTGACTCGACTCGTGCACTAGACACTCACGAAGCCATCTTCGGACAGGCACCGGCAGCTCAGTCGTCTACCTCGTCACTTCCTGTGTCGCCGGAGGAAAGCAGACGCTCATCGAACGCCCCGCAAGCTGAGCCCATTGAGCTGGAGGCAGTCATCTCGTGTACTTCAGACGGCTTAGTGGTATGCCTGAGGAGGGCGCGACCAATGATTCCCCATCCTGCTCAACGCCCATCGCGGCCAGTCTACGAGAATGGCATGTTTGCCGCGCCTTGGGCTACAGAGCCAGTGCTTCCTCCGCTGGATGTAAGAGCTGGTACTGGATATGGTGCAGCATTTGCGCCAGCTCTTGGACCTCAAGGCGCGCAGCGCGACAGTGCCGCCACTGCTGCGGCCCAGAGCGAGCAATCTGACTTCATGAGCGCCATTCGAGACCAAGCCATCTTTGCCTGGGCTCTTACTGGTATCAATGGCTCGCTTGCCAAATATGGCACCGGCAAGCCAATCGGCAACGCACTTCCGCAGGATGGTCTGCCGATCTGGGCGAGCGACCCCAAATCTGGCGAGAGCAGCGACCACAGCAGCAACGGTCATGACAGCATCATTTGGGATCGAATGGACGGCCGTCCTGGCACAAACATCTTCGGCGACCCCGGCCTCGATCGAGCTAATGGCAGTCATAGCAAGGGAAGCAACGGCAGCAGTGCACAGGGAACGCCATTCACGAATCCTCGCTGATCGACGTAACACAGCCTTGAGGTACTGACCTGGGCATTCTCACGGACACACAACGACCACGATGAATCTCGGACTGGGATCGGAGGCGCTTTCACTGCCAGGCTGGCAGTCTCGTGCGCATCAATTTTCCCGCTGCGAAAGCATTTGACGACTTCATTACTACGACGACCGCAGAGATAGCACTGACGAAGAGGAGGAGGACATTGCTCCAGCATTTTTAGCGTGTTTGGTGACAAGCGAGGAAAATACCACTTTTTTGCAGGGACGACACGGCGCGATAATGAGAGGCATTGCTAGCGAAGGGAAAGGTTCATGATACGACGACGGTGGTCATTGCTCGTCACCAGGGGAAGGTATTGCTAGTGTGGATGAGGAAAATGAGAAGCGGCTTCGTAGATTTGCTCTAATGAAGGGACTGTAACACTCCATAAAACCTCTTCCCTCTCCCATGCTATGTGGATACCTAGGTAGTCGCTGAAAGTGCGTGATGAGGCGGAAAGGCGGAGAATGGTACATAGGCAAATGCTCTGTGACCAGGATCATCCTAGTCGTTGGACGGGGCTGTCTTACATGTGAAGGGCTCCGGTATTGCACAAAGAATGCGGTCGGAGGTATGCCCTTGTCCGCAGGGTGTGTGTAACGAGTATGGGACGCATCGAAGATCTGTTAAATGGAGGTCGGAGCCGAAAGAGCAGCTGGATACGTGTACAGGAAGTGGAAGTTTCGGGGCCGGAGAGCGAAGAGTGGAGAGCCACTGGAGAAGGATAAATTGCAACCCCTGATACTTAGCTGACAGATGGTACCTTGTGTCTGTATGAGGAGGATTTCGGCCTGATGGCATGTGCTTGAACGACACACGTGACACCCCTCGATGGCCATTCATTGTAGACCCTATCATTCTGACGAGCCTCGGCTCGAGGAAGTTTGCCTGTGCTCTGCGATACGGTCATCACATGCTCTAGGAAGAGGTTTACCCGGAAGAACATTAAGACAGGCGTCCCGATCAAATATTTTCGCCTCTTTCCATCTCCTCCTGCTGCTGTTGTGTTCGCAGATTGTGAGCACCCGCATTTCCTCTTACTCACCGCCCACCGCTTGCGCCTGTACCCCCAAGACCCCCAGCCAGAACGCTTGGTCCAAGTCACGCTAGGCCCCACTCCCGTGTTTCGCGACCCAGAATCCCAGAGATCCCTGCAACTTACCCTACGACCTTGAAACATGTCCATCAACAACAACTCCTCTTCTTCTTCCTCTTCTCCCTCACACCCCAAGGACAGACTTGCACAACTCTCAGGCCAAATGGGTTCAGTCGGCAATGCGACGGCAACGTCGTTCGGCACCGATGTGTGTCCGCAAGCACCAGAGGACCCGCTGTTCGGATTGATGGCTGCATACCGCAGAGACAAGGATCCAAAGAAGGTGGACTTGGGTATTGGTGCATACAGAGATGACAACGCCAAGCCGTGGGTGCTGCCAGTCGTCAAGCAGGTATGATTCGCTACCTACTCAAGAGAAGATCGACCAATTATTGCTGACACTTACATTAGGCAGACGAGCTCCTCCGAAACGACCCCGACCTGAACCACGAGTACCTCCCCATTGCCGGTCTGGTCGATTTCACATCCGCATCACAGAAGCTCGTCCTGGGCAAGCAGTCGCCCGCCATCGAAGAGAAGCGAGCTGTAGCTCTGCAGACCATTTCTGGCACGGGAGCTGTCCATCTCGGCGCTCTCTTCCTCGCCAAGTTCTATCACCCTTCGAATTCAGAGGCAAAGGCTGTCTACGTCAGCGACCCGACATGGGCAAACCACAATCAGATCTTCAGCAATGTGCACATTCCCCTCAAGAAATACCCATACTTCCACAAGGGCACCAAGGGCCTCGACTTTGAGGGTATGATCGGAGCCCTGCAGCAAGCTCCGGAGGGCAGCATCATTCTGCTGCACGCCTGCGCACACAACCCGACTGGTGTTGATCCCACGCAAGAGCAGTGGAAGGAGATTGCGAAGGTTATGAAGACACGGAAACTGTTCCCCTTCTTTGATACCGCATACCAAGGATTTGCGTCCGGTTCGCTCGTGAAGGATGCCTGGTCCATCAACTACTTCGTCGAGCAGGGGTTTGAGCTTCTCATTGCTCAATCATACGCGAAGAACTTCGGTCTGTACGGAGAGCGTGCTGGATGCTTCCACTTTGTCACAGCACCAGGTGCTCACGCCACAGAGACTGTCAGCCGCGTCGGTAGCCAGCTTGCTATCCTGCAGCGTTCCGAGATTTCAAACCCGCCTGCCTACGGTGCTCGCATTGCCTCGCTCGTGCTCAACGACGACAAGCTCTTCGCTCAGTGGGAAGCCGATTTGCGCACAATGTCTGGACGTATCATCGAGATGCGCAAAGCCCTGCGAACAAAGCTAGAGGAGCTTGGCACGCCCGGCAAGTGGAACCACATCACTGACCAGATTGGCATGTTCTCCTTCACTGGCCTCTCTCCTGACCAGGTGTCGAACTTGCGGGAGCAGTTCCACATCTACATGACGCAAAATGGGCGTATCAGTATGGCTGGTCTGAACACGAAGAACGTCGACTACTTCGCCAAGTCTGTCGACGCCGTGGTGCGACAGAGTTCGTGATTGACGGATAGAACGACATGAATGTATCGATGGAGCACCAAACACGGGGATTGATTCAATATGAGTAGAGAAGTTTGCATGCGGGCCTGTACAGTACAGCTGAGCTTCAGCACATCCTCACGAGCCTGGTTGCTCACACCACAAAACAGACAAAAGGTCTTGAGCCTCCACCCTTTCACATCAACTCTCATATCATTGTCTTTGCATTCAATACCTTCCCGCTCTGCCACATCAATCTCACACAGACGATACTCCCAATCCAGAAGAGAACGCCCCGTGACAAAGCTAACCTGGCATCCGCGACGAAAATGTAGGCAATGGAATACAGAATCCTCGCAACCGTATACGCCAACCCGGCCCTGTTGATGACATGATGCTCCACGCCCGCAACATGCGCGAAGAGCATCGAAGCGGCAAACGGAGCGAAATTCTCCATGGAATTGGCATGGCAGGCTTCGATCCGGAAGAGTCGATTGAGTTGCGCCGGGGTGATCTTGCCGGATTGCACTGCTTGGGGGCCGTATTTTGTGAGGTCTGAATTCGAGAATCAACAAAGAAGAGGGTTAGAGAGGAGGAAGGAGGGTGGGGGTGGGGGTGGGGGAGGGACGTGCCTTGTCGAGGGGAGACTTGATGGTCTAATTTGTGGAAGTATTTCCACGGACGGGTGGAGAGGAAGGCGTAGGCGAAGAGGAAGTGGAAGGTGAGATAGTGGGATGTGTAGGAGGGTGTTGTTAATGTGGATGTTGATGTTGATGATGATGCGCCGCCTGGGGTTAGGCCGAGGGTTGTGGAGAGGGACATTCTGGCGGTTGGAGATGGAGACGTGATGGAGAGGAGTTGGCGACGAGATGGACGCGTTGTTGTAGAAGTTTGAGATTTTTCAATTCGACCTGGACCGGTTTTTTTTTTGTCTGCCTAGAACAAACACCAGTATAGCAACAACCTTGTCTTCATACTAGCTAGCCTGCCTAGGTACGCAGAAGACGCGCGAAAACGACACGAAACTTCCTCGTCTCCTCATCAATAGAACGCTAAACTCAAAAAATGGGGAAACGGGCAGTGATGATGATGATGATGAATCGCACTGTTCCGTTTCAACAGCAGGGATTGGAGAAATAATGTAGGTGAATGGTGAATTTGAAAAAAAAAAAAAGATAGATCGAAATCCAGAGACCAAAACTCGATGTTTTCCAGGGAATTGAGCTTCTTTTCGTAGAAACGCATTTCGTCCGTCCGGACCCGTCCTTCCGACCTCCGACTTCTCTCGCAAATCCATTCATTAGTAATGACCTCACCATCCGGCGGTCGGGTGAAAAGAAAGCAAACCTCCACACCCGATCTATCCGACTTTTGTAAGCATTAGCACTGCAAATGTCGACCCTTAAAATTTTATGACCCTCGAGCGGCGGTCTTGCTTAACTCTCGAATGCCGCTTTTTCTCGGCTTCGGGCTCGACGGCGTACACGATGGCCGACGACGCTCGACTATGATATCCAAGACGAGTATAGTAGAGCGGAAAACCGACTAGTCCATGATGCAAGACACGAAAAGCAAGGTAAGATGGAATACGGTAGGACGATCTCGAAGACTCGGAGGACTTCTGAACTAGTGGTATATTACAATACGGTAGGGCGTCTGGCAAGTCTCTCGATTCATTCGTACTGCTTTCTGGTTTTCGTCCTAGCTCTTACGATACTTCTGCAGCATGCCACCGAGAACAACAGATAGGAGTATAACGACGTGCCGGAACTGCAGGCACGTGGCCCAACCCTCATCCTCAATGCACGAATCCTACGTGGAAGAATGGACCTGCTGACGGGTGCTGTAGACGACGCAAAATCCGTTGCGATCGTGGACGGGCGAGATGTGACAGATGTAGAGAGAGCGGCACGATGGTACGTCCAACCCATCCTGATTCCCCATCCGCCAATCCGAGTTGCGAAAAGCTCGTGCAGCTGCAATAGATGTATCAATGCGATCCGCTGGAGACGAATGGTACAACTTCTTGGGGTGCAGGTCGGCCATGAGTAGCAAGCTGATCAAGTCGCTCTTAGTGCGTATACGAAGACCAGATGCCGCGGCAGGCAAGGAGATATCAGTTCGTGAGTACGCATGTACAGCAAGCCAGCAAAGCCTTCATTGAAGCTTATTCTGACGACACGTAGCCGAGACACCGGGCAGTGGCCCCCGACAAGCATTCGACGGCGGACAGGGTGAACAGGTGCCCGCAACGATCCCAATTACCTCAGACGGGCTTCAGAGCATTGAAGCGTGCGTTGGGAACCTGAACGAGATATTGCGAGCCCTCCTGGCGCAGAGTAGCATACCGAGCAGTGCTTCCGGTTCCCAAGACTTACGCCGCGGGTCAGGCCAGTCAATGGAGAAGGGGGCAACAGACATGCGTTATGTCGACTTGTCCCTCATCACCACCATGTGCGATGAGGTGGCCGAGCTCGGCGAACTTCTGAGTGTCCAGACCAGGTCTCTTGTGGAGTCAGGACAGATCTCTCCTATTGAGCGATCAAGATCTGAAGCCGAAGACGCTGCTCCCCAGCTACCGACTGCCAGTAGCGCTCAAACTGCGTCGCGGACCGAACACGGCCTTGCATCAACATCACCTACAACTCAGAATACCATGGAAGATGTGATGACTGATCCTTGCGCTATTGACTGGACATATTTCGTTCAAATGCTGGAAAGTGACCTGGGACAGCTGGATGGCTTTCCCGAAGATAGTGGCAACGAACCAGGCCAGTCCGATTCTTATTTTCCACCAGGTCCGTAAGGCGCAGATTTTGCATCTCTCGCATGTTTCCGGCGGTTTCACTTCATGCACCAGAGTAATTTTCGGCGGTCGTCAGAATACGAGATCCCATATCACAAGGAAGGAGCAGAATGCAGCAGTAGAATAGAACACCAACTGGGCGGTACTTTGTCTTTCGCTTGCACGTTTCAGTTCCTTGTTGCCCTTTCCAACGTTCTCGGTGGTGAGGTAGGAGTCTTGGACAAGTTGCTCGATGTGCTCGGCTTGCTGCGTCAAATTGGCGTGTAGCGTGCTGTGTAGCTCGCTGATCTCCAAGATACTTCGTTCAGCAGTCCGCACTTGATCCAGCTGGTCCTCGTAGTGTTTCAGAAGCTCGTGATTCTCCTCGGCAAACTGCTGCAGTTGCTCCTCTGATAGTTGTGGCTGGTCTTGGTCTTCCATGTCATTGCTGTCCCACCCTCCTGAGTATCTGTTCAGCTTCTTGGAACTCGCCGGCCACGATGTGCTGCTCTCATCTTCTGCCCAAGCTTGTGGTACTCCGCCAGCTACTGGTGACTTTGCCAGTATCGACTTCGACTTCTCGACTTCTCTTCGCAAACGGACATCCATCATCTCACTCTGGACTCGCCCAGCTTCCTCCAGCCTCTCGGAGAGGAATAGAATCATGCTCTCCCGCACAGCAGCAATGGTTTTTCTCGCAGCTTCTTCTTGCTCTTCCTCAGGCGACTTGGCCGTGACCGCGCCCCCGGCTGCCCATCTCCCTATTGCACCCAGCCCGCCTTTGGCTCGCTTCGACAAAGCCACAGAGTCTGCTGTTTGATTTCGCACCTGCTCCGCCTGCTTTAGATTCTCGATCGTGGCATTGAGCTGCCGTAAGAGTTGCTTTGATTCCGCATCAATTTTGTCTCGTTCGTTGTCTGTGAGGGGTCTGGCGCGATCGTTGCTGTGTGCACCCTGTCGTCTTCGTGAGGGTTGTTCCGCCGAGAGGTACACGGGTCTAATCGAGCGTAGATAGCGGTTCAGATCTGCTATTCGTGCATTCTTTACCCATGGTCAGCGATCCGACGCGGCCTGCCGTACAACATACAAGACGTACGATGCGATAGGCCTCTTGCAAGAACGAGTTGATTGCCTCCAAGTTGTATTCCCTCTTCAACACTGGGGTTGCGCCTTGCTTCTGTAGACAGACACTGAAGTCTGGTGTGATCTCCGTCATCGCGTCTGTTGATTCATGAAAGAGAGGTGTTGGTGTGTCTGCGTCTCAAGGATCGGACAGCTCGAGTAAAGTTGCATCACATGCGAGAGACCAGCTTGCGCTTTCCCTGTTCTGCGGGTCTCACAGCCGAAGATCTGCCGACCGTGAACTCAAAATGCGAAGAGGATGATGACGGACACGAAACATCTTCGACTTTCATTGATGCAATGCAATGCAATTCCACCTCGAGCACACTCCACGCTCATTGCCAAGCGATTAAGTCCTGACATCAAATCATGATGACCGACCATCAACTGAAATGTCGGTCGAGGCTGCTGCAGGCGACGGCAGCGATAACGGTCGGCCTTCGGTGTTTCCTTGCGCCTGTTATCTCTTTGCCTCTGCGACGTCGGCATGTTCCCGTCCTCTCCACCTGCCCAGTGCCCACCAGCCATGATCTACGTTCGCGTGCATCGTCAGTGTAATTAGCATCCACCCATGCACACGCCATGGCGAGCACTCCACCAGACCTGAAGAATGCGGAGACGCAAGCAAAAACATTCAAGACAGCACAGCCCTACGATGCGACATTCGAGGAGCCTTTCGAAGAGAAGGCGGGCGCAGAGGATCATCCTTCACCGACTGGACCATCTTCAGCGCATTCGATTCGCACTGCTCGTACAGAGCAAGACCAACCGGATGGCCAGAACGAACGGCAACAGGACGTCGAGAGGCTCCAAACAACGACTACCAACACGCCTGTCTGGTCCGTCTTCTCAACACAGCAGAAACGCTTCATTGTCTTCATGGTCGCTCTCGCAGGCTTCTTTTCTCCTCTGTCAGCAAACATCTACTTCCCAGCTCTCAACACACTAGCCGCCGATTTTGGGACCACCGAGAGCGTGATGAACCTTACATTGACGACATACATGATTTTCCAGGGGCTGGCCCCGACCATCTTTGGAGACCTAGCAGATATGGCTGGCCGACGACCAGCATACATCATCGGCTTCACGATCTACCTTGGCGCCTGTATTGGCATTGCCAGCTGCAACACTTTTCCAGCGTTGCTAGTTCTACGCATGTTGCAATCCAGCGGCTCTTCCAGCACGATCGCCTTGGGGTCGGGCGTCGTTGCAGACATAGCGACTAGTGCTGAACGAGGAGTATGGATGGGCTGGGCTACCTCGGGCCCGATGGTGGCTCCGGCAATAGCTCCAGTCCTGGGTGGTTTGTTCACACAGTTCTTAGGCTGGAGGTGGATTTTCTGGTTTTTGCTTATCCTCGCTGGTACCTTCCTCGTGCCGTTTTTGCTCACCTTTCCAGAGACAGGTATGCCACCCCACGAGAGAGCGCAAGCGTCCAGTACTGACTTCTTCGTGCTGCGCAGGTCGAAAGGTGGTAGGCAATGGCTCCATACCTCCTCAAGGGTGGAACATGAGCTTGATCAATTACCTCCAAGTCCGGCGTCAACGTAGAGATGCGCCCCCATTAGAACGCACACTCTCTCAGCAGTCGAATCGAACGGCACAACAAGCACTGAAACACAAACGAAAGCTTCGAATCCCCAATCCTTTGCATGCACTCAGTTTGATCCGGGAGAAAGACGTTGGCCTCCTTCTATTCTACAACTCCATCATCTACTGCGCTTTCTACGACGTCATGGCATCCGCACCGAGCCTATTGCAAGAAGTCTACGGCTTTGACGCCCTTCAAATCGGTCTTTGCTTCCTTCCAATGGGCACCGGCTGTCTTATCGCGACCGTGGTAAGCGGCAAGCTCATGGACTGGAATTTCCGCCGCATAGCCAAAAAGGTCGGCTACGAGATTGTCAGAGGCAAAGCGAACGACCTGCGAAATTTCCCACTCGAAACCTGCCGCATACAGATCGCGTTGCCCACGGTTATGCTTGCTGCTGCAGCGATCCTATGCTATGGATGGGTCATGCAGGTCGAGACCAACCTCGCAGCACCTTTGATCCTCATGTGCATCACAGGGTTTGCTTCCACGTCGGCATTTAACGTTATGAGCGTAATGCTCGTGGACCTCCATCCGCTTGCGCCAGCAACGGCCACGGCAGCGAATAATCTGGTTAGGTGTCTCTTGGGCGCGGGCGCTACAGCGGTCATCATATACATGATAGATGCAATGGGTAGAGGGTGGTGTTTTACGTTTATTGCTCTGGTGGTGGTAGCTTTGAGCCCAATTCTGTGGGCTTTGGAGCGATGGGGACCGGGCTGGAGGGAGGCAAGGAGGCTGAGGGCGGAAGGGACGAAGAAGAGAAAGGAAAACAGCGAGGAAGATAAACGGAATGAGACGACAGATGATACCCAGGGCCACGAAACAGAGAAGACTTGAAACTAGATAACGAGCTGTTATGATGCATGCAAACGATTCCATGATATCCAAATAAGAGCTCCCCAGACCGCAAGTCTCGTCGATTCGAGCTTGCAGAGTCAGTCTTCCGACCAAATTGACCGTTTCCTGTAGCAGACAATTCTCCGGATGACCTCTGGGAGGAGCTACGTACTCATCCTGTCACCCAGGTCAAGCACCAACGGAATGTTTCGACAAGTCCTTCTACTCGCCTCTATCGGCTGTAGCCAGAGTGCAGTGCTCAGATATGGCAGATTCCCTTGGCTCCTGTGGGGACACTCCTTTCGCAGGGCATACATTGCACTCCATCAGAGAAATCTTAGCCTCTTCAAGTTCTCATATGCGTTGACGCTGGGTTCACCAAGGGACCGATGAGACGGATGAGGTGGATGAGACGGATGAGGTTGACGAGGTGGATGAGGTGAGGTTGTCCAAGTCTCGACTGGTTCAAGGATTCCGGTGCTAGAGCTCCTCGACGCTATGCTTAATTAGGACACGGTGTAAACAGTCATCCCTGCTCTAATCATCATCACCGACGACACCACAAAACAAGGCAACCAAGCAAGCGATTTTTGCGGCCATCATTCACTCGCAGACACTCGAACATGTGAAAATCTTCCCCCTCTTGTGCTGGCATTCCTGCACCGATACGCCTGACCACATCCCACACTCCCACCCGAGTCCGGCGGTCACGCGACACGCTGCACACGCTTCGCTTCTACCGCGCACTACAATGGCTTCATCTTCACCGCTCGCGTCGTCGCAACACATCCTCTTCCAGCCGCCAAAGTCGCCCGCCTCCGTAACGACTACACCGTCCCTTGCCACTGCGACCGACTACTTCACCGGTTCGAGAAAGAGGCAGGGACCCGGGTCTCTAGACTACAATCGCATACTACCGGCGACTTGGACAGAGACACCGAGTTGGGCGCAGATTGCTACACCTATTGATGGCCTCGTGAGTAGTGGGTTTGGGCAGAACTCAGGCTTGGTCAACGACCGCTACCACCTCGCCGGCGGTTTCGACACGCCTTCGCTGCAGGCAACCTCGAAACTGGAGCATCTCAAGGTCAATAAGAATGAGTTTCGGAGACGGCTTAGAGATGAGGATGTGGGAGGATATTTTGACGAAAAGCACGCGCCCATCTCCGGGCCGCTGGCGAGGGAGCGAAATGGTATAGCGAGGATGCCTTGTACGCCAGATGAGGCATTGCAGAAAAGCTGGACAAGCTTCGCTTTCGGTCTCGTGGGCAGAGTCTTCAGCTTCGGTGGTAATATTGTCCGTGGCTTCTACGCTGGTGATGGGCAAGGCTACGACTTGAACCGTTATCCACTAGTAGGAACGGATCTGCTTCAACAGGGTGTTGGACGTGCATCCACACCCCTGCCTGGCTCGTGGGACGAGGGAGAATTCCTAGGTGATTTCGAGCAGGACAGCCCTGACTTCCAATACCAATCGCCCACCGCCAGGCCTCCGAACAAGCGACGACAGACCGATAAGGACACTTGGGTCATGGTCGGTACACCTGATGCAGAGATGGGGACCTTGAGCCCGAAGCGGAAAGTATCGAGTAACAGCGTGCCTCGGAGTACCTTGACGGCAAGATCACCAGCATCACGAGCCTCAAGTAGACGGAGCATCGCTCCGATGCCACGTCGAGCCCATTCACACGTCGAGGCCAACGAAAGCCCTACTCAGGCACAGCCGGCTCTACTTCAACCCTCCTTCCAACCCTGCCATAGCAGACGAGCATCGGTAGCGCCAACACGGTCACCTCAAGGTCGACCCGGCAGCTCGGGGCCAGGCAGTCGCTACATGAGTCCAGAAGCCGAGCGACACGCGAAACGTCAAGCAAAACAAGACAAGACCATGACCAGCATGTCGCGCAAAATGGAGGAGATGATCCGTCAAGCACAGGAAGCTCTGGGCACGAAGTACTCCGTTGAAGGTGATGCCGACATGGACGACGAGGGCTATGTCGACGATGAGTGGTGAGCTTTCGTACTCTTGTCTCTACGACTGTGACGACTGTCATTGGTGTATAAGTTTTTTTTGGGGATTGAGGATCAGGTTCAAGATACCCAGTACATTTCATGGATTCGGAGTTCGGTTGGGTGTTGTGCAGATGAATCGCGTCGGGGGAAGGGCAGTGGCGTACAGGACTACAACAGACAGACATATTGCACTCCCGCAGAATGGTAAACAGAACAGACGACGTTTACGACAAGAATCATGTTTCCCAATCTCACACTTCGTTTGGTCCACATTTCGGTGCTTGCTGGCAGGTGTGTTATGCAGTGACCCTTGGCAGATCTTTCGGTAATCGCGACTTTGTCTTCAATGAGCCAGAGGGCGATGTTCAGCTGGAATGAGGACGTTTCAATAGCCATAACATCGTGTGCCACATCTTCACGAGGAGGGTCTAGTAGCAACCTTGAATCACCCATACGTTCGGCTGAGAGGAAGGGTCTGGGTGGGCATGTGAGCTTCGTGGGGAACGGAAAGGGCGGGTATGGAGGTGCTTGGAACAAGCAGCTGAAAACAACTGCTGATGGCGGAGAGCAATTCGAGTGGCTGGAGACCTGCAGAACTAATGCTGCTTTTCTTCGAGATTCGTGTCATCAAACTCGATTCTGTTTGCAGCTAGTAGCGAATCCTTTCATATAATGTATGCGGAGACTTCCGTCAAGCGGTCCATTTCTACAAGCCGATCCAGTGGTTGAACTAGCAAAATGCACAGCAGCTGGCGAAAGCAGAGAATGGGTATCGTGAGCATAAGTGTGCAGATGCTCACAATCGTCTCCAGGAACGACGGCAGCCAGGTCAGACGAGTGAGTCTGAGCCTTCGAATTAATCTCTGTCCAAACCAATCACAGGAGTCCAGAAAGTCCCTATTCTCGATCAGCAAACTGCAACAAGAAGTAGCAATGCAATAGTATTTCACTCACATCACTTCCATAAGAATTATGCCAGCTCGAGCAATGATGATGTTCATCGGTTTCATTTTGCTGCTGTCACGCATCGGGTACAACACAATGAATTTCACCGTGAGATTCTCCGTTGGAATGCCGTGGTACGTCATGAATCTCACCCAGGCCTGACGCTGACCAGAGCTTCGATAGAAAGGACAGGCCCATGTGCAGCCTGGGTGACCCGGACAGCAATTCCGCGGCTTCTCTGAAAACGCCACAATCGAAGTACGGCCCCTTCTTCCAGGCCCACAGTACCGGTCGTGCAGTTCAAATATCTCCGGACAATTCCTCTGCCACAGAAATTTGGGTGGAATCCCGGAAATATAGGGAATAGGCATCTCAAGTGGTACTGTGTGGAAGACCGCGCTGTAAACCTCATAGCGAATGCTTTTGAATCTGTCATCTAGGAGTGCATGTTCGATTCGACCAGGGTGAGTAATTCGAGGTGGCGGAAGGCTAGCCACAATGTTCCTATAAATCTCGAGGCGGAGTTCTGCAGGCAGATCCATGAGGCGGAATTGTTGAGGTGAACGCATTGCACTGGCGGAGCGAGAAGGCCTGGAGAGCAACTCAAGACCGTGAAAAGCAGGCATAGCTAGCCCGAGAAGCGCCGCCGTGATAGATGTCGGTGCCATGGCCGCTTAATTGAGGCCCGACCTCCCGTGGATACCTCGAATTCCAGGTCGAGCTGGCCGACTGATGAGCATGGATTCCACGAGATGGTCCGCGGATGAAGCCGCGAATGAGTTCAGAGTCGGGATTTTTATCGTGGGCGATAATCAAAGCTCTTGCACGATCTCACATATCCGACCTCATCCTATGGCACAGATGTTTCAACCCGTACCAACCTCTTCTACTGACAGGCTCACTTCGAATTGCAAGGTTCAGTCTGCGGCGGTCTTACCCGCTTCTTCCTCCGCTGCTGCAGCTGGTGGTTCTGTCGGCTCGATCGCTTCCAAAATGGCATCTACGTCGGTATCCTCAGGCTTCATCTCCGTGGTGCCATCAGTGCCAGAAACAGATTCGTCATGTTCCTTTCCAGGCTTCAAAGTATCAATTCTAGAGACACCCGCAAGAGGTGGATCTTCTTCCTTGAGCTCGGGAGGTGAATGCGCGCTTTGCGTCTGCTCCGACTCATGCAGAGCGGTGGATGAACGGCCTAACCCTGGCTTTGCTTGATCTCCGTCTTCGTCCTCTTCGACCTCCTCGATGACAGTGGTGACGGCTTCTGACATGCTGCTAGGGGCACGCGTATGGCGTTTCGTAGTGTTGTTCAGTGCCTTCACGTCGTTACCGGCGGGCTCTTGGTCGACAGCCTTTTGTGGACCTGGTTCACTTGGGCGGGGCAGGATGCTCGTCGGCCGAGGCCGATCTTGCTTCTCTTTCGCCTGATCTTCCTTCTCAACTGGAGCTTGTCCCTCAGCAGCCTCTGGAGGGATGGTGTAGTTCTCCGGCTGGATCAAATTGTACTCGTCACAAACTGTTTTGAAGAAGGTGTATAGTCCAGTCTTGCTTTCGACAGCGTAGAACACTTCGCGATGCTGGAACCACGCATGAGCGTAGATGCGGTACACGCGGCGGAAGATGTTTGTAATCTCCTTCATCTGCTGTTGGAGGAACTTGTCACTTCCACCTCCTGCGTTGCCGCTTCCAAGGCCCAGTCGAGATGGGAACATCTTGCTGCTGGTAAGCGACGATGCCGCCCAATCGAGAGTGTGGCAGCAGTAGTCGATGGCAGAGCAACTTTTAGGCGGGTCGTGCACGGCGCACAAGTACTGCCACTCACTGGCTCGCATCTCGGGGCACGTCTGCTGCGAGCAGGGTGGATGGTCGGCGAAGAGAGCAACGATGATGGCATTGGTCTTCTGAATCAGAAAGCGGCCGAGCTCGTAGAGCCATATTTCGCGGGAGGTGTTGGGCGGTGTTATGGCGAGTTCATTGGCAAGATCGGCTGTAATTGCCTTGACCTGGTTTGAGTCGGCTGGGTGTGTGTGGGAGTAATGTAATGCTTTGAGGTGTTCCGTGAGTTGAAACGCCGAGTCAATCTGTTTGCACGTCAATCGTCGAGTCCCAATTGAACCTCACGTGTCGTCCTACCTCTTGCATCTCTACGAGCGGTGGTCCTTCGGCCATATCGATGGCTTTGGTGCCTGGCCTTATCCGCCGTGAAGCTCTCATGTCAATATTACTGATCCCTGCAAGGCCGTGATGATCTTCAAAGCCTGATATGCCTGGCGAAGTTGGTCCGATCTGGTCTTCAGCAATTGGAGGCGGAGACGGCAGCCGCGGTGAGGATGAGGGTGATGAGGCTGCCGCCATGTTTGCGTTTCGCTCGAGGAGGAGTTCTGTACGGTATCGGAACCACGATGACAACCAAGGCGGGTAACTCCAGAGGCTGTCCTGTTGAGTCTCGTCGTAGCAAATGAAGGTGGTTGTTGAAGCTTCGGACTCTGAACATGGAAGCTCTGCCTCTCCATGTTTCAGGCCCGCGTTTCGGAGATCGGCAAGCGGGAGCTCCCTTCGGTCCGAGTCCGAGCCCGAGCGCGCTCTGCAGGCGCGCAGGTTCACAAGCCTTACCAACAACTCTTTCTACATCAAAAGCGAGCGAAATGGATGAAGACCAAGAAGCACCGCCGCTGCTAGTGGCAGCAGATGGTACTAATGCCGCAGAACAGTCTCTCAGTAGTGAGATGGGCGACGTTAAGATCACCAAAGTCCCAATCACCATCATCACAGGTAGGAATCGTCCACATACACACGTCCACACGCGGCTTTCAACGTAGAATTCCACACACTCTCATCATCTCACAGTCCGCATATCCCACGAAATTCAATTGGCACTTCGACTAACGACCATCAAAAGGCTACCTCGGAGCAGGCAAGACCACCCTCCTGAACTACATCCTCACAGCCCGCCACGGCAAGAAAATCGCTGTAATCCTAAACGGTACGAAAAAAGACCCGCCATCTCACTCCAAGATGATGAAAAAGCGTCCTCTAAACCCTTTCTCTCTCTCTCTCATCTCCAGAATTCGGCTCTTCCTCCAATATTGAGAAATCCCTCACCGTCTCCCAAAACAACGAATCCGTCGAGCAATGGCTCGAACTCTCCAACGGCTGCATCTGCTGCTCCGTCAAAGACCAGGGAGTCAACGCCATCGAATCCCTCATGGATCGCCAGGGGACTTTCGATTACATCCTTCTGGAAACCACGGGACTCGCGGACCCCGGGAACATCGCACCGATCTTCTGGGTCGATGAAGGGCTCGGGTCCACCATATATCTCGATGGAATCGTGACGCTGGTGGATGCGAAAAACGTTCTGAAATCTCTCGATGAACCCGTGGAGGAGGAGGCGGTGGATCATGGTCATGGATCGCAAGTTCTATCAATCGCACACTTACAAATCTCCCACGCGGATATCCTTCTCTTGAATAAATCCGACCTCGTCAACGAAGCAGAACTCGGAGAAATCGAACGTCGAATTCGAAGTATCAATGCTCTCGCGAAATTGGAAATCACTTCTCACAGTCAAGTCCCACAACTTGAAGGTCTGATTTTAGATCTCCACGCTTACGACGATGTTTCGGCGGAAACGCTCGACTTCGCCAGCAAAGGGCACAGCCATTTGGATCCTTCTATTGGAACGATGATGCTCGAAGTACCAGTCCTACACGCAGAGACAGGGTTGCAGAGACTCGACGAATGGCTTCGGTCGGTACTGTGGGACAACACTCTCGCCGAAGCGACAGAATTCAAAGGATGGGAAATACACCGAATCAAAGGCCGGATACCATTGGGGGACGGAAAAGTGAAAATGCTACAGGGCGTACGGGAGATTTTTGAATTGATAGACGGAGTGGGCGACGGGAGCAATGAGGCCGAGCAAGAAAGCGGGAAAATCGTCATCATTGGACGCAATATCGGGAATGAGAACAGTAGGAATACGTTCCAGAAAAGTCTATTGAAGACGATATCGCGGTGATTCTAAGAAGGCAAAATTTGGAGTGGCTTACCTTTTCGTCGCCGAGGCTCTTTCTTTGGGCTTGGCTGGCGAGCGTCCAGACGGTGAGGTCTGCTGACGGGCCTTTCAAAACCCCATACGCTGCTCCTGCTCCAGCTCTGGTGTCCGTACGTTTCACAGCATACAGGTAGGATTCCAGACCGGTCGAGGCAGTCGAGCGCTGAGAGCTGCGGTCCGACGTGAAACTTACCTCTCGCACGGAATGTCGACATCCATCGTCTTGCAACCCAATTCTAGCGATTGGTGACTTTCGACATCAGACATCAGACATCAGCAATCCAGCATGCTCCGGATAGCAAGAACAGGTTGTTGCTGCTCCCATTCCAGGCTTCACGGTGTTTTTGGTGTTACCGGTGTTAGTCGGGATCGTGCAGACATGTGATTCGGGCATAAAGCGTTTCGGTCTCCGACGTCGGAGTGAGTTTCGTCGCGCACGCGAAGCGTTTGCATGGAATGCCTGATATGCGCTGGAAAATTGTCCTAAAGGCTTCGGCCACGTTGTTTCGCAGAATGCCGCGTCCAACCGCAGCGAAAAGTCTTCGCAGCATGCCGTACCTCTGGTCGTGGAGCGAATTCGCCCGTCAATTTGGGCTTTACTGTCGGCTCCACTGCCTGCAAGCGAACAACGTGCCATTCCATACCATGCAGCGAGCACTACATTGCGCTCGGCTCTGGACAGTCACGTAGTAGTAAGACGGCCTCGCAGGCGTGGCGTGGCGTTGCGTTCCAGATGATTCAACAGTAGGTGGCGACCCATAGCCTTGGCTGCTGCCTTCCTTAGTGGCTTAGTTGGCAGCAGTAGTTTTAGGAGAAGTGCATCATCGCCGTCCTGTATGGCCTAGCATAGGGTTTCGAAGCGCTTCGATCCCATTTGTGTAGAAGACCGCCACATGGACCGACTGGAGGCCAAGCTATGGAACTAGTTGCCTATTGGAGGCTGAGAGAAGCCTAGTGTGTGTGTGTGAGAAAGAGAGAGAGCAAGCGAGGATGTGTTACTGCCTTACAAGGCCATTGGGTAGCAAGGCGAGTGGCCAGCGATACAATTCGTGCGATCGTTTGCATATAACTCTTCACAGCATGTGAGATAGCAGAACAAGATCAGGATGCGGCAGTATTCGTTTCAATTTGCGGTAGCTAGGCGCCGACGCGAGTCGTGATCGGTCACGTGTGGAAGAAGTACGCAAGTATGCTGGCTGGTAGGTGAAGTCAGTGTGCCGACATGCAAGTGATGGGGGATGCTCCATGCAGGAGGTCGCTGATGTAGCAACACGAGGGGCCGGTTCTCCAAGGAAATGCTCTGCGGGCTGCAGAAGCTGTTCGCAGCTCGTGACAAGTACTTGACGCAGCAAAGCATTGCTTGAGGAGAGATGGACCAGTGGAGTTGGAGGCATTGGCTCTCATAACCCATCACTTTGCATAAGCGCGGACAGCGCAGCTGCACTGCGTGCTGTTAGTGATGATGGTGATGATGATGATGAGAGCACGGCATCTGGCGCATGTGCGAGGCCAGATGAAGTGTTACGAACCCGGCCGGACGTTGCCATGATAACATGTATCCTGAGACCTTTTGGAGTCGGAGATGGTGTTGGAGGCGCGGCTCGCCGTGAGGCTCGGAGCAGAGAGCGTCTGGAGTGAGTTGGAGTTGGGGGTGTGGGGGAGCGGGAGAGCGGGAGAGCGGGAGAGTCTGCAGTGGCGTATGGGCGCGCACGGAGCAGTACCTTAGTGAGAAAGCAGCAGCATCGGCGATATGCAGGCATGCTGCAGCCCAGAACAGCCGCGTTGTAGCAGGATGGGTGGAAGCGTGACAATACGCCGTACGCGTCCCGACCGATATCAGACGAGATGGTTTCAAGAAGCCGACTTGGCCGAGCGGTGCGGAGTGTGTTGAGGAGGATGATGGTGGCATGTAGGAGCGATCGGTGTTGTTGATGATGGTGGCAGGCGAGGGAGAACGATAGGCCCTGCACAGTGCGTGCATGCCGCGAGCGTCTCGTCCAATGGGACTCCCTCTACGCCGGTAGCGTGCGGCGGTGAGGGCGGCATCGGCATCGGCGCGTGGCGGGCGCGGCGTGGCGTGGCGTGGCGTGGATGCCTGGAACTGTACAGGAAAGAGCAGTACAGGACAGCGTTGGTGCTGGGAAGGCGCGCCTTGGTGCTGGGAAGCCCAGCCTGTCACCAGGGCACCACTCGCTCCTTCCCTACCGCACTCTCACTCACACGTACACTCACACTCTCACACCATCTCGCCGGTTGCTGAACGTCGTCCCGTGATACCACTCCCTCACCCTCCACTTCCCTCTTCTCCCATCCACCCCCCCATCACATCTCACACATCACACATCACCCACTGTCTCGCCGTGCATGTACCGAGCTCATCCCACATCCAACAAATGCCATTCCTCGCCATCGCCATCCCATCATGAAGCTTATTGCCAGTAGCCCGTCGAACTACGTATTTGCGCAATAGAGCACTGCACAGCCGCCGACAGTACGTACAGCTACACGCGCCCGGACGCACATTCTCTGCTTCACCTTCACCTCCACGCCCTTCCGTCTCATCAGCTCAATCTACCGTCACGCGCCTCAGCTCGCATCGCATACCTGCTGTGCTTCGACACACACGTGCGCGCCTTCTGGACCGCCTCGAGGCACCTGGACAGGACAGAATACCACCGACCCTTCTGGCCATCGCCGTTAGTAGAGAATACATCCACGGATTATCAACTGCCTTCAGCCTCTCCCACTCTCCAGAGCTCCACCTCCGCAACGCATGTCAGTAGCGTCCGCTTTGCTTTGCACCATGCGTCACCAACTGCACCATCGTCCCGAAATCGACGACATCCGCGTCGCCTACGACAGCGAACGCTCCTTTCACTCCGACTTCGATAGCGAACAATCCCACCATCCATCCCAGTCAAGTAGCGACAGATGGGCAAAATCCTATTCCACACAACCTACAATATACTCAGCCACCTCCTCCAAGAGGCCGCCCCGAGTGCATCAGAATATCCAAAATGGAGGTCATGAGGAGTCTTCCCGCTGCTTCTCGGACATACATCCCCAGGAGAGTCCACGGGCATCGATAGAAACGTATGCCTCGACTGTACAGAGTGAGGAAGATCTTCCACAGGAAATACCAGCATATGAAGTACCGGAGTACACTGCACGGCCCTATGAGCCCACAGCCATCGCTGCGACCCCTTCGGACTTCTCGGAACTTTTCCCATCCCATCGCAGGCTCGCGATCCGGCACGACGACTCCACCCTGGACGGCAACATGAACCTTCGCTTGGACACCGAGGTGACCATGCATGGTGGACGACGATGCGATATGACCCTGTTTCATTTGCGCATGCATGATCTGCGAGATCGCGAGTTCTCTCTGCGTCGGTATTGCAGAGACTCGGGTCGGGAAATCTGTCATTCTTCTCGTAAGCTTCAAAGACCTCCCACGCAAAAGCGGCCAGGTTTCCAACGCTCGCTCAGCAATGCTTTGAGTAGTATGAGGTCAAAGTCTGAACCGAAGAGTCCCACAATTGGCAGTCTCAAGCGGAATGACTCAGGCTATGGCTCTGTCCACTCAGCCGTGGACCTTGATTGTGATGACCGGCTTCAATCCTCTCATAGTGCTCCGAAGCCGCAACCTGCAGCGGACCCCAACACAGTGAAGCTTGAGTTCTCCAATTATGCTCAACTTGACCTCAGGCGAACAGGACGGACGGGCAGCAAAAGGTACGAATTTGAATATTGGGGAAGACAGTACTGCTGGAAAAAAGCCGTGCACAAGGAAGCCCAGTCCAAAGATGTATCATATCACCTGATCAAGGCCGGGACGGATCACGTTCTGGCGTATATCATTCCCTCGCCGCTAACTCCCGCTCAAGCGGAAGAGGAGCAGAGCAAAGGAGGTTGGATCCCGCCTTGCTCGATGTGGATTGCCGACGAGAGCATCGTCCGTGGTCAGAAGGATGTAGCCGAGTAAGTCCAACGTTGCAAATGTGTTGCGAAGGCGCCAACTGACAATTCCTGACAGTGTCATTGTTGCTTCCGGCTTGGTAGCTCTCGTGGACGATTCGATCCGCGCGCGATTCCACTCTCGCGATTCACAGCCTCTCTTCATCCCGAAACTTGGCGTCGAATATGTTGGCCCGAAACGTCTGATCAACGAAATGTTCAAGCGCGGGTAGCGGGACGCACAGCCGGCCGTCTTGGAGCAGCCGACCTTGCACCAGCCGGTACGGTATCAGCGAAGCACGAACAGCTTCCGGTGCGTTCAGACAACCTTCCAGCAGAGATGGATGGTTGTGACCCCGGTCTGCTACCGGGCCGCCGGTAACAGAGTCTCGTGAGAATCTCGCAGCTGTCGCACTTTGCAACACGCTGCTCGAGCGGTGTGCAGGCTGCGGCAGGCGGTCAGCTCAGCTCAATGGTAGCACACAAGGGATTCTCTGCAGCTTTCCGATTGATTTCTTTTTTTCTTGAAGCGTCTTGTGACGACTTGTTGGCGAGTGTTGAGAGGAGAGCAGGGCCGGTTTGCTTGGGTTTCTGGGATTTGACATCGACAGCACGCAAAGCATAGTAGCAAAGCGGACGAGTGGGGCATTTTTGGGTGGAATGGGGCACACATTATCGCTCTGTTTGCTGCACGCGTTTGAAGGGGGGCTGTTTGGAAACAGGCCTGTTTGCACCCTCACCATGTATCATGGACAGATAGGATATCCTCCCTCCCAAGACGCCACAGACATGAGCGTCGACGTTGAGCGAGGGCAATTGGGAAAACCCCACATTTTTGACATGACCGCTCCGTCTTCACCAAGTCTCCGTCACATCTCTTTCCTACCTAGCTTCACAAGATGGTGTTGTTCTGAAGCTCCACTGCGGCGGCGGCGGCGGAGATTTCTGGGATTGATAATGATCCTTGCCGTTTATTTGGGAACCGCAGCAGCTGCCTCCCGCGTCGTCAAGGCCATGAGTGCAGAGTGCAGAGTGCAGAGTGCAGCGGCTGGGAAGGTCCAACAGCAGGAACCCGTAGCAGTACCAGACGGGACGGCATTATTTGTGCTCGGGTACTTTCCGCGGTACATGTATAACTCGGATGTATGTGAGATGTTCTCTTTCTCTCTCTCCCCGGTATCTGATACATGATGCATACCACCACCGGCAGCAGCAGCAGCAGCAATCATTCATCAAGCAGCTGATGTCTGAGAAGGACAAATAGTGGATGTGTGTTTGTGTGTGTGTTTGTGTCTATGTGTGCCTATGTGTTTGTGTGTTTGTGTGTGTGTGTGTTTGTGTGTGTGTATCTATGTGTGTGTATCTATGTGTGTGTGTGAGCATGCACCAGTTTGCTTGGTGGGGATGCAGCTTGGACGTCATATCGAGACACGTCACGCAGTAGTCTCCTGCAGCCTGTTGGCCTGCCTAAAACGAACATTCACTATTTCAGAGTTAGCAGAGAGACTAAGAGACTTTTTGCCTCGATTGTTGTTTGTTTCCGGTGCTTGTTTGTCCGCCGCCCACGTCCAAGGCGGTGGGGGGGAGGGGGCAGGGCTAAGTGCATGAACGCTCCCTGCTTGCTCTTCTGCCGTCCGTCGGTGTTGCGGGCTCGGTTGCGGAACGGAGAGCCTGTCCTGTCCATCTGGTGCAGTGTTGTCGTTGTGTTGCCGCCGTGTTCGACGATGCTTCTGCGTTGCGCCCTCTCTTCCGTTCGATGCACCATGGGGCGGGATAATGTCGTCGTGGGAGAAGTCACACGTCCAACCACCCACTCCGGAACATCCCTCGTCGCCCAGAAGGAGGCGGCTGTCAACTGGCGGAGTGCTACGCCTGTCGTTGAATGAATCCAGGCGAGTGACATTGCTGAGGTGCGTTTGCGGTTCGGCCCAAGGCTCCACGCGCAGATCCCGAAGCGGGTCGGGTGTCAAACGCGAATGCATCACACATGGGGATGGAGGGAGGGAGGGAGGGAGGGAGACATTCGACGTGGGCGCGCGCACGCCCAAGCTGTCCCCGTCGTAACTAGGTCGGTCGTTGGTGAGTTGCGGCCATGCAACTCGCCTTAATACCTACCGTGCGGACAGCCGCGGGCTTGTGAGGGCAAGGTGACTTGCTAGGTGGTGTCCAACCCCGTTATCCGCGTCCTTCCCACCACCTCCTTCTCCATCCAACCCTTCCCTCTCTCTCTCTCTCTCTCTCTCTCTCGCGCGCGCGCGCGCCAGAGCTCGACACCACACACACGCAGGTAGCCAGACGGGAGGGAGCATGCTGTCTCAATTCTTCCCGTCGCAACTGCCCGCCACGTTTGTGTGTGCCGGACACACAGGAAAACGCAGCAGCAGCAGCAGCGGCAGCAAGAGAGGGCTGCGTCTCGGAGCCTTCTGGGATCCTTGGGTGAGGGAGGGAGGACTGAAGTTATAAGGTCTTTTCCTCCGTTGTAGCGAAGAGGCACACAGCTGCTTGTTCTCCTCCGACACCAACGGGAACGTTATCCTCTTGGTCTGCTCTGCCTTCTTTTCTCCCCATTCAAGGGTCGACCAACCATCTTCAACCTCACCTGCGGCTAATAAGTCAAATCGCCTGAGCCTCCACCACTACAACGCAACGCAACGCAACGCAAGCACACACTACATCCTTTGATACCCAATTCGCAACAAAGGCATCCTTGCTTTTTCTGGCTTGCTGCTACTTCTCCACCCTTCTCCTGTGGCTAGCCTATCCATCTGGTAGCCGCATGCATCGTCTTGTCCATTACAACAGATCGTCGTTGCCTCGGGAAGGAATCTGCTCAGAAATGTCTTCCACCGACGGATCCACCATTGCTCCAACCCCACACCAGGACAGACTGATCAGTGAGTGTCATCACCTCTTCCGACTTCAACGTCGTCCGCTCGAAGACTGACAGGGTAGCAGGCTTCTGTCGTGCCCACGGCGCCCGACCACCCCTCTTCCAGATCGTGTCCGATCGCAGAGGTGAGTTGAGATCGTCCCCTCCATCCCGCTGAATGCCAACAAGTACTGACGAGCTCACCATTCCAGGCGGTCGCACGGCTTGGAGCTGCGAGACCATCATCGCGGGAAAGACCTTTCGAGCTCGCTTTTGGTACGACGGCCACTACGTTCACAATGCCCGAGAGGACGCGGCTCAGGTTGCGCTGGAGAATCTCGGCGTTCTCCCTTTGCCGCCGCAGCGACAGCCTCAACCGAGCCAACACTGCTGGTCTCCATCGAACGGCTGGAGTGCGTGATGCATGCCACGCATTCTCCAAGCACAATGGTCGGTCCCGGTGGTGGCTTTCAGCTGGGGCATTGATAGCTGCAGATCTTCCTTCTTCTTCGGTTGTTGCGGGATGGTAGGCGGTTTCATTTCCAATGGTACGGATGGGAGAACAAGAATGGGATCGTCAGGCGGGTTTGGGCACATGGATGGGAAAAGATTACTTGTTGGGAACACGGGAGATGGGCCATTTTGAGCATTGTCTTCTTCATCGTTCTACTTCTTGATGGGCGTTGGATCCAGATTGGGGACGTTCTTCGTTTGTGGATTATTGTGGGGAGACATCGGAGCATAGCGAGGCGATGACAGGCATAGCGCTTGAATTTTCTCTTTCCATTTTCGTTATTGTGCAATGTCTTATAGTTCTTTCCTTTCTCGTGGAGGACGCGTCGTCGTTCCCCTGCCAACCTTCACCGTCTCCTTGCTCCTTGCTCATGACTAAGCCGGTTCCGGATCTAGCGAACCTTGTCGACATCCACCTCATTATTTCTCTTTCCCGAACTTATTGATTACACCTTCGTCAAAATTTCCATCATGACTGAAGCCCCAGTGCAATGTCAATACCAACACCGGTCCATGAAGGATCGAAGAGATGCTTCACCATCGGCAATCACAGCCATCTCGTCCGACCGCATCAGCCGAAGAGCGGAGCTGGCCTTACTTGATCCGATCGTGTCGCTTATCAGATAGACAGAGATGAACAGGAATTCTTATCAGCGATTTGACCACACGTGGAAATCGAGGCTGTGGAGCTTAAGAAGCCACAGTGAAATTCGATTGGCCTTTTCTACAGCACCTGGAAACCGTTGGCATACTCGCATCGACACCACACCTACGAGCAGCGGAAAGCGCAAGGTCTCTTGAGAGCTGTTAGACCACTGAATAGCTCGCCGCGTCGAGTGACCTGGATCGGTGAACTAGCTGCTTCTCCTTGCCATGTCTTCGGAGTCGTACGTCAAAGATGACCATCCGGATCGAATAGGCCCGGAGACAACGCCTAAGCGATCCTGGAGCGACCGCGGAACAGGTCTTGTCAAGGCCTTCACTAGCAAAGACGGATGGATCGGCGACTACGACTATGCGTTCCTCTTCAAGCCCAACATTCCATTCCTCAAGCAGGAGAGGCGAGCAGCACCATTCTTCGGCCTCAATGACCGAATGCCCGTCTTTCTTGCCCTGCTCCTCGGATTTCAACATGCCCTAGCTATGCTCGCGGGAGTCATCTCTCCGCCCATCATTCTTGCCTCAGCTGCGAATCTCAATGGGAACATGCAGTCATACCTGGTCAGCACGTCTCTTATCGTCAGCGGAATTCTTTCGGCGATACAAATCACTCGATTTCACATCTGGAAGTCCCCATACTATGTCGGCACTGGCCTGATTTCTGTCGTCGGGACCTCCTTCGCTACCATCACGGTCGCTTCTGGAGCTCTGAGTCAGATGTATGCGACTGGGTATTGTCCTACAGACGCTAGTGGGAACCAGTTGCCTTGCCCGGATGGATATGGTGCAATCCTTGGCACCCAGTGTTGCTGTGCGCTTCTCGAGGTCTTGATGTCGTTTCTTCCTCCTAAAACTCTCAAGAGGCTGTTTCCACCACTTGTTACTGGACCGACGGTGCTTCTCATCGGAGTGAGCTTGATTTCTAGCGGCTTTGAGGATTGGGCAGGGGGCTCTGGTGATTGCATGGCACGGCCTTCGACAGGCATGTACAGGCTTTGCCCGACTGTCAGCGCGCCACATGCACTTCCATGGGGAAGTGCTGAGTTCATTGGTATGTCGTGAAGTGTGACCTTGAGAAGCCCAATGCTGACGTGTTCTAGGGCTCGGGTTCCTCGTCTTCTTGACTATCATCCTATGCGAGCGCTTTGGCTCTCCCATCATGAAGAGCTGTGCCGTAGTGATCGGTCTACTCGTGGGCTGCATTGTCGCTGCGGCATGCGGCTACTTTGGTAAGTTGCATCAAGAAGCGTCGTATGATAGTATAACACGTATTCTGACCCGGCGCAGACCGCTCTGGTATCGACGCCGCTCCTGTGGGCAGCTTCATCTGGGTTCATACTTTTAAGCTAAGCGTGTATGGTCCCATCGTCCTGCCGCTTCTAGCTGTGTACATCGTGTGCGCGATGGAAGCGATCGGTGACATTACGTGAGTCAACTTCAGGGTCAAGGCTGCAGTAAAGATACTGACGGGGTGGACGATAGGGCTACCTGCGACGTGTCTCGACTCCAAGTTGACGGCCCAATGTTCGACAGCCGCATTCAGGGCGGTGTCCTCGCCGATGGTCTCAACAGCATTGCTGCTGGGCTTTGCACAATCACTCCAATGTCGACTTTCGCACAGAACAACGGAGTCATCGCTCTGACGAGATGCGCGAATAGGAAAGCTGGCTACGCATGCTGCTTCTGGCTAATCATTATGGGCATACTGGCGAAGTTCGCGGCAGCTTTGGTGGCTATCCCGAAAGCTGTTCTTGGAGGGATGACGACCTTCCTTTTCGCGGGTGTGGCATCAAGCGGTATCCGCATCATCTCGACGATGCCGTTCACACGCCGCAATCGCTTCATCCTCACAGCTTCTCTCGCTGTTGGCTTTGGCGCCACTCTGGTACCGACCTGGTTCAGCTATGTCTTCACTTACGCTGGCGACAACCGCGCTCTGCTCGGCTTCATGAACGCGATTGAGTTGGTCATGGAGACTGGTTTCGCTGTCACGGCTTTCGTTTCCCTTCTCCTCAACTTGATCCTGCCTGAAGAGGTCGAGGATGAGGAGACGCCGGAGCTACTCGCGAATAATGCGGACGATGCCGATGACCAGGAAGAATGGGCCAAGATCAGGAATCAGTCGCATGCTCCAGGGAACGCAGAGCAAGTGAAGACATGAGTTGAACATTTCTCGACCCTCAGGAACTAGGGCGAAAAGTATTCTTGCTATGGAACGAGGGACTCCATTCGTCTTTCCATCTCCCTCCTCTTGTTGGTTGTTGGATCCCACGGCTTTCCCAATCGGGCAGTTCCGGCTCACTGCACAAAAGGACCAGCCTCCCACAGCTCCCCTCTTCCGCTCTGTCAACGCCCCTCACATAGACCAGAGCCATATAAGAGCTACGATTCTCGACCGTGTAAGTACTGCCAGTTCGCTTCAAATTCCTTTTATAAATTTATTACCTTTGCTGCAAGCATTCTACGTTTGTATCATCTCCCACCTATTCACTTGAGGTCCGACCTCTGGATCAGCTTCATAGTGAGCATTGGAGAGAATAAAGTTGGTCGTGTGCCTTGATTGAGGAAGCAGAAGAGAAGGCGAGAGAGCAAACAATATGACAACTGAAACCGCGACGAAAGCACCGCCTACGAAGGAGACTTTTCACTTCATCAACGAGCCGGCAGAAGCTATCAACGAAGCCCTGATCGGTCTCACGCATCTCAAGCCGAGCTTATCATACAACAAGGAATACAAGATTGTGTACCGCAACGACCTGGCCGCATTCAGTGAGGATCATGTCACGACGATTGGATTTGGTAAGGTGTCCTTCTCATTGGAGAGTGCATCCCAGCTAACGATTGCTTCCAAGCTGGCGGCGGCCACGAACCCATGTTCGGCGGCTTCGTAGGACACAATTACCTCTCGGCCTACGTCTCCGGTAACGTCTTCGCGTCTCCCACCGCTGCGCAGATCTTCGAAGCGATCAAGATGTGTCAACCGACTTCGGGCAAGAAGAGCAGAGGGACATTGATTGTGTGCGGAAACTATACTGGTGATATTCTGAACGCCGGGTTGGCGATTACACGGGCACAGGCGGCTGGGTATAAAGTCTACTTCAAGCCGGTAGGGGACGATGTTGCGGTGGGGAGGAAGAAGGGAGGAAAGGTAGGGAGGAGGGGGTTGAGTGGACATCTCATTGCGTTGAAGAGTGCTTGTGCGCTTGCGGAGAAAGGGGAGACGTTGGAGCGGGTCGCGGAGGTTATGGAGTATGTTGCTGGTAATGTCGGGACGATTGGGGTTGCCTTTGACAGGTATAATCGATCGCTCTCTCCCCATGCTACTGATGGTGACGAATGTTGATCACGCTTCTAGGGTCGCTCTCCCCAATGCTACTTTGACCGACCTGCAGACCTTACCGCCAGCCACCATCGAGCTCGGAATGGGGGCCCACGGTGAACCCGGTCTCCAGCAAATCTCCCCGATCCCCCCGGCAGACGCTCTCGTTTCCCAAATGCTCGACCTCCTCCTCGACATCTCCGACAACGACCGAGCCTTCATCCCCTTCTCCCAATCCACACACCCCACCACCGACCACGAAGTCGTCCTCCTCTTGAACTCCCTCGGCAGCACCTCCGACGAGATCCTCGCCCGCTTCGCCGAACTCGCAAAGACGGAACTCGAACGGCGCGGCTTCCTCGTCAGGAGATTAACACTGGGCCCTCTCGTGACGAGTTTGAAAATGAGTGGCTTTGGGATTACGGTTTGGCGTTTACCCCCGGACAGCGGCGAGACCATGGAAAGGAAAGAGGCCTTGCAACTCTGGGATTCCAAAGTCGATGTCGTTGCTTGGAGACAGTAAATAAAACGTAGCAACCTATCC